ACTACATGGCGGGTTAATATTACCATAACTCTTATTTTATTAATTTCCTTATCTTATCGGGGCTTGGCACCCGTGGGTGTGACAAATAAGGCGGCAAATTGCGCTCATGAGTGCCTCTACCAAGTAAAGCAAATAAAGTTTAACATAACCAGCTGGCGTAAAGTCCCGCGAGCAACTCTAGCAAACGGTGTTATTACTTGGGCCTAAGGGGAAGCTAATTATGCAGCTATGTCAATAGCTCTTGCCCATTGTTTAATAAAAAACTAATCCACTGCACATTCTCTTTACAAATAAAACGCTGGCTAATTACTATTGTCTCGAGAACCCTCCTCGGGAGGTTATAAAGGGCATTTAAAAGTACGTTAACTGCATGGGTCATGCTAACCCTAACCTGCAAGTTATAAAAATTAGCGCGGGCACTGGGGGTATAACCAGGTACATTCTAAACGTTCTTGGTGGGGAGCAGCAGGTATTTAAAAAGAGTAAAAAAATAAATGGCAGAGCGCGTTTCTTAAAGTATATTTTTACTAACCTTTCTGCGGGCTTTTTTAAGTTCGCGCGAGAGAAGTTTGGCAACAGTAATAGCATGGTGTACAAGACCCTGGATATTAAGAGTCTGCCCGCCAAACAAGGCTTTAAGGTGCAGGGCTATAACCTGGTTATTACCAGCAATACAAGCACTCCCCTATTCAAACTCCCACCTTTAAAATATTAGCCTAACTCAACAAAATCTAGGTTCTCCACGCCACGAAAGATCTATCTATAACACTTGGGAACGCCAGGATGCTTTTAAAGCCCGGCGGGAAACTAATCCTGGTCGAGTGCATCAGCCCCAATTTACTCAGAACATCGTTTATATTTGGCTGTCTGCCCGGCTAGTGGTTAGCAACCGAGCCATATCGCGAATGGGGGCCTCTGGTCCCCCTTGCCACATGGGACGAGCTGCTTCGACAGAGCTTTTTTGCTGGAGCCGAGCTTGTAGTGGACGGCCCAGACACGGCGACATGCCTGAGCTGCGGAGTGATTACGACGGCATGCCCCTTACTACGCCCAATGGGACCGTATCATCACCGTCTAATATTGTGATTGTTCGGTCAGACCGATCCGCTCTCCAGCAGTCACTAGCTACAGCTGTCCGCGAGTTACATGAACAACAGGGCACAGTAGTGAGTACTATGGATGTCGCCGGCCTAAAGGCGCCCACCCAAGCTCCCGTGATCCTCCTACAGACAATTGACCAATTCAGCTTCCACAAGCTCGACCAGGGGAGCTACAACAACCTGAAGGTCGTGCTGGAAAATGCGCGAAACATCCTCTGGGTGACCCGAAGACACGTCCCAAGTTTAGAGCCTGATTCTCTCGAGCAGCAGGCGGTTCTTGGTCTTACCCGGTCTCTCATATTAGAGATTAAGGAGCTCAACATAGTGACTCTTGGGCTCGAAGACATTAAGACTACGTCGCGTGCGGCACGGCATATCTTGGCTGTACAGCACCAATACTTTTCTGCTGCACCTAAGGCGCATGGCAAGGAGATAATGGAGATTAACAGGGCTCTGTCCTTGAGTCGGGTTGTGCAGGCGGATACAATTTTAAAAGAAATCCAGGTATTAAAGCAATCCGAGCCCAATATAAGCGCTGACGACAACCAGCTCCTCGGGAAAGATAAGGTGGAAATTAATATATTAAAGGTTACTATATCACCACACAGCACTGGATTTAACCGGCCTTTGCGGGCCCATGAGGGTATTGGCGTGATCCATTGGGTTGGACAAGGCGCGCAAGGATCCTCACATGTTGGCGATACTATTGCTACCATTATCCCAAATCCAAGGGCAGAGTCCACAGGCGCGGTTAAGTTAATGTTATTTAATCCTGCCGCAACATACGTGATTGCTGGAGGCTTAGGTGGACTAGGAAAGAGCATATTAAATTAGATAATATCCAACGGTGCTTGACACCTTATTCTACTAGGTCGTTAAGGTACAAACACCTCCGGGGCCGCCACCTTTATAGAGGAGTGCTTGGCCATGAATGTGTCTGTCTTTGCACTCAAGTATGATATCAGCAGCCACGAGAAAATTCGTGCAGTTTTCCAGGAAGCCCAAAGGCTAATAACGCCTATAAAGGGATGTATCTAGGCATCCATGGTTCTCAAGGTACGATAAATAACTAGTTTTATAAGAAACAACATCCTAAAGCAGCGTCCTAAAAACTAATGGTGTTTGCAGTCCGCCATGTTTACAAGTATAACCCTTGACCAATGGGCCAACACACTGCGATCCAAAGTCCAAGGTTTGTTTAATCCCAGGCACCACCTCCCGCCCCAGCTCAACTTCTTTATCCTTCTGTCCTTCGTGTGCGGCATAATCAGTGCAAGTGGACAGAGCAACTACGCCTTCGGGTGTGCGTACCAAGACACCCTGGCCAGATCCAAAGCCTTGACAGGACGAAGAACTGTCTCTATTGACCTTGGCATTGTGGAAGGCGTCGGCTACACGGCCAAGCATTAGGGGGTGGGCGCTTTTATGCGCTCCCTTGGCCTGCAACCTATTCCTTAAAACTATCTCCTTGCCATGCTATAATACTACTGTGATCCCACACGCCAAACATGCAATCCAACAAGGGCACAGGTAGTCACGGGGGTCATGAGCCAGGAAGAGTTACAGCGCAACGGGCTTGTGCGCACCCGATTCTACTCTCGATCCTTGTGGAACCACCTGCAGCGCCGGACGATTGAGAAAACAACTGTCACTCACCGCAGTGCGGTTTCTATGCCGGCGCGAGCGGTAACTGGCTCCTCGAAGCACCTCGTCAAGGACGTTCAATCTTCAGAGGGGCGCACTCCATTGTCCGTTAGTCGGGCGATCTGCGAACGACTGTCCGAAGTCCTTGCGATTAGGACCGAGGATATCGATCCTTCCAAGCCAGCACACGTGTACGGAGTAGACTCGTTAGTCGCGATGGAGATGCGGGTTTGGTTCAAGGAGGCGTTGCAAATGGACGTAGCGGTGTTTGAAATCATGAGTAACCGGCCGATTGAGGTTTTGGCTCGTGAGGTTGTCTTGATGCATGTTTGATTACTACAATAGTATTACACACATGATGACAGGATATTCCTAAGGGCTGGGTGTTCATATTCAGTTTCAGAGCGCCTGTTTTAGGGTCCTAGGGCGAAGGAATTGGAAATCTTTCAACCACTCGGCCTCCCTTCACTGGAGAAACCACTGCGTGCGTATTTGAACCTTGTTTGAACCGTTTGGGGGGTGAGCCAGGAGACATACATGTCTCTGTGTCAAAATATTGGGTAGGGCTTGTGGAAGTTTCCTAGGTTCTATTCGTCCATGGGAATTATCGGGCTGGTTCCGCCGGAGGCCATGCACTCTGATCAAACTTTTGTGCTGGCGGGCACTCCCATCTGCTTTAAGAAAATAGGAGGCCAATCAACTAATTGGGGAAGCCTACGCGCATGGGTTCATGTTTGCCAAAGGCTTGAGCTATGCTCCGTGGACGAAGGTAGTAATTTGCCGCTACTTATTCCAACCTTGCCTGAGGAAATAACCTCTGACCTTTAAGTGCTGGCGTTGATCCTGTGGCTAGTAGCGTTGCTAGCCGTGACAACCTGTTGATGAACGGCCTCTAATAATCACACTGGCCCATACAAGGTTGTTTCCCTGCTTAACCAAGGTCTTATGACTAGCCGAGATAGCCTCTGTACCTACTAAGAATACAAGAAATGGTTAGTTGGAGATTTTAATTGTTGATACCATAGTTGGCAAACTTATTGCTAACATCGTTGACAATATTGTCGACAAGTCTGGTAAAAGAAAAGGAAATACAACGCAGGATTGTTCAGTGGCACCCATCTTCCACACAAGCATGTAGAAAGTGAAAATGGCCCTTGTAAAGAAACCAAACCACTGATAAGAACGCGAGCAGTACAAAGGAAAGATGTGGGATCTTGGGAACAGAAAGAAACCACTATGACACCAGAAGCTTGTCGATAGGCCAACAAGGACCTACTGGCAGACCGGGTCGAAAGTGCGAACATGGAAAATGAGGTTGAGAGATATGGCTTGGTCCAACGGCACACCACCAAACCACCGAGACAAGACTTGTCGAACAAGGATCGATTAGCAGGCGTGGTCGAACTCAACCCAGACGGTCCACTTGTCGTCATGCTCAAGGTGGCCGCCAGCCCATGTCTTCTTCTCCTTCGAGTACTTGGGGCAGTCGCGAGCAATCACAGCAGCGCCTTCACGGATGTTGCGGATTCCCATGTAACGTTCGCGCTCACCCTATAGACGAATTGTGTTAAAAATAGAGAAATGAATTGAAAGAGGTGAGCTGGGTATGTGCTTACCTCGTTGCACCACCAGAAAGCACCACCGTTGTTGCAGTAAAGGCGGGTGCAGCGGTTGGCGGGGAGAACTGCGGAGCCAGGATGGTCCATAGTAAGCTTGCCATGCTCATCGAAGCCGCGGTTGGAGTGCTCGGCGGTGCCGATCCAGTGCATGCCGTCCGAGATGGCGGACCACGGAGCTGCGTTGTCTTCAGTGGCGCAGGTCAGCTTATCCTAGGAGGGATATGTCAGTTGAGGCACAACACTCAATGTGAAATTGTTGAGGGAGCTTACAGCGGAGACCATTGCAAAGAAGGCCACCAGGACGGTAGGGATCTGAATACGCATCTTGGCGGTTGATGATGAAGATAGCGACGTTGATGGATGGATGAGGTTTTAGAGACTGATGAAGAGATTTTGACTTGAGTTGAGAGCTGTAGCTGTCTTGCGAGAGTTAGAGGTTGTTGGTGATGAGAGGATGCATCGTTTCTTCGGCGGGAAAGATGGGGCTTTTTATGCAAAGTTGCTGAAGACCGGGAGTCCTGCCTGAACTCTCCTCACCTTCACCATTTTGTGACAAATGGGAGTGGAAGCCATGGATTCACAGCCTGCGAAGTTGGGGAGGGGGTGGCCTGGAGTGAAGTGAATGGAGCTCGAGGTCTCCTGGACTCATCCCAAGTGTGACCATGAGCCAATGCCGGTCACGCAAGTGATGCTGTTTGTCGGCGCGGACATCGACAGGTGCATGTGCCTTACCACAGCTATCCTGTCTGTTCCTGTTCTCCGCATGTTGGGGCTGGTTGTAGGATCTTTGCTTGACACATGGAGGTTGTTTTTGACCGCACAGGTCTGCAGTCAGGCTCTGCTCAAGAGGCATTCTGGGCTTTGCGTTGTTTCTCATGCCGTGTCCCAGCACCTCAGAGCTGCTCGCGCGTTTCGGTCCGACTACAGGTGTCTTTTGCGTGGCTTCCTCAAGTTTGTGATCAACGTTCCTGTACCTCTCGCCTATACCGGTCATCCTGAAGTGGTCGGGAAGCCAGAGATATGCGGTTTCCGGCCCCGTGGGAATGGCGTTCTCTCATGTGCCTAATCCCTCCGAGAGGTAACGGTATCCCGGAGTTCTTTGCGCCATACTGCCTTGCCTTTTGGTGGAGAAGCGGAGCGAGCGCGTGTTTCTCTGCAGGACGACCGGCCTTCCTGGTAGACCTTGACCATGGCTACTTTCAATAACGACTTGCTGTGGCCAGGTTCGGCTGCCTCGGCCTAGTTATCCTTCGCTGCCTGCTGCTCCAGTCGACGTATCATGGCCCAGATCTCCATCTCGTACCAGGTTCCGCGCTACCTTACTTCGTCACCGCGGCAGTGATGATTGGTGTCGAAACCTGGGGATAGACTTACCACTGTCTTTCTGCCTTCAATCCCTATCGTCCGCTCCTCTTGCCCCGATCAAGCGTCCCATTTACTTGCGCGCATCGCTATCTGGATTTCGTCTTTCCACCGCGCCTAAATTGAAAGAGTTCTAGTACGGTAGTGTTTGTGCCAGCCCTCTATTACCTCTGCTATCCTATTCTTTTCATTTTTACCTCTCCGGCTTGCTTAGATATCTATGGATGTACACTGGATGCTGCTTGCGACGGAATTGTACTCGCTTAGGGCTTCGTCAAGAAGGCAGATGACCACCGCGTGCGAAACCCTACCTTTTAGTGACGAAGGTTAAACAGAATCTGTGATTGTTAACCTGATCGTGTCCGGTATGTGGATGTGGCATCTTCTTTCATACTTTATGAGACCCAGACTACTGCCGGTTGTTAACAGACAGAGGTTCTGCAGCAGACCTATTCTTTTCATAGCTCCGCCTTCCTCTCTATAGCGGAGACCACTCATTCTTCAAAGTTCAGGAACAGTAAGTAAGAAGCAGGGCGAACGAACAGGGGCTGGAACTGTCTCTAGCCTGCAACTAACGCCTGCGGTAAATTGAACAGGATACTCCTGGAGCATGCTCAATCTATACAGTGTCGCATCTTGACAAGATGTGGAGTCTTCGGTTTGATAGAAAGTGGCTTAGAATCCACCTTGTACTATGCAGTGACGTCTAATTCCGAGTCTGCGCACACCAACTGCACCTTATTCCGAGGGGACCGAGGAACTCGAGGCTTGTTGGATCTACAGAGCCATTCTAGAAGCACGGCCTCTGCTTACCGTGTGAGGAGTGGGAACCATCCGACGTCAGCTGTTTAGACCGTTCAAGAATAATGAGAGCTCGAGTCGACTATATAGGGAGGGTCGGCCTCTCATCACTGCCGTTCCCCTTGTACTCGGGCAGAGCATCGAACAACAACCCACCTCAGTATGCGGGCAGTCATTCTCTGGACTTGTGGGCTTGCATATGCGGCTCTTGCTGCAGGAGCTACGACCAGTACACCAGGGAATTGCACTGCCAACAAACGCAAGGCTTGGTAAAGCTCCGCTGGCCGGTGAATCAGTCGAAGTGCTAACACTGATTCAGGCACAAGATGAGCGACGCAGAGAAAACCGCGTTTATCGATGCCGAGCTCTGCCTGATGGATTCGCCTCCCAAGATGGGACTCGAGGGGCCAAACAGCCGCTGGGACGAGCTGGTTTATGCCCACCTGGTGCAGTCCAACTTCATTCACTCTGTGGTATGTAGCCCTGTCTGGGTACTTTAGCATGGGGGATTGAGTATGCACTGACTGACGTGAAGGGAGCCTTTCTCCCATGGCATCGTTACTTTGTGCACGCTCACGAGTACATCCTGCAGACCGAATGCAACTACACTGGTGGTCATCCGTATGTCATGACGATCTTGTTCTGGCAGGGACTAATCGGAACGGTATTAGGTACTGGCACGAGTCGCTCGACGTTGGGGCACTGAATGAATCATCGGTCTTTGACCCTGCCACTGGCTTTGGTGGGGAGGGAGGCCATTGTGTCGACGATGGGCCGTTCCAGCACCTTGTCCTGCACCTCAACCAGACCAGCCTCCATGACAACGCCTGCCTGCACCGTTCGTTTGTGCCGGAAACCTTTGCGCTCGCAAAGCAAGAGAACGTCGACGCATGTATGGCCGCAGCAACGTACGAGGAAGCCTGGAACTGCCTCATCGAGAATCCTCATGTCGCGGGCCATCTCGGCGTCGGAGGCACCGTTAGTTGTCTCTCCTGATCTGGCGGTATGTTTTGGATTAACATCTGTATTAGATTGCCGACATTGTCGCGAGCCCTGGCGGTAAGTATCCGTTCAAGACAATGGGATCAGTGCTGACAAGAAGCAGACCCGCTGTTCTACCTACATCACGCCAATCTCGACCGACTCTGGTGGGAATGGCAGGCAGCCAACCTCACTTCGCGTCTGTACCAGATCAGCGGCACCAATGTCCCACCCCAGTCGTATCTTGACGAGGAGAACTTTGAATATCCCTCCGCCGCTCTGCGGGACTACGACGGCGACCCTGGCAATGTGACAACGCTGAACCATACCCTGTGGATGGTCGGTCTAGTCCCAAACGCGACTGTTGGCGATGTCATGGATCTGCATGGTAGGGTTAATTGTGCTGAGTACGTTTATTGAGGTGTTGGGATAGCGACTGCGGAGGTGTTGGGATAGCGACTGCGGAGGTGTCACCTGCATTTGAGCCCTAAGTAGGCTACGATTCATGTATAGTTATATGGACAAGCCACTAGAATTGACGATGCATCATAAGATCGGTGGACCATAGTATCGCGGTTCTATCGGATATACAACCGCTTGTGATTCTTGGCTGACGCATGCGGAGGTACGCTGCCATCGCCATAGGCCATCTGCCCTGCGCATACCCACCAGGGTACCTCTTAGGGACCTTGAAGTACCTCGCCGAATACGTCATTTCCCCTTGACGGTCATCAACGCCTCGGGGTTACTGCATCGGAAACCGTTCGCCAACTCCTATCGCCGCTAGCTGTCTCTCACGTTGACAGGATATAATACACAAGGTACTGCCCACCCACATTATCATTTACAAACATCTCTCTTACAATGGAGTCCCAACAGAATGCCCGTCTCAGTGGCAAGGTGGCTATTGTAACCGGGGGCTCTCGCGGCATCGGGGCCGGTTTGGTCCTGGAGCTCGCTCGGCATGGCGCAAAGGTACTCCATCATTTGACGCTTAAAACAAACAGAGGTCGCTGATATGTCCAAGGTCGCAATCACCTACACTTCCTCTAGCAGTGAACCGGGTTTGAAGGAGTTGATAGACCGTATCGGGGCGCTTGGGAATGATTCAGCTGCGATCGCCATCAAGGCCGACCTCCGAGACCCTGCTTCGCCCGGTTACATTGTGGCTGAAACTATCTGCAACTTTGGTGACAAAATTGACATCCTGGTGAACAATGCCGGCAAGGAGCTTGTCAAGCGCATCGAGGAAGTCACGGTGGCTGATTTCAGTTCCATTTACGACCTCAACGTCCGCGCCCCCATGCTCACGCTCCAGGCCGTCCTTCCCCATCTGCGTGCTCCGGGACGGATCATCAACATTGGCTCCGTTGGAGCACGGCACGGCTTCAAAGAGCTTTCAATATATTGCTCATCGAAAGCTGCTTTGGAAGGCCTGACTCGATGCTGGGCTGCTGAGTTGGGCAGCTCTGGGCATACTGTGAACACGGTGAATCCTGGCCCTGTCCGGACGGAGCTTTTCGATAATATTCCAAAGGAGATTGTCGAGAAACAAATGGCTGATACTCCGATCGAGAACCGAGTTGCGACCGTGGAGGATATCGCCTTGGTGGTGTTGTGGCTTGCAAGTGAAGAGAGCCGGTGGATTACCGGGCAGACGATATCTGCAAGTGGTGGATGGGCCATGTATTAGAAATTCTCACCATGAGTGAATAAGACTTCGTTCGAGCTGCAGTGATTCTGATGACTTGGACCGTTTCAGGTGTAGGAGCGTTCCGTGCTTCTGCAGACAGCACGCGTGCTATAATGGGGCGTGGAACTTTGAGCTGATACAATATAAAGGAGTATTGAAATCTTGGAAGCGTGGTCACCCGGACATTGATCTTCATCGCAGCAGATGCGCTGGATGTCTACATTTCGTTCAGGAAACTACTTAGCCACTGCTGTTATGGCGCAACGGAACAAGTTTTACAGCGCATGGACGACTGCAACCCAGTGACAACCGAGTAAAATGGGTTTGTGTATAGTATACTATGTTGAGAGTATGCTATCCCTTCTTGCCAGAAACTAGAGCTCCACAACCAACTTGGTTCCACTGACTCCAGCCTTGCACTTCCTCAAGCCCTCATTGATCGCCTCCAGACCCTTGCCCACAACAGTCGGGGGAGGCAGACACTGGATCCTGCCACTCTCCAGAGCAGGGGTGACGAAGTCGTTCCAGATGGGAGTCGCAATGTCATTGACCGCAAAGAGCAAGCCGACCCTGACATGGGAAGGAACTCCCTCGGGAGGCGGGTGGACAACAACGATGGCGCCTCGGCCGAGTTTCTGGAGAATGGCTGCATCGTTGCCATAGGTTTCCGGGGTTGAGATGGCATCAAAGATTCCCATGAACTCGTTTCCGGACGCCTCGACAGCAGCAACGACCTTGTCGATAACGGCAGGATCCTTGCGGTCAATGACTTGGGTGGCGCCGCAGCGCTTGCTCAGGTCGAAGTTGTGGGCTCCAGAGACGGCAATGACATTGAGACCGATGGCGGTTGCAATCTGAGTGGTCATGGAGCCGACGGATGAGGAACCACCGTAGACGACAAGGGTCTTGCCCAAAGGCTCGGACTTGTCGAGGGATGGATAGGGGAGTCCAGGAGCGGGAGTCGAGATCCCAGGCATGGCCTCTCTGGGTTCCTTCACGCAGAGCGCACAGACTGCAGCCTCCAAAGCGACGGGCACGACCACCCCGTCGGTGAAGGAGATGGAATCAGGCAGGATGGCGGCTTTGTCGGCTGGGACGACGGTGTAAAGGGCATAGGCCCCGTCCTGGGGGCGGCCGGTGACCAGGTTGATGGCGTGGCTGGGGAGTTAGCATGGAGTACCCTCAGAACATAATTCATCATACCCGATCACTCGGTCGCCCTTCTTGAAGCGCTGGACATCCGGCCCAGTCTCATGTACGGTCCCAGCAACGTCGCAGCCGAGGACGGTAGGCCACTGCTTGACAAAGGCCCCGGTGTCCTGCATGTGGGTGTCGAGCGGGTTGATGGCAACGGCGGCATTCTTGACGACAATCTCGCCAGGGCCAGCAGTGGGAATGGGGGCATCGCCGACTTCGAGGTCGGTTCCGGCCTTGTTCAGCCAGGCAGCTTGGTTGGCCATGTTGATCGAGGGTTATACAGGGGGTTAGGGCTGGGCGGGATATATATTGGACAGAGGGAACAATGAAGAGCAAAGGAACACAACAATGGCTGGTGGTGCTGATTATATACCCAGTACTCAAGGTCACTTAGCGATACTCTTAGGTCATTGCCCATGGTGGCATACTGACACTGTCTCGTGTATACTCTGGTATACTCTGTGCTCGGCGACAGCAGACTCCGGGGTTCCTCTGAGTCAGCGGGCTGACGGCTTGGCACGGCACTCGGAATCTGCTTCCTCTTCCTCTTTCATCTTCCATCAACACTTCAACCATGACTCTACACGATGCCTGTCCGCTTCGGCCCCAACCAGTTCCTCGAGTACGACGACCGCTACGGGGTGCTGCTGTGCCACGAGTGCCAGTACGCCATCCAGAAGAGCGCCCTGCAGAGCCACCTGCTCCGGCACAAGATCTACCGCGCCGATCGACAGCAACTGCTGGACGTGATTGCGGGCCTGCACCTCCTCGAGCCCGATCACGTGCCCCTGCCTCCCCCGGAGTCGCCCCCCATCAAGGGCCTCCCCGTCATCGCTGGCTATCGATGTACGGCTCCGGACTGTGCCAATCTCTGTGCCAGTCTCAAGCGCATGAAGGGCCATTGGAGGGAAAGCCATGGTCTTGCTGATGCTTCCCTTACGCGCCCGGTGAAGCTGCAGACTTTCTTCCGCGGGACCAAGATTCGCTACTTTGAGGTTACGCCTACAGCAGACGATGCTGACGAAAGACGAGATGAAGAGGTTGACGACGAGGAGATGCACGACCAGGAGGAGGGGCAAGAGCTGACGCTGTCGATTGCAACTCATATTCCCACCCCGACTGTGAACCTCGAGACGCTGTCCTACTTCCACCACTTCACATCGACCACGAGTCTTACTCTGCCCAGTCCGCAAAGCCCATTGTCATCAGCCCAATTCTGGCAGACTCATGTCGTGCCTCAAGCGCTGCGTCTGGAATGGCTGATGTGTGGTCTGCTGGCGCTCGCCGCCTGCCACTTGGTCGCATTCACGGACAATAAAGCAGTCGAACAGCAGCACCGGACACGGGCGGCCGAGTTCTCATCCCGATTCCGCACTGGCTGGGGAGAGTCGGTTGCGATCGCTACTGAAGAAGTGAGAGAGGCAGCGATGCAGATTGCATGTTTGCTACGTTGTGCACACTGGGCGTTGGCCGAATCAGCCTCCGACCAGCGCATTATGCCCGAGCCAGGCGTGCCAGAGCAACTGCAGGATATCGTCACCACCATCCAGAGCTCCCTGCCTCCCGCCGCACCGCCTGAACCTGAGACGCCCGTGCAGGCGCTGCGAATGCTCTCATGGAGCTCCCCTGCGCCCGGGAGCAAAATCCCCACAGAGATCTGGAACCGCATTCTCGGTCTCCCGCCTTACATGGCCGACACCTTCCGGAATCACAATGCGCCGGACGTGTTTGCCCTGTCATCGGCGGGTGCGGCCTTGGTGGAATGCAGCGATACGAGCTTTGCGACCGACGAGGTTGGGTCGGCGTGGTGGGGGATGGCGAGCTGGCTGAACCGAGTGCCGCTGCACTTTCGGGACTTGGTGGCGCGCCATGATCCAGCGGCCCTGGTCCTGGTCGCTCATTGGGCAGCGCTTCTGGTCAATCGAGCCGAGCGCTGCGGATGCTGGTTCGTCAGGGGGTTGAGCATGACGATCCTGCTGCGGATTGCCGAGCGACTGCCCGAGAACGATGACGGAGCGGTGCAGCGACTCATTGCGTTTACGATTGCAGCGTAGACTAGCCGGTGCATAGAGGAACTGCATGCTCATCCAGGCCGACGTTTACCATTGCAGCGCAGACTGGGTGGCAGGGACTGCATGTGTAGGCCGATGTGAGACGGAGCCCAGAATGCCGAGCGCCGACCTCCTCGCAAGATCCTGGCCATCACGAAGACAAAGACTCGTATTCTCCAATCCCGCGCTCTATTAATACATTATACATGCAATGTACCAGCTGATACTCCGGTCCCAACCTGTACTACACAAACATGCATCCCCCTCACCGTGGAGGCTCCCCATTCGCCACAGCTCCCGCAGATCACTCATAGATATAGCAGTACCTGTACTTGGTTGGACTCATCGCCTCTACGATCGGAATGTCCGGACTAAAGTCGAATCGCATCGGATCCGCCAATGTCGCGTTGCGGCTCGGTGGGACTGCAGTGATCGTATCGGTCAGCTTACTCCTTGGCAAGGCCAGGATCAAAGACAAAGCGGGGTGGGCTTACAGTTCAGCAAGGTCAGCGTGCCGTCGAGCGCGTACTCTCGCTCGCTGAAGTTGAGAGCCTGCCAAATGCTCCAGATGCGGTCGACCTGTGCGTGGTGGAACCAGAACAGCGGATCGCCCGGCGAGGTGAAGAGGTCGTTGTCGATGCCCGAGATGAACGTGTGGCCGGCTGCATGGGGGCCTGCAAAGAAGACGCTCTGGAAGGTGCGGATGTCGGTCAGATTGACCAGCATGAACTGGACGACGTCCCAGTTGGCCGCCATCTGCAGGAGGGTGTTGTTGAAGTCGCGGATGATTGGACGCGGGTTGTACCCCAGTCCGTCTGGCCGCGGGTTTGGAGGCACGTACTCGCCGTTGTCGTACGTGTACAGCACCGGCCCAAGGTGCTGCTCCCAGTTGACGATCGGCCCATCGTAGATGTGGCCGCCGCCGGTCCCCGGAGGAGTGTAGACGCCGATGGGCGGCGCATCGGGCGGCAGAGGCCACTGTTGGATCGTGCCATTGCGATTGGGGATGTACTCGCCGTTGCCGGAGAGCGAGGTCATGGAGCCATCGTACAGAGGATTGGCGGTGGTGGGCAGGGTGGCCCAGTGCGACCACTCCCAGTACGGCTGGTAGCCCTTGTAGCCGCACTCGTCGCGCATTGCCTTCTCATACAGCCAGAGGAAATGGCGGTGCCAGGCGAAGAAGTTGGCGGTGCCGTGGATGATTGGGGTGTTGAGGATGTGGGTGGCCTGGAAGTCGTCGAACCGCGATCGGGCCCCAGGGACCAGCGCAGGGTCGAAGATGGAGGGTCGCTTGGCCATACACTTCAGCGCGTCGATGTAGTCCCGCCTCTCCCTCTTGCTGAGATTGCTCCTGTCCTTGTCAGCCAATGGCCCGCGCAATCCGGAGTCTGACGTACCATTCTTTGCGCACGGCAAGATTGTCGCGGGAGCAAGCGCCGTGGCGAGGGAGTCCCTGCCGGGTGTTCGATTGGTAGTCGTTGACCAGCCTTCGCATTAGCCTCGGGCTGGTATAGCCGTGGGCAAGGGTCACAAAGAGGGCGAGAATGGCCCAGACAAGAGGCCTCGAGGGGAGCATGGTGATGACGACGACGGTGGATGATGAAGCTCCAGCCTCGACGACAGCCTGATATATAAACCCCCTCGCCTCCAGACGCCCAACTTGCTCGTAGTGCGATCTCTCACGCAAGGACAAAGAAGCGGGCGCAAGGTGTCTCACACCTCGTGTCGCTCCTGCTAGATCGGTTCCTGGCCCTGCATCCACTCGCCTCGCTCTCGATACGATACCCGGGTCTGGCCTCTACGGAGTATTCCTGGCGACTCACGTCAGCACCGCGTGGACTGATCAGCTGGGTTGAGTATATATAGGCAGCAGAGCTCGGACTGTTGGCCCGTCTCAACGAGAACCGCAAAGGAATGCGAGGATAAGCAACCATGACTCCGCCTCTGCTCGCACTCGAGGAGCACTACTACTCGCGCGCCATCTTCGATGCGATTGGCGAGCCCTTCCAGCGCACGCTGCAGGGCGTGCCTGGACTGGCCGACCAGCTGCGTGGCTTGGATGTCGGGCGACTCGAAGCGATGAGCCGCGGCAACATCGCGCTGCAAGTCGTGTCACACGCGTTTACACCGGGTACGAGATCCCAACGAGCCCAAAATAGAGTTCGTATCGGCATGCTGACCACGTCCACCGACAGGCGGTCCCAGCGTCGATGCCTGTCGTGCAGGCAATGACGAGCTGGCGGCAGACATTGCCCGGATCAGCGACCCCCAGCGCTTTGCGGCTTTTGCGGTTCTGCCTGTCGCGGACGCTGCAGCCTCGGCGTCCGAGTTGGACAGGGCCGTGTCGCAGCTGGGCTTCGTGGGAGCCCTCATCGATAACCATGCAGACGGCAAGCACTACGACGGGCCGGAATACGACGTGCTCTGGGCCAAGGCCTGCGACCTCGATGTGCCCATCTACTTGCACCCGACGTGGCCCTCGGCAGACATGACTGGGCATTACATGGGGTCCTACCCGGTCCCCGTGGGCATGAGCCTCGGAGGCCCCGGTTGGGGCTGGCATCCCGACGTCGGTCTGCACGTCCTCAAGCTGTTCGCAGCCGGGGTTTTCGATCGCTTCCCGCAGCTCAAGATCATCATTGGCCACATGGGCGAGATGCTGCCGTTCATGCTGGAGCGGGCCAGCGACATGAGCACGCGCTGGGCGGGCTGGGGTGTGAAGGACCGGTCCCTCAGGCAGGTCTGGGACGAGAACATCTGGATCACCACCTCTGGGTCTTGGAGTCTGGCACCGATGAAGTGCATCCTGCACAACACCAAGGTCGACCGAATCATGTACAGCGTGGACTATCCGTTTGAGTCGAACGAGCGTGGGCTGGAGTGGTTCAAGGAGCTGGAGGCCAGCGGGTTGCTGACCGAGGAGCAGCTGGAGATGGTGGCCCATCGTAACGCCGAGAAGCTGTTGAAGGTGCAGGTCAGGGCCGATTAGCCTCAGCCACAGAGATTACGGTAGTACAGCGGAAGATTGTGTTTAGTCTGAAGGATTCTTGCGAAATCGGAGATATTGTGTGCGACCGTATCTTGACTCCTTGACTCAAACATTCTCCGAGTACGAACGCCTCAGATCTCGGATTATAACCTTAACGTAAAACCAGGCCTATCATCCCCATCCAAGCAGCTAAGCCTCGTATCCAGCAGCCTCGTATCCAGCACCCTCCAGGAACGCAGCATTCCCCTCCAGCACCCGGCGAACACTCTCCTGGTCGTCCTCATGCGGCAAATCCACGCGAGGCTTCAGGCCCCGGTTGAGCATCACGAACGCCATGTGGCGGTAGGGTCGCGGATACGCACGAACCTCGTCCGGCATGGCCAGCGGCGCTGCAGCATCAGCTCCAGGGAAGCAGCAAACCAGCCGGTCGCGCACGTAGATAGCTTCGAGGCGCACGATTCGCCATGCGCCCGTGTCAGACAGCTTCTGCAGCCGAGACACAAGCCGCATATACGAGGCCAGCTCGTAGTCGACGCCGGCCAATGTGATGCCGCTGGTGATGGTGCAGAAGGCCTCGCTCGTGGCGCGGGGGCCACGGATTCGAATGTCGACGGGGTCGAAGGCTGAGTGCACCACGTTGACGCGCCCGGGGTGCACCTGCGCCGACCGTTGCAGGAAGGCGTCGATGTCGCCTTGGAACCTGTTTGTGTCAGCTTGCAGGCGGTGGTCTAGCTCACTGCCCATACCAGGAAACGTCGATGAAGGTCTGCTGGGGGTCCGGGTGGTAGGCGTCGCGGCACAGCGTCCACTGGGCTGTATCGCGGTGGTAGCGCTCTCGCTTGAGCAGATGAGTGATCTCGGAAGCGTCGGATGCCATGGCCATGGCCAAGGATTCAGAGACAAGGAGGTTGTTAATGGACAGGATAAGGTTGGGAGAGGTTCGTGGAGGGCGATGGAGGGCTTATCGACTCCAATGACTGCTCTTATTGAGTCCGACCAGGATCAGGGGACAAAGCACGGAGTACAATCGCACAGGCCAGAGTATCAGGATGCCGAGAGTGATGAGTGATACCGTGAACCCCGAGTATGCGCTGCAGCAGGGCGTCGATCGCTGTAGGGCTGATGATTCGCCCGAGAGCAAATCCCACGCGGTCATTTGCAGGGCATTCTTCAGCTTTTCGTCAGCGATAAGCTTACTTTAGCGTCCGTTAGGCCTATTAGCGTCGCTGCTATTGCTATAGGGCAGGCTGTCGGCTATCCACCAGCTTCCCAGGCGGCTCCTTCGCATGCTCCAACTCCAGGCGTCCTGGGGACCGGAGTCAGTCCAGCCTCGAGTCCTCGACCTCGACGCTCTGAAACACGCAAGCGACGTACTCTGCTCTCGGAAACCCCGGTTACCACAAGAATAGCATCACGATGAGGCCGGTGGTGGCGTTGACTGGCTGCTCGAACCGTCGGCTGAAGACAAGCTGAAGTGGCTGCCAGCCTGCCCTGATCGAGGAGGCCTGAATCTACACGGGGAGGAGGGTATATAACACGGCACGACACCGGCGTCGAGTATGGAATCCGCTCGAGAATACCTGAGAATAGACAGCAGCGCTTATAGACTTGCATCATATAGACTTTCCTTCCTTCTTCCACTGCCAATCATGCCTTCCAAGCACGTCCTCCTCTTCGCCCACGACCGGGTCCCCTTTGCCGCCGTGCACGACCTCAACGTGCGCTCCAAGTTACGCCGCAGACTCCAGACCTTCCTGGCTGCTGCGTCCACCGTTGTACAGCGTCAGGCATCTGCCCTGGACGGGCTCGAGCGGGCCAACATTGGCTCGTTCGAGGACCTCGTGGAACTCGCGGAGACCCAGGGCGCCCAGGCTCGTGGTAGCATTGCTGCTGACTTGGTGCTCTTGACGACTGTCCAGATCGGCCAGCTACTTGTGTACGTGGTTGACCTTGTATGCTAATGTGACTTAGACTGACACCAACCCAGCCTCGCCGAAGACCAACCCTCGCTCCTCTCCGAAGATGGCGCAGTCCCAATGGCCTTTGGGACCGGCCTGCTGGCCGCCGGTGTTGCTGCTGCCGCTACGACTGCCGACGAGATCATCACACTGGGTCTGGAAGCAGTGGCTGTCGCCTTCCGCCTCGGCCTGGTGCTCCAGCGGAGGGCAAGGGATATCGAGGATTCCCAAGGGGCATGGGCACGAGTCGTCTCTGGAACAGCCGACCTGGAGCAAGGCCTCGAGAGCTTCAATGCCTCACTCCGCCCGATGAACCGGGTGTACATTGGCCAGGTTCTGTCGGACAGGATCGTCGTCTTCGGCCCTCCATCGACCCTCGATGCCTTTGCAAAGACGACCGCGACCGTCACGCCCCCTGCCACCACATTCACCCAAGCACCACTCCACGGAGCTCACCTGCCTTCGATCAATGCCAGCGAAGTTGTTGGGTCGGCCCCAGCGCAGGTGGCGGAGGTCTGGAAGCTCGCAGTCGACCAGATCGCTCACAAGCCCATCAACGTGGAGGAGATCGCCGCAGCACTCGTCACTGACCTCCAAAAGACGAACTCAACGGACGTCACTCTCACCTCGTTCGGCGAGTCGTCTGAGGCATCCGGCATCGCAGCCCTTCTCGAGGAGAACGGCGTGGCTGTCGAGGTCAGCCAACTCGGAGCCACCCCCAAGCCCTACGGCGACGACGTCAACAACATCCCTGCAGACGCGATTGCAGTTGTTGGCATGTCTGGACGATTCCCCGACAGCGACACCCTCGACGAGTTCTGGCGCCTGCTGGAGACGGCGACCACGACGCACCAGGTCATCCCCCAGAGCCGCTTCACCGTCGACGACTTCTACGATCCCACGCGCGAGAAGCACAACGCCCTGCTGGCACGCTTTGGCTGCTTCCTCAAGAACCCCGGCGACTTCGACCACCGGCTGTTCAACATCTCGCCCCGTGAAGCCATGCAGATGGACCCCGTCCAGCGCATGCTGCTGATGACCACCTACGAAGCCCTGGAGATGGCCGGCTATTCGCCTCCGACCCCCTCTGCTCCCGGTGACAGCGAGCAGGCCCCGCCTCGCATTGCGACCTACTTCGGCCAGACAATCGACGACTGGAAGAGCATCAACGACCAGCAGGGCATCGACACCCACTACCTGCCTGGGGTCAACCGTGGCTTTGCGCCCGGTCGGCTGTCGCACTTCTTCCAGTGGGCCGGTGGCTTCTACAGCATCGACACCGGCTGCTCGTCCAGTGCCACTGCTCTCTGCCTCGCTCGCGATGCCCTGACTGCCGGCAAGTACGATGCCGCCGTGGTCGGTGGTGGTACGCTGCTGACTGCGCCGGAATGGTTCGCTGGTCTCAGCCAGGGAGGGTTCCTTTCGCCGACTGGCGCCTGCAAGACATACTCCGACCAGGCCGATGGATACTGCCGGGGCGAGGGTGTTGGTGTTGTCATCCTGAAGCGTCTCGCTGACGCCGTCCGGTCCAAGGACAATGTCATTGCGGTCATCGCCGGTGCGTCTCGCAACTGCAACGCCGGCGCTGGCTCGATCACATACCCTGGAGAGAAGGCCCAGGGGGCCCTCTACCGCCGAGTGATGCGCCAGGCTGCGGTCCTTCCTGGCCAGGTCGATGTCGTCGAGATGCATGGCACTGGCACCCAGGCTGGTGATCGTGTGGAAACCACCGCCGTCCAGAGCGTCTTTGCTCCCACGAATGCTCCTCAGCGCGAGAAGCCCTTGATTGTTGGCGCGCTGAAGGCGAACATCGGACACTCTGAAGCTGCTGCCGGCATCATCTCGGTGATGAAGGCGATCCTCATCCTGCAGCACAGCAAGATCCCCACGCAGCCGAACCAGCACATGAAGCTCAACCCTTACCTAGAGCCCTTGATTGGCAAGCAGATCCAGCTGGCCAACGGTCAATCCTGGACTCGCAACGGCAGTGAGCCCCGGTACATCTTCGTCAACAACTTCGATGCTGCGGGCGGCAATGTCAGCATGCTCCTGCAGGACCCCCCTGCCTTTGCTGTGCCATCTCCGGTCTCCCAGTCCGACGCACGCACTCACCATGTCGTCGTCACGTCTGGCCGCACTGCCACAGCCCATGAGGCCAACCGGAAGCGTCTCCGTGCGTATCTGACCGCGCATCCCGACACCAACCTGGCGGATCTTGCTTACACGACCACGGCTCGACGCATTCACAACGTCTCCCGGGACGCGTATGCCGTGTCCTCGACTGCTGATCTTCTGCGCCAGCTCGAGAAGCCGCTGAACGACAAGATTGACTCGGCCGCTCCATCAGCAGTCGTCTTTGCGTTCACCGGACAGGGCGCGCAGAGCCTGGGCATGGGGGGTGCTCTCTACAACACGTCCCCGACCTTCCGCCGCCAGCTGGACTCGCTGCAGGAGATCTGCGACGCACAGGGGCTGCCCACCAAGTTCATCAACGCCATCCGCGGCGGCTCAGACGGAGCCAGCGTCACGGAAGTGGACATGCAGGTGGCCACCGTTGCCCTTGAGATCGCCCTCGCCCGGTACTGGCAAGCCCTGGGAGTGCGACCGACCGTCCTCATCGGACACAGTCTGGGCGAATATGCCGCGCTCTGCGTCGCCGGTGTTCTCTCCACCAGCGATGCTCTCGCCCTGGCATTCCGCCGTGCGACTCTCATCTTCAGCCGCTGCCCGCCGTCCGAGGCCGGCATGCTGGCCGTTGGCCTGCCCATGCGCACCGTGCAGTACCGGATCCGCGACTCTGCGGCCACGGCTGGATGCGAGGTCTGCTGCGTCAATGGGCCTTCCAGCACTGTCGTCGGCGGACCGGTGGCTGCCATCGAGGCTCTCGATGAGTATCTGAAGTCGGACGGCAAGGTCTCGACGACTCGCCTGCGCGTGCAGCACGCCTTCCACACCCGCCAGATGGATGTCCTCCTCGACGAGCTCGAGTCCAGTGCCGCCCAGGTCCCCTTCCACGCCCCGACCCTGCCCGTTGCCAGCACCGTCCTCGGTCGCATTGTCAAGCCGGGAGAGGTGGGTGTGTTCGATGCCAACTACCTCCGCCGTCACACCCGCGAGCCGGTTGCCTTCCTCGATGCGGTCCGTGTCTGCGAAGCTGAAGGCCTCGTCGCCGACCGGTCCTTTGCCGTGGAGATTGGCCCACACCCGATCTGCATTGGGCTCATGGCTGCGTGCCTGCAGTCGACGAGCATCAATGCTTGGCCCAGTCTGCGCCGCGGTGGTGACGACTGGCAGTCCATCTCTGGGGCTGTGGCTGCTGCACACCGTGCTCAGCTGCCTGTTGCTTGGAGCGAGTTCCACAAGGACCACCTCGACTCTGTTCGCCTCCTCAGCGATCTGCCCACATATGCCTTTGACCTCAAGACCTTCTGGCACTCCTACAAGACTCCCACCGCGGCTGCTGCAGTCACTGCCGCTGCTCCGTCCCGGTCTTCTCGCTTGGCCTCCACCACTCTCCACTCCGTCGAGAAGCTGAACAAGGACGGTGACCTGCTCACCGGAACCTTCACCGTCCACCTGCCCGACCCCAAGCTGGCCAAGGCCATCGGGGGCCATGTCGTCGACGAGTCTGCCATCTGCCCAGCCAGCATCTTCATCGACATGGCGTACACGGCGGCCGCATATCTGGAGCAGGAGCATGGAAGTGCCGCCTCCCTGTCGACGTATGAGCTGACCAGCCTCGAGATGCACAGCCCCCTGGTGCTGCGCGAGGACATGGAGGTCCTGCCCGAGGTCTGGGTGGACGCTGCCCTCAACACCAAGACCAACACGGTCAGCGTGCAGTTCAAGGGCCGCAAGGGCACCACGCCTGTCGAGTATGGCTCGGCCATGATGCTCCTGGGCCAGAACGACGCGAGTGTCCGCCGGGATTGGTCTCGCATCCAGCCGCTGATCAATGCTCGCGTGCAGACTCTCAACACGTCCACTCGTCCTCGGGAGGTGCACGCCATGGACACCCTGCTCTTCTACAAGGTCTTCTCCGAGATCGTCGACTACGCCACCCCCTACCACGCTGTCCAGGAGGCGATGATCGCTGCCAACTTCCGCGATGCCTCCATCACCCTGCAGCTGCCTGCGACCGGCGACCTGGGCACCTTCATCAGCAGCCCCTTTGCCGTCGATGCCCTGGTCCATGTCGCGGGCTTCCTGCTCAACGCCGATGTCCGCCGCCCGAAGAACGAAGTCCACATTGCCAACCACATTGGATCGCTGCGCATCGTGGGCGACCTGTCGTCGCCTGGGCCGTACCACGCCTACGCCACGATCCGCGAGCAGGACCCCAAGTCCGGCGTCAGCTTCTGCGACGTGTACGCCACCGACGCCGAGGGCCAGCTGGTCGCGCTCTGCACCGACATCTGCTTCAAGAAGCTGGAGCGCGACTTCTTCGCTCTGCTGACCGGGGCCACTCGCGGTCGCTCGTCCAAGCCAGCGCCCACTGCGCCCGTCAAGGCCATGCCCAAGCGTGCCAGACAGCCTGCCCCGTCGCCGAGTCCCAGCAGCTCCTCTGGCTCCAACACGCCCATGTCCCGGTCCGCCACGCCCAGCAGTGTTTCTGACACGGTCGACCTCTGCACCGAGCTGCTCGAGGCCGTGGCCGAGCGGACTGGAGTCAGCGTGGCCGAGATGAAGGCAGCCCCTGGCACCACCTTCACCGACTTCGGCGTCGATTCCCAGATGGCCATCGCCATCCTCGCCACCTTCCAGCGCACCACCGCTGTCGAGCTCCCTGCTGCCTTCTTCTCCAACTTCCCCACCCCGGCGGATGTCGAGCTGGAGCTGGGCGATTCTCCCGCGGACTTTGAAGAGACCAAGCCCAGTCCTGTCTCGACCCCGGCTAAGGCTCCCACTCCAGTCCGCAAGCAGGGTCCGACTCCGAGCAACACCCTGCTGGCCTTGGTGTCCGACGCTCTAGGCCTCGAGGCCAGCGACCTGACACCCTCGACTACCTTTGAATCCGTGGGCATGGACTCGATGTTGAGCATCAAGATCACTGCTGCCTTCCAAGGTGAGACCGGCATCGAGCTCCCCGCGGCGTTCTTCACCCAGAACCCGACGGTGGGAGCGGCCGTGGAAGATCTGGATGGAGGCGAGGAGGAGAGTGCGCCTGTGACCACCGTCGCCGTCAGCGCCCCTGCAAAGGAGACGACGGCCGATTCAGCCCGCCAGCGCAAACTCGACAGCGCCGTCTCGCGTGCCGTCCTCATCCAAGGCAAGTCTCGATCCCAGGAGGCCCCCTTGTTCCTGACCACCGACGGCTCTGGCACCGTGGAGTCCTACATCCACCTCAAGGCCCTGCCCAAGGGTCGCCGCATCTACGCCCTCGAGTCTCCCTTCCTCGAGCAGCCAGAGCACTTCGACCTCTCGATCGAAGAGATGGCCACCATCTTCCTCCGCACAATCCGCCGCATCCAGCCTCAAGGCCCATACCTGATCGGCGGATGGTCCGCGGGCTCCATGTACGCCTACGAAGTCGCACACCGTCTGACCCGCGAAGGCGAAACCGTCGATGCCCTCATCATCCTCGACATGCGCGCCCCCTCGCTGATCCCCACATCCATCGTGACGACCGACTTCGTCAACAAACTCGGCACCTTCGAGGGCATCAACCGCGCCCGCGACCTCCCCGAGGACCTCTCCGTCAAGGAACGCGACCACCTCATGGCCACCTGCCGCGCCCTCTCCCGCTACGACGCCCCGGCCTTCCCCAAGGGCCGCGAGCCAAAGCAAGTCGCCGTGGTCTGGGCCCTTCTGGGCCTCGACAACAGACAAGATGCGCCCCCCGCATGCATGTGCCGACCGGGCGTTGAGCTCGGCAAGACACTGTACGAGATGAACCTGGACGAGTTCGAGCACTACTTCAACTCGTGGTTCTACGGGCGGCGCGAGACATTCGGGATGAACGGGTGGGAGGATTTCGTGGGCGAGCATATCGCGGTGCACACGGTGAATGGAGGTACGTTGCTCATCCTCCTCTTCTCTATATTACATACTAATTCGTCCAGACCACTTCTCCATGATGTGTCCGCCGTTTGCCAGCGAGGTGGGGGATATTGTTGTCGATACTGTCACGCGGGCGGTTGGGGAATAGACTGTCACATCACATCACAGCACGCTTATTTGTACATTTCTATAGATCTCGGTAGCGTTTGTTGTTTATAGCACTGACCCGAAGAATGTATACCCGTACCTACTGCAGCTCTGTTCCGGAGAAGGCGTAGAGAGTACTTGTCTCCAAGAAAGTGTAGAGAGTACTTGTTCCAAGAAAGCTTAGAGAGTACTTGTTCCAAGGAACCTTTGAAGGCGAAGGCAGCACTTGTCCACATCCCGAACAAGACGTACCTAGGACCTAGATGGGTAGTGACTGTCGGCATATACCGCCGCTATAGGCTGTCCTGATACTCCAACTGGGACTGGCCATGGTGCTCGGACGCATGGTGGGTCTGTGCAGCGTCAGGTATAGTCTCGACCCACCAATCGAGAGTGTATTTCTCAATGCATGTGTAAGAAGATGTGCGAGTATGTCTCGGGGTCTCATCAACTTGATTCAGGGACTGCAGGGTGGAGTGTTTAGGGGTGAGACACCCCGTGTCGAAAACGGGACTCCGCATCTGCAGCCCTTACTTATACACCTCTTCCAAGACCCTGAGTGTATAGTATCATCAATCTGCTTTCAGGACAAGAATGAAGACTTCAATCGCCCTCAACCTCTCGGTGCTGCTCTGGTCTGCGCCAGCAGTCCTCGCCCAGTGCGCTCTCCCATCGACGTACAGCTGGACATCGACAGGACCCCTGGCTCAGCCCAAGTCGGGATGGGCCTCCCTCAAGGACTTCACGGTCGTCCCTTACAACAACCAGCACCTGGTGTATGCCACGTACCATGACATGGGCACCACCTGGGGCTCGATGAACTTCAACCTGTTCTCCGACTGGTCCGGCATGGCCTCAGCAAGCCAGAACACCATGACTTCAGGAACCGTCGCGCCGACCCTATTCTACTTCTCGCCCAAGAACGTGTGGATTCTGGCGTACCAATGGGGTCCCACGACCTTCTCCTACCGGACCTCCAGCGATCCCACCAACCCCAACGGCTGGTCCTCCGCCCAACTGCTCTTCTCCGGCTCCATCACCGACTCAGACACCGGCGCCATCGACCAGACCGTCATCGGCGACGACACCAACATGTACCTCTTCTTCGCCGGCGACAACGGCAAAATCTACCGCTCCAGCATGCCCATCTCCCAATTCCCGAGCTCCTTCGGCACAGCCTACGAAATCATCCTCTCCGACTCACGAAACAACCTCTTCGAAGCCGTGCAAGTCTACACGGTCGCCGGCCAAACCACGCCAACGTACCTGATGATCGTGGAAGCCATCGGGGCAAATGGGCGGTACTTCCGCTCCTTCACTGCCGACAACCTGGGAGGACAATGGACACCGCAGGCTGCGACGGAGAGCGCGCCCTTTGCCGGCAAGGCCAACAGCGGCGCGACGTGGACAGACGACATCAGCCACGGCGATCTCGTCCGCAGCACTGCAGACCAGACCATGACCGTTGACCCGTGCAACCTGCAGTTCCTGTACCAGGGGCGTGACCCGAACGACACCCCGGCTGACTATAACCTGCTGCCGTACAGGCCGGGGTTGCTGACGCTGCAGTGAGGTAAATAGTCATTTATTAGGGTTACATGTGTTTTGATGGTTTGGATTTGAAAGCCTTATGTATTTATATATATGCATCTTAAGCCAAGCCCATCTCCCATGTACTAACTCCTGCTCAGTATAAAGTTTTCTTGCACCCCATGAACATTGCATGGGTAAACAGATCTCGCTTGGATTAGAATATCGTATCGGAAGATATCGGAGATATATTATTGACTCTGGGTTGACCTTACGTCGAAGGTGGTCTGGATCGTCTTGATGGGCAGACATAGGAACATGTTCCTCAATCCTGGACTATAGAGTCTCCGAAGATGGAGTACGGATACGTGCATCCAAGAGGAGTATTCGAGTAAAGAGAGAAGACACGAAGTAATCAAATGGTCTATACAAGAAATCTTCAATACATGGGCTGAAGCAGCTGAACTCCGAATCCGACCGAGCGAATGGACAATCCCGACCTCAAAATGAACATCTAATACCATACACCGAGCCTGCAAGCACCAAGAATGAACTGTATCGGAAAGTAGAGCGGGAACAGGTGCCGGATGCATAGGTGGCTAGGGATCTCGAACAGAAACCCTGACACGAGGCCCCGACCCCCGAAACCCAATGACGAAGCCATCGAAGATTTCGACGTCTCGTGGAGTCATGGTTTCATCGCGGGTGAAATCGAACCGAGTGGTGAACATGGCCAACGCAAGGGCAAGTTCTGCGTAGGCAAGACTGCATGCTGTCAGTTCCTCCTTCGCAGGGCATGTGGTCCAACATACTTCGATCCCAAACATTGTCTCGCCCCCTTGGAGAAGCTGACGAGGTATTTGTCCAGCTGTCTAGCCTCCGGTCCCAGCCATCTCTCCGGCTTGAATTCCCGGACATCCGGACCCCAGATTGCTGTGTCGTGGTGGACGGACGAAGCGGAGATTCCGACGACGGTCTGCATCGCTTTGATTAGCAGGGAAACCAGCTCGAGAAGATAGTTGAGGACCTACACCAGGCGGAATAACCTTGCCATCCACCACCAGCGGCGCAGCGCCCGACCCCGAGTCAGGGACAATCCGGGGCAAGCGACCGGGTATCGGGGTCTGAAGGCGAAGGGACTCCTTCACACAAGCCATCTATGCACGTTAGCTGGTGAATTCGTTCTATACGGAGGGAGTGCAGACAAGATACGGCAGCCGCTCGAGTGACGTGAGCTCGAAATCCTCGACCGACTTCAGGCTTGCTTGTCGAACCTCACGCTTGAGGGCCTCGTATGGCTTCGGGTTGGCAGTTAACAGGTTGATGGCGACAGCGAGGGTGGTGGCCGTAGTGTCGGCCCCTGCAACCAGGACATCGGCCGCTTCAGCATTGAGCTCGTCTTGGTCAAGGTCCGAGAGCCCATCGAAGAGAACCTTGTGGCACATGGATTTTCCAGTCGCCCTGGCGGTTTGAAATGTTGATACGGCGCCCCGGATGGTCTATAGGACGGGGTCAGAATGTGGACTTCATCTGGATGTAACAACTGACCATCAAGAGCCGCGCCATTGCCCCGAGTGGTCCTCCCATCCCAATAGTCAGTGAGGGTGGTACGACTGTCATGATAAACTGGAGGGGTGGGAGATACATGCGGTTCCAGAGCGTCGTGACGACGAGGTCGAACGCTTGCAGAAAGTCGGCTTCGAAATTTGGTTCTTTGACCTGGCCCATGAGGTCAAACGACTGGCCAAAGCCCAGGTCGGAGATGATGTCGACGGTCATGCATCTGGCTGCGTCAGTTACCGGCATGAGAGAGCGCTATGGATGAAGGTACCTGGCCGCATTGTAGATGTTCAACGGGCCTTTGTCGCTCATGCCTGCGATCACCGTGCAAAGGCGGTCCACCTTGTCGTACAAGAGATGGTGCATTGCCCGGACGGAAGTCTTGGAGAAGAAGTGGCTCATCTTCTTGCGTCGTTGGCGATGCAGTGCCCGGTCTGTCTCGACGACGGCCGTATGCGGGGTCCCGAACCCGGCGTAGAAGTAGGAGTGTTTGAGGAAGGTCTGGTCTTGCGAGTAGATGGTCTGGTACAGACTCGAGTCCGAAATGTGAATCTCATTGGGACTGATACGCAGGGCGCGTGTGTCTGCAGGGTTAGCATGTAGACCTGGACCTTGAGGACGAGCGTACTGTATTTGCGATGCAGGTCTTCAAAGACCTGGTCTGCGCAACCGCTCCGACTGACGGAGTAGAGCCACCATGTCGACAGGGCTGCTCGGCGCGGACCGGGGAAGGAGGCCAGAGGGTGCAGGTACAGCAGGTAGAAGGCGCGGGTTAGAATGCATCCCACAACAGCGAATACCAGAGGGCTCAGGTGGGCCCCCGTCAGGGCCACCACTTGTCTGAACAAGATCTGGTGCAGCATGGTTGGGCTCTGGTCCGTTTGGAAAGGGCGTATGCCAGTCTTTATTCTCCTGCACATTCCACCGTCCGTCACAGTCTCACGGCCGACCCGGGATCCGACATATGACATCCCCCACCTGCCCAAAATAGCAAAAGAGCAGGGAGTCTGGGGCGGGAATTGCTGTTGGTTTCGGGCGTGGTTGTGACACGCTGACACGCCACGTTGGACGAGGTGACAGCCACTGGGAGACTTCCTTCATCGGCATCCGGGCACCCGTGGGTGGAGTGACAGGCGTTGGCACCCTGTGCCTGTCCGCCTCAAGCTTCAGGGCTACTGGAATGCATCCCCTTCTTGTCGTAGAACATTTAGCGAGCAGGGCTGTCTAACAACTGGCCGTTGCTTCCAACGGCTTCGTTTCATATATTGCTTACGCCCATGCGGCTCCCGCCAAGCGTCAGCCCTAGCGGTGCTCACAGCCCAGGAATGGCTTGCAGACCGCGCCCATCTTGGTATTCTTATCTGACATTGGCCTGATTGCACGAGAGCTTTTTTCTGCCTGGAAAGGGCGCAAAACCCGGCCATCCTCGTGTAACACGGCAACCGGTTCTAGACAGCGTGGATGACCCGGGCTGATATCTTCCAAGGGAAGCACAATGTGGCCTGGGGGCCGTACGCGGCGCAAATATCTGGCGTCACTAAGGCTGACAAGCCATGAAGCAGCGGTGAGGTGGTTGGGGAACTGTTGGCGCAGAGTCACTTGTCAAGCCATCCCTGGGCAGCGCCATAAGCCTGCCTCAAACGTTTGCTTGCGGTCGGCCGAGATATTGATTGCCAACTACTACGGAGTATAGCATGAATCCTTGTCCAGGATAAAAGGCTCGACCGGAAGGGGACAAGAGTGATATGAGTTGTGAAGTGAAGGAAGGCAGTCATCGCCTACTGGAAAGGCTGGGTGAGAATGAGAAGACCATATATAGAATCAGGTAAAGTCCCGCATCTGATATTCCGGTCCTCTGGGCTGATCACTTCTGCGTAAAGGATTGAGTCTTGTGCTGACGTAGCCCTGGGTAGGGGCAGCGTCTGGCAAACTCACCACCCAGGCCCTGTTGCACCATTGACAGTCCTAGCAAACCCTCTAGAGAGCTGGACACCTGGCCGGTGAATGGTTTATTCGGCGGCCAGAGACCAGCTTCATACAAGTTCGAGCATCCGCAGATCCACTCTCGGCTGTTCATTGTCGGGTGTAAATGTTATGTTTGTGGCACCATATCCTTCGCAGCAACCGTCGATTGGCCCTTCTCTCTTATCGTAGTAGGAGATGGCGACGGGGGAGCAACTTAGTACTCTGATACATTATGCTCTCTCCTCAGTGGGTACCATGTGAGAGGAAAAGTGAGTGCACGAGGTGAGACACCGATGCAGGACTCCAATCTGCGGAAGGACACGGAGCATCGCTCATGGGGAAGGCAACGGCAGCTGCTGGCAGAGATACTGTCCTCGAAGCCCCGGTGCCCTGGAAGGAGCGACACATCCCGCCATTCTCCTCACAGGCTTGCAGGCTTGCAGGCTTGCAGGCTCACAAGCTCACAGGCGCACACGGCCGGCAAGGCGCCAGGCTTCCAAGACGCCGGGCTCGTCTTGCTTGAGCGCCATTTGCCGGCATGGTATGACAATCGGCCACTCGTCCAAGGAAGACTGCTCGCTTCATTGGCTTTATCCTGTCCCTCCCTCCCCGCCGAGCCTTGTTGGGACTCTCCTCCAAGGCGCCGCTGGCTGCTGACGTGTCGAGTCGAGGCTCAACTCTTGGTGGATGATGCAAACAGGCCTGCAAGTGGACATGGCTATAGCGACAAACTGGCTTCAACTACAAAAGCAACTCCCATTTCTTGATGGCTATAAATACAACTCTCAACACAGTTATCTGCATTGGCGCTTTCGAGTAGGAACAAGGTTCTTGACGGACCACATCATGAGGTACACCAATCGATGCGCAAGCTATGAGTGAGTCGAGTGATCGCGGCAACGTGATTAGAACAACACGCTCGACAAGGTCGCCTCTCTGTCTTTGACGACAATATTCCTCATCATCAAGACCCAGCCAATCGAGAGGCCCATGACCGCCGTGCCGGCAATCATCATGTTTCGCTGACTCGACGCATAGGCGTTCTGGATGGCAATGCGAGTTGGCGAGCCCACGGGATAGCTCAGTTGGACATCCAGTGACTCATAAATGTCCGACCAGAGGTGCTTCGTCTCCGCAGGGAGATAGTCTCGCAATCTCTCAGGCAGGGTGTTGGTCCAAATGGCACCCGAGACACTGCTGCCGACTGCGCTGCCGATGTTACCGAACGTGCTAAGCAAGGCCAGCATGCCGGCATAGTCCTCATGGCTTGCTGCTGCAAGGACGGCAACCTGCTCGATCAGGATCATGGTCCCACCACCGACGGCGAGGAAGATCTGACACATGCACATGTATCCGACGCTGTGGCCGGGAGTACGAAAGTAGATTATTAAGCCACTGGCAAGCAGATAAAGGGGAACAGCACACATGAGAATCCATTTGAAGCGACCGGTCCAGCGAATCAGGAAACCGCATCCAATCAGCCAGACCGGATCCATGAGGTCAAAGATGGCGCTGATGTACCCGGCCTGGGTGAGGCTGGTGTTGTACACCACCTGCAGAAACGAGGTGAAGTAGCTGGCCCAGCAGTAGTACGAGACCTGGTAGGTGATGTCCAGCAGACACGCACCGACGACCGTCCGGTCAGTCAAAAGCCGGTAGGGGATAAAGGGCTTTGGGGCGCCCCATCGCTCGTAGGCCACAAAGGCAACGAGAACGCAGAACCCAACGACGATCATGGCGATGATCTTGGCCGACCTCCACTCGCCCGTCTCATTGCCAGCGATGTTGAATGAGGTGAGGAAGAGGATGAGGCCGCCGACCATCAGGAAGATACCGATGACTGTGATCGAGTCAGATACAGTGAAGGTGGACGAGGATAGACCTACCGTCGAACTCCACAACATAATACCAGACACTCTGCCCGATGGAACGGTCGCCGCGAGCCTTGACCTCCAGCCGGTGCTCCTTTGCCGCCTTGCGCTTGGCCAACTCCCAGGTGATGATCAACGGGGCCGCGACAATGGGAAGGATGATGCAGATCGTCCCGTACGCCCATCGCCAATTGGTCTCGTGGAACTGGTTGGACAGCGGCGATCCAGCAAAGGCAGTGATGATGTACGGAGACGAGGTAAAGCCAAAGGCAATGCCCCGATTGCGCATGGAAGAGGTATCGGCAGTCAGGACGTCAACGCAGAAGATGACCCCGGTGAAGCCGACGGTATAGAAGGCCTAGACGCAGGCAAGGTCAGTGCATGAGTCTTACACCAACGTGGAGGTCGGGCGCACCTGCGCAGCACAATACGTAGCAATATTATCGCAGCAAGCCATCATGATGAGACCCATGATGGCAATCAACACCATGATACAGACTCCGACCGTCCGATCCCACAGATTCAGGATCTTCGCAATGGGCATCGGGCAGGCGGCGCCCATGACACTCGTCACGACACTGATGACGGTGAGCAGCGAGTGGGCGGAGAAGTCGCTGGTGATGTAGGCCGACAGGTTGGAGGTCAGGTTATTGTTGAGTCCGTTGACAAAGTACAGCATCCACATTCTTTGTCATTAGTTCGGCTCTGGATGTCGAGAGTTGAGACTCACGAGGCATAGGTGACGATGAGAGACTTCCTGGACCAGCTGGCGGTGATTGCGTCGGCAACGCGAACGGCATCCTGCTGCTCCTGGCCTTCGGTCTTTATCTCTGAAGGACACTGGGCATTGGGAGAGACAGGCTCAAGGGAGACGGAGACCGGTTCCTTGCCGACTCCGGCATCGGTGGTCTTGTGGAATGAAGACATCTGGCTGGGCTGGGGTCGATCTATGCCTGACAAGCCAAGGAAAGAGGAATGCAGATTAAGGCTTGACCTTCCGGGCAATGCTTGATCTTTATAGTGTTCACCCTACCTTGTCCCCGGTGCTTGTCCCTGGTTTGAGTCAGGGCGTGGTCCGCAGGATCAGATAAGATGTTACGTACCGTCATCTAATCTAGTGGAACTATGTCCAGGCAGCATCGTTCTGAGGTGATATGACAGTGCAGCTGACAGGTTTTGCGTGGGATCAGTCGATGGACGTGGAATCTTGTCCTCATCCCGGCCATAGTCGGATCTTCTGCATGATCCAACCCTATATACATGCAGCGACTGCAGTCGGACACCAGCCTATCTGACAGCGAGCTTGCCTGCAATACTGCGTAGCACTGACAGAAGAGCTGTCCCTTGTCCAAGGGTTGGTTGTGGGCCCGATCCATCAAGGACGGAGCAAGCCGGGGTCCAAATCAGCCCATGGAGTCCAAAAACACACGATCCTTCGGCCCTGTACACAGACTAGGTCTAGAAGACGGGTTAAGCACCGGCTAGACTTGTTTATTTGGTCCATGGATTCCAGGACTCGAAACCTTACGCAAAGCATAGTCTTCCGTGAAGACATCCATGTTCCATTGACCCCCTGCCAGGTGCTCGTTAGCATCCATAGTTCGTTCCCTTTCTTCCCCATTTCCCTCGAGACAGTTTGAAGAACCTAACAGTCAACGACTTTACCGCAAAATGAACGTGAAACTAGCGCGGGTGTGCTCTCCACTCTGCAGGTTGTGTCGCCACTACACGGAGCCCGCGGGCCACGAGGTCTCGGTGGGCAAGCCAAACCTCGTTTCCTTCAGTCCTTAGCTGAGGTTGCATTCTTGGCCTGGACCTTGCAAGGAATCTTTCCTCCCTGTGCTTCCTGTCCAGATCTACCTCATACCCCAAGCCCTACCAAGGATAATGTCGGGATGGCTCACGCAAGGATAACAGTCAAGCTGAAACGGAGTTTTGGGAATATTGTACAAGAATCTAATTACAAATGCTATCAGCCACTAATATTGCAACGACAGTCAAGCCTTGGTCTTGACAACAAAAGACCCATGTTGCCTAAGATCCCTCGAACTGGCCCCAACCGAGACCGCATACTTGCCCGGAGCAACCGCCCACTTCTGCGCCTCAACATCCCAGTACGAGATATCGCGCTGGCGCAAGCTAAAGGTCACCTTGGCCTGCTTGCCCTTCTTAATATGGACGTTCTCGAAACCACGCAGTTGGCGGACGGGCTGCTTTGCGGCATCAGGATACGAGATGTAGAGTTGAGGCACCTCGGCACCATCCAGCGAGCCGGTGTTATGAATGGTAACAGTAACCTTCGCCACGGTATCCCACAGATCCTCATACCCACCGACGGCAAGTTGGCCGGTCGGGTACTTCGACAGCGCAGAGGGACCCTGAATGTGGAGGTTCTCGTACTCAAACTCAGTGTACGACAGCCCAAAGCCAAACTCATAGCGAGGCGTCACATTGTAGGCGTCAAAGTAGCGGTAGTCAATATAGTTGCCCTCGGTGAAGTTGCACTGCGCGGTGTAGCAGATCTCCACATTGTAGTCTGATTCGTTCTTCGCGATGGTGTAGGGCAGACGGGCGCTGGGGTTGACATCGCCGTACAAGACATCAACGATGGAGTTGCCGGATTCCTGGCCAAGCAGACTGCCGTACAGCACGGCCGTGACATTCTCGTGCTCGATCCAGCTGTCGAGGATGCGGGCACCGACGGTATTAATCACGACGACGGTATTGTCGCAGTTCTCGGCAACTTCATTGATGAGATCGTCCTGGTCGGTGTTGCGCAGCTCCGTACGGTCCGCACCCTCGCCGGCAAAGGCGTTGATGAAGACGAGGCAGACGTCCATGTTCTCGGAGTAGGCACTGATAGATGGGGTGACGGAGGTACTGGACGACCCCTGCATGACAAGCGTTGACCCACTGGAGGAAGAGTACGTGTCGTTGGAGACCCAGCGGAGCATCGTGCCGTCCTGGCTGGCCTTGATGTTCAGCGCGTTCTCCGGGGTGATGAGGTAGGGCAGCGAGGCCTGGCCAGAGCCAGAGTCGGTAGCAATATGGCCGTCGTATGTAGGGCCCGAGCCCTCAACACTGAATTGGAGGTTGGGGCCGGCAATGGCGGCGCGTGCATGAGATCCAAAGATGGCCATCTTGTGCGGCTTGTTGAGGGGCAGGGTGTTGTTCTTGTTCTTGAGGAGAACCATCGACTTGGAGCCATGGGAGCGGATCAGCTTCGCGTGGTTTGCACGCACGTCCACATAGTCATCCTGATCAGCAGTCGCGGGCTGGGTGCCGTTGTCGAGGTTCACATAGTAGTATCCCATCAGGTTGCGAATGGCCATGTCGTTCAGGCGAGCTTCCGTGAGGTTGTTGCTCTCGAGGTATCCTTCAATTGTAGAGTCGGTCCAGAGACTCGACGAGCCATAGTCCAGTCCATTGGCAGCAGACTCCAGGGCATCCTGTTGGCCGTTGGTGTCGGGCCACACCATGCCAGGGAATCCAAGCTCGGTCTTGAGGAGGTCCATTAGGAGGGTGGAACTCTCGCAGGAAAGAGTACCGTTGACCTTTGTCATGGCACACATAATACCACCAAGGCCGGAGTGGACGGCATCGTAGAAGGACCAGAGATACGTTTCATGCAGGGTCTTGTCATCAGCGTTGGACGAGTAGGGGGCACTGGAGGATGACGACGAAGACGAGGACATGGCGCCACCCATCCCAGCACCACCGGGTGAGGACGAGGCAGCAGCTCCTGGTGCAGATGAGGCGGATGGCATGGCTCCTGCCGAGCTTGTGGCAAACATACTGGGCGAGTCTGAGCTGGAGTCAGGACCTCCGCTTCCCATGCTCCCAGTGCCTCCAGGCGCACCGCCACCTCCTCCACCTCCGCTGCTAGTACGGTTAGTCTCCTGCTCGTTGAGGATGAAGTGCTGTGATGCCCAGGTGGTTAGCTGATAGTCATCAAAAAGATTGAGGGCAGCCTACCTTAGCACCGGCAATGACACCAACATCCGCGTAAGCCCTAGTTTCCAACCCCGTCGCAATCCCATTCAGATAGGGGTCAGGCCCGAAGCTCTCAACAAGACGACCACCCCAGGGAGTCCGGCCGAGAGGCTGCGAAGTCGGTCCAGCCACCATCTGGATACCCTTGCCGTAGAACTCGGCTGCCACAGCTCTGCCCTGCGCATACATGGCGTCCTTATCCCAGGTCATGGCCAACGCAGACGACAGACTAAACGCCGAGACGTAGTAGTAGGCTTGCGCCCCCATATCACCGTCAAGGATATCGAGCGCGGTGAAGGTCTCGCCATCAGTGGTAGTCACACTGCTGCCGGTGATGAGCTTGATCTTCTCGGTGGTGTTGAGTTTGGCCACGAATTGGGTGGCCTTTTCGTGGGCGGACTTCCAGTCACCGAGGGAGACTGGCGGCGTCAGTACGTGTCCTAGCTAGTATTCTACAGCCATGAGTACCTTTCCCATTGGAAAGAAGACCAGCTTCGGCGTTGCTGGTGGCGGCCAGCGCCGTGCCCAGCAGGAACGAGAGAACGGGTAAAGAAGGGAGCCTCATGGTGAGGAGGACAATCGAGGACAGACAGGGAACGAAACTCGAATGAACAATGAGGTTATCCCAGTCCATGTGGTGTGCTTATATAGTGCTGGGCAAGATGAGGCATACGCGTCTGGGATGAATTTTGCTCGGATAAGCCGAGCAGGAGTATAGAGTGGAGTCGGGCACTGGGGCTCTTGCGTCTGCGATGACGCGGTTGAAGCTATTCCAAGTCTGCCAGAACAGCCAATCACAGCTGCTGTTGCTATGGAGCATATCTACCCAGAGCCAATGAGCGTGTAAAGCTTCGTTTTGGCTCGATTAAGGTTCTTCTCCAGTGCAGGGTTTCATGCTGATGACAGTTTCAGCCACTCCGGCCAGTTCGTCGGAGGAAGTCAGCTTCTTCAAGTCCTCTCGACACCACTCTATAGCCAGGGAGTCCGGCGACAGGCCAGATACCATTTGCTTTATTGAGCCTGCACCAAGGGCTAACTTCGGACAAGGCTTTCCTCGTCTTACGGGGCAGGAATGGTTGCTCAATGATAGCAGCCCTATCCCAGGCAAGCTTGGAACTTCGCACCCTGAGCATGGGGCGGCGTCGCTAAGGTCATGATCCCTGCTGCTGCTCAGCCCCGCCAGACCAGAGGCGCAGGGCTCAAACACCAAAGTGGTTCTTCTTGACCATACTCTACGAGACAAGGGTACGTGTGCGTCCCCCTAGTTCGGACCCTCTCTCCCTCTTTCAAAGCTCGAGCTTGTAGCAGACGCCAATTACGGCCGTTCGCTACATTCAGTATGAAACTCCCTAGCCCAGCTTCGCAGTGAAGGCATCCATTGACTGTGGAAGAGAAGGCTGGGATATCCATTTACCAGGGGCAAGATAGTTGGGACAACCCGCTTTATAGTTAAAGAAGAAGTTGCATGTCGATGAGTTAGTGCCTAACAGACAATGGATACACCACAATTCGGCCAATATAAGAGAGCGCCTACTACACAATCGCCGTCCTCATCCCCCAAATCCGGCCCAACAGCGTCTGCTTCGGCTTTGGGTTGAGTCTCTCCTCCTCCCTCTCCTCCTCGTCAATCTTGTCGAAATACTCTGCCGGGGAGAAGTCCATGTCCTTGGGTGCGACAAGCTTCGTCTTGAAGTAGAGCTGTGCCAGAGTCAGTTACGCCATTCTCTATCTTCTTGACAGGGACATGTTCTTGTATTTCACAAACCTTGTACAGAATGTAGTCGACAAAGAACAACGGCACAGTGATATACGTGGCAAAGAAGTTCTCTGCACTGGGCTTGCCCGAGAAGGGGAAGATGGCAAAGTAAAGTTGGGCCGCGAGGAAGAGAACTATCAGCACCATGCCCAGCCATTGTGAGTACGGCGCGAAGCGGTCACGGTAGGGCAGGGTCTTGTTGTCAATGCCCTGGGTTTTCAGGCCCTGGCGGAATCGGATATGGGAGACGTAGATCAGGAACCAGTTGCAGAAAGAGGAGATGCCGACCTAATCCATTAGTTATACGCTGTAAACGAGGAAGGAGGATAGCATACCAAGTTCGAGAACCAGTTGTACACCTCCGTCGAGGTATTATTGAGGTTGAGGTAAGTCAGTCCTCCACCGAGAATACCGCTCATGATCAGAGCAAACCACGGCCGACCAGCAGCATCCTTCTTGCCGAACCAGGAGTGGATGACCCCGATATCCGCCATATGCGAGAAGCAACGGCTGGCCACATAGTACGAGGTCATGCTGCAGGAGAGCACAGTAATGAAGACGAGGCCGTTGATGATGTGCGCGAAGACCGGGGATCCACCGTCCCGGATGGCAATGATGAATGGACTAGAGAGCGTGCTCGACTCGGTCAAGTCGGGATGGTTATATGGAACGCACATGCCCACGAGCCAGATGTTGACGATGTAGAAGAGGAACATGCGCCAGAAGAGCGGGTTCGTCGAGCGTTTGACGGTGCGTCGGGGATCCTTCATCTCGCCTGCGGTGATGGCCACCCAGCCGGCTGAAGGCGTTAGTACCAGTATAACTCTTGCGGTGAACCTGAAAGTGACATACCAGAAGGACAGCTAAACGCAGCCTGCAGGACAGCCTTGCAGATCCCCTTCATCCCATTGTTGAAAGCCCCAGGTGTCTTCCAGTAGTGAAAGACAAGCGGACCACTCTGCGATGGCAGACCCCCCGACGCCATGATGAACAGAAAGCACATGGAAGACGTGATGGACAGGACCTTGAGCGCACTCATGACCACCTCGACGCTACCGTACTTCCTAACAGGGAAGAGATTCGGTATCGCAGTGACGATGGCGAAGATCGTGATGTACGCCGCCATCGGGAAGTTCCTCGGGGCCTCCCAATACTGCAGCACATTGATGCAAGCAATAACCTCAGAGGGAACCGTCATGGTCCACGAGAACCACAGGTTCATGCCCATTGCAAATGCGGCAGCCGGGTCGACGTACTCCATGCACTGTCTGATATAGCCGCCGTTGATGGGCTTGTAGCAGGTCATCTCTCCGATGGAGAGGAACTCGATGTAGATGGCGAGTCTACCAAGAGACGACATTAGCCATACTGATGAGGCAAGAAAGGCCCAGGGGTGACCTACGCAACCAACGCATATCCAATCGCACAACCAGCCGGTCCAGCTAGAGTATCCAAGGTTAGCCCTCAACTCCTACCCTAGAACCCAGTTGCATGAAAGCTCACCAGCAGCCAGCGCCGTCCCCGTGCCAATCCACAGCCCCAAGCCAATCCCACCACCCAGGGACAACATGATGACAGCACGGGGCGAGAGACCCCGATTCCAACCGTTCTCATCATACCCAGGCGAGCCCACCTGTCCAACCTCAACATCCGACGCGGAGCCAGGCTGACTCGAAGCAGCGGGTAAAGCCTTTTCATCAGCCATATTGCGGAGAAAGCAGCTCAAGCTAGTGAGACAGTGGAACTGTGCAAAAGCGTGACAAATGCGAATTGCAAAGAGCACGCCGGACGGGCAGGGACATTTATGGGGCTTGAAGCGAACTGGTTATCTCATAGATGGCACAGCCATATTGGCATGGAGATAGACAGATAGAGGATATCTTGGTTGAGTGCGATCATCCGGTGGCGGACCGGGCGTTAACCGGACGAAATTGACAATGACGGGCATCCTATTGGGCAGCAGCAGTTTAGTATCTTTTAGACTGTGGGAGGATGGAGATGGTCACGTATGAGGGGTATTGTCTAGTGCTTAAACTACTTGGGGTCTGGAGTGCTCCAACTGATATGGCACCGATGCAGTCGATGCTGTGTCCTCCTACGCCGCTTATCATGGCAAGCTATCTGACACAGACCTTGTTGAAACGAGTAGTGCATTCATTGATATCTGTTTTAGATTGTGGCATAAATCTGGTGATCGGCGCTACACCGGGGACCTTGGGCGCTTAGGGCTGAACAGTGGACAGGAACTGTGATTGGTGCTATCTCGTAATAAACTCGCTAAATCATTACTTTGCATCTACAACAGGCCCCTTCGCCTCTGTCTCGGTCTCTTTCAGGTGAGAGGCCGACAGAATTGTGTTCTGCGTGCTGTCCAACCGCTCCTTGGTTGTCTTGAAGATCGCCGGGACGCCCGTCTCTTCGAACTCTGTCCCCTTGAGAATCATCTGCGCGACACCCTTGGCCGACAGGAAGATCTGAGGCATACCGTGGCCGTTGAAGCCTGCGACGACAAACTGTCCCTCCTTACCAGGAACCCGCCCGACGTGGGGAAGGGAGTCTGTTGTGTATCCCATAACTAGAAAAGTCAGCTTGTGTCCACGATCGAGTACGAGAATGGTATTACTTACTGCCTGTCCACACCCGGTCCATGTATGCGCCCGTGTCCTCCCACCCATGGAAATACTTCTGCATGTAGCCCTCGAAGTGGTGCCGAGCAGGCTCGATCAGGCGACTGTCATCGGTGACGTTGTACCAGTTCTTCAAGTCCTGGACGTATACCGATCGCGCGCCTCCAATGATGATACTTCCGTCCGGTCGGGGAACCAGGTACTCGTAAATACCCTCCTTGATGCGAACCGTGTACGACGAATCAAGGGTCGGGCTGAGTGGGTGTGGAGGGTTTGGCACGACAACACGACTGCAGATGCCGCGAACGGGCACAATCTTATTCGCGTACTCGGGCGCGATGCCAGAGGTGTAGGCGTTGGAGGCGAAGACAACCTGCTTCGCTTGGATCGACCCGCGCTCGGTCTTAACTGTCCAGCCATTCTCCGACTTGGATACCTCCACCACCGGAGTGTTCGTTTGCAGGTTGGCTCCCTTGGCGATGCACTTCTTCAACAGCCCGACAATGAATTTGTACGGCCACAGGCGACCAGCCTTATAACTGAAGCAGCTCTTGGCGCCTTTAACTCCGGAGACCTACGGGTATCAGTGCCTGAGGACCACAGTCTAGGAGTGTCGGACTCACCATTTCAGCCTCCATATCCGTCGTAAACGCGGCGGTCTTTGTAGCCTCCGACCCACTGGCAAGAAGCGTATCGTACGCCTTGCGAAGTTTCTCCGTGTGCGCCTCATCCAGTTGTACATCGTGCGCTTGCGCGACCACCAGGTCGCAAGCTATCTTCTCCTTCGCCACCACTGCCTCGATCGCTGGTATATGCGCGGTCTCGAAAGCTGCGAGCTCAGCGGCGGCTTCAACGCCGTGTGTCTCGGCGACCGTGCCGACGAAGTTGTATACGTCCGGTTTCAGGTGGCCGCCTAAAGAAAGTCAGCACAGGGTCATCTGTGAACTGCAAGGGTATACGTACCATTCCGCCCCGTCGCCCCAGAACAAACCTGTCGTGCTTCTAGAATCACAATCGACGGCCGAGAGAAAGGCTCAGCCTGGTCGAGAAGGTGATAGGTCGTCGACGCGCCCGCATACCCAGCGCCAATCACGACGATATCGGTCGTCGGGGGAAGAGTCGCAGTAGAGCGGTAGCTGTCCAATGTATCGGGCTCCGTCCGCCAGAAGGGCGTGATGCTGTTCGCGACCGGGAAGGGTTTGGACGATGAAGCCATTATGAATGTGAATGCGATGAGTCTGTGCTCTTGGGAAGAAGCCGACAAAATGCCGAGGAAGCAAGCTTTATAAAAGATCAGATAAGGAGCTACCCCAGGCCCACACGACTTGGAGAAGCAGATCCGATAATGATCAAATGATCAGACGATAAGTCCAGATAAGACGACGGTGAGACCGGGGCTTAAACGGTTAATCGCCGGTGTGCACGTTGGAGAAGCGAATGTGCTGATACCGCAGGCCGGTGCGTGGCGATAGCTCAAAAGGCCAGCTGGCCCGGATCGCTTCCGGTCGAGATAGTCAAGAGATAAGATCAGGTCCGATGGAGATGATAAGCTTGGGTTGGTAAAGATATAGATCTCGGGCACCGTTGCCTTGGACTCCATAGCATATTGCTTGCATTGAACCATCGCTGCTTCTGTGCTCTCTCCCACCACCAACCCAGCATCCACAACGCACCATCACAATGTCCACACAAAAACACGTCGTCTTCGACGTCGTAGGCACATGCGTCTCGTTCGACGCCTACTTTAACGCCATCGACCGCGTGCTAGGCGACCGACTGCGCGCCAACAACATCACGCCGCAATTCTTCGGGTACAGCTGGATGACAGCCGCAGAGCTAGAGTTCACCTTCCTGTCAATTTCCGAGCGTCACAAGCCATACAAGCACATCCTTGAAGCGGTCTTCTATCGCACGCTATATATGGCGGGAATCAAAGACCCCCGCGCGCTGGCTACCGAGGCTGAGCGGGATGAGTGCATTCAGGGCTACTGGAGTCTTCAGCTGCGACCTGGGATTAAAGAGTGCTTCGCGAAGCTTCGAGAACAAGGGTTCACGATCTGGTGTCTGACGACGGGCGATATCGCCCGGGTCAAGGGGTATTTTGAGCGCGGGGGCGTGGACATGCCAGCGGAGAATGTCATCAGTTGCGATAGCAAGGGAGTTGCGAAGCCAGCGTTAGGCGCATACCGACCCGTCTTCGACCAGTTTGCGACCGGCGATGAGAGATGGTTTGCCGCGGCGCACATGTGGGATGTCTCGACTGCAGTCAAGGTCGGATTTCGCGGAGCTTATTGTACGGTCTACGAGCAAGATCCGTGCCTGGAGATCTTCGATACCAAGATGGATGTTATCGCGGATAGTTTGGTGGAGATGGCCGAGGGGATCGTCAAGGCTTCGGCAGCATGATTTGTATATAAAGCACTAAATCAAATTATCCAGGGAACGGTGTCTCAGTCCCGCCTAGGCCAAGCTCATTATCGATTGCCAAACCGGCATCAAACCTGTAGCCCGGAATCGCTAGAAACTCTTGCAGAAACCGCAGCTCGGGATCCAGATGCAGGTCACCGTTATCAAAGGGCAGCGTGTCAAACGAGTGGGGAGAGTGTAGATCGGGCAAGTTCTCATTGTGGTCTACAGTCGATGAGAAGGGTCCAGTTTGCGTCCGCTGGGCGAGGGAAGAACCCCAGTGAGCACCAGATGGTGATAGCGTCCATTGGCCAGCTGGTAGCCCTGCACTACTTTCTGATAATGAGCTGCCGCCAGATTTCCACAGCGTCTCCCAATTTTTGAAGCCCTCATAGTCGGACGCGGGCCTGGTTTCCGAGGTTTCTCTGTTTTCGGTGCTGTTCGGGCAATTCAATCGTCCCAGCGCCCGCTCAAGCGACTCCAAGAGAGCGACTTCCGACCTCGCCGATTCCCCAGACGCCGCCATCTCGCGGACCATTTCCAAACCTTCACGCAACTCACGACGAAATTCGCTTGACTGGTCCTGTATCGATCGGGCGATAAGAACAAGCAACGATGCCCGACAGGAGCTGTACTCTATGTACGAGGCGCGAGCGAGGCCCGGTCCGTGGTTGCGTAGGACGCCGCATAACCTCAACGCTTCCTTGGCAGATTCGATGCAGGAATCGACGAGTTGCTGGCGATAGCTTGCCTGCTTGTTGGCTTTAACGGCGCCGGTATCTTCCGGATGACCACCACTGTTGCTGTTTTCCGGAGACGTCGGCGCCGAACGTGAAGAGATCCGATTGAGAAGGAGCGGTCTCCCAATGAACATGCTGACTAGACAATATTCCAGCCGGAGATGTATGCCCGCGCGGAAATTTGTATGCTGGGAGGGCAGGACGTTCTGCATTTCATCCGGCAGCATGTTCCACCAGGCATCGAGATCTGTTTTCCCAGTGACCAAGCGGGATAGGACAGCCGAGCGTTCGTGCTTCGGACGCGTTCGGAGAAGAAACCTGAAATATTGTCAGTCTTGGACAGACGGGTTGGTAAAGAGAAGACGTACATCTCCTGACAAAGATCCTCAAGACGCCGAGTGAGCTGGATAGATGCAGCCATGTAGGAGATAGTGGAAATCGGGCCATCAGAATGCAAATCTTCCCTAGGCGTAGGAAGAGGAGCATCCACGTCAAATCGATGAGTTGACAAAGGCCGACCGTGGAATATGGATATTTTTCTAGACTTTCATGAGGATCCATCGGCTACACCAGTCTAGTGACATACCTCTCAATCGTATACGCTGTCCACCAAACGCGATTTCTTGTTTCAATCATCGCGGCGCTCAACCCGGTACCGGTGTACTTTCGGTGCATACCGTTCTGCATTCCTAGTCGGTTGGTAAGAGTGATGTAGATATACCCAAGGCCAGAGGCGTCCAAAGGAAGTGCATAGATTGCAAAAAGCAGGCAAGCTTGGACACTTTCGAGAGAAGAAGCTTCAATGATTTCGGGAAGAAGTCGAATTGCTTGCTGGTAGAACATCGTCCCTAGTGCATCTTCTGAGAACTCCGTTGATTTTTGGCCAGGCGAATCGAGATAGGCATATTGGGTGGCGATGGCGAACACGGTGAGGATTACGCTCACCACTGAAGCGCCCTTGTTCCCGAATCTCCCCGGGTCGTTGTAGAGTGCATCCACTTTTTCCACAAGCCAATTCTTGTCGATAACATAGTAAGTTTCGGCATGTTTGAAGAACACCTTGATCAGAAAATCGGCAATGTGTCGAGGCGGGCAACACGATATAGCCGCGGCGATGCTATTCGTACCCGAATGCAGCTGTTCGGCACGCCAGTAATTGGAGACTTGAAGAGGGTCTTGAGCTTGCTACGATAGTTGTCAGCGTTGCGTCGGTACCAGCAGCATGAATCCTACCATTCGGTCCTCAATGTGTCGCTTGACGCGCATGGAGAAGTTCCAATACGAGAACTCGCCGGAGTAGTCTATCCGCAGTCAGTATTCGCCTGCCTTGATAGGCAAGGATCATTTACGGGTAGTCGTATCTTCCACCGGATCAATCGTGCAGACTTCTTCCTCTATGGGATCTTCATCGGGTGGCGCCAAAGTGCTGTTCTGCTCATATTCATCTAGCGCTCTCGACATCCGTCGCAGGCTATCGATATCGAGGTCAATCCCATCGAACTTGTGCTTCAGTATATTCTCCATATACATCACCCGTTCTAGGAGCTCTGGGACATTGGCATCCGGGGAAGATGGAGCGGTGGATTCGGTCCTGGATCGTTAGCTAGTTTCTGACTGCAAAGGGTGTCCAACTCACGGTAGCGGCCCAGGAGCACGATCATGATCAACCACCGATAACAGACGCTTGAACTCGCAAGTTCGATGAAGGTGCATGCATCTCGAACATGGAATGCCGCCCTCGCACCGTTCCTTTAGTCTTCGACATCGATCGCATCTGTATCGACTGTCAGTCGTGTTCGATTCCGGTCCATATTTCACTTACGCACGAGCGGTCCGCCGCCTATCCTCGCGCGTCCTTCGTCGCTTAACGGTGACAGGCTCACTCGTATCCATCATGAGGCCCAGCATGTAAGTCATGCAATGTCAAAGATAAAGAAGTTAGGATAGCCCCCGTTGTAAAAGCGGGGACCTTATCGAAGTTGGAGAAGCGCCATTCCCGATGCACTGTAGCGCAGAGCGGAGGCCATTAGGAGGCGTCGTCGAGGCGATGATAAGAGCTGGGATATCTTCAATTTGTCACTCATGCGATAAATCTTCATGAGTTGATTATGTACTGAAATGCCTGGTGCAATGTACAATACTCATCGGTTTGTCTTCGCTCATGCCGGCGTTTATGATGGGAGAGCTTGCCTGGCGGGATTCGCTGCATCAGCACCCACCATAGTAGACAACAGACAAACGAGCATAGCCGATGCAAATACCAGTCACAGGAGCAAATGGACTGTCCTAGGCCGTTTCAGCAGAAGAAGGTTTGAAGCAGGCCTCGATCTTGGACCACTGTTGCAGTTTGTTGAAGAAATCCGCTTCAACTTGCAGCCGGGCTCAGCGGGCTGGGCAAGAGCGATCCAATCGCTACAGTCACACGGGAAGCAGACAATAGCCGAGAGGTATCGATGAGGCTGTGGCTCAGTAATGCCTAATGGTCTGAGCCTCTTAAACGAACGATCTCCAACGGCCGATAAGATAAATGAACGGCCAAAGTGTGGGGAACTGGAGATGGGACCGGCCAGCAATACAATAAAACAGGCATGTCCGGACATAATTGTACTTTCAAGCACACCTCTCATCATGTCGTCTCATCAGGTCACATTTGCTGCCGCTCAGTTGGGTCCTAACCAACGAAGCGACTCACGCGAGAGCGTGCTGTCGCGCATGCTATCTCTGCTCGAACAGGCCGTTTCGCAAAGTCCTCCAGCCCAGGTCGTCGTCTTCCCCGAGTTAGCCTTTACGACCTTCTTCCCGCGACACTTCATTCCCGATGATGAAGAGCTGCAAAGCTACTTCGAGGCCGAATCGCCCGACTCGCAGGTCGATCAATCACCAAACGTGAAGCCGTTCTTCGACCACGTCAAGAAGCTGGGCGTGGATGTCTACGTGGGATACGCAGAGGCCTGGAATGGGGGAGAGAAAACAGAATACTACAACTCGGCCGTCTACTACTCCGGTCGGTCAGGCCAAGTGCTGGCCAAGTACCGCAAGGTCCACCTCCCCGGTGTGTTCGAGCCGTTCCCCGAGCCCGGCGCAACGCAGCAACTGGAGAAGCGATATTTCAAGAACGGAAACAGCTTCGAAGCATTCCGGGTCCCAGGGCTCGTGGGAGACGCGCTGAAGGCGACACCGGACGCGCCCGTCCAAACCGACGGTCGCGGAGACCCCATCTTCGGTATGCTCATCTGTAACGATCGCCGGTGGCCGGAGGGCTGGCGGGCATATGGCCTTCAAGGCGCAGAAGTGGTGCTATGTGGATACAACACGACGGCGTACGCGCCGCAACTGCTCGGGAGCGACCTGTACGAATCGAAGCCATTGAGCCGGGAGGAAGCCGAGAAGGAAGTCCTGTATCACAATCAACTCAGTCTGACGGCCAACAGCTATATGAACGCGTGTTTCAGCGTCAACGTTGCGAAAGCGGGCGAGGAGGACGGGCATCCGCTGATCGCGGGGACGTGTATTGTCGACCCCAAGGGATACGTCGTTGCAGAGGCTCGCACCAAGGGCGACGAGATAGTGGCTGCCACGTTGGATTTGAGGAAGTGTCGCGCAGGGAAGACGAAGACGTTTGATTTAGGACGACATCGACGACTGGACGCGTATGGATTGTTGTTGGAGAGAGCGGGCGTGGAAGAACCGCCTTTGTTGACGTGAATTTCACAAAAGCGGCGGGCGGAGATGATGCCAAGATCTGCCTTAGTAAGCAATGTCTCGTCACGTGAACAGCTGCAGCCAAGGGTCGCCAACAAAGTCAACAAACCAAAAGCCTGGCCAATACAAGATTCTTACTGTTTCAATATGATTCATGTACGTAGTAGTGTTGAGCTCTTGTGTGTTATGTAGCCTGCGCTGAAGCTGGGTACTTATGAAAACCGAGCACCTCAATTGGACAAGCAGAATATATATCTGCTCCGCATGGAGGAGGATTTCCACCGACCCCACTACATGTCAACAGATGCATGACTTTCATTGTGCAGCAATTGAACTCCTTCCGCTAGTAGGAAAACAAAAGTTTACTTAAAACGATCAGAGCACTATTCAATTTCCCCATGGGGAGGAGAGCAGCATCCTAAGCTCCAGAGTCTAGAGTGCTCCGGCGGAGTTGGAGTAGGAAGAGACTAAGATAAGGTGCACCGATACCGCCGACAGTCTCGCTTTTGGAGTCATCCTCTTTTCTGATCCCCAAGCGCTGCTGATGCGATACCATGGCTACTCCAAGTCCGATCCAGCCCACTTTCCAGGGCTATCTCAGCTCGTCTGCCAGATCGCCGCGCTCACGTCGCAATCGGCCCTGCGACTTCTGCCGCTACCGCAAGGTCGCCTGCAAGATAAGCGCGGTGGGCGTGCCCTGCGAGCTCTGTCTGGCTAAACAGCACGCTTGCACCTTTGATGAGGCCCCTCGGAAACGTCGGCGGCCTCGGATATCTGTATCTCCTGGACCGGTGGATAATATGGACACTGCTGGGGACGAATTTCCGGCTGCTGATGGGATCGTGGATGAACCGACCCAAGGCATCGCGCCAGAGATGAATCTTGACCACGACCTGCATGAGATCAGCGTTCTCGACTTCTCACCCTCCGCCGTCCTGCAAGGGATGCATTCCCCATCGGAGCAGCGGCTTATCGACCCCATCGGCTACACTCTACAGGACGGCCTTCACCGCAGTCCGACCTCTATACAAGCGGCAAATTCGGTGCCTACTCCGGCATCTGCGACCAGCCAGTCGCGTTCCTGTCAAGGGAAGAACGCGGTGGTGTCTCCTTCTTCTCCAGAGCCCGCGAGTGGTCGACCTCCCTCGCCTCTGATGCGCTTCGTCGGTTCTTCTGGGGACCTCGACACCTACCTTCTAGCGCATCGACATTACGACGAACAGAACTTTTCTGTTTCGCGACATACTCAAATCGTTTACCAGCGACTGCAGAACCTGGAGAGTTCTCTTGCGGAGTGCAAGCCTCCACCGCTACTGACCATGTGTCGGGACCCCTCGCTGCCGAGAGGCCACGAGATCACCGATATCAAGCTGGTTCAGGATGCGCGACAAGAGGTTCATCAACTGCTAAACCTCGATACGGCCAGACGACTGTCTGCACTCTTCGCCCGCTTCGTGCATCCATACTTACCGATCATCGAGAAAAGGACGCTAACTACAGATACCTCCCGCCTCTTTGACTCTCCAGCCTTGCTCGCTGCAATAGCTGCTACGGCCAGCCACTTTGTAGCTTACGACGATGTGTTATGCCTCAAATCGTCCAGTCCTCCATCTCCGGGACGACTCTACCAGCTGAGCTGGCGATTGGTGCAGGAGGATTTGGCGTCGCCGCGACTCTCGACGGTGCAGGTGTTGATACTGCTCCTCCATCGTCATTTGCCCGACGAACTCTCCTTCGAAGGGTCCATGGACTCGAATATTCGAGGATTACTCGTAGCGTCGACGTACAGCCTCGGCCTGAACCGTGACCCAAGTAACTGGGACACCCTTTCGCCAGACCAACGGAAGCTTCGAAGATGTCTCTGGTGGGTCGCGTGGGTGACCGAGAAGTGGATGGCTTTCAGCGACGGCATGCCCAGCCAGTATCACCGCGCCGATTACAACGTTGCACCGTTGGAGGAAGCTGATATAGCTGCACTCAACGATAACTCGACTCTCCCCTCGCCGTTCGTGTATCTGAATCAACTCACGTTCATCCTCGATGATGTGGTCCAGTCCTACTTTAGCCTTGCAGCCTCCGATCATACGTCGAGCTCGCTCTCCGTATCGCTGGAACTGGCCAAGAACCTTCGACTGCGTCTGAAAGCCTGGTTCGATGGCTTGCCAAATCGCTTACAACCCCATGACCGAAGAGCTACGACAGATCTAGATGATGTTGATGACCCTGAAGTCGGTGGAAACTTCTCGCTCAACCTGGCGTACATGACGACCCAACTGGCGATTTACCGGGCTTTGATCCGCCCCGTTTCTCTGGTCGCATTACAGTGTCATACATGGCACAATGCCCCAGTTTCAGTAGAGATTGACTTGGACGCGGCCGAGGCAGTTGTCGAAGGCGCCATTTCCAACTCGAAGTCTCTCATTTCCTCGCTCACCAAGCTTACCACCGCCGAGTGGGATTCGTTCTGGCCAGGATGTAAGACCTTTTGTACCTACCTTGATGCGTGGATTTGGCGATGAAGGGATTAGCGGTACTTACTGACTGGCATATAGGGTCACGGCATAATTTTGCTTCCATTTCGACATTGCTCTTACACCTCTATCTTCTCACCTCTCGCTTCCAGGCCTGGCCTCTGAACACTCCTACTTCCCCCACCAAGTCCGCCGCATTTTTTCTTTCCAGGCAATTCGAAAAGCTGCAAGGCCTAATGCCAAAGTGGCGGTGGCACCTGATCCTGGCTAGTCGCGGGGCTGGCGGTCGCAAGGGCTTAACTAACCTCGCGCTGCTGCGACTCGACGCCTTGATGAATGAATGGAAGGAGTCTCCGATGCCGACCTCTTGAAGGCGGTAGATGAACTACTCTAGATTAAGTCCTTGATCTTCTCATCCTCTCGCAACTGCCCAAAAGCTTCTGGCCGCGGCAGCTCGAACATAGTCGGACAAGAGCCATACATGATCCCTCCCGCCCTGAAAACCGGATGAAGTTTCGTAACATCTGCGGTTGCGCGATCCGGCCCGATTGCATCATTCCAAATGTGGAAGCGGATGACCTCGACAATCACCATGGTTGATGTCCGGACAGAAGGGTCGGCCTTGCTGTGAAAGTCCTGCACCGAGTGCAGCTTACATTCAACCGAGTACGGCGATTCGGCGACATGGGCCGGCTTGACCAGGTCACTGGGCTTCTGGGTGAGCCCCGACAGCGGCCACTCGGATATGTGGCGGGGAGAGTTGACGGAAGCAAAGTTGGCGGCCTCAACAACGGACTCGGTGGTCATTGAAATGCACATTTCCTTGGTCGCCAGCAGGTTGGTCAGGGTGTCATTGGCGGTTCTGCTGGTAAAGGAGATGGAGTACATTGGCGGCTTTGCAATCTGTTAGCCAGCATCAACAAAGCTGTCAAGAAGAGCTCACATCGACAGCAGCACACTGCCAGAATGAAAAGGGCGCCAGATTGGCTGTCTTCCCGTCAGGGGACACGGTACTGGCCAAGGCGATCGGGCGCGGGACGGTCGCCGAAGTCAAGAGCTTGTAGTTGAGCCATGGCTCCCTACCCTCCTCGTACGGATCGATCGTCACGAATTGATGCTTCTTCCATTCCTCGTTTGAGGCTCCGCCGCCTGCTTGCCAGTTCGGATTTGGCGTCTTGGTGAAGGTCAACTGCGTGTCGTGGTCAAATAAGGGGCGCGATCTCTCGACGGCGCCGAAGTCGGCGTGCGGGTTGCGCTTGATGGCGGCCTCGTTGCTTGGAGCTTCAACCGGTTCTTGTGGCATTTTTCTTGATCGAACAACCCCTGTCATTCGCTCCTCTAGTCTACATATAATAAAGAAGACCAATTGACGGCGACGCAACGGCGACGTAACGGCGAGCGGCAGTTGGCCGCCGATCACTGCCGACGCGTCTCGGCCGACCTCGGCTGGAAGATAAGGTCACCTGATCCACTCTCTTGCGATAAGATAAGGCCTTTGATGAGTCAGCACTGGGATCACCCCTGAATCCCGCCGTATCTCGTATTTTCGTCACACGATCAGACCCCGCCCCTCCTCGTGCTTGCGCCAATGCCTGCCCGACGCCCACATACAAAATCCCGCGCCGGGTGCCAGCGATGCAAGGAAAAGCACGTCAAGTGTGACGAGGTCCGCCCAACGTGTGGCGCGTGCGCGAGATACGGCGTCCCCTGCCTCCCCAAGCCCCTGAAAACACTCCGCCGGGCCAGGTCCGCCCTGCCGGAGAGTCACACATCCGTCGCAGCTTCGCCTGCTCCGTCGCTCGCCACCCCAAGAGAAAGATCCTCGCTCAGTCTATGGGAATTCCAACTTCTCCACCACTGGATTATCCATGTCACCGAGTCTTTCGACGTCAGCCCCGGCTTTCGCCGTGCCTGGGCGGACCGGGGCGTCCAATTGGCCATCGAGCATGATTTCTTTTTACACATGATCCTCATGCTCGCTGCTCTTCACCTGGGCCTGACCAAGTCGCCTTCCTTTACCGAAGCACATCGTGCCTTCATCCTAGGAGGTTGCTCCCAAGCGACCGCTCGTTTCCGGCAGGAAGCTGAAAACGTCAGCGACTCAAACTGTCACGTTGTCCATGCTTTCCCTTACCTCATGTCGATCTATGCCCTGGCTCTGCCGCAGTTCGATCGCGAGGAGAAAGGCGTAGACGCGGTCCTCGACGAGATGATCCATATACTTCTTGTGATCAAGGGCAACGCTCACGTCAAAGACACATGCAGCCCACAGACCCGAGCGCAAGTGGTCAGTGACTGGATGGACGAAAGATCTTTTCTTAATCAGTCCACCGACAGTCACTACGATATGGATCTGATGCGCGCGCTCTGGGATCTACGGCCTTGGATAGACTCGTCAAACGATCACCCGGACATCCGCGGCATCAATCTGCAGACTCTCCAGCTGTTCCTCAAAGCCCTCGAGGTCCACCTGAAGCCGAGTCTGAGGCCGCTTGCATGGCCGAATGCGATCCAGAGCAACTACATAGGCTTGCTCAGGCAGCGGAACCCGATGGCGATGGTGATCTTGGCTCATTACGCCGTCGTCCTTGGGTACTGCAGCTCGCAGTGGTGGTGCTCAAACTGGGGCGCGCGACTGGTGTCTGTGATTGCGGCGATGCTGCCGGAGAAATACCAACCGGCAATTGCCTTTCCATTGAAGGTGTTGAATGTGAGGAATGACCAATAGCATATCTGTATAGTAATAAACCGTTATTTTGGGGACAGAGTCGAATTAGTCGGGGGCATCGCCAAGACAGACACACCCGTATGCGTATAGGGCCATGGTCAGCATTTCGTCTCACCGCTATTCGTTCAAGCTCCGGTGACTCTGAAGCCGAGAGATACGATGATCCTCGCATCTGGCCTCTCAGAAAGCATGATTTCAAATCGCACACCACTGTTGTGGTGTTGATATTGTACTCCGCAGTGCGAATACGCATACGCTGTGGGCCGAGGCTGAGCCTCACGATGTACACGCCCAATGCGTCCACCAGAACTATTTAAAAGATGGATGAAAGTGACTTACAGAGAGAAGAGAACACGCAGCATTCGAACAGTCAAAATCATGAAATCCACATTCCTACTCGAAACCCTCCTCTTCACCCTCGCCGCCGCCGGCTCCTGCCCATACGGCCACGACGACCACAAATGGCAGAGACCCGGACCAGAAGACAGTACGCCTCCTCTCCCAATCTATTCAAAACTCTACTAAACAAACCATGTGCAGGCCGCTCTCCCTGTCCCGGCCTCAACGTGATGGCCAACCACGGGTATCTCCCAAGGTCCGGCAAAAACATCGACCTGGCCGCCGCGCGGTCCGCCATAAGCGGCGCCTTCAACTACGAGCCCACCACAATCGACTTCATGTTCCAAGCCGCACTAGACTTCAACCTCTCGACAACCGGCAACAGCAGCACAATCCACCTCTCCGACCTGCGCTGGCACGACACCATCGAATTCGACGGCAGCCTATCCCGCAACGACGCCTACTTCGGCGACAACCTGCACTTTAACCCAGAGATCTGGGACACCGTCGCGCAGGCCATGAACCTCTACGACGCCGGGCCGTGCGGGAACGAGACGCTGGTGAGCGTTGAAGTCGCGGCGAGGGCGCGCGCGATGAGAGTTAAGGAGGCGATGCGCGTGAATCCGGCGTTTAATAACAGCCAAGGTGCGATGATTGGGTCTCCTGGCACGACGGCGCTGTATCTTACGACGTTGTGGGATGATGAGCTGGAGGCGGTGCCGAAGAGTTGGGTTAGGGCTTTTTTTGGTGAGTCGGGTCCAGATTTATCCCATCTGGTGAAGGGTTAGGGCATTAAAAGAAGTCGGTGGGCTAACGGTGCTTGTAGAGGACGAGCGCATTCCGTATATTGAGGGGTATAGGCCGCCCAAAACGCCGAGGAACGCGACGGATATCTTTGAGATGAACGAGCGGGTTCTTGCTGTGGAAGTTTAGGGGTCTCGACTGCTTCAGGCACATTGAGAGTGGCATTGGTGGTTGGGTTTGTGATTGCATTGAGTTTAAGCATTGCAAGGTTGTTATTGATGTCGCCTCATTGAGCGGTTGGATGGCGTGACCACCATAGCACAGCGAGGCCAAAGACTCAAGAGTAAATACAAGCATAGACTTGAACGCGATAGCTGATCATGGCCAGACCATCAGGAACCAACAGCAGCGCAAGAAGACTGACATTTCTCGTAGGCCTTATTACACCGTAGAATACCATGGTAGCAGGGAACGCCTCTGCCCTTGGGACAGCGCCAAAGATAAAGCCAAAAAGTCCGAGTTCGTCACATTCAACGCATAGCGAATCTACCTGTTGTGTCGTCCCCTTTGCGTTTTCCATGAATTGCCGATTGAATCGATCCACCCGTTGCTCTAATATCAAAGCCCACCAAAAACTCAGTACGCCGCTCCGAAGACGCGATAAACAGATATACCAGCAATCCGCAACGGAGCGACTCTTCTTATCTCTCTTCATCGACATGATGATGGAAGAGGGAGGGGAAGAGGGAGGAGGGAAGAATGGAGAGCTGGGCGGGATGTATCAGACTTTGGTGCAATGAGATTACGATGATCATGAACGTCGATGGAGAGGAAAGAGAACTAGGAGATTCCTGGTGGAGGAATGGTCACTAATTCAACGGCAAACGCAATGGAAAGGACCAGCATAGATAGGTAGTAAAGTTGAGTGTGACTCGTGGAGCGGTAGACAAACGCCGTCAAACGGAGGCCCTTGCACCTCAGATCTCGTCGGTAAGGAACCAGAGGATGAAAGCTCTCAAAGCTTAGATTCGGTAGGACTAATGGAGAAGCTTAATTGCCATACAGATCTTTATGTGATAGTTTGCCAAAGATAGTTGGCTTTGGGTGATTTTGGTATTGTTTTCGTCTCGCCCTTTGATATGGACAGCTTGCTGGCAGGGCAAGGTCAGACAATTACATGATTCTTCCAAGGCAAAGTCCTGACGCGGGTTCAATGAGAAATAGCTTCATTCTGCAGTCACCAACATGGTCATCGGGCCGAAAGCACTTTCAATTCGATAGCCCTGAACATCCATGATTGACATAGCACCATAACAAGGTGCTCAAGCCGCAATCAAAGAGTCGGAGCCAATATAACAGCCGCGCAAGCCTTCTGACACGCTCCATACGATGCATTGCACCTGAGCACAGCAAGCGATGCGCCTGCGGCAGGGACAGCACCAAAGACAGCCCCTGCCGCCGCATAGCAGGCCATCACGAGCTCCGCGCACCCGGTCTGGCAGACACCGTAGGCTGCTGGGCCGGCGTCGACTCCGACTGCGGTGAGGATAAGGAGGAGGAGGGCGAGGGTGGTTTTGGGTGTTGAGCGCAGTTGCATAGCGATTTGATGCGTGTTTCGGGACCGGGGTTGTCTGTATGCCACCCTATCAGGTTTATACGTGTCTTGGAAGGCACAGGAAGAGGAGAGAAAATCACAATCAGTAAGGAGTAAACACATGGGGACTTACGGCTCTGGACGATGTAACGAAGACCGAGTTACGACGGGGTGTCAAGTATCAGGGCTGGTAGGTGAGAGAGAACAAGTAGATTGCTTTGGATGGTGATTGTCCGCGTTGGAAAGGGAAAGGGAGGTCATTCTTCCGTCAAAAGTACTGCAATCGTCATACTGTACAACCGGGGGGCAGGTCCGTGGTAGGCCTGGTGGCTCCATGGTAACCACGGTGGGACGACAGTCTTGGACATGGTTCCGGCCTGAGGAGCTAAACTCAAAGAGAGTCAAGTCGTAGGCGTTTTATAGGCGCTTTTACTTTAGTTAAAGAAGGTACATAACAGGTGCCCTGATGTCCATGCCCCCAAGTCAGGGAGCACAACGAGGAGAAGGGGAAACGTGGATTGGCGACAATAATCCCACCGTTGCGCCGTGGGGCTTTCTGCTAGGACGAGAGCTGTTAGTGACTATCATTCTCCTCGCTTCAATATAGAGAGGAATGGAGATGGCCTAGTTTGAGTAATCATGTATGAAGACTCAGCGAGGCGATTGAAGTGTCGGATATGATATGGTCAGAGGATGGCACGTACAAACTGCCAGCTAAAAGAACCGACGGCTCTATTATACACTGCCCAGGTACGTTGGGGAAGAACGAAAGCTTACGTGGAAGTTGAGCTCAGTTGGGATTCATTGATAGTATGGTAGTGACAGGTAGGCAAGGGAGATGAACTAAAGTTGAGACCATTCAACAGAAATTAGAAAAATAAAAGAAATAAGAAAAACAGGATAGCCCAGCTCATTTCTCCCAGTTCAGCAGCAGACGATCCTCACTCTTCCGGTACTGTACCAGCATAGCCACAACCATCGCAGGGTCAGTCGTCTCCGCAATGATCTTCGCGTTCTTCTCACGGATAAAGCCCTGGGCAACGCCATTGCGAATCCACAGCATCACCCCATCCCAGTACCCATTCACATTAAGCAGCACAACCCCAACCTGATGAATCCCCAGCTGATTCCAAGTCGTCATCTCCATAAGCTCCTCGATCGTCCCAAAGCCCCCAGCCAGCGAAACAAAGCCACTGCCAGGCCCACCCTCCATAACCTTGGTGGCCATAAGACGCTTGCGGGTATGCATGTCGGGCACGATGGTGGTCAGCCCGTACTCGGTGACGGGTTGCTCAAGCTCGGACGCAGACGAGACAACACGCTCCGCGGCTTTGGCGCCATTGAGTTCGCGAGCAGCGGCGTCAGCCTTGACCTGGACGAGGGCGCGGGGGATGATGCCGTGCACGGCGGTTGGTCCGGAGAGGGCCACGAGGGTTTTGGCGACCTCGCCCATGAGACCGGTGGTGCCGCCGCCGTAGACGAGGTGCACGTTGTTCTTGTGGAATTCGACGGCCAGGGCGTGGGCGGCTTCGAGGTGCGCGGCGTCTTTGCCGGGGGTTGCGCCGCAGCTGGATTGTTAGTTAGGGCTAGGTTGGACATTGGTAGGAGACTTACAAGACGCAGACGACGGCTGGCTTGGGTTCAGACATGGCTGCGATTTGAAGATCTTTTTGAGATTGCAGATTGTTTGGAGGAGTTTGAGAAGGTAGATGTGTTCGGATGGTTGGTGGTTGGAAAGAATTGGTCTCGTCCGGGAAATCAGGGGATGAAGTAGTTCGTTCCCAGAAGATCAGGAGCCAGCAGTGAATGTGGAAGGGTTACACTCCCAAACACATTCACGGCAGACAGCATTATAAGTCATCACCATTCAATGCTTTTGCTTATCAACATGGGGTCTGGAATCTTATCAAAAGCTAGAAAATGCAAACATCAAGACTTGAATTCATGACTTAACCGTACAATATTCACCTACCAAGAACCGTCTCATCCTGGCTCAGCCCAGCCCATCTCCAGCACGCCTCCCATAGCCTCCTTTGCACCTCAACATCACCAGCCACTTTGGCCGCTGTGTCCCTCTTCTGCCCAACAAAGTAACCGCGTTTGCCCTGGAAGCCCGGGTCCAGGCTGAGAGCGACAAGATCCCGGCCCGAGTCTTTGTTGGTGCGCAATGCTGTTGTCAGATGTTTCAGAACAGGCATCAGAAACTTGACGACGGCGAACAGACGCTGCACCGTTGCTTTCTGCTCACTCTGGGCTCTTGACTCGACGAGGCCACCGGGGTCTATGGCTGTTACTCTGATATTTGAGAGCTTCGGGTCCTATATGCATCTGTTAGAGGTTAAACCTTGGCAATTGAGTCGTACATACGCTTTGTAGCCTTCGGTTGAGGTCTTCCATGAAGATAACATTCGCCAGCTTAGCCGTCCCATACCGCTGAAACCCCCTATCATGAACGAGATGCGATGGATCAGGTTTCGGTTTAACAAGCTCCTCAATATCCTCCGGCACTTCAGGCCGTAGTGAGGTCAACGGATTCGGTCTCTCCGGATAATGCGCGTTCGACCCAAGCATCACAATGCGACCCGAGTCTGCATCCATACTCCCAAGCAACTTCAGAACAAGCAGGTAATGCGCCAAATGCCCAATCTGAAAGGTCGCCTCAAGTCCATCAGAGGTAAACCTCTGTCCGGAACCAAGCGACCACGTGAAGGCGTTACAGATGATCGCTGAGATGGGCGGCAGTTCCTTGGAGGAGATGCGGGCGGCGAGGGTATCGGCAAAGGAACGCACGGCTGCCAGACTGCCGAGATCGAGGCCTTCGACGTGGACATCTGCAGAGGGGTATTTGGATATGAGTTGTGCCAGTTTCGCGGTGTTGGGGTCTTTGTCTGGGGATGGGTTTCTGACTGTGGCGATGAGGGTGTGCTGGGGGTATAGTTCGAGGAAGGATTCGACGAAGCCGAGGGCTAGGGAGCCGTTGGCGCCTGTGATTAGGACTGTTCCGGGCATGGTGAGAGTGTTCTGTAGTCAATGCTGAACGTTTAGGCAGATACGGATCTGTAGGGCTTATATGCATGCCCAGTTGCTTAACTCCGACCACCGCTCCCAGCATTGGTAAGCATGACCCTAGCCTCTCTGTATTGGGCAGGCATAGGGCTTGGCCTGCCTAAGTCATCCATGGAAGCTGTATCTGATGACCAAGCTCACTCAGCGCAGGAGGTCATCTGCTTGAACGGAGCATAGCCCTATCCCCGACAATCCTTTCCCCTTCAGGAAGGCGGCGGGCTTGGCAACTATGTAGGCTGACTGGAAAGGGTTAGACCAAGATACCCCACCTGGCTGTGGCTGAAGCGGACTCTGGCTTTCTCTCGATCTGTCTCCTTCATCAATCTCTTCCTGCATGCCTTCACACACCACCATGCCCGCGCAAAAGCTACAGTTCATCCACAGCACATCGGCACCCCAAGCCGATCCGACCGCATCCCAGCGGCGACTCGCGCGGTCCCACGCCGCGCGCTCCACCCACGCCAAAGAGCGCCGGCTGCGGACAATGCAGTACCAGGCCCAGAAGGCCGAGAAGGCCCGTGAGGCAGCTAGGCGTGCTCCTGCTCCCGTGCATACAGCAGGATTCGAACACGGCCTGACACCCCAACCTAACCACATCCTCTCATACCACCGGCGAGACCCATTCGCCAGCTCGGTCAGGAGTCTGGGCCCGATGGAGCAGATGCTCTTCGACCACTGTGCGTCTCGCTCCGTCCATTCTTGGCTCCTAGTCAGACACTAACTGTGCTGTCAGACATCACCGTCGTCATCCCCCTAATGCGCTGCAACGCGTTGGACAGCCACTTCGCCCGCAACATGACGCTGGCCTGGATCCCGCTCGCGCTGTCAGAGGAGGGCCTGCTGAACATCCTCTTCCTCGCTTCGTCTCGCCATTTGAACGAATGCTACCGCCAGCGGCAGCAGGCGCCATTCCACCGCATGGCATTCCAGTATAAGCTGCATCTGCTACGGTCGCTGCGGGAGGCGATCGATGTGGAAACGCCGCGTTTTACAGATATGACAGTGCTGAAGGCTATAATGTTGGCGTATGACGAGGTAGGCAATTCAATAGTGGTGTTTATAGGACGGTACTGACAAAGACAGCTCTGGACGAATGATGAGACGATCATGAAGAGCCATGTTGAGGGGGCTGTGAAGATGGTGGCGCTTAAGGGAGGGATGCACACGCTGGGCTTGGATGGGTTTATCGAGCGTCTTCTGTTTAACCTGCTGGTCAAGGTGAATAGGGAGATGAGGCTTACCGTGACATCCGAGTTTGATCCGCGGTTGACGAGTGTCGAGATAAGGCGGGAGGGCTCAATTTGATACTACTAGGAAAGAGTGGCAGTTGACAAGGAACAATGTACGGTAGACACTACATAGCCTGCACATCCAAGGGCCGATAATGCTCCTCCAACAACCGCACCTCCTCGTCCGTCAGCTTTATCCCCAACGCCTCCGTCGCCGCCTCAATCCTCTCTACACTATTCAATCCCACTATCGGACACGCCCCCTTATGCAGAAGCCACGCCACAGCAACCGCACTCATAGAACACCCTTTAGCCCGTGCAATCTCCTCCACAACTCCAATAATCCTCCCATCCTGATCTCCCGCAAACCACCTCGCCGCCTTAACATCCTTCCTCGACCGCTCGGTCTGGACATCCGCCGGTCGGGCAAGCAATCCCCTGGCCAGCGGACTCCAAGGAATAAGCCCGATGCCCTCAACGTCGCAAAACGGATTCACATCCCTCTCCTCCTCACGGTACAACAGATTCCACAGATTCTGCATGCTCGTGAACCCAGTCCAGCGATTCAACTTGGCCGCGTAATGCAGCCGCGCAAGTTGCCAGCAGTGCATGCTCGACGCGCCGAGGTAGTGCACTTTGCCCATGGCAACAAGGTCGTGCAGGGCTCTCATGACCTCCTCCGGATTGCGGCGCACGGACTCATCGACGCGATGGAGCTGCAGGACATCGATATAGCTCGTCCCCAACCGCTCCAGGCTGGCGTGCACAGCAGCGAAAATGTGCTTCCGGCTGAGCCCCATCTGGTTCACGAGATCCCCGTCGTTGAGCGCCGGATTCGGGCGCGCATTGGGATCCTCCATGACGGGGTAGTAGAGCTTCGTCATGATGACGACGCGTTCCCGGGGGATGGAGTATTCACGCAGCGCCTTGCCGATGAGCACCTCGGACTGGCCGTTCGAGTAGGTGTTCGCTGTGTCCCAGGTGTTGATGCCGCAGTCGTACGCCTTCTTTAGTAAAGGCAGGGCTTTTTCTTCTGGGAGGACCCAGGGACTTCCTTCCCATGCGGGATTGCCGAATGTCATGCAGCCGAGGATGACTCTTGAGATCTTCAACGAGCTCTTTCCGAGGTATTGGTATTCCATCGAGGTCTGCGGCTTTGGATGCATTGCGTAGGCTGACAAGATCTCAATGTGCTAACTTCTGGACGTCGTTTCCGGAAAGACGAGGTAGAATGCTGGAGTACTTCCAGGTCGCTTGTTAGGTACCATCCATGAATAGTTACGGCGTGCTCGGAATTGGCCCGAGGCAATGGAGGTCTCTTCTCTAGAATAATGCATTGTTATCGCTACTGCTCACTCGGCGAAGCACCGAGCAGCGGATGCCTCAGTGGGAGAACGCGGGTTTCTCTCCGCTCCGACGGGCCATGAGGTACCGTATACCCTAAGATGGCGCTTTGCTCGCCGATACGGTCGCCTTCCGAAGGCCTTCTTGTGCTAACAGTATTATATATTATATATGGAATATCTCGATCTCTACCCTTGTCGCTTGGACTATATACTGGGGTTTCAGTCTGGAGCAATCTCCTGGCTATCTAGGCTTAGGGCTTCGCCCAGCAACACCATGTGTCCAGACACCTCACAAATCTCGACTACCTCAAGCTCTGGACACTCTTGTATTCCCAGACGATATTTGGGGAACACGATCAATTCCTATACATATCGGTTTGCTTTGCAAACTACCTAATGGCCCGCCAGACGGAGGTAGGTGAATTGCATCCATGCTATCGACGGCGGCATGTTCACGAAAAGTGATTCGACCAAGAACATTCCCCCGGCATAGACAGATTGACACTGGAAGTGACGAATATAAGGTTACCGATGAGTGGCTGGATCGTATCCGCATATTGTTTTGTAGGCGGTTGCGAATTCGCAATCCGCCATGCTTTGGGAAGACAGTATGCTGTTCACAGGTATCCCAGCTTAACAAAGCTCTGCCGATGAAGTGTCATCCACGAGAGTTCCTTGACTCTGCCCATGCGACGTGCACTCCAGGGGAGCTTGTCCATGCTACGTCACGAAGTTGGAAGTCAGGTCTGGAAAGCTGAATTCGCCAAAGTCCGTAAAGAGGAGGTCATCCAGGGGCTGCGTGTGTTGCTCTACACCTGGGACAGGCGGATAGTATAAAGCGTCTTGCTGATTTGGCATGGCTGATTGCACGTAGGATTCGCGACGGATGAGACCCGTAGCAGTGGCAGAGGGGACAGCGACTCCAATGCTGGAGGCACAGTCATGTAGCTTCCTGTTCAGACCAGGCGTCATTCGCCAAATAGGATGCTGAGGAATGCAATGGGTGCTACGGAATAAGTTTAAAGCCCCGTCGATGAGCTGGAAGTCATCCTGCACTTTGATGGCCAACTGTTCGTGGTAGTTCTGGCAGATCTCTAATAGTAGATGGCCCGCAAACGCGATCATGACGTGGAAGTAGTGAGGCATTCCTACGAGGCCCTCTTGAAGCTCACACTCACCCAAGATCATCTCAAAGATAGCGGCAGCAGTGTCATGGGCCATTGCAGCCGCTGTCAGCAAGTGCGGCGGGATTGGGCGGCCATGGAGGCCTTTGAAGACCTGATGACCGAGGTAGAGCTTGCCGAACTGGTAGTGTAGCTGGAGGCCCCGTTTGGGAAACTCTCCGATAAAGGCATTGGTTACGAAGAGGCCGGAGAACTTGGTATACCACTTGTCTAGCTGGCGTGAGTAGTTGAGGATCTGGCTGGCTAGGGCTGGCGGCAGGGGGGTCTGGTTGTCGGAGCCCAGGACGTCGCGCACCTGGCCCATGATGAGCAGCAGTGACACTTGCGATAAGATGCGGACATCGGACTCGGTCGTCTCTGCACGGTGCAGGTATGACTCCCATCCGACTGCAATGCCTTTGTCACTTCGCAGGAGCGAGTCGCGGTTGTGGAGGATGGAGAGATGCTGGTCGCAGACGAAAAGAAGATACCAAAGCCGGACGCGGTCGGTGGCCGAAGCCGGACTCTGCAATGATGGAGAAGGAACTGAATGGCCAGACACCGGCCTCATGCCTGTCTTGTCGTCAAACAGAGCGTCGAAGCTGCGATGCAGGCGGATGTCGGCCGCACGACGGATCGCGTCGCTGCACAAGATCCGCGAGGCATCCGCCAGCCAGAACGAACTGATGCACAACGCCCGGATGTACTCGACGTCTCGTTTCTCAAAGGTCGATTTGGCCACCAGCGACCGGAACTCGCGGTTGCAGGTCTCGTACACCGCGCGGTCTTGGGGATCATGCAGAGCAGAGACGGTGCAGATGGCCGCGAGGAGGATGGGGCTCGCCCGGAGCTGCTCGAGCCCTTGAAACTCCCCGCCAATGCCGTAGAGATAGTGGTCCAGCCGGGAGAAGTAGTGATGGACGAGGCGCTCGGCGACCGTGGCGGTGATGATGCCCTTGCTGATCAGATCCGACCTTGCGCCCGATCGGCTCGCTCGCGCGCTTGGAGGGGACTCGATGGAATGCGGACTGCGGATCTTCGTGATGTCGAGAAACGTGTCGATCGGGGCTTGAACGGCAGACGGCGATTCCGGGGGCGACACCTCACAGCCTTCTTCGTCTTCTTGTCGGCCTTCTCGCTCGGGTTCTGGAAGGGGACATGACGGGGAGCCATCGCGGTCGCTGCTTGTCGAGACCAGAGCTCTGGGGCCTTCGAGTCCGAGATGTTGGCAAAGGGTGTCGAGAGTGCGGTGGAGACGCGAAACATCGGTTTGAAGGAGCTGGACGTTTCTATCTGGTCAGCTTGTCCGGTCGCTCCTGCAGACGGATACTTACTTGGTGTCATCGATCAACGATTGCAGACTCCGATTCAGCACGCACGATAGGCCTCGTCGACGACATCGGACACAGGGAGGGCCATCCTCGGACATGTCGCAGCGGATCTATCGCCATCAGCTACCTCAGCGACCGTGGGATCCAACTTTCGTACCTTGTTCTTGCGGCAGGCTGCACAGGCAGTGATCTTGCGGGTAATCCCCGGAAGGACCTCGACCAGCCGATTCCCTTTCTGCCCTTGATCGGAGGACGATTCATTCTGCCCGTTCTCGATCGTATCTGCCTCCCTCTTTCGCTTGGGCATGGCTGCTGGCTGCTGGTGGATTCATGAGCGACCGTGATGGCGGAGACAGAGAAGCTGCCACCCCACGGGGAGATTTCCTGGAGGCCCATGGCCCCATTGCTGCATGACTCGGGGCGACAAATGTTTGTCTCCATCTTCTCCTCACTTGACGGCCAATGGCAGCTGATATAAAAGGCATGGCGGACTGTTCTCCGCCGATCGGGCATCCTCCGATGGGGCCCGGCGGGTTGACAGCTGACTATAGGGATGAGCATTAAGCTATTTATAAGGATGAGCGTCAGAAAGCAGAGATATGCCTGCATACTGCAATACAATGCTGTGAGTGTTGACATGACGTCCACAATTACGCCCAAGACCAAACCCCTGCCGGCTGGCATCTACTGCCCCGTGCTCTCCCTCTACAAGCCCACTGCCCGCCAAGGGATCGACTACGATGCCTCGTACAAATACTTCGCCTACTTGATCCGCGGGGGTGTCGACGGCCTGGTCATGGCTGGAACTACCGCCGAGGCAGTTCTTCTTTCTCCGAGCGAGCGACAGGAACTCGTCCGAGTAGCGCGTCGAGCCGCGATCGATCTTAAACTGCCAGACTTCCCAATCGTGGCTGGGATCAGCGGACAATCGACAAACGAGTCGATTCGACTTGCGGAAGAGGCGCACGAAGCGGGGGCCGACTTTGGCCTCCTCCTGCCACCATCGTACTGGGTGAAAGCTGTGACAAAGGATGTGATTGTGGACTTCTACCGCGAGGTTGCTGATAACAGCCCAATCCCCATTGTCATCTACAGCGTACGTACTCCCCATTTACTCTAGAGCGTATACTGACTATTCGCCCTCCAGTTCCCTGCCATGTGCAACGGCGTCGAGCTGAACTCCGACGTCATGTCCGAACTCGCGCAGCACCCCAACATCGTCGGGACAAAGCTTACCTGCGGCAACGCAGGGAAGGTCACCCGGCTGACGCACGAGTATACGCATGAGCAGTTCGGAGTGTACGCCGGATCCTCAGACTGGCTGCTTCCGTGTCTCATTGGAGGGGGGTCAGGATGTGTGACGGGGATTGGGAATGTCTTTCCCAAGTCCGTGGCTCGTCTCTATGCGTTGTGGAAGGATGGCAAGGTCCAGGAGGCGACGAAGCTGCAGGGTCTCGTAGCGCAGGCAGAGAAGGCGTGCAAGGAGGGCATCGCACCGACCAAGTTTGCGGCGGGCTATTTTGCTGGGCCACGGGCTGGTGTCACGGATCCCAGGGCATTCTGGCCGAGGAAGCCCTATAAGCCTTCGGGGGAGGAGAAGCAGGAGTGGGTGGTGCGGGTGATGCAGCACTTGGTTGAGATCGAGGAGTCAATACCTGATCGAGTATAAGCCGTTTACTTATAGAGAATGAATATCGTGATAGTAATCTACTCTATTTCCTAAAGAAGTCCTCCCCAATGCGCACGTACTTGATCGTCTGGCGCCAGAACGTAAACGCAACATGAATCGTCCCATCCTCTCCAACAACCATACTGGGATACGATAATTCCCGATTCAGCTTCTTCTCACTATTGTTCGTCAGGCAATACCCATCCCCATCTTCAAGGACTCGATGCTCCCACGTCCTCCCCTCATCATCACTCCACGCGACCGAAAGAGGCGCCCTCGGTGCCCCCCAGAATGCCTCCTTCCCATCGCTTCTCGCCTTCTGATTCGGCCGACTATCCTCACCGTCCGTAATCTCGTCGTACAGACCCTCCCGCCGACCAAGTGCATTCCTCCGCGAGGAGTGGTTATACACAACAACCACCCGACCGGCGGGCAGAACATCAAAGCAGATCCCGGCATTGGGATTCAGCAGCGATGTCGGCTCTGGCGCACTCCATGATAAACCATCCAATGAAGTGGAAGAGTAGATGAAGTCCGCCCAACGGCTGCGATAGAGCGCCAGGTACGACCCGCTCTTCAGCCGCTGGATCTCCATGTGCACGCAGCCTGTGCTCTCGGGGACGGGAATCTCGCGCCATGTCTGGCCGTGATCGTTGGATGTGCGGATGGACGAGATATCGTCGTTGCCGATCCACTTTGCGCCTGGTTCAACGCGGCATTTGAATGTTGGAATCACGAACGTGCCGTTGTCCAGGGTTATCACCGGTTGTCGGATGAATGTGCCTGGCTCATTGAAGAGGATTGAAGGCTCACTCCAAGTTCTGCCATCGTCCGTGGAGATATTCCGCTTCACCACCGCGGAGTCCTGATTTCCGCCGTCTTGCGACGTGTAGAGGAGCCAGAGTTCGCCGGAAGGGTGCTTGAATAGGACAGGGTTCTGTTCACTGCGCGTGTTGTCGTGCGTCACCTTTACGGCGTCGCTCCAGGTTGTGCTTCCGGATTGTAGTCGGGCCAGATAGATGCTGATGTCGGGCTTGCCCTCCATGTTACCGCCGAACCAGGCGCAGAGGAGGTCGCCACTGGGCAGCAGGAGGAGGTTGGATGCGTGGCATTGCACCGTCGCTGGACGCAGGTATGCTTCTTGATAGGTGTATGGTCTTCCTGTCTCGCGGAGCTGCCCGTCGAGTAGGGCTTTGAGATTTTCTTGGGTGATTGACATGGTGCTATTGGTATAGGGACGTGCTAGAGTGGCAGTGCCGAGGTATGTAGCTCCAGCTACCCCTCTTAAGGCATGCTACATGTCGGCGACTTCTAAGCGGAGGCCAGCCCGAGTCTCGGGCATAGTCCGTCAGGGCGAAGGTTGCGGAAGACAGTCCGATGCCATGACAGTCCGATGCCATATCAGGGATCAGCACGGTGGGACGGCCACCCCATGGGGAACGGCTGGGCGCCGGGATCCTCAGCGCTTGATCTGGCTTAAGTAGCTGTACTCCACCTGGATATCTTCAGACATACGCCATTGAAGTGACTTTTCTTGCTCAACTCTATCGTGGCCTTTGGGAACCATACAACAATGGCAGGCGGAACAAGCCTCTGGGCCAGCAAAGAGGCCAAGACCGACCCCAAGGAGATCTTCAATCTGCGGTTGCTGTATCTGCTCGTCACCTTGGCTTGGGCGGGATGCTTCTACGGTTTTGATACCGGCAATATCGGTGGCATCTTGACGCTACCCTCGTTCGAGACGGCATTTGGCCTCATTGATCTGCCCCAGGCGGAGTATGACAACCGCAAGGTACCTCCCTTATGACCTCATCGCCGAATGCAATATACTGACAATCCGGCAATTAGGGCACGATCGCAGCAATGGTCGCAGCAGGCGGCGCCGCTGGATCCCTCCTCGCAGCCCCAACATCTGACGTCCTCGGTCGCAAGTGGTCCGTCTTCCTCTGGGGCCTTGTCTTCATGCTGGGCGCCGCGATGCAAATGGTTCCGAGCTACGACGTCCTCCTCGCAGGCCGATTCATCGGTGGTCTCGGTGTCGGCGCCAGCTCTATGCTGAGCCCTCAGTTCCTGGCCGAGAACTCACCCAAATCCATTCGTGGGTCGATGACGGCGACGTATAACCTGATGATTGTGACGTCGCTGATGTTGGCGTTTTGGGTCAATTATGGGGTTTCACTGTGGAACAAGCCTGGTATCGAGAATGATGATACGCAGTGGCAGACTGCCATGAGCATCCAGCTTATCCCCGGGGGACTCATGGTGCTGATGATTCCGTTTGTCCCTGAGACGCCAAGGTATCTTATTAACCATGGGAAGGCTGAGCAGGGGCTGAAGAACTTATGCCGCTTGAGAAAGCTGCCGCCTGACCATCCTTATATCCAGCTGGAATTCAGGGAGATTCAGGCGCAGGTGCAGTTTGAGCAGGAGACCTTCCAGGGTCACAACTACTGGGTCGTTGTCAAGGATATCTTTGGAAACAGGAGCAACCTGCAGCGATTTGTTCTTGCGGTGTTGTTGTTTATCTTCCACAAGTTGACTGGGACAGACTCGTTGAATGTATGTTCATAAGACCCGGGATCTGGAGCTTTGCTGACGGGGCTGCTGCAGTACTACGCGCCTCAAATCTTCGAGCTCATCGGTGTCGAAGACAACTCGTCCCTACTAACGACAGGCGTCTACGGCGCTGTCAAAGTGGCCGCAACGATTTTCTACGTTGCATACCTCGTCGATCGAGTAGGTCGCCGTCTCCCGCTCCTGATCGGGGCAACGATCCAAGGCACTGCCATGCTTTATCTTGCCCTCTATCTCCGCTTCGCCGGCAAAGATAATACGGATATGGGCGGCACGCCTGCCGGTGGCATCGTGGGGATTGTATGGATCTATCTGTACGCATTCGGCTGGTCCTTCGGGCACAGCGTCGCGTGCTACATCGTTGCAGCGGAGATTTTTCCGACGAGAATTGTAAGAATCAGCCCTCCATTTCCCCTTCGATACTAACGGACTCAGCGATCCGTCTGCATGGGCTTCTGCTTCTTCACAAACTGGATCATCGACTACGGGATCACGCGCGCAACGCCCAATATGCTGACGAACATGGGGTACGGGGCGTTCCTGCTGTATGCGCTGCTCACGTATCTCGGCGTGGTGTTTATCTTCTTCTGTCTGCCTGAGCTGAAGGGACGGTCGATTGAGAGTATGGATGACTTGTTTCAGCGGCCGCTGTGGACGATGTGGAGGCATGCATATCCGACTGAGGAAGAGACTGTGAGACATGGTGTTCGGGACGCGAAGCAGGCTGAGAACGAGGAGCGTGAGGATGGAGACAAGCGCGAGAGTCGGGCTAGCCATGTGGAGACTGCTGCGTAGACTCAGAGACGAAGTAATGATTCGGCTACGATAGTACTCCAACCGAACCACAAGCATAATAGCCAGCCTTGCGTCCGGAGATGCTCCGCCGTACCCTCCATCGGCCTTCTCCCCGCTCACTCTATCCGAGAGACCGCGGGGTAAGTACGGATCGTCACACTTATATGAGACTGTGGTATAGTGACTGTTGCCGTGAAGTTCGGGTAATCAAGCACAGCAATGGCTACCGAGACATTCACCCTAAACACAGGTGCAAAGATCCCAGCCGTGGGCTTCGGCACATGGAAGGCCGGACCTGGCGAAGCAGCGGCCGCAGTGCAGGCTGCTTTTGATGCAGGGTATAGGCACTTTGTACGTGACTCTGCCATGGCATAAACAACCAGCTAACCCGCCCAGGACTGCGCTCCTCTATGTACGCTGTACCATCATGCACACTACCGAGCACAGGCTAACCTCAACAGACGGCAACGAGGCAGAGATCGGCCAGGTGTTCAAGAATACCAAAGTACCGCGCGAGGAGTACTTTGTCACGACGAAGCTGTAAGACGAGTGGATTTTCGACCCATTATCGCCTGCTAACAAGGGCGTTAGATGGTCCTCCGACCACCGCCGCGTCGCATCCGCACTGGACAAGTCCCTCCGCGATCTCAACCTCACCTACGTGGATCTCTACCTGATGCACTGGCCCGTGACACTCGACCCATCTCCAAATGACGCGAACTACGGCCAAGAAGACCGCACTGTGCATGCGAAGAGCTGGGATTTCCGCGATACATGGCGCGCGATGGAAAAGCTAATTGATACGGGCAAAGTCAAGGCAATTGGCGTTGCGAATTTCTCGACCCTTAATCTGAAGAAACTGCTGGAGACCGCGAAGGTTGTCCCAGCCGTAAACCAAACCGAGATCCAGCCGCTGCTTCCGCAGGATAAACTCCATGCTTTTTGCGATGAACATGGGATCCATCAGACAGCGTTTGGACCGTTGGGTGGATCGGGAAGTACACTACACCAACAACCGGTCATTGCCTCAATTGCGAAAAGAAGAGACTGCGATACGGGAAACGTAATGCTCAGCTGGGGCATTCAGAAAGGATGGAGCGTCATACCCAAGAGCACGAATCCAGCGCGAATTGAGAAGAACCTGAAGGGGAACTTTGTGCTTGATGAGGCCGAGATGATGGAGATGGATGGATTGGCGGTGCCGAAGGGGAAGAGGTTCAATCGGCCGAATTGGGGGACGGTGGTTTTCCATGATGACGAGGCGGTTGACTTGGAGTAGATGGACATTACTTTTTCTGTACATCTGCAGCTTCAAATATCTCTGTGTCGAACAAACACTCTAATGCCCTTTGAATCAAGCTTTGGGAGGGGTAGGAAGTAATCGTGAGCGAGCTCAATGTCGGATATGTCTGTCTCAAATAGTTCAAAGTCGAAGAAGCGGAAGAATGATGCGAAGACGAGGTATAGCTCGCACCAGGCGAGACTGCATCACATATGTCAGCACTGTGATGGACTAGACGTGAAGAGCACATACTTAAGTCCAAGGCATGACCTAGTCCCTTTTCCAAAGCCAACAAAGTATCGTTCAAGGGGAGCCCCATTCTTCGCCTTCGGGTTATCAAGCCACCTCTCCGGAACAAACGAGTTTGAATCAGGATAAATCTCCTCATCCAGATGTAGGAAGGGAATCGTCATCGAGACAGGCGTATGAGCCGGTATAACCCAGTCCTTGAAATAGATTGGTTTTGGCAGACGACGTACATTCCGGGATGTAGTCGAATGCGACAGCCGAACTGCTTCTTTGATGACGCCGGTCAAATAAGGAAGTTTCTCGAGCTTGGTCCACTCTAGGGCCGTGGTAGGGTTATCCAAATCGTAGGCCGAACCCGGAATAGCTTCATCGAGCTCACGACGCAGACGGGCAAGGACATTGGGGTTGTCGAGGAGGTAGAATGTTCCCACGGTAAGTGCCCATCCAGTCGTTGCGAGGCCTGCGCCGATGACAAGTTGTGCTTCGTCTTGGAGTCGCCGGTCTGCCTTTTCCGCCTCGGGTAAGTCGCCATGTATCAGGTCTGAGAAAACAGTTTGCCTGTCGTTGTCAGAACTGGACGAGCCAGCTGCTATAGACTGCTTGATGTCTCGGATTTGCTTGCCGAGGTCCTATCCACTTTGTTTAGCATTTCTAGAGGCAAGGTTGGAGCCGGCTCACTCTCTGCATCCGAAAGATGGGCGCATAGACCGGATCGAGCTTCTCAATCCAAGCCTGCGGCAAAGCGTTCATGATCTTCGGGACCAGGGGAAAGTGTAACGCTGTGTTCCCCGCGATAGTAACATTCATAAACGCGTCGTGCAGGGTAGGAGCCCACCCGTCTTCTCCTACCGCCGAATAATCATGGCCAAAGCAGTACTGCATGATGACATCCTCACTGAACGCCATGAAGCCTCGGTGAATGGGCATTGGCGCATTGAGCGCTTTATACTCCTCGACTCGTCCGATCAGGGTATCAAGTTTTTGACGGATGATATCCTGGAGCCCGAGGATGTGCTGTCTGCTAAAGAACGGATTGAGGGCATTTCGTCTGATCCGGTGTAGATCATCCGGGGCGGTCGTTAGAACGGAGGTATCGTTTCCGAATCGACCAGACATCCAGGCGTATTTGTCGACGCGGCCGGCTTTCGTGTAGATTGTTTCCCAGAGGTCGGCGTCCAGGATGTGTAGCTCGTCTGGGGCGATGCGGATGATCGGGCCTAGAAGAGTATTAAAGGTTAGAAGGGTGTGGTCGGGACGTTAAGGCAGACGCACCATGTTTCCTATGCTGCTCCTTGATCCAGAAGATGAACTTCCCCTGAAGGTAGACATCGTGGTAGACTTCGTGCCAGCGACTGAGAGCTGCATATCTGGGGCCTGGAAATCCGGCCAGCGGATGAAAGAACAGGCGATAACCAACTAGCCCCAGCACATAGAGGATGTGCGTCGATACAATGAATATGATCCACGTGCTGAAGGGGTAATCTAGGAAGATTCGAGCCATGGTTGAGATGGTCAGTGTCACTCCAGCCATCTGTCTGCGAGGGGGTATCGTTATTTAAGCAGATCGCTAGCACCGTTAGCAATCACGATTTTGACGTCTCGATTGTCTCACCATATGGGGAGACTCCTTCCGAACAAGGCACTTCTTAGATTAGCGTTGGCTTGGGTAGTTTCAAAGTTTGTGCAGCGGAGTCGCAGGTAATGGCGAGCATCCATCCGTGCAATCAGATTGAGGACAAGATAATGCCATGTGAGACGGTCTGGTTTAGCTTCGAAGGATCGCTTTAGGCTCGAGAGAAAACCGCCAGCGAGTGGTGGAGGAGCATGGAGGGTTGCTGGCGCGGTGTCGGAGGACATTGCAAACCCGAAGGTTCATGCCGATTGGTCGACGTGACTGTCGTTATTTCTGATTTGAAGACGCAGTCTGGTGATACTCCCCAGCTTGCGGACTGGTGGTTGTTGTTGTAGAGTTGTTGTCTACCGGCAGACCCGGCAACAACGTGACTTCCGCGTTGGAAAGTACTCCGTAGCTACCTCACGCCAGGTGAGCCCGCAGTCTTGTTTGTGTAAAAGGGAATTCTGTATTGAAATGTCTTCCACACTTTTCCAAGAACCTCCCTATCTCTTGTCCAACCGCTTGGTTGTTGTTATCTTTCTCGGATACGGGGCCAAGATATATATATCAGGAATCGCAGCCGCAACGACGAATTCACCCTGACTGTGTACGAGAGCAATGATGCATATCATGCGCTTAAAATGGACTTGTTATAACCTAAAAAACCTCGTCTCCTGCTCACCACTACGCGTCTCGCTCGCAAACGCGTTGCTGAGGGACCGAGGCGTTGTTTACATGGGCTACCCTACGGTAGTACAAAAAGAGCCAATCCAGGCACCAAGGCATCAACCCTAAAAGACAAGACGCGTGGATATCATTAGAACTCTCCAGTAAAGCAGTCTAATGCACATATCTGAACGCAAGAACCTGCCCCTCACCCAGCCTCCGACTAACAGCCCCAGTCGCGCTCGCGCCAGCCTCCGCCCTATCTTCTTCCTCATCCATGCGCCGATTCTCCCTGCGGAGGTACCACTTGATCGTCAGCGCCATAACCGCACAGAGCAGACAAGCCCCGCTCATAATCCCGCCGCCAGCATAGTACCTCGGCTTCTGGGAGTCCGGAAACATGTACGAGGTGTAGAAGTGCGCGACGCCCGCACCCATGAGGTTCATGATTGCCAGGGCGGCGGCGCGCTTGGCGCGCGGTCGGGGCAGCGACGAACTGAGCCATGAGACGCACAGGTTGTAGGGGGAGTAGGAGCCTGCTGTCATGAGGAACATGCTGAAGTAGCGGCCGCCGGTTGTGGGGATGAACATCGCCTGGCGCCCGGGCTGATTAGCAATGCGGGTTGGGGAGGGTGAAGTGAGTAGTTGACGTACGAGGAGGTTGCCTAGGAAGGAGAACAGCAATGGAATTGCGATGTGGAGTCCGCGCTCCTGTTTATGAGCTGCGTGGAACGAGATGCAGAGGGAGCAGATGAAGGCGGCGAAGTAGGGTGGTGCCGTGAGCAGGAGGGTGATGGTTTCGTTGTACCCGAGGGTCCCGACGATGGAGGGGAAGAAGTTGTTGAAGGATTGTGCGGTGATGAGCGACATCTGCATGATGATGAACATGTACAGCTTTGGATCGCGGACCGCTTGTTTGACGCCCCAGGTTAGGGACTTGGGATCTGTGTCTTCGATGCCCGCGTTCTCATTTTGGAGTCGCCAATCCTGTTACATTGTCAGCATTCATCTTGAAGACGCTTGTACGGTATAAATCCTGCCGCTAGAAGTTGTTGCTCTCGGGTTAGCCACCACCGCTTCGTGGCTAGAGGAAAATCCGGAATAAATGGGATGACAAGGATAGCGATAGCTATAGTCATGGCGCCTTCGATGATGAAGAGCCATTGCTATCTGGTCAGAAAGGAAGACAGACATCAGGTTGAGGTACGTACCCACGCCGGCCGGTTTAACTTGTTCTCCATCCGGCTGATGATTCCAGCGGCAATCAACCCACCAAATGCACTAGCCAACATATTGGCTCCATAGAGTATCGCGATGCGTGGTGGAAGCTCTGACCTCTTGTACCAGCATGAGAGGAGCAAGAAGACACCGGGCAGGAATGGGCCTTCAATGAGGCCTAGGATAAAACGGCACATGAAGAGGCCAGCGAAATTGGTGGTGAAGGCCTGGCACATCGAAACGATGCCCCAGCCTGCCGTGACGAGCCCGATGTACAATGACGGCTTGACCTTCAGGATCAAGATGTTCGACGGCACCTGAGTTAGGACATCTGACGTACATCAGCAAGTTCTCGATGAGCATGCAGGGAGAAATACAGCCGACATAGAAGATCATCAAGCAAGTATTGTACTGAGTATTCGTGATGCCAAGAGAGGCTGGCAGCCCGGATATTTTGGCATTGGCAATGTTGTTCCTGGAGTTCATTAGTGACCTGAGAAGGAAACCTGCGACTGAACGTACCTATCCAGAATGTTCATGAGGAACAGGATGACCACAGCGGGCATGAGATGAAAGTCAAGCCGGCGCACTAGCTTGTTCTCCAGGAGTTCCAGATCCTCTGGAGTTCGCTCCTCCAGCTCCGCTGGGAGTGGCAGTTCCTGTAGCGGAGGAATGCCGACCTTATCGATGGTCTCAATCTGTTGCTTGGCTTGTTCCATGTTAAGATGCGTGGGGAGCTGGTCTCCAGGTGGAGTTGCCTGCGGGAATACTGCATATTTGACTTGTTGTAGCATGGCATGATACGGACTGGTTTCCGAGCTGTCAGGAAGCATAGTGCGGGGTCCCCGGATTTCCCCAGACGAAAACAAGTGGAGAGAAGTCCGAAGCCCGATGATCGCTGTCAAGTAAACTCAGCAGGGTGACTGGATAACCAGATTAGGAACAAAGGAATAAAATCTTCGTGAGATTGGTGGTGATTTGGTAGCTAAGACTGCGCTTCAAGATAATCTAACACCTGTTTGGCATTGACAGGGGTAAATGGCTGTCCGATGAGCTCTCCCTCAGATCCTACAGTAGCGAGGATGTTCTTCATAGCGTTGAGCTCAAAATTGATACGTGTATTCAGAGCGCCTCCGGCAATATGGGTGGTGAGGGTGACATTTTCCATGGCCGCGAGTTTCGGAGAGACCTGCGGCTCATGGTAGTGAACGTCCAGGCCAGCTGCGGATAACGAGCCATCCTCCAGGGCTTGAATTAGAGCTTCTTCATCGACAACCTCCCCACGAGCAGTGTTGATAAGCCGTGCCCCAGGCTTCATCATCCTCAGAGTGTCGCGGTTGATGAGGTGCTTCGTATGCTGATTCAACGGAGTATGCAGCGAAACGCAGTCCGACACTTTCAGTAGACTTTCCAGTGATTCATGGTAAGTGACACCCAGGGTTTGCTCCACCTCCTGATCCTGTCGGACAACATCATAGTAATGGACCGACATCCCCAAAGCTTGAGCCTTGACCGCCACCTTCTTGCTGATGTTGCCGAGCCCAATGAGGCCCAGAATATGGCCTCGCGGGTTATGCGAGATCGTCGCAATAAGCTTATGCGTTGCCGTAAAGATTTCTGGATCCGCTGTCCGAGCAGCCAGCTGCGCTCGAGTGAAGTTTCGGAACACGGAGAGAATCATGTAGAGAGTCGTGTCTGAGACTGCTTCGTCCGATGCGCCCGCGCCATTCGCGTACCAGATCCCGCGGCGCCCGAGAGCCTCGACATCCGCCCAATTGAATCCAGCTCCCGCGGATGCGAAGATGCGAACAGAGTCTGGCAATAAGGCGATAAGTTCGTCGTCCCACTGGCCCATCTCTCCTCCAGACTGGAAGTGTGGTCGAAAGATTGCGACGAATTCGCCGTAGCTGTACAGGTCAGCGATGAACAATGCACTGTGAAACTGCACCAACCGTTTCTCTTTTAGAGCTTTGATAAACGTCGGGCGATCGAACGCATTGTTTCGAATGACGTTGAATCGAGCAAGAAAGTCATTGTCATAGAAATCTTGGTTGTACTTGATTAGGTCGCCTAGATGGAGGACGATGGGTCTGTCCATGGCGGCAACTGTGATGGGCTCGTAGTCAAGTTAAGATAATAAAGATGCAGCATGGTGCCGGAGCCTTTGTAGATTAAATCAAAGTGTTCGGACAGCCTCCGGTAAGCAAAATGGACCTCTGCACCAGGGCGTTGTTGGTGGGAGAGAGAGAGCGCGGAGACCAGGCCGATGTGCATGCGGCATAGCTTACATAACCTGCACGAGCAAGGTGCACAAGGCTAAACCAGATTGGGAGAATTCCGTGGCGTCCCGAGACTTCGGACACCTGAGAACTTCAAACAAGCGCGAGAAAAGCTCTCACAACTTGCTGGGTTGACGCCCTGTCATTGAGAACATGCTTCTCCAATCAAGCTTTTGTCGAGACGTCTCGACCCAGTTCTATCGCTCGATTCCCCGGCTTGCAACGAGTTCGCCCCGCATTGTTGGCGGGAATTACTTTTCCAGCGGCCGGCCGTCGCGACAAGGTAGGTAAGTGAGCACCCTTCTTTGCTATCGTCAATAGACGCGGCTAACGCTCTATGGATGGAACAGACTCTCGAACTTCGACTCCCAAAAACGACCGGAAGCCGCCTGACCCTGCATCAATCCTAGAGCAGGTAATCGAGACCCGTAACCGCGCATGGAGTAATGTTCCAGGAACATTACCAACCGAGAGGTTTATCGGCGGCCTCCCTCGTAATATAGGTAAAACGACGTTGGAATATTTTTTCAAGAGACTCGGGCTTGAGGTGTATGATCTACTCGCACCATTATGCAAACGGCACACTGACAGCGCCTAGTCTTAACATTCGGATGAAGATATCTCGGTTCACTGGGAAAAATCCAGGCTTCGCCTTTGTGGAATTCCGATCGAGTAGGCATGCCTATCGTGCAATGCAGTTGTTAAACGGACGAGAATTTAGGGGCCAGATCCTATCAGTTCAGCATGTTGAGAGCAAACAACTACTACCCCCCAAGCTCGGGGGCCCTGAAAGCCAGTTGTGTAATCAGCCAGGCGTGCATAACTGGCCAGAAGAACGGGGACGGAAAAGCACTTGGTACTCAGAACGTGGACAACGGCTGACAGTCAGGGGGTTACCGCTCAGACCAATGAAGAGGGATGACTTCAGGCGACGGATGGTGGAGCACTTCAAGGGCTTCACTGTGTAAGTCTTGTAGCTTTCCGACATTTAAACCGCTGCTAACAAAACACTGCAATAATCAGTGAGAATATCAGCCCGCCGAAACCCTGTCGCAATCATATGCACAATCTAGCTAGGCCTCCCACAGACACACATTGCTTTATTGACTTTGCTACTGCGGAGGAAGCCGAAAAAGCACGGAAGACGCTCAATCTCAAGAGGGGCCCGTGGAATCTCCCACTATTCATCAAAAAGGGAAAACCCCAGGGGAAGAAGAAGTCGAATACGCCCAGCTCCACGAAACCTACCCCGGCTTCTACCGAACCCACGTTAGATGCCACTGAATCCATGTCAGGTCCTATTGAACCCAGGCCAGCGCCAACGGAACCGATGCCAGCCTCTGTGGAACCACCGTCATAGCAAAGCTTAGCCAAATCATCCGGATGAACTTTCGGAGCCCGACCATAATTGTCAGGCCGTCGAACGCACGGGAGTCATGTTTTTTTTTTCCCCCGCTCCGGTCCGCTTTTTGGGACGGCTTCTGTCTTCGATTGCGTGCTATCCCAACTGCCTAGTCCACACTCAAATTGCTAGAGCTGGAATCCAACTGATGCCGGGAAATCTCCAGATGGGCTATCGGTCTTTCGTTTCCCAAGTCTGAATCATGTGGGACCCGAAATGCAATTCGCGTCGCTGTTTGACGGAAGGGATCAACCCAGGCGTACCGTTCTAACGGTGGCTCGCATCGTCAGCTCCGTCGGTGCACGAAGTCTGCCGTTTATTACCCCAGCTAGCACCATCAGTGATTAGGAAACGGTCCGACTTCTGCAACCTCTTCCGATCGTTGACTATCATCACCCCTAAGGTGTATCTCATCAGGGCGTGCAAAGTATATCTATTGTCGCAAGGATATTCTATACGATATAGACCAACAGTGCAATCGAAACCCCCCTCCAAGGGTACACCAACGCCCAGTCATAAACTGTGCGTTTATCTTGCAGGGCACCCTTGCTCGCATCCTCCGATGTTCTTGATAAACTGCGCTTTGATTCCACTCGGATGGAGCGGTTAATTGAGCGCAATGCCCCTAGGACACCAAACCCTCAAACTGAACGATGACGAGTCGCGTGGCGATCGTTCAGGATATCGATCGATCCTGAGCGCGGTACCCGATCAATCTCGACGCGAGAGCGCCAAGAGTAGAACTGCTGTTTAGTAGACGACATAGTTATAGCGATAGTGGAGGTAGAGCACGATTAGCACTAGAATAACGCTCATTGGCGGGATAGCGCGTCTCCAAGTTTTGCAAGAGTCAACAGCCTGGAATATCCGCTCCGCTTATCAAAGGCTGTTCGGCTAAGCGTGCCGAATTATCTCCATCTTCCCGACTTCTTTCTCCCATCTTCTTAACAATGTCTGGGACTGAGTGCAGGCATCCATGGCGTCTGACCCTAGTCCGTCAGAAAAGACTGACGCCGTGCGAAAAGAAGGGCTCAATGTAGTTGCTTCAACTACTACCGAGGGGCCCCCATACTCTGTCTTCACCAAATATCAGAAACGATACATAGTCTTCTCGGCATCATGGGCTGGTTTCTTCTCGCCCGTCTCCTCGCAGATCTACTTTCCTGCCTTGAACAGTATCGCAGATGACCTCGGCGTGACCGGCGCGCTGATCAACCTTACGCTGACAAGTTACATGGTATGCTTCCGACCATTTAAAAGATAGTGTCGCTAAGTATAAACAGATATTTCAAGGTCTCTCTCCTATGTTTGTCGGAGATTTTGCCGACAGGGCTGGCCGACGACCTGCATACCTTGTGTGCTTTTTGATCTATATCGCCGCCAACATCGGGCTGGCATTGCAGGATAACTTCGCCGCCTTGTTTGTTTTGCGATGTCTGCAAAGCGCCGGAAGCAGCACGACTATCGCGCTCTCAGCAGGTGTCGTCTCAGACATTGCCATCGCTGCCGAGCGAGGGTCGTATATGGGCTTTGTCACTGCCGGGTCTTTGCTAGGACCAGCAATGGGGCCCGTCGTCGGTGGTCTTCTCTCGCAGTATCTCGGCTGGCGATCGATCTTCTGGTTTCTGACCATCTTCACTGGTGCCTTTCTGGTTCCTTTCGTTCTTTTCTTCCCAGAAACAGCAAGAGCGATCGTGGGGAATGGATCTATCCCGCCGCCGAAGTGGAACATGCCTTGGATGGCTTTATTTAGAGCTCGGAAGCAGCCATTGCCTGAAGACTACAATCGACCCAAGCTTCGATTCCCGAATCCAATTCGAACACTATCTATCGTGTTCCAAAAGGATATCAGTATCATCCTTATTGCGAACGCGATCCTCTTCGCCGGTTTCTACGACGTCAGTGCGTCGATTCCTTCGATATACGACGAATTGTATGGACTCGACGACCTCCAGATCGGACTATGCTACATTCCGTTCGGCCTAGGCGCGACCGTAGCATCTATCGCCACTGGCAAAATGCTAGATTTCAACTACCGCCGCCTCGCAAAACAGCTAAACGTGCCCCTGCACGAAACCCGGAACCGCAATCTCACCCACTTCCCCATCGAAAAAGCCCGGCTCCAAATCGCCCTTCCCCTCCTGGCGCTGGGCACATTCACAATTATTGCCTTTGGCTGGTGCCTCGACTACGGCGTGCACCTCGCGGCCCCCACAACAATTCTGTTCTTCATGGGTCTTTTCCTTACTGGGTCGTTCAACACAGTCGGTACACTCCTGGTTGATTTCTACCCGAGCAATGCAGCTGCTGCGACCGCTTCGAATAACCTTGTGCGGTGCTTGCTTGGTGCTGGTGCGACTGCACTGATTGACCCTATGCTCGATGCTATGGGGCGGGGATGGTGTTTCACGTTCATTGCGCTGGTGATGCTCTGTACGGCGCCGTTACTCTGGGTGGTTATAAGGTTGGGGCCGAGGTGGAGGAAGGAGAGGCAGGCGAAGATTGATGCGCTCGGTGCTTAGGATACCTTTGAATAGATCGCTCTTCCTCGAGAAAAGCGGATGAATAATGAGAAATGATATGCCTTCGCTCACCCCTCAACTTTGTCCCCTTAATGCAACAATGGCTGGCGGCAATGCCAAGACAAAAGGAACCTCCAACCTCTTCGCGGAAGGCACCTCCGCCCCTCCTGTCTCTTCTCTCTCTCCCCACCTCTCATTCTTTCCGCAGACCTTCTCGTCGTCAAGTGCGTCCGGATGCCGGTACCAAAAAAAAGGTCCGATTCAATACCCAAGCGATCTAGTCGACGTACACAATGTGAGTACCAACGCTTGCTGTCAATGAAGCAAGTCTGCAAAGCGGCTAGATGCGACGGGTAGTCCGCCTTTAGTTATCGTCTGGCCTGAGTGATTGCTAATAAGCCATGTCTCCCATCTAGGCAAGCGAGTCGTCTTCCTGTGACCCTTCACTGAGTGACCCCTTCCAAAAACATTCAGTCCTTTGGGGGTCTTCTCACAAAACATTCCTCCCTGTCCTCAAATCCCTCCTGCAGTTTTCAAAGCATTACGCCGTTTGCCTGGGGAAACCGAGATATGAAAGGTCACATCAAGGACTCTGCTGCGAAAGTTCGAGGCCACCAAGTTGCTGGATCATTCCGAGGAGAAAACCATTATGGCTTCACTCGGGGCAGCGGCCGGGAGATTAATTAAACAGGCATTGGGCGATGAAGAATTACGAAAGGCAATTTCAGATTCAGAAGCTACAAATCCACGTCCAACAATCGCTGATCTATTTGGCAAGGTCTACGCGGACCCCTGGCGCCACTGGAAGGACGTGCCTGTTTCCGGGAACTGCGACGATGAAGGCGGAATCCATGAATACGACAGCTACAAACTTCAGCGTAAACAAACGACATGGATTGAATTTCAATTGATGTCGAGGAATGGGATCGGTAGCCCAACAACATATATACACTCAAGCACTCGCACGCTCAAAAACAAGATTCACTTCCGCATCTAGAAGTCCTGGCGGGAGGCTTCCTCAACCTGCTGGCGAGCATGGCGCTTGGCCTTCTCACGGTCAATGAAGTCCAGGCCGCGGGTCTCAACCTCGCGGTCGATGAAGGCGCCGGCGAAACCAGCGAGGAGCTCCTTGGCGGTCTCGTGGGACTCGGGCTTGCCTGTTGCACATCATCAGCCCTGTTTGTTTATTCGGGTGGCGGGAAGAGACGATGGATGGACGCACCGTTACGCTCGCAGTGCTGCTCGTAGGCCTTCATGGCTTCGAAGGAGGCAGCGCCGGCGATGAGCTCGTGGGAGAACTTGGCACGGTGCTCCTCGTTGCCAGCATCGAGGTTGTTGAACTCCTCGTAGGAGCGGGACTGGTGAGTGTCGCCGTCTGTTGAGAGAAAGGCAGGTTAGTGAGATGACTTGAAAGCGCGAGTTGAAGGTTGAAGCTCACCGAACCAACCCATGATGTCTTGAGTGATGTAGAAAGAGGTGAAAACGTTAAGAGATGGTAGAGGATGTGATGATGTCTGAAGAAGAGATTCGGCGTCCGGGACAGGGGCCTTTATACCCCTCGAAGCGGGGTAGCTCCCAGGTCGTTTCGAGCCGGAGACTCGGAGACCGAGTTGACTTCAGGAGTCCGCGGTCAAGCCACAGTTGCATCATGGGCACAGTCACAGCTGAAGTGCGATAATAATAGCCCGAGGCGCTATTTTCCCAAGCTTTGGTGGGCCATGTACGGTGGGCCAGACCCAGCGGATAAGATGCGGCCATTGGACAGACAGAGGGCTAAGACTGGCTAAGACTGGCGTGAATGGCTTAGCATTGCTGATCGCCCAATTTTCGATCCAGAGGCCCCGTCAGAGCCAGATAGGGCTCTAGGCAGCAGCGTTCTCTGCAACGTTGTGGTGTCTCACCGTATGACTGAGCCACAGAGGGAGAATGGCGGTGGCGAGAGAGCGTCGTTTCAGCTTGTGGACTTGGTTTGGATTAGGTACCTGTGAGCTGATGATGGCATTGCTGACCACCGGTGCGTTCTCATCGTCTGGCAGTTCTTCTCACGGTCAGGCCTTCGCGGTACCTTCCACGGTCCCTGTCCACTGTGACCGAAGACCTCGAAATTTCGATGCTACTCGTGACTACGGAGATCCATATTGTACGGAGCAACAATGACATTATTGAACTGTGGCGCTGCACTATCATCAAGGTCCCCTCCAAGCTCCATGAGACCCATAGCAACGCCTTACCGCCACCCCTCCCCCTCACCGACATCGCAACCATCAAGTCTCCGATCAGACTCAGCTCAGCTTCCCATGTCTTGAAGTCCGAGTCCATCAGTCGTCACTCACATCTCCCTCAACTCATCATGAGCAGCCTTCTTCTCATCCACCAAGTCCTCAACCTTCTCCACGCCGCTAAGGCCCAGCTCCTCATTAATCCGCGCCATCCGAGCACGATCCGCCTCCGCAATCGAGTCGGAACCACCCCCAAAGTAAATATCGAGTTCCTCGAGCGTCTTGTCCTTGGTCTCAGGGGCAAACCACCAAATGAAGGCGCCGCCAAGCGCACTGAAGATCGCGAAGAAGATGTACGTGCCGTATTTCATGCTGTTCAGCATGTCCTTGGTCGTCAGACCAATGACGAAGTTGAACATCCAGTTTGTCGACGCGACGATGGACACGCCGCGGGAGCGAGCGCTGTTGGGGAAGATTTCTTGAGCGAGCACCCAGGAGACGGGACCTATAGATTCATCCTCATTAGTATGATGGGTCAGGACGAAAATGCCGGGAAGTGATGAGAGGCGACGTACCCCACGAATACGCAAAGTTCACCGCAAAGAGCCAGATGAACGCGATAGCGACCCATCCCTGCGCCTTGTACAAGCCTTCATTGAGCGCCCAGTCGTCCTGGTATAAACCCTCGACGGTCGCGACGACGATGTGGCAGCAGAACATGCCAGCGGCACCGATAATAAGGAAGGTCTTGCGTCCGAACTTGTCGAGGAAGAGCACGGCGGGGAGGGTGAAGATGATTTGCAGGATACCTGTCACGCCGGTGGCGAGGAGGGTCTGCTTGGACGAGGAGAAGCCGAACGAGGCGAAGATTTGCGGCGCGTAGTAGAGGACTGCGTTGATACCCGTGAATTGCTGGCAGATCATCATTCCTGCACGACGCCTGGCATTAGCTTTTGCTGAGGGAAGCCAGAGGAGGGGAGAGAGCATACCACATCCAAGAACCAACCGCTTAAACATGTTCGGCGCAAAGAGGGCCTTCCACGGCGCGAGCTTTCCACCAACCGCAACGGCCTCGCGGTCCGATTCCTCATCAAACATGACAGCGGCCTTGATCTCAAGCACCTCCGCCCTGATAAGCGGATCGTTGGGGTCGAGCCTGCGCAACTTCGACAGCGCAATGGTCGCCTCTTCCTCTCGGTGCTGGGACATGAGCCAGCGGGGCGAGAAGGGGAAGAAGAACATGCCGAAGAAGAGGACCCACGCGAAGAGAATCTGCAGGGCGAGGGGGAAGCGCCAGGCGATGGTCTTCTGGCCGAGACAGGTGTGGCCGTGGGCGGTTTCGTAGTCGAAGGAGCCGTCGGCGAGGTAGGGGTCGCTGAGGCCTTCAGGGTTGCAGGTGGTGCCGCCGACGAATTGCATTCCTGGCAGATGTTAGCAAGTGATAGAATGTGAGGATAAGACGACGGGTTTACCATAGTCGAGCCAGAACGCCACAGCTGTTCCGATGGTGATGGACAACTGCTGCAGCGAGACAAGCGAACCACGCAGCTCAGGCGGCGCAATCTCAGCCTGGTACAGAGGAATGACCTGTTCACCGTCAGCACATCCTACACTAAACTTAGACAAATAGGCATACATGACTGAACATGCCAATCCCCAAACCACCAATAATACGTCCAGCAAAGAAATACGCCGGCGTCTGCGCACCAGCCTGAAGCCCAGAGCCAAGGGTGAAGACAACAACAGCCACCATCATCGAATACTTACGCGAGATCCTGTCGGCAAGATACCCGTTAAACAGCGCACCCGCCCAAGCACCAAGCTCAAGCGCCGACACCAGCCATCCCTGGATCGTTGAGCCCATGAGGCCAGGGAAGTGATTCTGGAAGTTCTCCATCACAAGAACAGGACTCATCACACCCTGATCGTATCCGTACATGATACAACCGAGCGAGGCAAAGGCGCAGGTCATGAAGACGTAGGGGTTCTTGAGCATACCCGCCAGACCGTGGGGTTTCTCCGCATTCGTGCGGCCGACGACGGATTGGCTGACGACCATCTTGACTACTTTGGCCTCTCAGTGAGAGCAACGTATGCAGGGAAGTGTGAAGACGGCTACGGGAAAGAAAACAGCAAGAGCTGTCGGAGTCGCGGGGATGGGGCCCCATATATACCCAGGGGAATGTTCTGGTCTTTGAGTCGCACCATCAACTTTTTTCTCCCTCGGACGCTCTAGCCTCTGCTGGGGTCACTCGCGTGGTCTCCAGGGAGGGGACAAGTCGGCGGGGGCCTATCAGGTGTTCAAGAACTGGATAACCCCATCTGGGGAGATGTGGGAAACGAGTCAGACAATTTCTCGACCTCCCGGGCCCAACACCAGTTCCGGATGAAAGGTAAGCGGAATGTGAACCAGACTAGGATCAGACAGCAACAGCACGAGTCAACCACCAGACCCCCAGACCAATGTACCAACGAGTCAACGCCGCCCGTGACTCGCAAGTGTGGCAGGCAATATATGCCAGCCGGCTTCGGCCCAATCCCGGCGTGCACAACCAAAGCCGGTTCGGCGTAGTCCTTGATCAAGGGCTCCTGGCTCGAGTTTTGACCACAGCCAACGGGCAGCCGTGGACGGCATTGGCTACTGGGCGTTCCGAGGGATGCCTAGCGCCGTCGAGGGCAGAGGCCAAGGAGTGCCACGACCAATTGAGGGACGGGGTATGTGACAAGCGTCTACTAATGTAGCTTGATGACGCCAAGTCGACCTGGCGGCGCCATCTCGGTGGTTCGGTTCTGGTAGTGACGCGGCGTGGTTGTGGGATGGACTCGGGGAGAATGGGCTCGGTCATATGACTCAGGGGACGTACGGAGGTACCTCAAGGTCTGGGGAAGCGCGCCCTATGCGGGGAGGGCCCTCCTCTAGTACCTATGTAGATTGAGGCTTTCCGGGATACAGTAAGCCTGGACAGTCTCGATATTCTCAAGTTCGTAGACTTTCTCGGGGAGAAAAACAAGCACTGGCAAGCACACCAAGAGTTGGTGGCGGTGGCTTAGCGTGCGAAGACAAGAAAGAATTGACACACAGAATTTAGAAAAAGGAGACGCGGAAAAGAGATCAGGCGGTTTCGCCAGCTGGTGGTTTCTCCAAACTCCAGACCAATCCCCAGGCTCCGACTCCAGTCTCCGGACTCCAGAATTTAGCCCCAATTGGGGGTTTGTGCCGATATCCGGTGCCCTAAGTCAAGGATCGGAGATGACCCGATGGAAATGTTTTATTACTCTGTTAATTTCTGTAAAACATGTCGTAGAAAGCAACACTACGAATCCAAAATGCGGCAATGCCTAAGGTCAATCCGCCTTGTCCACATGCACCGTTCGAATCCTCCCCTTCATAAAATACTCAGCGTCCAGGGGAGCATCCTCAACGAGTTCACGCCCGTTCTCCAGCTTCCAGGTCCGAGCAGCGCCAGCCTGCTGTCCCCGAATGACAGGCGAGGCCCACCGCACGGCCCCAGCTGGCGCAACACTAAGCGCCCGATCCTTGATCGAGACATGAATCAACTCATGCGTCGGGCGCTTCTCGGAGCCAGCCTGGGCATACGCAAGGGGTGTGCGGACCGACTTCCCACCCAGCAGCCCCTCGAGGGTTCGAGTGAAGCTACCGTGTGGGACTTTGCCCAACTTGGTCGCCCACGTGGTATCTGCCTCGATCTCCCGGGGGGGGTGGTCAAAGAGATACTCCTCGATGTCGAAAGCGAGCTGGTTGTGCTTCGTGCACTGCGCTATCATCCAAGCCAGCGCGATATTCGATAGCCGGGGGTCATCGCCACCCCCGCCGACGTCCGTATGCACCCCAGAGAACCAGACCTGGAGCATCTCCTGTCCGTCCGGGTTATCCGGCTCGGACCAGAGCGTCGGCTGATAAGCTGTTCGCTCCTCGTCCAGCGCGAGCGCATGATACGCATACTTGACCTCCCTCGAGAGCTGCGTATTCCGGAACTCCAGCTGTTCGCCATACCACTTGCCCAGCCAAGGCTTGTGAAACGCGACCGTGTCCCAGACGCCAATAAGCTCGACCGTGAACCGGGGAAGCGGAGGGCGGAATCCCAGCTTGCGTCGCTCCTCGTCCGTGTATCCTGCGATCTTTTTGTCATAAAAGTCCTTGTACACGTTGGAGAAGTTGTCCATCCCGCGATTCGTGAGCAGGCCCCATTGTGTCACAAGACCCGCGACAGCGCGCGCCGTGTATGCGCCTCGCGAAAACCCGAAGAAGTAGATCTTGTCGCCGTCGGCATAGTTGTCGACCAGGAAGCCATACGCGGCGCGGACATTCGCGCTGAGACCGACGCCAGTGACACCTGTCCAGTCTTGATTAGTATTGGGAAGTGGACTGGGGAAGTTGCACTGTGTAACTGTACCTCCAAAGTATTTGTCGCCCGTCCCGGTCCCCACGCCCTTCTGGTAGTACACGATCTGGGGAATCTCGCGTCGCACACCGTTTTCCTCGACGATCGCGCTAGGACTGAGCGCTCGCGAAAGTCGAGTTACGTTGGACGGAGGCTCGCTCACATCATCGGTTGAATCCTGCCACGTCCCTGGGACTGTTGGTATGTGATGTTCCGCCAACGTTTAGGACACTTACCATCGCAACAGACAATGAGTCGCTTTGCTGTCATGTTATCTGAATCTCACCAATTATTCGAGTGACTGGAGGATAATTTCCCATCGCATCGCGTCAGGGTACGAGCTCGTTCTTAAGTCTTCAAAGTTCAATCTGGGGCTCAGCTGACGCCGCAGGGATAAGCTGCAGCCAGCTGAAAATCATGGTTCGAACACGAGATAGCGCGTCATGACTATAGCAATTTTGAGCGAGGCAGGGTGGCTGTTCACCAAACAGAATCAATGCCAGGGCTTGGCTGCGCCGTGGCGCGGTCCCTATCGCGGTCGCGACTCGTGTTGCTGCTGTAGCCAAGCATTTGGTGTAACACCCCAGGCCATGTATTGATCAGAGGGTCTCAGCCAAAAAAACTGGCTCGTTACGAAATGGTTACCGAGCGTCGAACGAACTGAACTGTATGGTATACGTACGCGGCTTGGTGCTGACATGCCCACGAGCGGAATCGTAGCGGAAATATATATCTGTGCCGGGTGGGAAGCTCTGCCTGTGCAAACCGGAGGAGCAGTCGCCCTCGCTATGTTGACGTCAAGCATTCATCTGCCGACCCATGGAAGGACATTTGTCGACTACGTGCATACACGACAAGGGAATTTTCCGATTCACTCCAGGCCCGTACTTCCCGATGGCCCATTCAGATTCAACAGCGGGTGATCAGCCAATGATTCCCAGAAGCCGATCTCAAAGTCCATGGGAAGCGAGTTCGTAAAACCAGGCCATTCATCCATCATTGGATCTGGCAGACGAGGAGCGTAGTCCGTCTGCATTGTCTCGGACATCGCGGAGTCTATGAAACTTTGGAGCGCATGTGTGGCCTTGGCCATCAGGTCGTAGTTTGGATCGCGCGGCTGGATTATAGACCCTGCTTGCAACTCTGCTGCGAGGACGGTAAGGTGCTGGAGCGCCCTGGGACTTGGGGAATGAGGGGCATTGGTTGGAGTGGACCGACGATTCAGCATGGCAAGCAACAGAATTCCTGCAGCAGGGAGGCCATAGTACGCTATCTGCACAGTGTTAGACTCACCATAAAACGGGAGCTTTGGACACTGCATACCTTCCAGACAAGACTGGTGCCAGAGTTGACTAGCCGATCTCGAAGAAGGATCAAGTCCACAACGATCAGGACCATCTCTTCTGCAACCTCAATTATCGGAGGGTCCGGCTGCGCTGGAGAGTCGAGTTGTAGCAACTGGAGCAAAAACAGTACATGAAGATGATTCAAGCGCACGGCTCCGAGGAAGTCTCCCTCAAAACGGTCCAAGGCCCGAGCTCGTGCCCTCAGGCTGCCGCAGTGCTGAAAGTGGCTAGGGAGTAGCCGGAACTGCTCGTCAGCCCTTAGTTTGATTTCCCTGCTCGTTTCAGTATTGGTCAAATGTTGCGAATAACAGGTAAAGGAACTCACGAAGCCCTTTCTCGGAACGCCACAGTGCCTCCAGAGTGCTCGCGATGAAGATACAGAAGGTCTTCCTTCAAAGTCGCGCACAACGCAGTCCACCGAGACTCAGCCATAAAGCTAGCTTTGGTATCAGGATCCCAGTGGCAGACATTGGTGTCGGATGCCTGACCAGAGCGAGATACTGACAACAGCCAGACGTCAGATCCCGGCGAGCAGCATGGAACCTGGAAATGACAAAAATGCCTGTTCATACGCGGAGGCCGACCGACAAATATGGCAACATTCTTGTCCGCAGAGTATGCTCGTGCGAAAACGGCCTTTCGCATTTCTGCAACAAAGAAGGGTGGGCCAGGGTTACCGTCAGGTAGCTTTTCGTGATACCCCCTGGCGTAAATGGACGATATCAAGTCGCCTAGTTTCCGCCACGATGAGTAACCTGGACTCTCAGTAAGAAAGTTATCGTATGAGATACTTGACGTTCAGACTTACTCTGATCACCATAAACATGGGTGTGCAAAATCCAGTTCTCATACTGGAGGAACACCTGGAGATCATTCAAGCAATCAAGTGACAGGGATAGTTCGAGTGCATAATCGCAAGCCCTGGTGCAAAGCCTCCTGAGTGTATATCTCCTTTCGTCGCTCGCGTATAGCGATGGAAAGAATGGCGTATCTATCGCGGCACGGGTAACAGCAGCTAGGAAAATGCCCAACATCTCCCAACGCAAATCATGGTCGATGAACTGAGCACAGAACTCGGGAAAAGTCGGCGAATCCAGTTCCAATGGTCGCCCCGAATTCGTGAGGAGATTTCTTGCGTTGAGGACGTGCCAGTCGTCTGACGTCGTAGGTACAAGGAGGTTGATGGCATCGATGCAGTGTTGGATGATGCCACCGGTCAGTGAAAGATTCGCGCCGCTGGTGAGCCATACCTTAACCAGCTCCTTCATGCTGGGGAGAGGGAAGGCATCGAACAAATTGCGGAGCGACTCGGCGCCCTGGTGGAGCAGTAGTTCATCTTCAGGCTGCGGCCGTGCGGCTGTTGCAAGGGTCGTTGTTGTTTCCTCTCGCGAAAACGTGCCGGAGGCATCGGGCGCTGGCGGGATGTGGTTGAAGATGACAGAGTGACTGGAAGATCCGACATAGCCTGGGTTTGGATAACGGTTGGGAGGGGTGGCTGTCGGGGAGGAGGTGGTCGGCGTGGTAGGATAAAGGTGAACAGTATTGGCAATGCTGCGACATTGTTAGATGCGATCATGCGACCCGGCGGGAGATGGCCATTGATCGCACCTTCCCCGTGGCCCATCCGTCTTCCTCCTCTTGAAGGGGGCGGTGCGGTAAATGCAGCCTTCGACTTTGTTGCCGCTTCTGCAGCGTTTACATACTGGCCGATCATGATCGCAAGCCAGCTTAGATTTTCTGCATGGTTCACAAGCTGCCTGCCTTGATGCCATTGCCCTCGGTGTGATGGGAGAGGTCGGAGAGGAGAGATCGGAGAATTGAGATTTGGGAGAGGTCGGAGAACCGGAAATCCGGAGTCTCGGAGTCTCGGACCGGAGTTAGCCCGGAAATGCATTCAGCAACACCACTCCACTCTAAACCACTATTCATTCTCGTATCTCTTGTGATTTATCATACAAAGCGTTCTACACTAAGTCTCGGGCTTTCTGATCCCGCAGGTACTCGAGCAATGGCCCCTGCGGTGCATCTTCGCGATCCATGACCACCTCGACCATCCTCAATCCTTTTCCCTTCCGAAGCCTTTCGTCTTCCAACACCTTTCGAAGCTCACCCCATGTCCTTACCGATGCAGTAAATGTATCGCTTCTCGCCCCGAATAGTTTCGGTGCTTCCAAGTACCTCCACCGTCCAATGTCATTGTACACCTGTTTGCGACCGTGGATACACCGCTCGATGGTATACCCGTCGTTGTTGATCAAGAAGACTACGACGTCGAGGTCAAGCCGGATAATTGTTGCCATCTCCTGGGCTGTCATTTGAAAACTGCCATCGCCAATGAAGAGAACGGTTCGCGCATCGCTTATACCATGGTAAGAGGAGGAAGAAATGAGCTCTTCCTGCGCCAGCGACGCTCCTTGGGCTGCAGGCAACATATACCCAATCGAAAGCCAAGTCACAGGTGTGAAGAGTCGAGCGTGCTTGGGCAGGGCCATCTCTCTCACCCCATGACCGGCTGTTCCAGTTTCACCAAGGACGATGTCGCCTTGTCGCAGGAAGTTTGCTACCAACCGCCAGACGCGATCCTGCGAGATAGACTCCTCCACTTTCGCCGTCGAGAAAGAAAGCAGGGAATCGCGCGGAAGGTCAGGATAAGGGTCATAGCGGGAGATCTTGTTGAGATCAAGGCACTGGGCAAGACGCGTGATAACGAAGTTCGCGTGGACATCACGGATTACTTCGGTGCCAATGTTGACCTCGTTGTCCGTGAAGGAAATCGTTTTCTCCACCTCGGGGATGCTGGAGTAGCCGTAGCTATTACTTGAGCTGAGATGAGGCCCGAAGAACAGCACAAGGTCGCACTGGTCGAAGAGCTTGGTGACCGCAGGGGAGTCGTAACTACCTCGATATATTCCGTGGAAATTGGGGAGGGTCTCGTTGAGAAGACCCTTTGCAAATCCGGTGCACCAGGTTGGCCATCCGGACGAGGTGACAAGAGCTTGGACGGCCTCCACTATTCCCATAGGCCTGCTTTCACCGTCGACGAGCAGAATCGGATGCTTTGCGTTGTAGATGCGGTCGATGATTCGAGCCAGAATTCTATCGCTCTTCGAACTCGGTGATACCGCATCGAGTTTAATGGAGTCGAGCAAGCCAACTTCTACCACCTCGGCACCCACCAGGTCCACGGGGACTTCAATATAAACCGGGCGGCTTTGAACGAGACACTGGCGCAAAACGTCGTCGATCTGGCGAGGAGCGGTACCGGCATCCCATATTTTTGCCTGGGCTACCGTGACCTGAGCATAGATATTCGCGAACCGTCTAAATTCTCCATCATTCAGAGTGTGATGGAACAATTTTCGACCTTCCTGCGCCGCCCTTGCCGGCGTACCGACAATATGCACAACTGCCGCCCTTTCAGCATATGCTCCTGCAATGGCATTCACAGCTGACAGCTCTCCGACACCAAAGGTGGTGATGAGTGCCCCCACGCCTTTGATGCGGGCATACCCGTCCGCTGCATATGCTGCGTTGAGTTCGTTTGTGTTTCCGACCCAGCGTAGACCGGCGGGCTCAACGTAGTCCAGCAATGCTAGATTGTAGTCTCCTGGAACACCATGAATGGAACCAATGCCCAGCTGGCGGAGACGATTGAAGAGGTATTCAGCGAGAGATGTGGATGGCATTGTGAGTGGCAGGAAAGTTGGGAGATATTCACAGTGGAATTAATCAAAGCTATATCCAGGTTTCTGGGGGCTATATGTACTCCAACGTCGGTAGTCCTGCCACAGCGCCATTTCGCCCCCCATCGGCGTGATATACTCCGGTAAACTAAATGGTCGTCAAGCATGCGGTCTGCAGCAACGGCGTCGGCCTAAGTCGGGGTGTTCGGACAGAGGTCAGGCTCACTCCGGTTACTCCGAAACACGCAACGATATTGGATGAAGATAAGAGATGGGAAGATCTCCAGGTATATAAGACCCTCAGGAAGCATGGAGACATGCAATTCTGCTAAGCATCCAATGGCTCGCCTACAGATTACCGACATCGAGGCCCTCCGGGCTAACTCGGCGCCGTTACCCTTGACCGTTGCGCCAGTCACATCCTCAGACAACTTCAAGTCCCACTATACTCAAAGTCACCAACTCGCTAAACGTTGGGAATCTCATTTCAGCGCTGAAAGCCAACATTTCCAGGGCTCTGAATTCAAGCAAACTTCCAGTCCAGCGGGAAAACGGAGGATCATCACCCTTGGGACAGGACGGCCAACAGCCGAGTACTATCCCTGGGAGTCACTCAGTTTCAAGGCGCACGATGTCTTGACCGAGATCAGCAATGGCACAGGCAACCCGTACATAACCACGGAGTGCACTATTCCCAAATACGGCGATGCATACAATCTCTCCGTCGGCCTCAACTATGGCCGGTCAGCCGGCTCGCCGCACCTTCTCCGATTTCTGACAGAACACATTGAACTCGTCCACAATCCGCCATACCGCGACTGGGGTGTGTTCCTCTCCTGCGGTGCAACGGCTGCATTTGAAGCAGCACTGCGGATCTTTTGCAACCGAGGCGACACTATCCTCACGGAACGTCATACTTATCCTGGATCTCTTGAAGCCGCAGTGCTAAACGGACTTCAAGTTTACGCTGCGGATATGGACGCTGATGGCCTTATACCCGAGGCTTTGGAGGGATTACTGATCTGCTGGGACAAGTCTCTGGGTCCCAAGCCGAGAGTCCTGTACACCATCCCGACAGGCCAGAACCCGACAGGGTTCAGCCAACCCACTGAGAGGCGAAAAGCGATCTACAATATCGCCGAGAAGCACGATCTCATCATCATCGAAGATGACCCGTACTACTTCCTCCGATTGGGCGACTACACACCAGGGAAAGAGTCAGAAATGTCCGCTAAAGTATTCGCAGACGAATCAGTCCCATCGTATCTATCCCTCGACACATCCGGCCGGGTTGTCCGTCTCGACTCCGCATCCAAGATCCTCTCCCCAGGACTACGCGCAGGCTGGGTCACTGCATCGTCCCAAGTAATCGACAAGTTCCTCGCATACCAGGATGTCACAACAGTCGCCGTCAACGGCCCGTCACAGCTGATGCTCTGGTCTCTCCTCGACTGTACCTGGGGCCACGACGGGTTTGCGAAATGGTTGGTCCATCTCTCAGCTGGGTATCAGCGGCGCCGCGATATCATGCTCCGCGCTTGTGATTGCTACCTCCCACATGAGATTGCGCACTGGGTCCCACCTAGATACGGCATGTTTCTTTGGATCAGTGTTGACTGGACAAAGCACCCTACTTTTGAGAACAATCTCTCAAGCACTCCACGGACCGCGGGTGTGAATCCGGATGGTCTTGATCACGAACTCCAGACACTAGAAGCCCGCGTTTTGGCTGAATCGTTGGAGGCTGGTGTTCTAGTCGCCAAAGGCTCCCTGTTCTCTGCCGCTAGGAATGTCGGTGCTCAAAGGGAGCTGAACTTCCGGATGACGTTTGCGGCGGCTGAGGAGGACGATTTGGAGGAGGGTGTACGGTTGTTTGGGGAGGTGCTGAAGAAAGAGTTTGGACTCACGGGTATTTCAGCTGTCTAGATGGTTCCGTGGATCAAGGAAGAAGCTCTACTGCTTGATGTTTCCCAATATGTTTCCATATGTACATGCTCTATTGACCATGCACCTGCTTGCTCTATGCCAGAACACTAAGCCTTGGTCCATAACTAGTCAGCGCTATGCAGAAACTGCCTGCATGGCGCTATGAGCCCTCGAATGGGGACTTCGTAATCCCGCTCAGCAACGCCTCCAACTCCGCAATATCCTCCAGCCTCTCCAACCCCAGCACAAGCTCTTCGATCTTCCTCTGCCTCTCCTGCGTAATCAAGCCCCTCGTAAACATGCGAAACTTATCCACAATCTCCCCATTCGTCAACGGCGGATCAACGCCTTTCGCCGCCCCAACAAACGTCGATATCAACCTCCCATCCTCAAACTCAACCGTCGCCCGCTGCGACATGAGATTCTCAAACTCCTCCGTCTGCCAACACTCCGTCTTCCCAACCAGCTCCCAAAGCTCCTCACGATTCAAATTGCTATCCCGGAACTGCTCAGCAAGAACCTGCCCATCGAGCAACTGCACCGCCGCAACATAAGCACAACTCATCTGCGCCCCCGTCGCAGTCAGCGGCCTCTTAGCAATCCAACCACCATGCTTGAACGCCGCCTCCGACATCTCAAACGTAATCTTCTTGATCCTTTTCAAATTCTCCAGCTGATCCGGATACTCTCTCTGCAAAGCAGCCATCGCATCAATACTCCCATGCGTCCCCGCCATAGCCGCATACGGCTTGACGCGAATATTCTCCGTCTGCCAGATCTCACCTAAACCCTTCACAATCTCCTCCTCGACATACGGCGGCTCCTTCCCACTCCCCTGACTGAACGTCCCCAGGAACCCGCCATACCGCTCCTCAAAGACATTCTTGATACCGCTGTACCCGCCGGCCGCTAAAAGCGCTCCAAAAAGGCCATTCCGCGCCGCGAAGCCGTGCTGCATGCGCTTTGCGTCGCTGCTGAATTGCGCGGACATGAGCCCGCACGCCTGCGTGCATGCTATCCCCAGCGCATCCTCGATTTGGTCTGTCGGGAGATGCAGGAGTTTGGCCACGGCCGCTGCGGCTTGCGCGTGCCCGAAGACAACGCCCGAATGCCAGCCGCGACTGAGCATGTGGCTCCCGTACAGGGCGAGGCCGACGCGGGGACCAGTTTCGTAGCCGGCAATTGTTGCGAGGAGGAGGGACGATCCGGAAGAGACGGGGCCGGTGCCGGTAGAGCGTGCGTTTGAGGCGGCTGCGAAGAGAGCGGGGAGGACGATTGCGTTGGAGTGCACGGGGGCGAGGGAGTGCCAGTCGTCGATCTCGAAGCCTTGGATTGCGGTGCTGTTTAGCAGCGCGGCGGGGAGGGGGCTTATTTTCTGCTTTGCTGTTAGATACCCATACTTCTCCCATTCGAGAATGGTAGGAAAGGGAACGGAACGGGATGTACCTTGTCATATCCCCAGACCGGGCAAGGGCCCTCGCCTTCCATGCCCAGAACGATACTTGTCGCTTTCTCGGTCCAGGGGAGGTGAGATGCGACAAGTGCGCAGCCTACTCCATCGAGGATGAGATATTTCGCTCTGGTTTTGATGTCCTCTGGGATGTCTTCTAATGTGAGGCCTTCGACCCATGAGCAGAAGTGCCGGGTTACGCCGGGCTGGGTATCATTGTCATTCGCCATTCTGTATTGTTGACGATGCTGATTCTCTGACAAGTGTTCGTGGAAATGTCAGGGGGTGCAGAATAAGGCTCGATCTCTAGTGCTTATATATTGCGCCAGTCAACCAGGCAACGACGGATGCTTCGTTAACGCCGCTAACACCGCTGTGCTTCGGCGATACCGGTACTCGAGGCAGGAGCTTATCTGACTATGAATGGTACCCATGGGATCTCGCGAATTCTTATCGGTTTTCCAAGATCTCTTGTTCGCAGATCTCAGATCGAACGTCATAGTTCCTTGAGTGTAAACTTGACGCCATTGCGGACCGATCACGATGGATCGGCGGTCGATCGGTGGGGGTTGCCCAGGCCCTGGGCTTCCTTCGTCGGAGCTATAGCGGCATACTATTAGATCCAGTGCTTTGAACAGCGTAAACACTTGGAGGTGACGGAGATTTCGCCCGAGGCCATCGTTTTCCCGGAGTCCTTGGAAACAAAGAATCTCAAGTCCATAACTCTGGCCACAGTCAGTGCCGTCAGTGCCATCAGTCGCAGCGAGAGCTTTCTCTCTCCATGTGCATGATGTGATACGCCAGAACCCCACAATCCGTCGCAGCAATCACCAGCTAAACATGGATAACCCTCCCAACATCAAACCCATTCTTCGCCTCATTCTTCATCCACGGCAGCACATATCCCCGCTGATTAGCCACAACCCTGATACCCCGTTCCCGAAACTCCGTAGTGTAGTGCGTATGCCCAAAGACCCAAACCCTGACTGGACTCCTCCTCTGAAGTTTGGTGAGCACATCGGTGCCAAAGGCAACGCTCCAGGGGTTCTTCTCATGTTTCGGTTCAGACATCCGTTTGAGCGAGGGCGCATGATGGGTTATGACAAGAACGGATCTGGATTATTTCTCGCTCTGGCCGTCGCCTCGGCTCTCAAGCTGATTCTCCTCGCTGATTGAAGAAATCTCAGCGAGTAACCATGGAAGATCGGATGTGTGAGCTGCACAGTGGCCATCAACACTCCACCCTCTAATCTTCTCGATGTCCTGAATCTTCATCCGGACCATATCCCTGCACCAATCCGGAATCCGCGACCACAGCGAGCATCCGAGGACCGTAACACTCGACTCGGGGATATCAAATCGTCGCTGGTTGAGGAGGACAAGTCGGCCATTCATGCACGGTTCCTTTTCAAGGCGTTGAGCCCTCTCCAGTCCAGCTGCAAAGGTATCGTTGTAGAACTCATGGTTGCCCAAGACAAGGAAAACAAGCTCGAATTGGTCGGTCTGCTGCTTGAGAAACGCGCGGTAGTTGTCATACTCCACGAGACGGCCCACATCGCCAGCTAGAACGAGATGCTTGGCGTGTACCGGTACGGGGATCTTGAACGAGGTGTATTGTTGGTCGATTTCGAGATGGAGGTCGGAGAGGACTTGGAGCGAAGCGGATGGCGTGGAATCTTTCCTAAGGAGAGACCGGATCATCTATTGAACATGCTGTCTTCGCATGGTGCTTTGGGTGTTGTAGGTTATTACAACAAAGATCTCACTTGTTTACCTACGGGCGCGCCAAGATTGCATGATTGGCGTATTTCGACGCCCGGACCAAGTTAAATAAGGCATTAAGGCAACAACGCTCCTCATGTGTACTTCTAATCAGCCAGCAGACCTTCTGACTTACAAATGGGACATTGCTGTTGACAGAGCACAGTTTGTCAAATCTGTCAACAAATACAGTGGTCCTGGCAAAGCTCTGGATAGGTTGCCTGTCAGTCCGTTATAATCACAAGCTGCAAGCCAGAGCCAGAGGTCATGCAGCGTATCCGAACAAGACAGCCGTGTCTATATTTATCACTCGAGAGTGTCTTGTCATTTGAAAGACAAAAGGGGTTAATACGAAAGCAGCTAGCGAGATATCCTCGGTAAAGTCAAACCCTGATTTAAAAACCTGGGGTGCAGATTGACAGATGGCCCTGTCTACGGACAAATCCAAGGATAGCATCCCATGTCTCACCCCTCGGCTACTCTAACCAGTAACCACCCCTCGCACAGTTCGTATGTCCCAATGTATTCCATCCACCTCGTAAACCACGAGATCATTGCGCCTGTGTCACTGTGATCAGGGCATCGGCCATCGATGTCTTGAATTTGGGGTATCGACCGAATACGAGCGGCCAAGGGCGCCGGACATCTCGGCCCCAATCGATATTCGCCGAGCCTCAAGCCCGGTTCAGCCTCAATCATATGTCATTGGTAGACATTCCCGGACTGAGACAAGAGCCCTCGTTGCAGGAATTGCAAGCGAAGGGACGTGCATAGGGGACATAGCTGCGTAAAACATCGCCGGATTGGGTGTTAGATGAAGCCATCGCACGGGTTTATGGAGCAAAGGACGGCAACTTGGTCCCAGAATAGATTCGACAATAATGGGAGAAATCGTATTTCATGAGTTAGAGCGACTGATTGTCTCAGTAGTTGTCCTCGTGCTCGTGGATTGGTGGTTTTCGACGGTGTAGAGTTGGGTAGGGATAGACGCAGGAAAGACAAAAGAGGGATGGAGCAGTCCGCCCCTTTCCCTCAAAAGCTATATAACCCAGCAATGGCTCGATCGAGTGTGCAATCTCCAGTTATCCATATCTTGCCCCCAATCAATATCAATATCAATATCCAAGCCAAGATGCACTTCCTCAAGCTCACCTCTCTCCTCTTCACCCTCGCCCTCACCACCCTGGTGCAAGCAGTCCCAGCGCCCTCCGCCTGCACCACAATCTACCCAGCCTTCGCGCGCGTCGACGCCGCGCAACCCGTCGCGTCCTACCTCCCCGGCTTCAAAGTCTCGCAAGAAGCCAACGGCGCCAAGAAGCAAGACACCTTCATCGAATTCAGCGTCCCCCAAGGCGTCTGGGGCTGCACACTCTCCTACAGCATCCCCGCCGGTGAACCGGTCAACACCGTCGGCCTTGCACCCGTCGAGGTGTTTTCCGTTGCTGGCCCGCTGAGCCGCTCGCCGCGGGGCATCGATATCTCCTGGGCGTATTGTCCCGCCCCGATTAGTATGGTCGGGAGTGTGAAGTTTGAGTCGGGCGCGACGAATCGTGTCATTAATAGCTTCGCTTGCAAGACCAACATGGCATACCGCTTGAGTATCTCCCAGGGGTATAGCGCGAAGACGAGTGTTGAGTTTGCGCAGCGGGCGGGTGTTGGGTTGAGGATGACGTACAATTGCTGATATTGGTGTGTTTCTTATTCTGGACGGATTTGATTTCTGTTGTTTAGTTGCGTTGCCGGGTCTTGTTTGTGTGTTAGTCCGCGGTTGTACCAGCACATAATCAGCTAATGCATATATTAATTCACGGGTCATTGAGAGCGAATGACAGCTCAAGTGCCAGCCGTAGCATGCCAGGTCCAGTAGTATTTGACATCCCTCGGGATACGGACAGTCTCCGGTCTGAACGTAGACCCCAGACTATTACCACCATGTAGTCAGAACGTGCCATCGTTGACGGGCGAATGTGGCTCATCAGGTACACCCTCAGATTCCAGCAAGCGTTTCGCCAAACAACCGGGTCTTGGCCGATTGCTGATCTCGCGAAAGACATTCTCGATGCCCCCATCCTCAGGTCTGAAGACGTCTTTGCCGGTTTGTTCCAGCGACCCCTCGCGTTCCTTGGTCTGGTCAATTAGAATCTGCACGATTGACGCGGCCTTCTCTGACTCCCAGAGTCCGTCTTTCGCTGGCATGCTGGAGTGCCTGAGAAGCCCGAAGGCATACTCTCGCCGTTCGCGATCAGGGGTCTTGAGGCACATAAAGTACAAGATTGCAACGAGTTGCGATGATAAAGTAAACGTCTTGGAACTCTGTTCGGTACTTCCCATTGACAGAAAGGTCTCGAGGTCACGCAGAGTATTCCGCAGACTGTCAGCAGGTGGGCACGGGCCGAATGTGTCGTTGGGGATGTTTTCCAGCAGAACAGAGTAGTACATCCTTGCCTGGATGCGGAGTAGTAAAGCACGAGGCGGGATGTTGTCTGGTTTTACGAGCGACTGAAGGAGGGCCGAGTAAGCGAAGAAGAATCGCTCGAACTGCTGGTAGAGGACGAAGCGCTCGCGCAGTAAGTCCCTAGGGAGCTCGTCGGCCGGTTTATGCTTGTGCGCGACGTGCGCAATGATATGGTGCATCAGCCAGTTTTCGAGCTTTGTGAGAACTACTTCCGCTTCGTCGATGGTCGTCAGTTGCGATGGGACGATGTGCGCGAACCCTGCTGTTTCGTCTGACGTGACGAGGTTCAGAATGGGCATGCGCTCGTCATCGAATGTACTTGCGTGGATGTCCAGGCGGGAGAAGAGGGAGGTAAGCTGTGGGAGCAAGTCATCGCTGGCATTTGCAGCCATTTGCGCTTGGCAGCGTTTCAACAAGTACAGCCCGTTGTCCAGATGCTTCGTCGCGGTAATGGAATCGCCCATGAGTGTTTCAAACGCAAAGAAAAGGATGCTGCAGATAAGGGCTATATCCGCAGAGGCATCCGGTGATCGCAGATAAAGCCGTAGTTGTCGGTGGCATTTTCCGATCCGCTCCATAGCTGCACTAGACGCGCTCATCTGAATTTTATTCCCGCCCTGCAGGTAATCGCGATATAGCGATGCAAGAGTGATAAGGGCATGCCGGATGACCGGCTGATGATGCGACCGCTGCAAGATGAGATTCGTCCATAGCGTTGGGTCGGAGAAGCTCGAGAGCCCACCGGCTGCTTCACATATGTAGAAGTGCAAGAGTTGACGATCGGCTTGACTCCCCGGGATCTTAAATGGGAGGTTATAGACCGTGATCTGCTGCGGGCGAGTCTGGGCCCGCACTCGGGTATCGTCGGCTTCCCCGGATACTGCAGCTGCAGGTACAGGGGTGGGATAGCCCTCGCAGCGCCGGCCAGTGCGCTCGCAGTTGCGGCAGCTAGGCTTCCCTTCGTCACACTTGATCCGGCGTTGTCTGGCAGTCGTCAGTTGGAGCCGCAATTACGTAGGTGGAAGCTAGGGGCTCCGTACTTGCAGGTCGCGCAGCCCGTGCGGACCTTGGGCATGCTCTTCCGTGTGGCTTTTCTCATCGTGCCTGCCGCCGGCGTTGGTGTCGCTCGTATATTTTCCGCATCAGCCATAGCGGGGGTCCGTTTTCTCTTATTCGTCGCCGGTGCCTGTTTGCGGCGCAGTTATGAAAAGAGATTCGAGACCATGGAGATCGGGAGAAGGGGCGGAGTTGGGGGCGGAAGAGTCTCGCTAAAATGTACGACACCCGCGCTTTTCCGCTTTAGGAAATAGGGTCAGTCGGGGAGGAATCACTACGCAGCGCGGTTCCTGAGGCTCAGATCAAGCTTATTTTCGATGAACTATACGAGTTTCGCTGCGAAGATGCCCTTAAGAACTGTTGTTAGGCAGCAAAATGGCTATAAATACGCCCTCCGCGACGGCAACACACTCAACCATCCAGTCATCAAACTTCTCTCATAATGCCCTCTTTCATAGAACTGACCCTGTTTTCTCTCCTGCTCGGCTTTGGTGCGAGCACCACCCTGCCCCTCCGACGCCGCAGCACCAATGCCACAGCCCCCATGGTCTCAACTGAATACGGCACCGTCTTCGATGTCGAAGCCACGATCGGCGGCCAGACCTTCCAGCTCCTTGTCGACTCCGGCAGCAGCGACCTCTACGTGATGAAAACCGGCTTTTCCTGCCTTGACAAGGACACCGGTCTCCAACTCGCCGAGGAAGAGTGCGGCTACGATCTCAATCGGACGTATAACATGTCCGACACATACAAGGAAATCCCAAATCAGATCTTCGGCATCCAGTACGGCGCCGGCATTGCAAGCGGCGTCATGGCGTATGAAGATGTCACCGTCGCAGGCGTCACCATCCCCCAGGCGCGGATCGCAGTGGCCGACAAGTCAACGCCCATGGGCGACGGCGTGAACTCCGGCCTGCTGGGACTGGGATACCCATCACTGACCTCCGCGCACCCAAGCAACATCACCGATAACACCACATACTGGTTCAATCGCCTCCCGTACAAGCCTATCCTCTTCGAGATGTACGAGCAAGGCCTCATCGAGGAGCCGTACTTCGCCCACGTCCTTGCCAGGAGCGCACTCAACGAATCGGGTCCCGCGTTTGGAGGATACGTCTCGCTAGGCGAACTGCCTCCCGTGAAGCACGACGACAGCTGGGCCGTTGCCCCCGTCGAGATCATGAACAACATCCCGCTCAACTTCACCTCGAACAAGCGGACGCGCTCCTACTGGGCGACGACGCTCACTGCCTCGCTGGGCCAGAACGCAACGCACACTCGCGCCCGCACCAACTCATCCTCGTCGTCTGCCTCAGCACCCTTCCAAGCATTCTTCGACTCCGGAAATCCCCTCTCATACATCCCAGCGCGCATTGCGGACCCTCTAAACGCGCTCTTCTCGCCTCCAGGCATCTACGACAAGACACTGGAAGCCTACGTCGTCGACTGCAACGCCAAAGCCCCGTCAACATTCAGCTTCACCATCGACGGGCATGTCTTCACGCATGACCCGGCCGACCTCATCTACCAAACGGGCGAAGACCTCTGCATCTCGGCGATCGGGAACTCCGATGAGATAAGGCTGATGGAGAATCTGCAGCTGAACATCATCGGCGTCCCGTTTCTGAAGAGTGTGGTTTCGGTGTTTGATATTGGGAAGAATGAGATGCGGTTTGCGAGGCTTTTGGAAGATGTTAGTGGTGGTGGGAACGGTACGGCTAATGGGACTGATGCGGCTGGTGGTACGGATGAGTATGTACCGGGAAATGATGCTGGGAGGGTAAGCCTTGGGCCTCTTGGTCTGATTGGATCTATTGGTGCTCTTGTCTTTGCTTTTACCTTGTAGTTGGATCTTTTTGTCGTTGGCAATACGCGCACGGAATATAGAGAGCTATAGCGTTCTTCCTATGTCATTTGAAGATGAGCATTAATTGTAATTATCATCCCACATCAGTCTCGCGGCTTCTGACTCGGAGGTCGGTCACTGCATATCGCGTATTACTATTATTCTGCCAGTAAAAGAACATCCGGGGACATCTTCGTGATCAGGCGTCGGTGCCTTTGTGGTTACATTCTTCTGATTCCCTACTCCCTATTGCACATGTGCCATTTGAGCCGTCGATCATGGCAACAATGCTGACTATCACCTCTTGACCGCGTATTTCCTATTATAAGTACCATTAATCAACAGATATTGAAGATCCATCCGAAGGATCGTTGAAGCCTGGTTCTATTCACTGCCGAACCTCGGAACCACACTGCCCTTTCTACGGTCGAACCACAAAGTCCAGAGCTTACTCCAACCACGCCTCAACAGCCGTACTCAACGCCTCCTTCATCCACGGCTCCTCATACCTCACCCCCGTATCAAAACCATGCTCACCCTCATGCACCACCATCGCAATCCTATCACCCCCCGGCCTCCCCTTAAAGACCTGACGCGCCCTCTCCACAAACGGCACCGGATGAGCAACAGGAACAACACTATCCTGCGCCCCATGAATAACCGTAATCCCACCGCGAGGAATCCCCACATCCGGCCCCTCCAACCTCCGCACCGGGAACAAGAGATCCTGACGCCCCGACCCCTCCGAACCCCTGACGTACCACGCCCCAATCTTCCCGTGCTCAATCGCCGCACACATCACGCCCAGCCAATCCGGCTGAATGAGCGACGACACCGGCCCGCATTCCGGGATCGCAGCCTTAGCAAGCGCCTCGTCGATAACTGTTTCAGGCGTACTCAGGCCGAACGGAAGGCGCTCTTTGCCCCGGGTCTCGGAGAACTCCGGCGCGCTGGGGTCAAGAGATGGATACAGCGCGATCGTAGCGCGGATCTCGGATGCGTGGGTGAGCGATGTGTTTACGGATAGAAGACCACCTGCTGACTCGCCGGAGACAAGGATACGGTCTAGATCAGCCTGCGTGGGTGTGTTGTGTGTCGAAAGGAGACCGCTAAACGCGGGGGATTTGAGCCAGGCCCAGAAGTCCTCGATGTCGTCGTATATTTCGAGGCTCGTGGCTTGCGGCATGAGGCGGTAGTTTGGGCTGACGATTATGGCGTTGTGGGACAGCGCGAGGTCGGAGAGCCATTGCGGCCAGAAGTCGTGGTAGAGCGAGTCGGCCATTACCTGCTGGGTTAGTACAGTGGTTGTAAGATGGGTGGAAGGTGCGTACGAGTCCGCCGCCATGAAACCGCACGATAGTCGGTCTTTCAGCCGTGGCTGGTGTCTGCGGAACGAGGACATCGACGCGGATGGCATGGTTGCTGATGCGCTTATATGTCGCCTGGATGAGGTCGAAGCCCTTGAATCTGGGGTTGGTTGGGTCGAAGGTGGCCATTGCGAGAGCTGTTGTAGGTGTTGTTCGTTGCCGTGGAGAGCAGAAGAGGGAATTCTGGCGGGGGAGACGTGTGCTTTATACCGCCGTGTTCCCCGCTGACTCTTTCTTTGAGCTGTCCAATTCTGCAGATCAATTCCCTGTCCCTGTCCCCACAGCCTGCCGGCTTACCAAGCGGCTGAGCAGCAAACTCTCCGACACAACGGCAGGATCGAAGTCCTAGGCAGCAGGCTGACTTATATGACCCTTTCCTTGACGGCGTCATCCGGCCTTCTTGCAATGGAAGCCGCCAGATCGTCATGTCCATGCTGCTGACGGGCTGAAGTGAGCGTTGTTTCACCCCGGGCCTCCGCTTACCTACTCTCTTAACTTACGAAAGCTTACTATGTCCATATAGGCTCATTGCTGAAACTGACACTCCATTGAACTATCGTTGAGACCAAGTCCACAGTCTTCTCGATGGGCGTGACAGAGACGAGAATGGAGACCTTAGCCACGTCGCGACTGGTTGTCATGATCTGACTGAGTCCAGAAGGCTCTACCTTGATGAATAAGGGACCCTTGGTATCCAGCTCAGTCGACGCAAAACCTGGTCACACAAGAGATACATGAGTTGCGCCTTACCGATACACACCTCCACCAAAGACTCATCGACACAACCTAATCAACCCGAATACAAACCTTCCCCAGCGCCCCCTTCTCCAGCTCCTTATACGCATTCAGCACCTCATCCCTGCTAAACCCAAACTCCTGCTCAACAGGCAACTTCAGCTTCGCGCGATCCGCAAACGTCACCAGATCCTCAAGCATACACTTCGGCCCGATCAGAATCCCCCTCACAACAGCAGCCTTGGTCAGCGTAAGCTGCAGCACATTCGGCATCTTGGCCGGATCCACATCAGCCAGGTATCCAATGACACTGATATGCCCACCATACGCAAGCGCCTTGATGCTTTGCTCGATTGTGCCGACACCGCCGATCTCCAGGATATGGTCGACGCCCTGGTCGCCAATGAGCTCGAGCGCGCGCGAGCCCCACTCGGGATACTCTTTGTAGTTGATCGTGTAGTCCGGGCCGAACTTGTCTTGGACGGCTTGCAGCTTGTCGTTGCTGGAGGAGGTGAGGATGGTTGTTGCGCCGGCTGCTTTGGCGAGCACGAGGGCTGTTAGAGAGACGCCGCCGGTTCCTGTGTTTATTAGCACTGCGTAAACTTATATTCATGTCTACCTCGTTCATCTCGCGAGGAACGCGGGGAGTGCAGACGTATCGGGGCAAGCCAACATACCCTGCACAAGCACCGTCTGCCCTGGCTTCAGAGCAACATTCCCAAAAAGCCCATTCCACGCCGTAACCCCCGTACAAACCAAACTCGCAAGCTCCGCATAACTCTGCCTCGCCGTCTCCGGCACCCTAACCACACAATCCGCCGGACGAACAACATACTGCGCAAGCACCCCGTCAGTGAAACCCCCCTGCTGGCCCTCGAATCCCCTCGCCGTCCCATAGAGATGCTTGATGTTAAAGTTGATGACGACGCGGTCGCCCTTCTTGAATTCCGTGACGCCTTCACCGACGTCCACGATGTCGCCTGCGCCGTCGGAGCAGGGGATTACGTTGTCGGATACGGGCATGGGGTAGGTGTCTTTTGTGATTTGGAGGTCTCGCGCGTTGAGCGAGACGGAGCGGATTTTGATGAGGACTTCGTGTTTTGAGGGGGTCGGGATCTCTTCGCTGCATTGTTTTAGATCCGATGGCGATGTGCGCTTCGGGAGGCGGAAGACGGTTTGTTGTGGCATGGTGATGGTGTTGCAGGTGACTGTTGTTGTGGGTGATGGTTTGGGTGGTCGGTTGTTTCGTGTGAACTGTGAGGTCGTAGGATCTTCTGATACCCTGCCAGTCTTGTAGAAGTGCAATAACTTTGCTTTTTTATATCATTGAGTAGGGGGCGTACCTGACGTGCTTCGTGACCGTAGAGTGACATGTCTCTGACGTGGACGTGGAGTGGTGCGGCCCGCGTCCATCCGCAAGTAAAGGCACATCAGCCCTGCGTTGAGTCCGCCGGCGGGAAGTTCATATCAATTGTACAACATGTTAGCTACAATAAGCTGGATCGAAATGGAAATTGGATTGCTTGGAAACAATTACGCTACGCCGCTTGGTTTGCAGCGATGTAACTAGAAACACCTGCTATTAGGAGTAAATTCATCCCATATTTTCTTCCGAAATAGCTCAGCATATCCTTCCACACGTTAAGCAAAGCAAGGGCCAACAGCCAATGTTGAAGATCAATCCTGAGAGTGCCCGCTAATATCCAATGCGGTGGAATTCACGAAGCGGGCCTCTGGAGAACCAGTAGGCTTTGTCTCAAAGCCTGCGCCATGTTGTTAAGTCTGGCTCGTCGATCAGCCTCATGTTGTGGCTCAGATCCAATCCGCAGAAGTTCATCGTCCGACATTCGAGCAACTGAAGTTGGATTGAAGGCTTCGGAGAAAGATCCCATCAGGTGGCGTTCGATGACTTGACGGGCCACGTTATCGACAAATGTTTTCATAGCAACCTGCCTCCAGTCAGCAAGTAACCTCATAGCTTCGGTGCAATCACTTACTTTATAGTATGCGTCAAGCTGCGTGAGGGCCTCACTGCAAGCCTGATATTCCATATCAACCACGATCCGGCGATCGACCCCGCTCAGGAACTTCTCGAGGACCGGGTCGGACTTGCTGAGGATTTCAAGCTTTCCTTGCCACTTCTTCTGTAATTCACGAGTGAATAAATTGCGCACCTTATTTCTGCGCCCTTCCTGGCGCTCCTTCTGGACGTTGTCGGTGTAATAGTGGTTGTATGTCAGAGGATGGCGCCGCTCATCTTGCAGAAGTTTGCCGAGTTCCTCAAATGCAGACTTGTGCGCGCTGTCAAGCCATCCGTACAGCATGTTTCCAACCTCTGCGCGGACTCCATCCTCGGGTACCAAAGCGCGGACAGCCTGTTCTATCCACACAAAGATAAGGGCGCGCACGTCGAGAATATGCCCCTCAGCAATATGAGCCCACCGGCGGGACTGTTCCTGGAAAAGCTCTGCGAGGAGCGCCGAGTTACAGCTACCTGTCAACTCTTTACCTCTGGTTCGAGAATAGACCTGAACTATGTTAGCCTGGCGGGTTTCCGTAGAATGCCGTAGTCAATTCACCTCTTTGATCCAATCCATCATCTCCTGCTGAGTTACATATATTTGGGGGAACAGGTTATCATCAACCTGTTCCAACTGCTCGTCTTCATCTTCATCGGGCTCTTCCGCCTCTTCAGCCTCTTCCGTCTCCGCCGGCTCCTCACGAACGACGCGACGTGCCCCCTGCGTTCGCATGAATGTGGCGAAGTTGGTGTTGGCTTGCTGGACCAAAGCCCGCAGCCGAGCGTTTTGATTGGAGTCGAAGAAGTCATGCCTGAGAGTGTGATAATTCCCGTCAAGGGCTGCTTGGAGCATGTCGTAGAACGCCATACTGAGAGACGTAAGGAAGCTGCGGATGTCGCCTACAGTTGATCGAGCGTCCCCCATCGACCGCAGTTCCGCCTCGGTGGCATCCAATCGCTTTTTGATCTCGTTTCGCACCTTTGGCAGTTCGTGCTCGATGTGAGAGTCAAGAAGCTTCTGCAAAAAAGTACGTAGGCTTTCCGATCCAATGCGCTTTTTGTCCAGATGGTGGATGGCCCATGATGGTCTTGAAAAGAAGCGATCTTCGAGGGCTGATCTTGCGGTCATAGAATGGCAGTCTTTACGCTCCATGGGGCTTGGATTCTTCAGTAGAAAGAAACCTAGTTTGAGTTTGATCGTATCCAGATTCTTGGCAATTCGTGCAATTTTAGACTCGGTGCCCTGGTTGATCAAGTCCGGCTTCGTAATGATGCCCACCGTGCGCTGGCCTTCTGGGTCATGTTTGCGCGCCATTCTGATAATACACTGGTTCGCGAAGTCGTTACTCGCTTGCACAACAGCCAGGATAATGGTGCGAGAGCTCTGGAGGTAACTCGTCACCATGTCGTGGATCATGACCACGTCGTTCTCATTCTGCTCCTCACTAACCACGGAAATCAAGCCAGGCAGGTCGACAACGCTCAGCTGCAAACCAATGGGGCCTGTTATCTCGATGCGGAGGACGTCAGCGGCAAAGGCAGGTCCATTCTTTTGACCTCCGTATCCTCGAATTCCCATGAGCTTTGACGCGTCTGCTATGATCGAGGGCAGCTCGGATATCGCTCCCAGAGTCTTCTGGTAGGATGCAAGGTAGTCTTTCTCCTTCCGGGACCTGACGGAGTGCGGCCGGATACTCGCAAAGATGGTTATCGACTGGGTCGCTTCACTGTGTCGGAGGGTAATCTCAGTGGGGAACCGAGTGCAAAGACCGTCTTGTTGAGGAAACGGTATACCGGTGATTGCTTCTAGGACGGAGCTTTTTCCCGCAGACTGGTCTCCGCATACGGCCAGCTGAGGCAAGGCTACAACCTCGCCAATTCCATGCGCTCGGATTTGTTCGATCTGGCTGAGGCGCTGGCTCGAAGTCGAGGTTCTAAGGTGCCTAAACGCCGTTGCCGCCTGGATTGATTCGATGTTCATTTTCGACATGATCACCGTGTTACGCGGTGTTGTACGAGTGCAATCTGGAAGGGCTGCCTGAAGAGGCTAGATATCAGCGACCTCACGGAGTGTTGGACAGGATATAACCATCTGTGGAATGAGAGGATATTCGTACCTAGCAAGCTCGCGTCGAAGCCAACAAGCAAAGTGATCTCGTCAGCGAGTTCCTCAAATGAGAGGGGGTGAAGAGTGAGGAATTGTGTTAAGAGAAACAAGTCCACGTCGAGACTGACTCGTCCGTATCGGGTTAGTCTGCGCTCTAACTATGGCCTCGACACAGAAGATGTCTATGGTTCTTGCCGATCAGCTTTCTGTCCTCAATTCGGGATAGCGGTGCATAGTTTTCAAGTACACTTAGGCCATGTAAACTCAGCCGTTGGTCGCCTTCGTTTATAATTTTGCGTGCAGGTGCTTCGATGTGTCTGAATATCCCAAATTCCCCGCCAATGCATGGAGCCACGACAAGCAACTCTAGACAAATGCCTATGTTGAGCAACAAGTTGAGCCGATGGGGGAAGACGAGGTCATTGTGGTAAGTTCATGATCATTTCCTAACTCAATTTGACTCTTCTCCCGTTGACGTATTCGCTGAGCACTTCCTTGTCCAGACATTCCTCGAAACACACTTTAGCCCGGCCTGAGCACCTTGAATCCTATCAGCCATGCTTCAGTCAGTAGGCAACGGTTAGTGACGCTTTCTGTACCGTGCGGATCTAGATGACTTACAGCGACCTCGAAATCCACCGATTATACACCCGTATCCTTTTTTGTCTTTAGGAACTACGGTCATAACACGGGGTATTGTTTCGGCAGCGACGAATTCACAGGGACTGGTTGGATGAATCATGGACCATGCTGGTCGAGCCAGCAGTGGCGAGGCTGGTTGACGCTTGGGAAGGAACGGGATATGGTCCAATGTGGAAGGTTCGGTCGGTGTCCAGGGCCTGCTGGTGAGCGTTGGCTTCGAACTAACTCCTGACACTCACACAGTGCATTTCCAACCGCTGTTGATTTCCGAGTCGTCCGCAATTTTCTTTCTTTGTGACCTATAACATTTCTATCGACGAGCCAACTCGTCTCCCCATGATATGGTCACGGTCGAAACGCTAGCCCGCGAGGCCCTCATCCAAGTCTTCCACATTGTCTTGTTTATCAGCGGTATCGTCAACCATGTAGACATCGACTACGTCGGCGGCACGCAGATACCAATTAAGCTCCAAGTTGGAGAAGCCTTCCTCGGTCAGGCGATTCAGCCACCTCTTCTACGATTAGCGCACTGTCGCACGCAACGCCCATATCCCTGGGCCCTTCAAGAGCGACGTCGGTCAGAGAATCCCCAATCTCCATGCCTGTTTGAGGGAGTAGGAGCTGTTAGGGATGGGGCGCTGTTAATTCCATGGGAGGAGTCGAATACTGCCAAGGGCACTGCCAGATAACGACAAAACAGTCCCCCGTTCGAAGAAATCCGGTACGCTATACTTCAAGTCAGCAGGGCGCAACGGCAAAAGGGCTAGGCATTGTTTGAGTGTGCAAACTTGGGACAGATTATGATGGAACAAAGGGAGTACGGAGAACGGCTACGGCAGTCCAGCTCTTATGTTCTTCAGTTTCAGCGATAAGGGCACGCTGTGCCTCAGCCGACCTATACCCGGAGCACTGGGGCGGGCTACCACAACCAAGTGGAGAGCGTTGGGTTTGAAATTCAACACTCTTCCCTTTATAAACAACCAGAACGCCAGCCACAACATTTGGCCATAGCCGAAGACAGCCTCCATGAATTATGCGTGGTACTGCTCGAGATTGGGCTATAGAGAGTAGCCCGAGAGACACTTCACGCGGTGGTCGCGAGACCACGTACCTACGGTACGGCATTCGGGCCGGGCCCAGATTTATAAAGCACCCTCCAATCCAAAGGGCATAACAATACTTGCATGTGTCATACGCGAGTCAAAGGGCCGTAGTGACGTAGACTGACCCTATGGAGAGATCCATTTTATCAGAACCGTGCAGCCTAGATGCTACAAGCAAGTCGGGCACCAAGATGGAGTAGGTAACCTAGCAAGTACTCCGAACTCCGAGCCAGGGTCCATCACACCATACTCGGCCTCCGAGGTCCGACTCCGACCTACTCCGCGTCTAGGCAGGGACATTCTGTCCACAGTCTAGAGCTTATCTTTTGTTTTCTACAGCTTTACCTTTCCATTGTTGCCTTGCTTGGACATCTAGTTGTACCGGTTAACCTGCTGCCTGAATATTCCAATGTCCCCGCAGGCGGCTGAATCCCACGAGCCACTGCAACGAAGCGGCTGACGGATGCGCTAGGTAAGAAGCCGCTACAAGTTGGGGAATACGACGCTGCTAGAACTAGTATATGAAATATGGTGCGACGATATAATACTAGCGCCAAATGACTCACGGCTCTGGTATAAAGCTGACGGTCTTTGCCTCCAAGTTTACAAGAATTCTTTCAAATTACATCTTCTAAGGCCAGTCCATTTTACCGCAACTACGCTCTCCTCAGCCAACGCCGATTACCCTCGCCTATCTGCACATATACTCTATCTATAATTAGCCATCCCGTGCAACAAGAAAGAATCCCTAGCATAGACTGTGAAACTAAACCGCAATCATGCCCAGCCAAACTTCCGTCGAAATCCAACCTTTCGAGAAGACCGATATCCGGGAAGCCGTCCTCCTCGGCCAGGTGGCCTTCGCAGAAACCAACCGGCTAGCGTACACAGGCCCGCTAAGCCCAAGCTCCATCGACGCGATGGTGGCGCAGCGCGAAGCATCCGCCGACACAGAGCCGCACGTCACGACCTTCAAGGCTGTCGATGTCTCAACGGGGAAGATGGTCGGGTTAGCGCGGTGGGCTATCTGGGAGACGGACCAGGTCGTGGAGAAATCGGTCGACGAGGTCGTACGTGACAGACTCAGCGCCCCTGTCGCCGAAAGGCGAGACGAAGTTGCGCGGGCAATGTGGACGCTTGTGCAGGTGGGGAAAAGGGAGATCCTGGGCGTTGGGAAGATTGAGGGGAACGAGAAGGGCATCAAGCTCAGGAAGCGGATCGAGCTTGAGGCTCTCTGTGTGCATCCGGATTATCAAGGGCGGGGAATAGCGAAGAGGTTCCTGGCGTGGGGGGTGGGTGAGGCGGAGATGTTGGGACTGGACGTCTACCTTGAGGCGACGGAGGCTGGGAGGCCGGTGTATGAGAAGACCGGGTTCCAGGCGGTTCGGAAGGAGGAGTTCGGGCTTGATGGGATTGGCGAGACCTCGCTCACGGTGTGTTTGTGTCATAGTCCCCCTTGCCGTGGTATTCCAATATGGCTAATATGAGCAGTTCATGATTCTGCCGGCGAAAGCGGTTTCTGAGGTCAAAGATGAGTTGTAGGCGGATCCATGAGGTGTGTGACGATGGCAGTGGAGATATACCTGCTAGGTTGCCTAGATTCTGTGACAGTAGTAATCATAATACCAATCCAAACCATAATGACATCCGGTATACATTGCTTAGGTCACTCACCTATTATCCAGAGGTCGTAGGTGCTCTGCCAACCCTAAGCACGTCCTCAAGGTATTCCCATTGAATGGAGATGGCGCGGCGGCACAAACTCCATGCCGTTCTTAGATGCAGGCACGAGCTTTGCCTGTTGCATCGATCCAGGTCCATGCTAACCATGACCAGCGTTACTATCCCGCATGAATGGTATATTTCGCTGCTGCTTTGCCTCGTCTAGATATGTTCTACCTCATCCCCTCTGTTGTAATCCACAATTTTCAGTACTCTCCCTCCCCAGCTTGTGGATATACAATGCCAGGTGTCATTCGCTCGGCGGTAGGTACCGAAGATACCCTGATCGGCATCTGTCAGAATAAGTGCTGGTTACCGAATTATCTCTCGCCGACAAGCTTTCATGCAGAGGGGTCGGACTTCAAACGTCTCCGGATCGGGTGGGTTGGCCAAGTATCAGGGTGACACACGCTAAGGTATTTATTTTTCCTGGTTGAGGAGGCTACGGCCTGGACACCCCGACTATGCAGACACGCGATTTTTGGTAGCGCAAACTTCTGGAAGAGTTTTTCATAAAGACGATCTTTTGCCGCCAGGCATACTTGATCCAGACATGCATCGGAACTCCCAAGGTTTGGTTGGTGGCGCACCGAATAGCCAACAGTGGCGGCGGTTACAAATATATCTCGCGATCTCGGATCTCCGTTCCAGATATCGACCACTCATCCATAGGCAGGGATACAGAGCCTTCGTCGCGAACGGATCCAATGCCACCCAGAACGGCATTGGCAAGATGATGAACTTGAATTAGACTACTGACCCCGTATCATATCTCCGGTTCCTGCTGTTGGTCCGTGGTACGGGGCAGGCGAATAATAATGGCGCGCACTGGGAGAGGAATGTGGGCCTGACATCATGAGCGCCACTACGTCATGGCAACGATCGGGTGCACGATCTGCAAGCAAGGCGGAATCCCGGGTCTGGATCGGGCGGAAACTTGAAAATATCACGAACCTCCATCCAAGACGCCCCTCAGGCTTCGCAAGTGCGCTCTTCACTTGATTCGCGTTCACGGCTTTGTTCTGGCCGGACCACCTTGATCGAGATGGACAGCGAACAGTACGGGACAATCTGTGCCCAGCAGCTAGCAGACACCCTCCCCGTCGGCGTCGCCGTCGTGAACCCCTCCGACGAGATCGTCTTCAAGAACCGGCGCTTCCAGGAACTCACCGCAAATCATTTGACCGTTGGAACCGAGTGTCTGGCGCAGTCCGTCCACCCCGATGATTATGAACAGCTAGCCGATGCCTACCGCGCCTCGCTTCGATTAGGGACGGCAGTTCGAAGGGAATACCGCACCAAGGATCACACGGAGGTATGGCGCGCGGTTTCGATGACACCGCTGAAGGAGAAGGATTTGGATCAGTTCGGTCTGAGGGATAATCGCGGGTTAATATGCATGATCAGCGATATTACGCCGGAGAAAACCGCAGAGTTGCTGCAACGGAAGATAGCGGACGATGCGCAGGAACGGAAGCAGCAGCAGGAGCGGTTTATCGATATGATCAGCCACGAGGTTCGAAATCCGCTTTCTGCGATTCTGCATTGCGCCGAGGATATTATGGATGTGATTGCCGAGGATGCACCAGAGGATGCAAGGGAACAGATGGCAAGGATATCCGAGGCCGCCCAGACGATCAATCTTTGTGTCGCACATCAAAAGAAGATCATTGACGATGTGCTGATTTACTCCAAGTTGGATGCCTCTATGCTGACGTTGTCGCCGCAAGTAGTGCAGCCGAAGTCTCATCTGGCTACCTTGCTCACTATGTTCAAGCCGGAACTTCGCAAGCAAGAAATCGAATTCCATTATCAACTTGACAAGTCCTATGCCGATCAGGAGCTTGATTGGGTGATGGCTGATCTTGATAAAATGGGCCAGGTCCTCATCAACCTCGTCTCCAACGCGATCAAATTCACAGCCCAGGCTGAAGGCCAGAGAATGATTCGAGTCTCAATGGGGGCTGCAAAACAGCGACCTCCATCTTATCCACCAAACGTTGTCTTCTTTGAACCGAATAAAGCAGCGCTGAAACTTGATTCCACGCAGGATCCCGAATGGGGAAATGGCGAGACGGCGTATATCATGGTAGCCGTCAAGGACACTGGAATCGGGATCAGCGACCAGCACCAGAAGCTGTTGTTCGAGCGCTTCAAGCAAGCGACTCCGCGGACCGATCGAATTTATGGTGGCTACGGCCTCGGACTCAACATTAGCAGAAGACTTTGTCACATGCACGGAGGCGAGATTGGAGTTAGCTCCAAAGAGGGCGATGGGAGTACCTTTGGCTTCTTCTTCTCTGTTCGACGATCCACTGAAACACCTCCTGAACCCCAAACCGCGGACAATAGGGATGTGTCTCCAGTTGACGAACTATGTTATCAGATCAAGGACCTCGATAGTAAAATCCCGGACGTCAAGAGGGACACGTCGATGGCAGAATTCGACGAGGAACCACCGGTGAAGACCGTCAGAGAGGTCAGCGCCAACACCGTCAGTGACAATCGCAAGAAACACTCGGCTAAATTGGCAAGAGAAGTGCACGAGGGCCAGGGACCGCAAAGAGAGAAAGAAAGGCACGCCTCCAACGTTGATGAATCCTCGCCAAAGCATGAGCCGGCTGCAATCGCGACCATGTCGAAGCTCGTTAAAGGTCCTCGCGTTCTTTTCGTGGAGGATAACGTTATCAATCAGAAGGTTGTCTCCCGGAAGCTGAAGATATCCGGGTTTGAGGTGACCACAGCGAACAACGGCCAGGAAGCCCTTGAAATCTGGGAAGACGACAAGTTTGATTGTATTCTGATGGATCAGGAGATGCCGGTGATGGACGGGAACACGGCGACGAAGGAGATTCGCGAGCTGGAGAAGGAGAGTGGGTCGCACATTCCTATTCTAGGAGTGACTGCGAATGTTCGACAGGATCAGCAAGCCGATATGCTGGACGCCGGGATGGATGGAATTATCCACAAGCCTTACAAGATGCAGGAGCTGTGCGAAAAGATCCATCAGATGGTGCCTCAGGCGCCCAGTGGGTCTTGAGCGTCACGTGCGTTGGATGGGAGTCAACATCGCCCCGCCTTCAAAGCCTTATCTGCTTCCTTCATCTTGATCTCCTCTGCATTCAGAGCCTGTCATATACGCTACGGAGCCACGGAAAGTATAGTTGCGCCCGTTGGGACGGGCATCTCGGCCAAGACCATGATTTCCACCATCTCCTACCACCGATACGACCGCGATGTGATGGTTGCCAGGGCCCACGCCGACGATCTGAGTATGCGCGAATCTAGGTATGCTGCAGCCGTCTGGGCACCGGCAGCGCTATCGAGCCTTGCTCCGCTTGACACACTGCGGCCTGAGGACGTGTCCTAAAACTATCTTCATCCAACATCGCGTCCCTCCTCTCCCCGCCCATGTCAACAGGCGCGCTTTTCAAATAGCCTCGGACCTGCGATCGTACCGGCGCATCGTCAAACACGCCTCAACACCTTGTGCGTCCTTATGAGACCAGGAATCTCCCGATCTCTCTGGATGACCCATCTCGTCCGCGCACTTTGCATCGCGAATGCCCACGCTGCGTCTGTTTTGGGAGATTCGTCTCCCTCCCTTCACTTACGCGCGCCGTCTGGCTCAATCGCCATCACCTATTGCCCAAACTCAATGTGAGACGCAAGGACAGCTTAGGATTGTTTTTCTTCATACCGTTCAACGAGACGTGCAAGCTGGGGTAGTGATCCCGTTGACCAGGGTATACAACTCGGTGCAGTTATCGCAGCAGTCGCGTTTTCGCCTCTTATCCGAGCCACAGGCCTTGTCATATCAAGCGTCCATTGATCTATCGTCGGGAAGCCCTTTCAAGTCGCTTTATCTGAGCGACCTATGTCTGCAACTGCGTTTCCCAACGTCAACAACCCAACCGCAACCAAGCAACGGGAAGGATTGAGAAAGGCGTCTGGTGATGAGTTCTTGATGTCGGAGGTGCTTACTCCCGCGCAGGATACATGCCTGCGCGCTCAAGCTTTGTACTTTGGAAGTGATGCAGGCTCCTCCTGTCTAGCGACCATTGTTGGTAGAAAACCCTGTTTGAGAGGACGTAATAAGAACATGATGATAAGAACTCGGTGATTCGTATCCTGAAGAGTCTGGACGTCATTAGGACGAGCCTCGAGTCAATAAAGTCCCTGTTGATACATACCGATGTTTGCCATCTTTACGGTGTCCGGAACTGTGCCTAGCACTGATGCGCAGCCCACCCGGCGGATTCACTTCCTTTGCCCTTAGGACTGTCCCTACACCGAGCGGCCTTCAGCAAAGGGATCCCCTTATGTCTTGAGCTACGAGGTCTCCTAGTCTTACCCTTGCATTGGCACGCAAAAAACCCTACTGGCACTAACATTTGGAGAACGCCCCAACAAGATCGTCCGTGCCTCTGAGGATATCCATCTGGAACAGGATGCGACCATCGCCGACAATTGAACGCTCTGTCGAGCTGAGTTCTAGCTGCGCGACTGCTACTCTGCTACCACCGAGGCTTCCTACTGTGCCATTCGCCAATGATTTGTTGAGGAGCCAAAGCAAATTCTTCTTGGACTGCGTCTTGAGGCATCTTTCTACCGCCGTTCGGACCGACGACGACCCATTGTCTCCCTTCTATGAACTCCCCTTTACATCTTCTTGATGATAACTTGTGTAGCCGGGCACTCGTCACCCAGGACAACATCCCCATTGACCGCAACAAGCCTCTCCGATATCGTCGGCGCAAAAAGTCTAGCGCAAGTACTAGCCGCGGCACTCAACCATAAGCTTCTCTTCGTCCGCCTCGACCTTCAAGAGAAGCGGTCCCAATTGCAGTTGTCCCCTAAGTTCAATCTTGCCCGCCTGGGTGAAACGTAAACGATGGGCTTGGTGCTCACTGATGGCCAAGTTCAGGCGATATAGACGCCCAGACATCTCGATTCCATCGACTACCCCTTCTCCCAGCGAGTAGAGCAACTTCCCAGTGCGACTCTGGAGCCGATCCATAACTCTCCCTCTCAGGATCCCATTATTACCAAACAGCCCAATTCGAACAGCTTTGCGATATGGCGCACAACGAAAAAATGTTCTGATTATCGGCATCCCGTCGAAGGCGTCGGGGAGGCGTCCGGACACTGCGCTGTCGTTTTGCTGTACAGCTTTATCCTCCAGCAAAATCACGGCCTGATTCTGGTATCATTGTTCTCTCGTTTGGAGTCGAAGGGTGACCTTGGGTCTGGGCGTTCGGGGGTCGGCGGAGGCACTCGGAAGGTCCAGAGGGAGGTTTGACAAATGCTTCGAGGAGGATGGGGATATGTCTGCATTGTTGAGTTGATGAGGCCGATATCGTGTGTCTAGTAGTCCTGAGTTCTAGCTGATAAACAATCAATCAGTGTAATGTCCAAGCTCACAGATTGTCTATGATTGTGTAAAGAAAACTTATCATCGGTCTTCACTCTTGCTTGAAGGTCATCACCCTTAGACCCTCTCTCTCCGTTCCTCGTCATCTTTTCCTGGCGCGCGCCCGCTTGTCCCCCTGGCATTGGACACCCTCGCCTCATTCTTTCTCCTCTCGCGCCTTGACGGCAATGCCGGTTATCCGTTTTCCTCATCCTGACGTCTCTCTCACGTTGGTTTGCTCTCATGACAACGAGCAAGACTCGGCTGGCTGTACAACCTCACTGTCCCCGGCGGAGTAGACCTTAGCGACGCAGGATTGTCTCGGACTTGACTGTTGAGCCGTTTGAGGTGGATCACGTGGCATCTGGCTTCGAGCGACTCAACACATCCAGGCCATCTTGTCCTCCCTCACTTTGGACTTCTTCCTTATTTCTCCCTCTTGACACTTATCCTCCATTTCAGGTTCGCACCGCACATCTTTTTCTCCCTCTAGGAACCAGTCCTTGGAGAACAAGTCTTTCTTCATTCTCTTCTGTGATCGCGCTCCCCAGTCCAGTTTTCTCATTCCAGCCAGAGTCCCGTGTTTTGTACCAACTGCGAGTACTCGCACAACTGCATCTGCCATTTGAACTCATTCATTTGTCTCTCAACGCTTTCGGTCAGTTCTTCTACTCCTAACACAGCTCTTTTGAGCGCATCCTTCTGCCTCTGCTACCAGCTATTCGCACATTGTTACCGGTTTCAGTTTGTTGACTGCCCTCCCCAGCTTCTCTAGACTCGTCTGCTTTCCCACTCTCAACCTTCGGTTCTTCGTTTCCATCGGCCTCGTTTCTTCGCTGCTGGGTCTCATTCCTCGCCCGTCATGGCGACTCAGATCTTCACCATATCCCACAACTGGGACCTGAGTGTAAGGGTGAACGAATACGCGTATGCTGTTAACGAAAGCGGGCAGCAAGCAAATCGCATTTCCAACTCAGCCATCTTCAAAGTTGAGCGCGAGAAGCTGCGAGTGACACCATACTTTGAAGCCATGTTCCCCGGACTCTGGAGGGATTCAGCCGCACATGAAATCACTCTTGAGGGAGACAACAACACTCTTGCCTTGGAGGTCATGTTCCATGGCCTACACGATAGCTTGGAGACAAGGGGCCCGATTTCAGTCTCCATGGTGACCGTTTGGCGTTTACTCCTCGCATGCAACACGTATGAAGTGGAGTACGTTGAGGGACCCTTGAAAGAGTGGTTCAAAGCCTGGTTCGAGGCTGAGAACAACTCAACTGAATACGGGATTGATTGCGAGTTTGAGAGACAAGTCATGGGGCCGTGTTATCACTTTAATTATGCCGAAGGATTTGCGAAGGCCACCAAGTGGCTTGTTTACAACAGCGACTGCCATATCTTGGAGCTGATTCCCGACGAAAGCGCATCGGAACTCCAGAAATTGCATTTGCCGCAGCGTGTCATTCGTAAGTCTTACCTCAACCCGTACGATCAACCCTGATTCACTAGAGCTTTGTGTTATAGAGCAGCTTAACGCTGCACGTGGCCGCCTCCGCAACATTCTGCACAAAGACCTCTTCAATTCAGTCGCGAGTATTCTCGGCGGAAGAGAATGCGACTGCAGGGAGGGAACTGTCTTTGACTACTTGAAGGAGCTCTGGCGTGTCAAGGTGTGGCCGTTGGACAACGCCTTCAAAGACGCAAGCGCCATGGACGTATTGCAAAAGATTGGGCGGTTTGACGCATCACACATTCGGTCTCCCGTCCAGCAGGGCAACAACTGCTACTGCAATGCTGACTGGAGTGACATTGTCATGAAAGCGGCACTGCGAACCCTAGATTATTTTGACGGCCTCTGCCTGGATTGTATGAGCGTGACGAAGTGTCTCATGGAAGGCAGGGACCCCGACCACGAGTACTGGAAGAACGGCGAGAAGAAGAAGTATGATGTTAGCTGTTGCATTAGCCATCACCAGCCTACCTGGTATTTCAGTTTTATGGGTCGTCGTGGGAGGTCAACGAAGACTTCCTACTAGTTGCCGGGTACGTTGTCCTCGTGAGATCATGTGTGGCGCTTTGTTGTATTTGGGCAATTTACATTGAGGGGTGTGAGCCTTCGCTTCTCAAGTAGCAGTTGAGATTTTTGTTAAATGCAGCTCTTAGCCAAAGGCCCCAAACGTCAATGAGCCTTGTTGATTCGAACCATGACTTACGCCACCGGCGCTCCTTCAGCAAATAACTCTGCATCTTCTGTTTAATAGACAGCCAGTATGAAACAGAGTCCTCCACAGCAGACATTAATTTAGTTCTGTCCATTTAGCCACTTAGCTTTACCAGCGCAGCCATACTAAACAAGCGTCTGACTCTTGCAAACTAATTGAATTAGCCACCAGGGATTCTAGTACTGTAGTTTCCTTCAACCTCAGCCAGCAGCATGTATACACCCTGACCTTCCATCATTGGGAGAGAGGAGGTACCGTTGAGGCATTTGAGGTGGATCACGTGGTATGTGGCCTCGAGCAACACAACACAAGACAGGCCTTCTTCTCATCTCTCCTTCTCCCCTCTATCTTTTCTTTCTCTCATCTCTTTCCCTTCCCCCTCTCCATTTGCTTTTTCTGTACACAATTTCCTTGCCATTTGTCCCCTTCACACCACGTCTGTAATCTCAATTCTTTCATTCCACAACCTTCGTCCTCATACCCCATGTTCCCGCTTCTACTTTACATCAAATCAGTTCCTCCTGAGTCTTCCCAACCCCTTTACCTTTTCCCTCACTTTTAAGCCTTCTGCTCTATGCCATTTGTCCGATCTTTAGCTGTTTCATCCACTCTTTGGACGCCATCCATTCCGTTCCTTCACTCCTGTTCATCCTCAATTTCCTCTCTCAATCCGACCACTCAACACTACGCCACCACTTTCTGTGTTATCATTCAACCAGGAACCATCCACCCAAGCTCACCTTGCCAACAAGAATGACATCTGTCACTGGAACCGCCGACGCGGGCATCCAGGAAGACCTTGGCTTTCAGGATCTGACTCTCCACGGACAGTCCGCTGCCGAGCCTCGGGTCATAAGAATCGCTCCAGACTTCAATCTCCGAATCCAGGTCTCCGAATACGAATCTGCGATTGGTGCAGATGGTAAGGACCACAGCATCGTGTCCCGGTCAGCGATCTTCGAAGTCGATCGCCAGAAGCTAGACGCGAGCGAACATCTTAGCCGTAAGCTTTTTGGCGAGTTGAGAGAGGGAAGCCTTGATGCCAACGTCGCCGCCATGGAAATCCTCTTCCACTATCTGCACGATAGTCTGGAATCAGTCACTGCTGATGCAGTTTCCATAGAAACCATTTACCACCTTATTAATATGTGCGACAAGTACAAGGTCTCCGGTAGTGAGGTATTCAAGGTCAAGGCGGAGGAGTTGAAGGGCTGGTTTGTGAACTGGTACAACGTGGCGAAGGGGCTTCCAAAAAACAGATACAGAAGCCACGACTTTTACCGCTCTATGCTGTTCCCATGTTACGCCTTCGATCATGCCCAAGGCTTCCTTGAGACCTCCAGGTTTGTTATATACAACACTGTGGGCCATATTGAGGAGCGAAACCCTACAACTCTTCATAGGCTCCACTTGCCGTCCCGAGTAATCCGTGAGTTGCATTTCCCGCAAATGATTATGATCCGCGACTAATAAAGATTTTCCCTCAAAGAGCAATTGAACGCGGCACGCGGTCGGCTCAAGACCCTTCTTGTTGATGGGCTGATCAATGATATAAGCGACCTTCTCGATGAGGATTGCGAGTGCAAGGAGGACACATTCTTCCAGTTCCATCTCGAACTGCGCCGGATCAAAGTATGGCCTCTGGAAAGGAGCTTGAAACACTGCACCACCACCCAGCTGCTCGATCGCCTCCCGAACTTTTGCGACAAGCTCATCAGTCCTCGGAACCGTGCTCCTCCGAAAAGCGAGGATGGAAACTCGGCATTGGTCAGTAAACCGGACGGTTCCACGTGCAGCGAGGATGGGAACTCGGAGTCAGTCGGTGGAGTGCACTGTTGCCCGTGTGGTGAGGTTAGAAACTCGGCGTCGGTCAATGAAGCAGACTGTTCCAGGTGCAACTGGCATTGGGAGAAAATCGTTCTGGCAACAGAAAAGAAAGTTCGCGAGAACATCGATGGGCTATGCATAGATTGCATGAGCATCTCAAAGAATCTCCAGGAAGGCAAGGATCTTGATCATCAGTACTGGCAGCATAACAAGAAACGACAGTGGGATGTGGACTGCCGTGTCACCCACGGCCAGCCAACGTGGTGGTTCAGCTTCATGGGCCGTCGTGAAAAGAAGACCTTATTCTCATATTAGTCACCGGGGTTCTTTGTCTAGGCGAAGGCAATCATGGTGAAAATCAGGATATCTTCCAAGTCAGATACGGTGGTGCAGGACTTGTTCGTCGGTATCGTGGCTACCTACCGGTAAGCCACCATCGAACAATATGCCAGGTTCCGCTCCGCCAACACAAAAAAGACACGCTAAACTCGATTTCTCCGTCGTATTCTGGCCATTTACATCTCGTGGTTTGAACTTTCGCTTTTCAGGGAGTCATGGAAGCTCTGTCAAATCCAGTGCATCTCTTGCGGTGCGGTTCAGCTACACACATGTATCTTTCTTTTTGTTAATGCTCATCTGACCTTACAACAACTCGGACGAGTCGAGCAGCTGCCTTCAATATGTACTTAATATCCCAATGAAAATCCTAAACGTCTGGTGGCACAGCCTTCATCTCCGCAGCAGCTCGGCTAATCAGAACAGCGTCCGCGGAATTCAACTCGACGTACTCACTCTTGTCGGCAAAGCTCTCAGAGCCGAACATTGGCACGAGGTACTGGCTCTGACGCTCGACATACCAAATCCTTCCCGTTGTCCCGAATGACGTCCACGCATACACGCGCGCCACCTTCGGGTGTTCCGCCAAGCGCCTCTTGCAAACATCGAAAGCTCGATCCTCGACTTCTTGAATACACCCAGGGACTGTCTCCATAGCCTTTGCTTCGTGGACGGCAATGCCCATGACCCTGAGCTCTCCATCATGCCCAATGTGTTCGATCTCGAATTGCACTCGCCGGCGGCCCCTTTCTTCAAGCGGAATTCCTGGCGCCACACCCCAATCCTTGCCTGTGAAGAGTTCCTTGTTCCACAGCTGCGACCAGACATTGGCAGAGGCCCACTCGTTGGTAGGCTGGGCCTGCGCCTTCTCCCAGAGCGCTTGGGTGAGGTTGTCGGTGATCAGCGACATTCTTTCGATTTGAATGTTGGTTCCGATCCCTAGACGGCTTTAGCGATGATACAGATGGAACAACGGTTCGGCAGTCTAACAAATGCTTGGTGACCTTAGCCCTTTGCTTTAAGAAGCCCACGCAGTAAAGATGTACTTGCCAAGGTGGCCGAGCCCGTTTCAAAGACAACCAGAGAACGGATATTTTCACGGCGTCTTCAAGATCAATTGATAGCCGGATGGAATAGAGAATACATCCGAGCAGTTATCCATAGCGATGTGGCCACCCTTAAATACCTCGTCCCTCGACATGGCGTCCTCAAGTGCGCAGATTGCGAGGATGGCCGGCGCGTACCCAGCAAGTAAGGATCGACCTTCTTTTCAACCAACAACCAGTATGAAACATAGTCTATCAACTCCAAAGGAATGGATGCGTCAAGGCCAGTCGATATGATAGCCGCTGACATGTTCTATACATGAATTGGTTCTGATCGACTTCAGATTAGCCGCCAGCTGAGTGTCCGTGCGAACTCCTCCATCGTCGCTAGCGCAGCCACACGAACGTTGGACTCCCGTGAACCACTCGATCTAGCCGCCGAGGCTCCCATTAACACTGAATGCCTAATCTTCTCTCCTTGGTGTTTGCTCAGCCAACAGCGTCCTTACACCTCGCCCTTCAACTGGACCGTGCAGTGCAGCGCTACAGCAGCGCACCGCGATCCACCTCCGGAGGCACCTGCGACCTGGGGTAGGTTCGTATACCTATCGGTCTGCGCTCCAGTTCTGCAATATAGAGAGCCCCGAAGTCATTCAGTGCCGATGAAATCACGACGCATATGGTATACAGTCCTCGTGCCCTCCTTGCGGGGAAAATAAAGAGCAATGCCTCTTATCGTTCGGACTTCCTAGTATAACAATCCCAGGCATAGTCCTTCGATTAGCGCTCTCCAACCTTGTGATAAGAGATCGGCCGACGCGATCGGTCAACAACGCGCCACATTCCGCCGCGATAACGGACGTTGGAGGCGAACATCAGCCGGGACATGAACAGGGATGTTCTCCCTCCCTCCAATCGCGAGGCGCTGGATCTGGGTAACGATAAGCGGGGATGTTCTAAAGACCCGCTTGCTTTCCCCGGCCTCTGCACAGTTGAGCTGGGTTGTCTCATCTTGTTCATCTGGGTTGGAACCGGTCCCTTTCATTGTTTATCGAGCAACTGGTTGGAGAGAGGTTAGAAGATGAAGTCTTGGTCGTGGCCTGAGATAAAGCAGCGGCTTCAATGGTACGTCTCGCTACCGCAACTCCCCTTCCCCGGAATCCCTGGATGATGACTGCTGTTGCTGACATTCAAAATCCAGCCCCGTCGACGAGGATGCAGAGTACGAGAACACAACCTGGTGCAACCGGGACCTGATCCCCATCCCACCAGAGCGGAGGACGTACGGAGTTTGGTCGTACTTCGGTGCGTGCTTTCTCTGACTCCATCGTTAGAAATCTACCAAATAACTGTTATGAAGGCTACTGGACTGTCTCTGGTGCATGCATCTCAGCATGGTCGACGGGAAGCACGCTGCTCGCATTCGGCTTAACTCCGCAGCAGGCGATTGGGGTTATTGTATGCCATCCTCCCTCGAGCGTGAAGAGCTCGAGCTGACCATCTAGATTCTCGGCTCCTTCTTGTGCGGCCTTCTCTCCGTCTTCTGTGGCTGGATGGGCGAGGTCCATCATATCGGTTTTACAGTCTCGAGTCGGTCTTCCTGGGGAATGAGAGGGTCTTATTGTACGTCACTCCGAAGATAGATACTACGAACAGGAGCTAATGGGGGCCGCAGTCCCCGTCATCCTCCGAAGCTTCGTGGGGTGCATGTGGTTCGGCATGCAGGCGTTCTGGGGAGGTCAAGCAACGAGAGTCATGATCGGCGCCATTATCCCCGGTAAGCTCAAGTTACCTTACGAGCAGAATTGTTGCTGAAGACCAGAGCAGGCTTTGCCCACATGGAAAACTACTTCGCGGCCAGCTCGCACCTGCAAACGAACGACTTCATCGGCCTCGTTATCTGGATGGTGGGCTTCATCCCCGCTGTCCTGATCAAACCAGAGAAGTTACAGATGCCCTTCTTCTTCTGCTTTGTCCTCTTCTGCGGGACTTGCTTCGGGATGCTTATTTGGTACTCTCCCTCCGCTACCCCTCTCTCTTACCCTTGGATCATAGTACTGATGGTTCTCAAGGGCCGTCTCCCAGGCCCACGGCGCCGGCGACCTCTTCCACGAACCCGGGACAGCCCCCAACACAGGCTGGGCATTCATGTTCGGAATCACCGCAATACTCGGCTCTTGGGGTAGCGGGACCCTAGGACAATCCGACTGGGTGCGGTACTCGAAGCGGCGGTACGCACCGACATTGTCGCAGCTCGTTGCCTGCCCGCTGACAATCGCCATCACGGCGACTATTGGTATTATTGTCACCAGTGCGAGCAATAAAGTTATGGGTGGGGATATTCAATGGAATCCGATCTATCTTCTAGCGGATGTACAGGAGTTTTATGGCAGTTCACCGAGGGTCAGGGCTGGTGTGTTCTTTGCGAGCTTGGGGTGTGTGGCGAGTCAGTTTTCGGTATGTTTTGGCTCTTCGTTATCTTCTTCGGTTGCCCACGTAAAGTTTTGGGCTGTGATGCTGACGAAAATGTAGATCAGCGTTGTGCTCAACAGCGTTAGCACGGGGATGGACCTCGCGGGTCTGTGGCCGAAATACCTGAACATAGTCCGCGGGAGCTATATCATGGCAATCATCGGAATCGCTACACAGTACGTCCTTCTCCCCGCCATTGGGAAGTCCAACTAACAAGTCAAGGCCGTGGCAGCTCATCTCAACCGCCGACAAGTTCCTCTCCGTGCTTAGCGGCTTCGGTGTCTTTATGGCCCCTGCAACGTGCGTTCCTCTCCCATTCCACCAAATCCATCAGCATCACGGGCTCACCTTAATCATCTGAAAACAGCGGCCTTATGCTAGCCGACTACCACGTCGTCCGCCGACACCGGCTAAAGCTCTCGGACCTATACCGCGGCTCTCCATCCAGCATCTACTGGTTCCGGAGCGGCGTGAACTGGCGCGCCTTTGCCGCGTTTACTGTGGGCATGTGGCCATTACTGCGTACGTTCTGCCTTCTACTACCTTCATACCTCGGTGTCAACTAAGCAGACTAATGTACTAAATGATGCGACAGCCGGCCTAGCAGCCAACGTGAACTCCTGGACCGAACCCAAATGGACCGGCTGGCTACGCCTTTACAATCTGACGTTTATCGTCGGGCTGGCGATTAGTTTCCTGGCGTTCTGGGGACTAAACATTTTCTTCCCCGTGCCCGGGACCGATATTGACGGGCCGTTTATTGTCGATGGTCGCGATCTTGTTATCGATGGGGTTGCTAGGACGTCAGGATCGAGCGAGGGCGATGCCCCTGGACCGGTCAAGAATGAGCATGGACGGGAGAGAAAGGGGGCGGTCCTGGAGGTCTCTGTTGTCTAAGGGACTCCTGATACATGATACGGATACGAGCACAAGGCCACCAGAGATATAACTAAGCCTCCCATGTTGGTTGAATAACCGATATAACTCGGTAGACCATTCATCAAGTGACAAATACATCGTCGCTTCCAAGCAAAACCTTAGCTTTGCTTCCACCCAGGTTCTAAATACCAGTAGACCTAGAGTCTAGCTGTTACAACAGTCCCAGCACCCGCCTGTTTCTCGTTCGCACCCTCTAATATCCCCGTAAGCGCATCCGCAAAGTCCTTCTGCCTCGTAACATACCCCATATGCCCCCCAGGCACAATCCCACACGGAATCCCAAGAAGACCCGAAAGCCTCACCACCGGACTAGTCGAGAACACCGGCGCATCCGCATCATCCCCCCTCAGCAAAACCAACTTCGCACCACAATCCGCCCTTGCCAATCCATCCAGCGGCACTCTGAACGTCAACGCCTCGCCAAACTCCGTCTCAAACCACGCCCCAAAACAATGCGGCTGCGTCGCGACGCCCGCGTACGCGTCGCTCTTCACAAACTCTTCCCTGTCGCCCGCGCTGCTGAGAGCCGGCATGAGCAGGCGGTTTGCGGCGGCCGTGCCACGTTCTTTATATGTCTCCAGCATCCCCTGAATTTGACATCTCAGAGAAGATTGGGTTTTGTCCGGGAGGACGGAGAGAAAGACGGGTTCGTGGACTAGGACTCTGGAGACGAGAGAGGGGGACGATGCTAGGAGTGTTATGGCGATGTATCCCGCCCATGAGGAGCCAAAGACGATTGCTTTCTCGGTTGGGGTGGCGCGGACGTGGCGGATTAATGCTGCGAGGTCGGCTGCGTGCGTCGCGATTGCCGTGCCTGGCTGTGGATGCGGCAGGGAGGAACTGCGGTGGTACCCGCGTCGGTCGTAGGTTACGACGCGGAAGTGCGAGGCGAGGTGTTTTGCGAGCGAGCTGAAGAGGAGGGATGTGCCGTGGCCGCCTGGGATGAGGAGGAGGAGGGGGCCTGAGCCGTGGATTTCGTGGTGGAGGGGGATGGGCGTTGGTGGTGTTGGTGTTGGGGGTTTAAAGTGTGAGGAGTGCAGGTGCAGGGACATGGTGTCTTAATCGGGCGTTGAAATCGCTTGGGCCTGGCAAGTGATAGCCTTGAATAACAATGTAAAGCATCTCGAAGGTGTTATATACCTTGAGAAGCGCACAGTCGGTGATATTTTCGAGCGGATTTGGAGTTGGAGTAACTGTTCAGCCAGCCTCGTTGCTTGGAACTGTTTGTTACTATGCAGTTCGGCTATAAAAGCCATTCGTGATGCTCGCCCTCCGTAGGGATCGGAAACGGTTCGTGCAGCCTGCAGGCATAAGCAGCTAATCTAGTCAGACGGACGATAGGCTTCGAATGAGAGAGGAGAGGTAATCCTTGGCTGCATAGCGAGACGTGGAGGGGGTTCATTGGGATATCTAGGTACAGATCCAATGCAGCTGCTGATCCGAAGTGACGGAAGATCAGAAGGACATTAAAAAAATAAAATATACATGGTAGGTTGAAAACATGCTGCGAGAGCCGCACTGGTTCGGTCAAGGATCTGAACGGCTGCTTGAACTGAGATGGAGATACTTGTTTTGCAAATCGGGCCCTAGCAGGTTGATTGTCGAATGATTCCTTAGCTATGATGCCAATGAACGAGTCCGCACCTCAGTAACTATTGAAAAGCAAAAGATCGATGGCCGGGTGTTCTTCTCAGCGACGACACTCCCGACGTTCCATGAAGCTAAAATACCACGTAGGTTCGTCGTGTGCGACGCGGCAGGTTGAACTCCAGGCTTTCTTCTTGTCTTTCTGGTAGTACTGGGCATCCTTGTCCACACCTTCCTGGAGATCGTTCGACTCCAGCATGCAATCCAGACACAGGCCATCGAAATACCCGCGGACCTCTTCTTCCGCCGACCTAACAATCTTCTTCCAGTTCCTTCTGCAGCGACACCAGCTCTCGCGACCGCGCGGTGCCCCATTTCCCTTTCGAGTCCGCGTCCAGCAATGAGGACAGCAATTCATGGGGTGAACGGCATTGCCTCGGAAGGATGCGAGTCGTCCGATAAGCTCGTCAATACTAGTTTTCTTTATGTACGACTCTAATGGCCAGACCTGTATACGACGAAGCTCCCGGAAGTATTCGAAAAACGTCTTTTCCCTGCATTTGCATTGTTCGTCGAGGAGTGTGGCGACGTGATCGAACAGGCCGTGGTGTAAGACATTTCGGAGACGACCGCGGGCAGAGTTCAGCTGTTCTATAATATAAGATACTAATTAGCGGCCGATGACAATGGTGGTTGAAGGGTACTCACGAATAATTAGCGGACGAAGCTGCAATAAGTTAACGTTTATAGGGTTAAGTTCCGAAATGGCCCCGGGACCCATGTAGACAAGGAACTTCGAAGCTTCCATAAACCCTTCGGCATAGTTAAACTGGTAGCATGGTGAGATGACCTGCTGGAAGAAATACAGGCGCTCGCTGCCAGCTTGCGTAAACTCAACCTGGTACCAACCCACGAACCAATCCTTCAAAACAGCAAGGCTAACATCCAACTTCTTTCGCCCGCAAAGTCCAATGAGGTGCCAAATTGTGTCGATGGGGACTGAGCCCATTGTCGCCGGCTCCAGGCACCCGTGCAATTGCTTCAAGAGGATTTCCATAGCCGCGTGATTGGCTCCATCGTAGTCGATTGACGTTCGACGCGGGTTTTTGGCAATGAGTTTGCCAAGGAACGTGCTGGCCATGAGTTTCTCTCGCTCAACTTCGAAGGTTATCATATTCGAGGCTTGGTTGGATTGTTTTCTGCCCCTGTTGTTTCTTCGTTCACACTCGTCGACCCGGAGATGCAGGTTGGAGTTCTGGGTGATGCTGATGAATCTTGGTTGAGTCCGGGACACCGCTTGCACAGCTCGGCCATCAGGTTCCTCTTCCACCGTCGAATCCCAGAAACTTCCATCCACAGTGGTTGCGAAGGATTCTTGATTTGGAAGCTGATCTTCCGAGCCCCAGCCATTCGCGGCAACGTCGTCAAAGGCCGGTTCGTGGAAGGCACGGTCTTGAAAGCCCCAGCTGCCAAAGACCTCTTTAGTTTACCAAGACATACTGTGGTGTTTCAAGATCAATTGAGCAGTAGCGGGCAATAGACAGACAATGACGAATAGACAGTATGAGTAGGCCGGAACACAGTCACAGGAATTGAAAAGAGAAGAAAGCCCTTGAGCTGTAGAGACCGGCGACCCTTAGGTGGAGTGGAGAGAGACGTTCGACGTTAGGCAGGATTCAGTAGATAGGAGGATGATTTGAGAAAAGTCGCTATAGAGGGAAGGGTGATGGCAAATGAGGGATGTTGAGGGTATCTGACTGCGCAAAGAACAGACACGATGAGAGGGATGAAGGGATAAATGAGTGAGGTAGATGGGAGGGATGAAAGTCAGAGAGAGGATGCGAACCTTGCCTTGGGTAAGGAGGGAGGAGAAGAGGGCCTGTCTTGTGTTGTGTTGCTCGAAGCAGATGCCACGTGATCCACCCCAAATGCCTCAACGGTATCTCCTCTCCCACTTGCAACAGTCGAGCCTGATGATTTTGTTCTAGATTTGAGTTTCTGTCCACTATCAGCTGCCCCTCATGGCTAGTTACGAGCCTTCAGCTCGACCTACGCCTTGATATTTGATATTACGTGAGTAAGCAAAATTCAGGACTTTGAGCCATCGTGTACGATTATCTTGTCTCCCAGACGGCTAAACCACCATGTAATAGTACCGGCGTCAGGCAGCCGTTGCCATGTACTGTTTCCCACGTCTGAGCCATCGGATACTTTGTTTTTGATGTCCTTGATATAATCTAGTTTGCCAATAGTGCCTTCCTGAAAATATAGAGGTACAGGAACGTGTTCGTCAACATTGAGGTCCCAACGGAACTGCCCAAGTGCTTCCTGGTGTCCATCATTGAAGGAAAGGAGAACACCCAGGATTGGTCTGTGTTGCTGTTCTGTATCTCTGCAGAGCTGTACGTGTAGCAGGCCCTTGAGTGGTACTTTCGACAAGTACCAAGTACACGTTGGCCCGCCCTGGCCCGGAGGAACAGGCGGCGGCTCAATATGAATATCGGGTGGTACTTCTAGTGGCGATTCAGTCTCGTCGGTAACTGGCAGGGCGCAAGTAACGCCAAGCTCTGCAACGCATTTTGATCGGGAAGCTGGGTCGAATCCGTCATGGAATATCCCCGTGACAGGGCCATCGCCGGCCTTCATCAATGGCCGGTACTCACATAGAGGTAGAACATTGCCAGTATACTGGGGTCCGAAGGTTACTGTCCTTCCACGAGAGGTATGCAACTGGCTTGTCAGCACTCAGCACGGGCGCATATTCAAACGAAATGGCCTTACAATCAAGGCAGGATCAGCGGCTGACCCAATCGGCAATTCAAACTTCCGTATCCACGCTCCTGTTACCTTTTCCCGCGAGTTCAAGGGAAAATAAACCCAGTGCTTGTATAGTTCAGTGACGCGCCGAGACATTTCCGCGATGAACTTCTCCAAGGCGCCTGGTGTGTCAGAGGAAGCGTGAATCCCAAACATTCGAGAGCCAGCACAACAAACTAAAAGACCTTTGATGTTGGCATCTAACGGCTGGTAATGTAGACGATGTGTATCTTTATGGTTATGGAAGTTCCAGGGATGGAACTTGGGCTGTACGGGTGAGCTCCACATAATTCTTGATTTTGATGAGCTACCTTCAGCGAGTTGCAGGTCTCGTACAAAGATGCCCTGTGCGCGTTAGCGTTGCCCAAGAAGGAGATATTAGGTTACTAGCGCCTTACATCAAGAGTGACATTTGTAGCAATAGCTGGCATATAGCCTCCGTCGATGATCTTATACCACGGCGAGCCATCCACTTGAGGGCTCGATTTATTGTCCAAAAACCGGATTGCGCGTATACCGATGCCGTCTACCGAAAGCAAGATTTTGTCGATCGTATCCGGAAGCTTGATGTGACGTAGCGCAGTGGTTGTGGTTGATTCCAGCGGCTCGGCGCTAATCTGCGATACATAGGAAGAGCCTCGGTAAGAGGTCTCTAGAATCCAGGCTTCCTTTGAGAGATTGAGATGAATCGGCTGGCTTCGATAAGTCTCCCTAAACCTTTGCAGGAGGCGTCGTGTTTCACCAAGCACAATGAGGTACCAGCATGGGGGGACAAGATCACTAATCATGACCCTCATTTCGGCAGGTAGGCGCCGGAGTAGGTCCTGGCTGAAGATGTCTTGCATTATTTCCGACGAATGTTCACTAAACAGTCCTTCCAAGGCTGACGCACGTTCCCCACGATCATCGCGCCGTAGATCGTATAGGGGCTTCATGGCATCGGCAAACCGCGTCAGCTCTTCTGAGGTGGGTTTTGCTGATGGCTCATACGTAGCCGCCAGGATCTCATAGCATGCGGCATGCAGCCAGACTGGCCGAAGCGGTGAACCATAGCAGAGCATGCAGCGGGCTCGATCGCATTGTGGCGCGGAAAGTGGACGAAGGTTCGAATCTAGACGGCGGGTCAGACAGGAGAGAAGATCTCAAATGAAACTCACCCAAGACTTTGGGACCAGGAGGTTGTCTGCAAAGGAAACAGGTGGTTCGCTTGATGTGAAGCTCGTCTAGGGGCGCCATGTTCGAAGCTCAGGCAGCAGGATGGGCACAGCGCTCGGGAAGCACAGCGGAGAGATATACAGGTATCAATAGCTCCCAAGACTTTGTTTGACGCTGGATTAAGTGAAGGGTAGAGGGTGCGGAGTTGGTCAGGTTCATGTGATCCAAAACAAAGCAAGGGCGCCGCGGCCTTGTCACGTGGCCGCCTTGGCGGCCTAAGGCCACGGCTTCCTCTTCTGGCATCATGTAGCTTCCCCTTCACAAGGTTATCAAAGACTATGGTTGTCTGTCTAGGCCTCCATGGTCGACATCTTTTTCTTGAGCAGTCATATACGACCTGGCTATGGAAATCTTGGTCTCCATCCATAGATATGGACTAGGAGGACGGCGTGCACAGTTTCGATGTTCAACCATTGGTTCGCCGATCAAGTCCGGGCAAGGATTTGGAGAACATTGTGGCGTCAAGCCTATCTCATATCGATGGTGAACTCTAAGATAAGAGACTTTGGAGTAGTCTGCACAAGCAGGTATGTTCCCCTATCAGATCGGCGAAGCATCACTTTTGACCGAGATAACTATAATTGGAGATCGCAACAGAGAATATGAAGCAACCATCCAGCATCCAGCAATCTCCCTGTATCAGCAGAATCATATCACAATGAGACCAACCCCCCTCCCCAACGGCACAGGCTCCATTCCCCCAATCGGGCTCGGGACATGGCAATCCAGCGCAAACGCGACACGCTCCGCCGTAAAACACGCCCTCCAGCACGGATACAGACACATCGACACGGCGCTCAACTACGGTAACGAAAAGGAGGTCGGGGGAGGAATCCGCGACTCGGGCGTTCCAAGGGAGGAGATCTGGGTGACGACAAAGCTGGACAATCACTGGCATCACCGGGTGCGCGAGGGGCTGGAGAGCTCGCTAAATGATCTGGGCCTTGAGTATGTGGACTTGTACCTCGTACATTTTCCTTGCTCGACGGATCCGGGGGATCGGGGAAAGCATCTGCCGAATTGGGATTATGTGAAGACTTGGTGCGTATAATTTTCCCCCAAGCCTCCCGGTCTGCAATGGTTGGTGAGATGTTGAGGGGCGTGGGCGTGTTGCTGATGAGGATACGACAAAGGCAAGAGATGCAGAAGCTCCTGGACACCGGCAAAGTCCGCAACATCGGGGTTTCAAACTTCCAGATCAGCCATCTCGAGAGACTCCTCAATGATCCCTCGTGCAAGGTCATTCCGGCCGTGAATCAGATCGAGGTGGGTTTCGTTTCTCGTTTCACGTTGCCATTGCTGACTTCCTACGCAGCTACATCCGTATAACCCCTCGTACGTTCCGCTAATCCCAACAATGGTGCTTTGACAGCTGACGTCTATTTCAATGAATAGACCCAAGCTCTTCGCATACTGCACTTCGAAAGGCATCCACTGCACCGCATACTCCTGCCTAGGCGGCCACAGTGACAGCCCCATAAACGGCCGGACCGATCTCCTTCAAGACCCCATTATCCTCGAAATCGCGGCAGCAAAAGGGAAGACACCGGCACAGATTCTGTACGTCCCCTTATAACTCGCGGTATGGATCCGAGGCGCTGACTCTCCACCTGCAGGCTAAAATGGAACCTCCAGCGCGGGGTCAGCGTGATCCCCAAGAGCGTTACTCCGGAGCGGATCGAGAACAACTTTGACCTTGAGGGGTGGGAGTTGAGTGAGGAGGAGTTTGAGATGATGACTGGCATCAAGACGCGCGCGAAGGTTGTGGGCGATGGCTGGATGCCGATACGGGTCTTCACTGGGGATGATGAGTAGAGGGTATAAGTGCAAAGACTGGGGTTGGATCGAGTCCTTGCCTTACCGTTTGCAAGGTTATGTCTGGCGTTGAGTTGCACATAGAGCCCAATGGTTGATGATGAGGCAGCCCCGACACGCAGAGCGAAGTACAAATCTGACAAACAGGCACAGTAGAAACATAATTCATTGAGAAGCTAGTCGAGACAAACGCCATAAAAAGATCGTAAAGCCGTCACCTAGTACGTCGCATTCATCCTCATAGCAATATACTCACTACTCGTAATTGGCTCATACATCTTGGGCCTCCCCTCCCCATGACAATTAGGCAGACACTCAATAACGCGATCACGATCCGGACTAATAAAGTATGGAATCGAGTAGCGTGCCTTCGTCATGCGCCCCTTGGTCTCCCCCGTCGTCTCATCTGCAACATCCACCAACGGCGGCGCTCTGACGCGATGCATCGTGGACTTCAACTCATGATTACTCCAGCGCATGAGCAAGTCGCCAATATTCACGACCGCCATGCCGGGGATATACGGCGCGGAATTGAATTTCTCCTTTACATCAATATCCTCGACTTCGAGACCGCCGACCTCATCTTGGAAGAGGATGGTCATGGTGCCGAAATCCGTATGCGCCGCGATACGCTCGGCCTTGCCTTCTCGCAGCAGTTCCTCCTCAACGGGTGGATAATGGAGTAAGCGGCACTGGTTCGTGCGGTCGGAATGGTACTGCAAAAAGAAGTTCTCGTCTAGCCCCATTCCAAGCGCGATAAGTCTAAGCATAAGCGTTTCGAGATCCGAGCAGGTCGAAAAGAACTTTGCGAAGAAGCCGCGGAATCCAGGGAGAGTTTCTTCAGGGATCCAGATATTGCGCATTTGCGTGTCGTTCTCGTTGCCGATTTCGAAGGACTCCTTTACGTCGGGGGTCTTGCGACGCTGCGCGATCGAGTCTGAGTCGAAAACCATCTGGACGACTTTTTCGCGGCCTATCCCGCTGTAGCCGCGGTGGTAGCTGCCTTCTGGGGGGTGGGGAGCTTTGTTCTTTTCGGAATCGGGAAGGGCGAAGAATTTGGCGCTCTATTTGTACATGAAGACTTGTTAGTGAGATTTGAGATGTGAGGCAAAGGACCACCCTACCCATCCGAATGCCTCATCAACCAGGTCTTGAGGCACGCCGTGGTTCTTGATGTAGGCAAACCCGACATGCTTGAACGCCTTGTACACCTCGTGCGCGACTTTGGCGAGCTCTTCTGGACCACCTATCCGCGCGGGCTCCAGGTCGATGACTGGAATGCTTGTGGCCACCATTTTCATCTTCCGTGTAGATCCGGCGCTGGTTGATCGTCAATAACGGGCTATGGCAGCTATATCCTCGTGCAGTTATCCGGAGTTGAAATCGCGCGGTTTGCGATTTGGAGAACGCTCCTTGATATGCGCTTGGGCTTTATTGGTGTGATATGGCACGATGTGGAGTAGATATGGACAGACAACCTCGGGTTGGAAGAGGCAAGTTGGCCGATCTGATCGGGGAATGTGGTGTTGGAGAAGGGCCCGGTTGAGGCCACTACCCCGCTTCAAGTTGATAAGAGCGTCTCCAACTGACATAGGTATGGCAATACCATAATGCCGGCCAAGGCGCCAGCAATAGCGACAGGGACAACAACGTCCAAAGAGCAAGCAAGATGGCCAGTATAGCAGAGCACAAATACCGGATCGGTGTCGATGTTGGCGGTAAGTCTACTCCCTGGGCATGAGATGAGGAGGAGCAGCTAACACCCGTTTGCAGGGACAAACACCGACGCGGTACTCATCGCGCTCGACTCGATGAGCATCGTCGCCTCACACAAATCGCCCACGACCGCCGATGTGACGACCGGCATAACGAATGCTGTTCGAACGGTTATCGAAAGCGCCTCCGTCTCCCTCTCCTCAATCGGCTGCGTCATCGTCGGGACCACGCACTTCGTCAACGCGGTCGTGCAGCGCTCGCCTGCCCTGCGTCGGGTCGCGGTGATTCGACTCTGCGGCGGACCAGACGAAGGCTTCGGGCGCGGGATTCCGCCGTTTATTGACTTTCCGCTTGATCTTCGATCATGCATTGAGTCAGCGCGACAATATTTCTGCCATGGGGGGTTCCAGATCTCGGGCGAAGAAATCAGCGCTGTGGACGAAGACGAGATTCGTCGTGTCGCTGCTGAGCTGGCTGCGGATCGAGTCGAGAATATCGTGATATCGGGCATGTACGCGCCGCTCAATCACACACAAGAAGTGGCTGTGCGGGATATCCTCCTCCAAACAATGAAGTCGACAAGCAACTTCAGACCACGCGTTACGCTCTCCCACGAAGTCTCCGGTCTCGGTTTCCTGTCGCGCGAAAATGCCGCCATTCTCAACGCGACGCTGCGCCCTCTCGCCGAGAAGACGATCTACGGATTCAAGAAAGCAATGCAGGATATCTTTCAAGGGAGCCCGTACACACTATACCTCACGCAGAATGATGGCAGTGTTCTCAGCGCCGGCGAGGCGGTCGATAAACCGATTCGCACATTCAACTCCGGCCCGACGAATTCCATCCGCGGCGGCGAGTTTCTGTGGCGTGCTGCTGGGAAGGCGAGCGGACGAGATCAGGAAGACCGGACGGAGCCGCTGGTTGTCATTGACATTGGAGGGACAACTTCGGATAGCGGACTGTTGCTGCCAAATGGCCTTCCGCAGATGAGCTCCATTACGGGGTTGGTTGGTGGTGTTCGGACAAACTTTGCACTTCCGGCTGTCGAGAGCATCGGGTTAGGAGGCGGCAGTATCATTCGCGATACTCATGGTCGGGTAACGGTTGGCCCAGATAGCGTTGCTTTGGAGTTGCTGGAAAAGGCACAGCTGTTCGGAGGAGACTATCTCACGTCTACGGATATCGTTGCTGCGTCGGGAGTCCACAACTCTCATGAACCAAATCCGTTCCGCGGAATGGGGGACGTCTCTCGACTATCAGACATTACTCCAGACCTTGTATCCCGGGCACGGGAAGAAATGAGACGGATGATTACCGCGCTCGTCGACAGAACGAAGACGCAGAAAGGAGACGTAGATGTCCTGATTGTCGGTGGAGGCGCACCATTGATAAAAACAGACGAACCGCTCAAAGGCGTCCGAAGCTTACGGACTGTTAAAGGGGCGGAGGTTGCGAATGCCGTTGGGGCCGCCATTTCACGAGTCTCTGGAGTCATTGACACCGTGGTTGATACCTCGAATCAAACAATCAAAGCGGCGCAGGAATCCGTCTCACGGTTGGCGATTGACAAGGCTGTTGCTAACGGAGCGAAGCCAGAGACTGTCCAGATAGCCGAGGTGACCATGCTCCCGATTCAGTATGTTGATGCAAAAGCTAGAATCGTGGTTCGTGCGGTCGGAGAATTGGCCGTCGTGTCTCAAGGGATAACAGAAACATTAGAGCCATTAGAGGGTAACGAGGAAAAGGAGTCACAGGAAACTACGCGACCTGTTTCTGAGTCGATCGATGAAGCTGTCGACATCCACTCCTACCGTCCACTCATCAAAGACCAGCAGTGGGTCATCTCAACCACAGATCTCGACTTCATAGCCCAAGGCTGCAAAGTGCTCGGCTGCGGAGGTGGTGGCGACCCATACCAGGAGTTCCTCAAAGTCAGTGCTCTAGTCCAAAAGAACCCAGGTACAGTCAAAGTTGTCTCACCAGACTACCTCCCGGACGACGATCTCGTGGGCTGGACGGGAAACATGGGAAGTCCCGAAGTCAACATGGAGCGGCTCGAGAATGACGAGTGTCTCAAGGCACACGAAGAGCTCATGCGCGCCACCGGCATCCCAGGGGTTTCAGGGTTCATGGCATTAGAAATCGGTGGAGGGAATGGCGTACTCAACCTAGGCGTTGCGGCGAGGTTCGGGGTTCCCTGCGTCGACGCGGACTACATGGGCCGCGCATACCCCACGACCTGGCAGGTTACAGCCAATGTGTACGGCAGCGAGCGTGGCGAGGCCCTGGTCCCAATGACAATTGCCAGCGGCGACGGTTCATTCATCACAATGACCGCATCACGGACCGACAGGTTGGTGGATAAGATCCTCCGAGCCTCTTGTGTCGAAATGGGCTGTCGCGCTGGCAGTGCCGGGCCACCGAAAACGGCCAAGATCGTGCGCGACCAGGCGATTACCAACACCGTCTCTCTTGCCTGGTGGATCGGCCGGGCAATTGCACTGGAGAAGACCATCAGCGACAGAGCGCAGCGGATAATCGATGAAGTCGGCGGTCCTGAGAGCGCCGCCATCCTCGGCGAGGGGAAGATCACGAATGTCGAGCGGATCCTCAAGACTGGTCATACCTATGGCGTGCTCGAGGTAGACGGGAAATTGCCGGACGGTACAAAGGCTACTTTGAAGGTGCCATTCAAGAACGAAAATGCGTTTGTCGAGGCGGTTCTTACGAGCGGCGAGTCGAAGATCCTCGCATCGGTGCCGGATTTGATTGCTGTGCTTGATGCCGAGACAGGGGCCGGACTTGGTACGCCGGAGTACAAGTATGGCCTGAAGGTGATGATCATCGCCATTGCCGCTTCACCGAGGTGGACTGACACACCAAGGGGCATGGCGCTGGGGGGTCCTGGGTCCATGGGTTTCGAGGGCATTGAATACGTGCCCATTGGGAAGTATAGCAAACCACGGAGCGTGATTGACGCTTTCGCGTAACTGCAAGTATATAGAGCCTGTCTTGTCGACAAGCATTGACCAAACAGCCATTGCAACACTGTATATAAGCTATAACCGAATAGCATCAGACGATTATGTCCCACTCATTCCATTTCTCATAATTCTGGCGGCATGCAGGAAGAAAGAGTCAATTCGCAACGCTACAGGTCGCAGCAGCGCAAGCGACGCATCATCGTCCGCCCATCCGCGTAATCGTTGAAGCGATTCATGGAAATTTCCCAGGAGCTCAAATGCGGCGTGTACCTGCTGCGGACTAGGTGCCAGCAGAAAGAGGTAGATCAGGAAGTTCCCGCATAGTGTGAGTTGCGATCGGGCATCTAGCTGGTCAGCATGATCCGAATTCTGTGGCGAAGAAACCTACGTCCGCCCCAGAAAGCATGCAGGCACTCGCGCGTGATTCTGCTCATAAAGAGAGTGAAGTTGCGGAACTCCCCGATGGCTGGATCGAAATACCTGCAGAGAGGTGAGGCCGCATCTGACTTGGCAGGCATCCGGGCAGGGCTCATCAACGCGCGGAAGAGCAGTGCCTGGACCGCGAAGTAGGACAAATTCAGCGGTGCTACCAAATGAGCCTTGATTCTTTGTCCTTAGAGTTGAACTTACCGTTATTTCGAAAAGCAAAGGCGTTGTTATAGGCCATGGTGACGCAGTTGGGAACCATCGATGACCATGTCTCGAGCTCACGACGAATACTCAGGAGCTGGGTCTCCCGGAGTTGGGGCTGGGTAATCGTCTGCTGATAACTAGAATCAAGGCTAATTGGTCAACAACAAGTCGCGAAACAAGCAAGCCACCTACTAGTAGGAATCAACAAGTCCATGCAAAATCTGGCTGAGCTTTACCATCTCCAAGAATCGAGCGCTCGGTGAGGCTGGCAGCCCTCCGGCGAGTGGGCTAGGCTCTATCTCGGGGGATAGAAGCGACTGGATACTGGTGTAGCTCGCGTCGACAACAGTGCTATCCGTCGCGTCGTCGGAGTCAACAATCTCTCCAGAACTATGCCGCGAACTGGGCTCGCCATCGGTAGACTTGCAAACTTGACCTTTCGAGCGACAGAATCGGCCTGGGACGTTATTTAAAGTCCACTTACACCGGAGTCACTTACAAGGAGGCACAGTCTCGATTATGCAGGCGGTCTTTCGCCGTCGGCACGCGTCACATGGTCGATTCTTGCGGCTTCTCCATTGCCGGGCAGCGCCAAACTTGGTCTTGATCTTGAAACTACGTCGTCTCGGAGAAGTAGCGCCGTCCATATCGTAAAACAGTTGAGATCATCATCTTGGTGATGTGTTGGAGAAATGAGGGGGAACAAGCAAAGACCGCCGGGGCGGCTGGGAAAGAGTACACAGCCCATTTCGGACTAGCGTCTCGATAAGCAGAAGCCTTATCTGCCGTGCCTCCCCAAAGTCCAAGCCATCGGCATTTGGACTCATTCCAGAGTACGGCTTGCTTGGCCAGATATGTTCAGGAATAATTGCGGTCGCTTCGCACTATTTATCGAGATTATTGCGTGCGGCTGTAGACTATGGCAGAATTTACAGGAGTGTCTCTCCAGATCTGACCAACCATAGGTATCGCGTAGCACTCTATACCGGGTGGAAATATATATCCCCAATGTGTAAGGACAGAATTTGCCGAGAACTGTACTCATGCGCGATTATTTATCCCCAACTGCTTTTGATTGTTGAACAACAGTAAGATAAATACAAAACGGATCAGACTGATGATCTATAGATCGTTACCAGCACTAAATGGACTTGACGTGCCTTCTGAAGCCAAGGCGAGAGCCGTAAATTGTGCTGTGCATAGTGATTGACTAAGGGAAAGCACAAGCTTATGAAGAACCTTATAGGCGGTGCCTTACTTTTCCTGGGCACACTGTCGATGACCTCACTCAGAGGCAAGACCGATGGGTCAGGGATTCCACGGGTCATTATTCAACGCCAGAGGGACCCTGACTCTAGCACCCTTTGACAAGGAATCTGGTCTACTACGTAGTAAGCATGCTTTACCTTTGCAGCACGTTTTACCCCGTCCACCACTTCCATGACTGGCGATGTGGCGGTGCGCAGCGAGAAAGTCATGTGATGCATTTCCTCCAGGGGAAGTGACTAATTTGGCACCTAGCAAATGACGTCGGTTCTAGAGCCGGGAAAAAGGGAGGTGGCGAATCCACAATTCCATCTCATCTCCGGATTTAGAAGCAGGTAAGACAGCTGCAATCAAAAGCAATATGGGTTCAGGAGGTCGAACAGCTCACTGGTGGCATTTGTGCCCAATGGACTGTACTGCAGATACCCTGAGCCACGTCTCCCCAGGTGTGCCCGCGACAATAAGCACGAGTCTTATTGAAGGCCACAGGCACAGCGGCGTCAGAAGCAGGCACTGTACCACTGTTCGGCGTTCGGGCAGTCGGCAGACAGATCTGGTTAAGCCCGGGAAGGTTGGCAGTGGAGCTGGACATCTTTGATCTATCTTTAGTTCGTCCAGACAACGCGGCCCAGCTCCACCGCGAGTCTAGACCCAGGGATCTCGCTCGCTCGCTCGCTCTCTTAAAGACTTTGTCTCTTAAAAGTCTCTCTCTTCTCCCTCTGCACCACAGTCATTCCTTCACATATTACTTTTTCATCCACCTGTCCTTACCTATACATTCTTTTAATACACACTCGCTACAATGTTCACCAAGACCCAGATTCTCGCTTTCGCTCTTTCCCTTGCCTCCGCCGAGGCCGCCTCCAAGGGTTTCAACTATGGCGCTGCTAACCCCGATGGCAGCGTCAAGGTCCAGGCCGACTTCCAGGCCGAGTTCCAGACTGCGAAGAACCTGGAGGGTGCCTCTGGCTTCAACAGTGCCCGTCTCTACACCATGATCCAGGGCACCGGCAGCACCCCGATCTCCGCCATCCCCGCCGCCATCGCCGAAGAGACGACCCTCCTGCTCGGTCTCTGGGCCTCTGGTGGCAACATGGACAACGAAATCGCCGCTCTCAAGGCCGCCATCGAGCAGTACGGCGAGGAGTTCTCCAAGCTCGTCGTCGGTATCTCCGTCGGCAGCGAGGATCTCTACCGCAACTCTGAGATCGGTGTCCAGGCCAACGCCGGTATCGGTGTCGAGCCCGAGGAGCTCGTTTCCTACATCAAGCGCGTCCGCGAGACCATCGCCGGTACCAGCCTAAGCGACGCCCCCATCGGCCACGTCGACACCTGGAACTCCTGGACCAACAGCTCCAACGCCGCCGTTGTCGAGAACGTCGACTGGCTCGGATTCGACGGATACCCCTTCTTCCAGAACACCATGGACAACTCCATTGAGGACGCCAAGGCTCTCTTCCAGGAGTCTGTTGACAAGACCAAGTCCGTCGCCGGCAACAAGGAGGTCTGGATCACCGAGACCGGTTGGCCCGTCAGCGGTGACTCTCAGAACCTCGCCGTCGCTTCCGTCGAGAACGCGAAGAAGTTCTGGGACGAAGTCGGCTGCCCTCTCTTCGACAACGTCAACACCTGGTGGTACATCCTCCAGGACGCCTCCGGCTCCTCCACCCCCAACCCCAGCTTCGGCATCGTCGGCAACACCCTCAGCACCACCCCTCTCTTCGACCTGACCTGCTCCGCTTCCGGCTCCAAGAGCTCCTCCTCCGCTTCTGCCTCCGCCTTCGCCTCCGGTTCCCAGTCCACCGGCTTCACCTCCACCACCAAGGCTGCCAGCCCCAGCTCCAGCTCCGGCTCTGGCCTCGGCCACGGCGGCTCCCTCGGGTCCTCCGGTTCCTTCTCTGGCGGCCACTACGCCGGCTCTTCCAGCGTGATCGCTTCTCCTTCCGCCACTCCCTCCGGCAGCGCTGTCCCCGGCTCCAGCTCTGGTTCCGGCTCTAGCTCTTCTGGCTCTGGTTCCAGCTCTGGTTCCGGCTCTGGCGCTGCTGGCTCTGGCTCTGGCACCGGCACCTCCGCTGACTCCACCACCACCACCTCTGCCAACCCCGCTGACTTCACCGGTACTGGGAGCCGCCTGTCCGGCTCCATCTTCGGCGCCGCCGTTCTCGTCGCTGCCCTCGCGGTCGCTCTCTAGATTGACTAGACTCGTTATAGCACGGCGCTTGGTATAAAACGGTATAGGGTGTATTTATCAGACTTGACATACCTTCTTTCTGTATCAATTTATTTTACCTATTCTATATCTTGCTCAACCTCGGTAGACATTCTCCGCAACCAAGACTAAACCAAGAAAACAATAAACTCAGCACGAGTCATTAACAAGCGCATTGTCCTCTTCTTCCCATCTCTACCCCGCAGATCGACACATTTCTCCCCTTGAATCCATTTGCTCGGCATCCATTCTCCCCGCCGGAGATTTCCCCTTTCCCCCTCCCACCAATAATGATGCCATATCGCTTGCCTCTTGCTCTATTAATCTGTCCTGCAGTAGCTCGGTCGGGTATATATCTTCTTTCGCTGCAACTTACCCCGAGGCACCCTGTTTCCCCTGCAGTTGACTGCACCTTGGCAGGCTAGTACCTGATGCAATATGAGGTGATCGGGTGATTGACGGACAGCGGGACATTGGTCGCGGATGCCGGGGGAGACGTGATGGGAAATTGCAGTTGACGTGCTGCGAGGGGTATCGTGCTTAAAAGCGCGTTCATCTCTTCTCCCATCTGCTGTTGTGACATTGTCCTCAGTTGACAGGATTGCAGTACTGGTGGATGGTCACAATGAGTTTGTCCGCCTCTCTTCACGCCCTCGGGGCGCTCGGTCTGCTCCTCACAACACTCACCCCACCTGTCTTCTCCCTCCCATCGAGAAACACCACCTCCGACTCAATTCCCATCCACTGGGTCGGCGATACACCAGCCCATGTCGCCGGAACAACCTTCGGTCTCCCCTGGCCGCGCGGGAAATACACATTCAACAACACGCAGTTCTCTCTTTCCGGCTCCGGGGGTTCGGGCGATATCCCGCTCCAGTCGTGGGTGAACGGGTACTGGGCTGACGGGTCGATCAAGTGGACTGGCCATGCGATTCCTGCCCTTGACGGCGTGGAAGATGGCTATACCGTCAATGTGAAATCTGGACGCTCGAAGGGCAACAGCAGCGAAGGCGTCAAGGTCAGCAATGGGCGAGAAGTCACCGTCGACACAGGCAAGATCACCGTTACGTTCCCCAGACGCGGTAGCAATATCATCGGCTCGATCACGACCTCGTCCGGGCAGACGGTCGGGCAGAACGGAAAGCTGGTGCTGCACACACAGTCGGGCGTTGCGGAGGATGTTGCCTCGCGCGCGAACACGACGATCGACTACGCCAACTTTGAGAGCAAGATTTCGAATGTCACCGTCAGCCAGGAGAATGGGGTCCGCGCACTGGTGACGGTTCGCGGTACGCATGCGCCGACGTCCGGCGACCACGACGCGTGGCTGTCCTTCGTCGTCCGATTCTATCTCTACGCTGGCTCGGACGCGATCCGCATCGTGCACAGCATCGTCTTTGACGGAGACGCAGAGAGCGATTTCATCTCAGGTCTGGGCATCCGCTTCCAGGTCCCGCTTGCCGGCGAGGAGCTGTACGACCGCCACGTGCGCATCCCCGGCGTCGACGGCGGATTCCTCCACGAAGCCGTGAAGGGGATTACCGGGCTGCGCCGGGACCCAGGCGAAGAAGTCCGCAGCGCGCAGTACAACGGCACCAAGCTACCGGACGAGAGCACCTGGGATACGCGGGTCACGACGCGCCTGCATTGGATCCCCGACTGGAACGACTACAAGCTCGCGCAGCTCTCGCCGGACGGATTCACGATCCAGAAGCGCACGAAGCCCGGACAGGGCTGGATCCATGTCCCTGGCGGCACGCGATCCCATGGCCTGACGTACCTCGGCGGCGCGACGAAGGGCGGACTCGCCGTGGGACTGCGCGACTTCTGGAAGCGGTTCCCGACGGGCGTCGAGATCTCGAATGCCGCCAGCGATGAAGGCTCCATCACGATCTGGCTCTACAGCCCCGAAGCCGCACCGCTCGACCTCCGTCCCTTCCACGACGGGCTCGGCCAAGACACGTACGAAAAGCAGCTCGACGCCCTGGAAATCACTTACGAAGACTACGAACCGGGCTTCAACACGCCCTACGGCATCGCGCGCACCAGCGAGCTCTACCTCTACGCCTTCGACGCAACGCCCGACTCCGACCACCTCGCCGCCCTCAGCACGCACACCAACGAACCGCCCGTCCTGGCCGCCGAACCCGCCTACATCCGCGAGACCAAGGCCCTGGGCTCGTACTGGGACCTGCCGGACACATCGAACGAAAAGGCCTCCACGATTGAAGACCACCTCTCCTTCCTGGTCGATTTCTACGCCGGCCAAGTCGAAGACCGCCGCTGGTACGGCTTCCTCGACTACGGCGACTACATGCACACGTACGACGAAGACCGACACATCTGGCGCTACGACATCGGCGGCTACGCCTGGGACAACTCCGAGCTGTCTCCCGACCTCTTCCTCTGGCAACAGTTCCTGCGCACCGGCGACGCAAAGACCTACCGGCTCGCTGAGGCGTTAACCAGACACACGGGCGAAGTCGACGTCTACCACATCGGCGACTGGAAGGGTCTGGGCACGCGCCACGGCGTGCAGCACTACGCCGACAGCGCAAAGCAAGTGCGCATCACGCAGCCGCAGTACAGGAAATACTTCTTCTACCTCTCTGGCGGGGACGAGCGAGTCGGCGAAATCCTCACGGAAGCCCTAGACACGGATAAAACATACGAGGTCCTCGATCCAAACCGCAAGGTGCGCACAGACGGCTGGACGCCCACCCCGGGCCAACCCGCCACCATCTCACTAGGCACCGACTGGGCCGGACTCGCCGGCGGGTGGCTAATAGAATGGGAGCGGCGCGGCCCACGCTGGGTCGAAGCGAAGACAAAACTCACGCAGACCTCGCGCGGGATCGCAAACCTCACAAACGGCTTCGTGACGGGGTCCGGCCTCTACAGCAGCACGACGGGCACACTCACGCCCCCACCCGCCGACACCAACAACACCGGCCTCGTCAGCGTCTCGCACCTCAACGCCGTCTTCGGCCTCCCCGAAGTAATCTCCGAGCTGCTGGAGTACTGGAACGACGGCGCCGACGCCCCCGCAGGCTTCAAAGCCGACTGGCTGGACTACTGCTACTACTACGGGGCGTCGCGCGCGGAGCAGGCGGCGCGGTACGGGGTCGACTTTGGGTCGCTGAACTTGGTGCAGGGGCACTCGCGGCTGAGTGCGTATTGGGCGCATGAGATGGGGAATGAGACTGTTGCGCTGAGGGCGTGGGATGCGTTCTATAATAATAATGATGGGTTTACGGCGGATGCGGACTGGGTGGCTGGTGTTGTTGATGGGAGCAGGGTGCTGATTCCGGTGAGCGAGGCGGCGTTTGTGAGTACGAATGCGTTTGCGCAGTATGGGCTGGCGGCGATTCAGGATTTGGCGCTTGTTGGGGGTGTTTTGGAGGAGTCGCCGTATCCTTAGTTGATGATGTTGCGAGATGGTGTTTTGAAGATGGCTTGACGAGGTGGATTGTTGGATTCGAGTATTTTTCCATTCTTCCTCTACTCTTCTACTCTTCTACTCTTCTACTCTTCTACTCTTCTACTCTTCTACTTCCCTTACTGTGACTACTTCCAATTGTTAGTTTCATTTGTTTATTTTCGCTTCTTGTACAACCAATTACTTACGTTCTTATGTCTTGTCTATGAAGCAAATATGAACCTAGCTTCAATCAAACCCTTTCTCATACCATCACAAAGCGTTATATGGACTGGCCCTGTAAATCCCAAACCATCTTTTGCCCTTTCGATTGGCTGTACGCATGATGATTCCCCTCTGCCCTCCACGAATGTGGACAGAAAAGTGGTCCAGCTACAGAATCAGCTCGCTAACAGTATGGTCTGTTTTGATTTGGTCATTGTAGATGAGTCCTTCAGAGGGTCAGTGCAGTGACCTCTCTCTTTTTTTTTGTTTTGTTTGACTGGTTGTTGGCAGGCATTCATTCACTCTCTCCCTCTGGGGCGAGTAACACATCAAGCAGTCGCCCTTCACTTCAGCAGCAGCAACTCCCACTCTCCAGGTAAGAAAATACTTCAAGCTTCAACTCCACCCGTTTGTGTTCTTTCCCACTCTCCAAACTCTTCCACATCGCACCACCATGTCCTCCCAATCCATCGCCCAGTACATGATCTCGCGCCCCAACCTCCCCCCTCACCCCCGAACACTCAAGCACCTGCTCACCCTCCCCCCAGCCCTCTTAAACCGAATCCTCTCTTTCCTCCCGCCAGCCGCCCTCGCCGTCCTCCTCCGCGTCAACCGCTACCTCAACGCAACCGCAACGCCCCTCCTCTACCGGCGCGTCATCATCCATCCAGACCTCGGCGTCGACGCCGCCACAATGCAATTCATCCGCGACCCCAGCCGCACCTTTGTCTACGCCTTGAGCCGGCACTACGAACCCGTGCGTCTCGTCCAGGAACTGGTCGTGCACCAACACTACGCCTTCTACATGCCCTTCGCGGACGCTTTGGACCGCATGATCGCGCAAATGAGGAACCTGGAACGCCTCGTGATCAAGGCTTGCTATGCAACGACGCCGCTTCTATCCGAGGAGCCGGGCCTGGCGGGGCCGCTGAGGGCGCAGATTGGGGGTGTGTTCTCGCGCTGGGCGAGCAGTCTGCTCATGGGGAAGTTGGAGTCTTGTATGTCCCACCTCCACTAATCTATATCCTCGCTATGAGGATCGGGTCGAACTAATGATTTGTGCTGCAGGCGAAATCAGTCTCTCCTTCGACGTCCCCTGGAATTTCACCGAGTACACCGCGCTGCTCACCCACCACACCCTGAAGCGCCTGACAATCCACAACGCGTCCATCCACGATTTCCACACGAGGATGAACACGCACAGCACCAGGCTGCAATCCCTGACCCTCCTCTGCTGCGACATCACGCCCACCGCACTACTTAAGATCTTGACTCTCCCCCGCGCCCTCACCCATTTGAGCTTGACAGGCCCCCGCCAGATCGGAGGGGCAGTGCACACATCCAGCCAGCACGCCTTGTACCTGGCAGCGCTAGAACCGCAACAGAACTCGCTGAAGTCATTTGAATGGACACTCAGCCGCTTACGGATTGCCAATGTAACCCCACTCGACTTCAGCCACCTCTCGAGCCTGGAAACACTAACGTTCACGCCATTCCTCATTCGCGCGCGCGGGACCCTGCAAAACCTCACGCCGCTGGCGTCCCCGTGTCCATTTCCATCTTCGCTAAAGGAGTTGAGGATTCTGCATATTTGGTCTGGCACCGTTGTCGAGGCTGAGCGGATGGTTATGGTTGTGGTTGGGCACTTGAGCCGGAACGGGCAGATGGGGAATTTGGAGAGAGTGGTCTTTGATACGCCGAGGGCGCCTTGGTTTAGACGGGAGTATCCGTTGCCTGCTTTGCCTACCTTGGGTTTGCCGGGTGGTGAGGGACCGGAGACGCAGACAGGAACTCACGATGATGGAGAGGATGCCGCTTCGACCTCGAGTTTGAGTGAAGGGCTGGATACGGATCCGGATCCGGCTCAAACGCAGGAGGAGCGTGAGGAAGCTGGAGGAGATACGGAGACAAAACCATCTCTTCGAATTGAGCGGACGAGATGTCAGCTTGGACGGAGCTTTGCGGCGGATGATTTGGGGGAGTGTCCGTGCTGCGATTATGACCTTGGACGCACGGTCGTGTTTGAGGTGAATGGCCGTGGCGGTGGCAATGGCACTCCCAATGCTACACCCTAATAATGTGCATGCCCACTGCGAAACGCCAAACAACCATGAACTTAGGGCAGTCTCGGTGACATGAGGTCTGATGCGAGTCTGAGCTGGAGTGCCGTACGATACTACCATATGAGAACGCCTGCGCTGGCTGTGGACGGATGTCTTTTTAGCTTGTGCAATAGTCCAAATCGACGATGTAAGATACCATCGGCCTCGTTGCGTAGATGTGCATGAGAACATACCCCCAGGAATCACGTCCGTCTGTCATGAAAACCTTGGAAAATAATACCACATTGAACTATGAACTATGCTGACTATCTAGTCAACGCAGCCAGTACCTGAACCCCTTCCAGCCATGGTAGCCTACCATAGACACCCTAGTCAAACAGCAAACGCTGATGCAATATAAACACCCTCAACGCTCACAGAACTAGCAAGGGGTCTTAATTCCCAACCCGATCCCCTGCGTTCTCCATCTACTAACGTTGGGTCCTATATGAGGGAGCTGAAGGGCACTCGCCCCCCGGTGACAGTGCAACGAATCCGGGCCTCACGAAGCCTATAGCCCCGTATTCCTATATTAACTAGCACCGTCATGCTCGGATGCTAGATGTGCCGTGCATACTTCCGCGCTCCACCACACTCACAATAAGATTACCTTGGATGCCGCCAACGAGGGTGGAAAGGCATAATGTCCCGTCCTTGAAAGAGCTTTCGAATCCAACAAATCACGTACGATTCTTTACCGTGCTATGTACAGGAAGAGAACTCGGTCCGTTCCGTTTCCCTCTTATATACTTGTGTCATAGCCTCAGCTCAAACCATCATCAGCGTCCCTAGCTTCACCACACCACCACCCCAGACCTCTTCACAGTAAATTCGCCCACACCTCAGCTCATCCATCCATCCAGTATCGGTATCGGTATCCGCGTCAAACGCCTCTAGCAGCCAAGGTAAACAGCTACAAACGCAGATTAGCACGCACCACTCGACCCTTCCAGAATCCAAATCCAACATACCATTCGCATAAAGCGCATACGAGTCCGCGTTCAGCAGCGCCTGGCTAGCACTCAGCGACACCGCAGCCGAGTACCCATAGCCATAGTCATCAGTGCCAGGGGAGTACACAGCGGGCGCATGCGTGAACTCATGCAGCGTCGTGGTCGCCTGGTCCTGGGCATAGCAGCTGCCCGTGAGCGCCGGGAGATAGCTGTAGTAGATGTCGCAGTTGGCGATGATGTTGTACGCGGGCAGGGTCCAGGCCAGGACATTGCTGCTGCAGTACCCGTACACGTCCTGGCAGTAGTAGGTCGTCGAGCCGGAGGAGGTGGAACTCGCCTCGGAGGCGACGGCGCGGAGGCGGGCGGCGACGGTGTTACGCGTGGACGAGCTGGTGCTCTTGAAGAAAGTCGAGAACGGGCCGGAGCCGGAGGACGCGGCGGAGGCGGCGCGCGAGGCGAGGGACGCTGCGTTGGAGAGGGCGGTGCGGAGCGCTGAGGCGCGGGTCCCGCTGCACGAGGCCATCACTGTGCGCTTTGCGAGGGAGGCGCCGACGGTTTCGACCTTTGCTGCTTGCGCGCCGTCGACGTCGATGGTGAGCTCGTTGGAGGTGTAGGACAGCGAGCCGGTGACGGCCTTGTCGGTGACGAGGGGGACGATGCCGTTGGATTTGATGGTGATGGGGCCGCCGGAGGAGAGGTCGGAGGTGTGGGCGATGTCGAACTCGTCTTCGAGGGTGGCGCCGGGGGCGAGGGAGGTCAGGACCTCGTCGGAGAGGTCGTTGGTCTGCACGCGGTACTTGATGCCTTGGAATTCGACTTCGTCGTCTGCGTACCGTACCATATTAGCGAGGGCTACAATGAGAAAGGGGACGAAGTGGAAAGGGTAGGCGCACTGTTCCGGAACAGCGAGACCTTCTTGACGGGGCTCGCGTCCTTGAAGAAGTTCAGGTGCATGAAGGTGACCTCCTCGGAGCCGGTGTTCTGGACGACGGCCTTGATACGCGTGTTGTCGACCTGGGAGAGGGTGACCTGCAGGCCGGCGGTGTTGGTCTTGACGTCGACGGGCGAGGCGCTGGCGGCCTGGAGCATGGCCAGGAGGGCGACGGGGGTGATGAACTTCATTGTGGGAAGGCTGGTTGCGTAAGGCGTACTGGATGAGACTGGGATTGAGCTGATGGAGAGAGAATCGTCGGGGCCGCACGGCGGCTTTATACTTCGTCCCTCCTCCCTATCTCTGGTATATCCTCGTCTACCCGCTACCCGTATACCTGCCACCTGCCAAGCGCCTGAAGCCATCTGGAGTCGAGTCGGCGATACACCAAAGCAGAAGGTGGTATCCTGGCGTCGTCTTGCATTGCCAAGCTGCTTTGCTGTAACACTTTCTGGAGCGAGATGAAGCTATTCGGGTCCTGCGCGGTAGCGATCCCTGCGATGGCGCCATGGCATCACCGATTAGGGCAAAGGGCCGGCCAGCCTTTGGACTAGAGAATAGCGAACCCCTGCGCAAGGCAGGCTGGGCTTGCTTCGGAGGGTTCTGGAACGTTATCAGAAGGAAACGGCAGGGCGTGGACTTCCGATAGGTTCAAGGACCCTTGATATCCTCCGGAGTATGTTATTGCACTAAGGGCGCTAGAAGGGCTCTGCAGAAGAGCGTAGCATTGGCGGGAGAGTCTTATCGCGCTTGATATAGGGCTTCGCTAGGAGATCACTGGCTGCGCAACAGCAGGCATTGTCCAGTGACCTTGAATACGCACAAGGCCAGCTGACGACAATAAACTCAGAATCCTCATGCTGACAATAAACTCGAATACTCATGCTGACATGACCGCATGGACAAATCCCTCTCATCCGCCACAATGCTTATTGCTTAGGGTCCCTACCCCAACAATTAATATCAGAGTAAGCCAGTAGCGCCTGGGCTAGTGCAACAATGCAACCCAAGACGCTTGAACCCTTTGAGCAGATCGTGTGATTTGCCAGACCCTGAGATTCGGCCTTGGACTGCAGATCTTCACGGGTGCGCCCATGGCGAGTCAGGACATCGAATCAACTGCTGATAAGACGTGCAATATCGAACAATAAGTACCTACTTATCAGAAGTGTATCACATACCTCGGTAGCGGGGTGTCGGCGGGTGCCGATAGCCCTGCTAACCCTGGGCTTCCCTGTCTAACCGCCAACCCTGCTCTGCTCTGCCACTGACCTCACCTGCATTTATTAATGAGAGATATTAACAACGCAATTAAGACAAGACACCGTCGGCGCGGGGTCTTAATTGCCCAGATAAGGACGTTGCAATCCTAGCCATCGCCCCTCATCCGCCAACTCCACGCTCACCACGATGTCTGGGTCCGTCCGCATCTTCTCCCTCCTCACAGGCCTCGCCGTCTTCGCCCTTTTCTCCTTCAAAGCAATAATGTCGTCCTCTCCCCCAAACCTCGAAATCACACTCTCCTCGCCCTCCATCCCACCATCCTTCTCCGACCCCCTCACCCTCACCTTCGACGTCTCCGTCACAAATCAAGGCGGCAGCCCCGCCACAGTCCTGAAATGGGGGTCCCCGCTCGACGAGCGCGCGAACGTCCTGGGCGTTTTCGAGATAAGGGATGTTGAATCCGACGAGATCGTTCCGCTGAACAGCATAAAGTTCAACCGTCAGCTGCCGCCGCCGAAAGAGGACTTCGTTGAGATTGCGTCGGGCGGGAGTGTGACGGCGGCCGTGACGATCCCGCTTGTGCCGCTTGTGGGCGGGAGGTCGTATACGCTCAAAGCCAAGGGGTGGTGGCAGGCTGTTTGGGAGCGTTCGCTGGATGATGTGCCGGAGAGTGATCTGGATCAGCTGAAGGGGGCGTTGAGGGGGGAGTTTGTCTCTGAGGCTGTGCCGGTGGTGGAGGGGTAGGATGGGATGGTGGGATGTTTTATCCGTTGTCAGCTGCGGAGTCAGGAGGGTAGGGGGCTTGGATATAAGCTCGAGTTTGCGCTCCTTGCATAAGGTTGTCGTTTAGGTTCTGAGTCCTGCACTCTGCACTGCACATGCATGTGACGGTCGTCCGATGCTACGAGGATGTCGAGTCTAACATCCCATTGTACCACTACACTCAACCAACTTGCAATAAGCAGTTATCATTCAATTCATGCATCACTCTTTATTTCATAATACAATGGAAATATAATACAATCCTTCAATGGCCAGCCATCGATCATCCTTTTCATTTACTCAAGGTTCACCTTATCCTCAGGCCCCCCGCGCCCCTCAAACCCCTTCGCCTGCGCCAAACGTCCACGGTCATCGCGGATCCCGCCCTCGTCTTCGTTGATGGGCTTGCGGTCGGAGCCTGTGGCCACGGCGTCCCGGCCATATCGCACACCCGTGGGCTGGTCGAATTTGCGGTCGGCGAACTCGTTGACGCCGGATTCGAGGGCTACAACGTGAGAAGTTAGTCGGGTTTGAAAGGAAAAGAGAGAAGGGAGGGAGGGCGTACTCGAGTCGCTCTTGGGGCCGAGGCCTTGCTTGGCTTGGTAGGAGTTCAGGTCTTGCTCGGCGCGGGCGGCGAGGCGGTTGGCTTCGGAGGCGTCCATTATGGGATGTGTTGAGGTGGGTGGTTGTAGTTGGAGTGGAAAGTGTAGTTGTTGTAGATAGGATGATTTATTGCTTGATAGATGATTGATGTTCCTGGAGAGCAGTGAAGAGGGTCCTATATAGGAGTCACTGCTGGGATGAAATCATGGAGATGTCACTCTCTCGTGACGTCACATCGCAACCTCCACCAGCAGGACCGAACAACATCATCTTTGATTCTTTCTCGTTCTTGAAGATCCATCGTCAGGGACAGCGTCTCCATATCCGCTCTACGTCAGAATTGCGCGTTGCTGCGGTTGCACTTCATCAAGTCTTTCTTCTATCCATCTGATCCATAAAACCACCGCCGATCGCCAGTAGCCCTAACTCCCAGTCCCCTCCAAACCTCAACATCACCAAACCAAACCCCAACCCAACTCACAATGTCCGACCCAGCCAACCCCCTAAAAGCGCCCCTCTCCACAAAATCCACGGTCCTCGAGTCCGCCGCCTCCGCAACCCAAGACTTCACGCCCACAAACCAAATCTGCGCGCATCTGCACGCCTTCCACGTCTACGCCGACGACCCCACCCGCTGCGTCGAAGCAAACCACTACTGCAGCCACCTAACCGAAGACATCCGGCAGTGCCTGATCTACGACAGCGCAGGCAAGAACGCAAAGCTGATCGGGATCGAGTACATGGTCACCCCGCGGCTGTACGACACTCTCCCACCCGACGAGCGCAAGCTCTGGCATAGCCATGTCTTCGAGGTGAAATCGGGGATGCTGATTATGCCGACGCCGCGCGGTGTTCCGAACGGGGTCTGGGAAGCTGCTGAGACAAGCGAAATGCGCGACGTCATACCCCTCTACGGCAAGACGTACCATCTTTGGCAGGTTGATCGCGGCGACCCGGTGCCGATGGGCGAGCCGAAGCTCATGCTCAGCTTTACGGACGAGCAGAAGGTGAAGATGGCGGTGGCGGGCGGGTTGGAGGAGTTGGTGGCCAAGCGCGACGAGGAGTTTGGGGTTGATACGCGCACCAAGGCGGAGAAGCGGGGGGGTATTGGGGAGCCGGAACGGCATCCTGGTATGTACATGTACATCCACGTGTATTTTGCCCTTGTCCTACCCGGACAATGGGGAATGGGGCGTGCGAAATGCAGATGGCTAATTGTGTGGTGTTTAGATGCGGATGCGATGTGGGAGGTTCATGCGAAGGGGGCTTAAGGCCGAATATTGACGGCAGTAGTACCAAAGCAAACCATCTGGTGGAGGAACCTGAAACGAACTGCTGCTGTCATATAAACCAAAAAAAGCGGTTGAATTATAAGAGGCTATTGGAGCGCTGAATTTATTGCGTTGCGGATTGGTTTCGAATTTGCTTCTGTTGGTGATTTTATTGGTGAATGCTTCATGACAATCCAACGCTAATGACGAAATGAACAACCTGAATGCTTTATTGTACTTTACTTGCTTTGCTTTTATATGCTGTTTGAAATACCATAAGTGGACACAAATGGGCCGAAATATATTTTTATGCCGGATACATCTCTCCAGTCCCCAACTACACGGATCAAAATTTCCAAGTAGTCGCCGATAAACAATGAATATCAGAGTAATCACGGCCCGATCGGGAACTCTGTCTCAGAAAAGGAGGATTACTAGCTAGACGCATAAAAAAGCAAGTCAGTCTGTGGCGCCGGTGCGGAATAACCACCCAGGTACCTGGGGATGCGAAGACCGAACCACCCGAGACAAGAAGCTGATGCAGGGCAGTCCATTGCGTCCCAGGGAGAGTGACACGGCGTTTGACTGAAGATCAGCTAAAGATATGGTGTCCTTCCATGGTTCTGAGCGCTGGCGCAGGGACTTCTCGAGCCCTAATCACACGGCCGGGCTGCTCGATTATCCCGGTGCGAGCCTTGTGCATTCCCAACATCAAGCATAGGTAGGGACTGGCACCACCTTCCGCATGCAACGGCCGTAGAAGTCAGTACCGACGTTTCATTCAGGTCTCGAGGCCGGGGTCGTCAAGGCAGAGCATTCTAGGCTTAATGGCGCCCAGTCAGATAATTGTCCGCGAATCTGGGGTGACGCAAGCAAAAATGACCCGGGCAGTTCCATGATGTACCGCGTACGGATGTGCATAGACAGAGGTCTGAATGTATATGATGGGGAGGGCCATGTACTCTAGCGGCCATATCTTCTTGAGTTTGCCGCTCCAGCGTACTAATTCCTCGGTGATGCACGATGTCTTCGCAACGGAAAACAGAGGGGGACATTGGCCCCGGACCCGGAGGGATTATGCTGAGCGGTGGACTGGAGATGCAGATGCAAAGCGCCACCAATAGTCCAGACGACTCCGGACGAACCCTGACACCAGAAATCCCGCACAACAATCCCCAGCCCCACGGCCGCCAAAAGCATCAATTAGACGTGCGTCTCCAACCCCCCTCCTATCCCCAGCCGGTCCCAACAACTCCCAAACAGACCAATCACTGACACAGATATAGAGATACCTCTCCGCCTTCCCCACCCTCTTCTTCTCCCTCACCCTGCTGGCATCCTGGGAAACCGTCGGCGCCGGCCTCCTAGCAGGCCTGTACAACGGCGGACCCGCCGCAATAATCTACGGCCTGCTGCTGAGCATAGCCGGGAATCTGGCAATCGCCATGAGCCTCGCCGAGCTCGCGAGCGTGCATCCCACCGCGGGCGCGCAGTACCATTGGACGTATGTGCTTGCGCCGGGGGGTGCGGGGGGTGCGCGGTTTTGGAGTTTCTTGCAGGGTGGGCCTCCTCTTCTCTTGTGGTATACAAAGCAGATATCATCGGTGGAGATTTGGCAGGAGAGTGTATGGCAGGCTGACGCGGTACAGGATGGATCACCGTCTTCGCCTGGTCGTCGCTCTGCGCGATCGCGCCGTTTCTCATAGCAACCCAGATAACGGGGCTGGTTAAGCTGGCGCATCCGGACTTCAGCGTGCACGGGTGGCAGAATACGTTGCTGATGTGGGCTGTCTCGCTCCCGCCCATCGTAACCAATATCTTTGCGCGGCGGGTTCTGGGGATCATTGAGATTGTCGGCGGCGTGCTGCACGTCGTGTTCCTGCCCATCATCATCGGCATCATCAGCCATGCCCCCAGGAGCTCGGACGCGTTCGTCTGGGATACGTTTGTGAGCGGGTTCAGCGGGTGGACGAGTCCCGGGGTTGTGTTTAGTGTTGGGCTGTTGGGAGTTATTAGTCCGTTGAGTGGTGCGCGGCGCTTCCTCCCCTATCCTCCCTTTTCTCTTCCAAGGCTTCGCTTGCCACTTGCTGATAGGGGTTCCAGGAGTCGACGGCATAATCCACATGTCCGAAGAAGTGCACAACGCATCCTCCACAATCCCGCACAGCATGATCTGGGGCACCGCCCTAAACGGCTTCATGGCGTTCGGGTACGCCATCGCAGTCCTCTACTTCATGGGCGACTATGCCTCGGCCCTGATGAGTCCCACGGGATATCCCATAATCGAGATCGCGTATGCGGCGACGGGGTCCAAGGCCGCGACGTTCATGCTCATGGCATCCGGGATGGTGCCGGGGTATATCGCGTTCTTTAATGGGCTTGCATCGGTGACGAGGCTGATGTGGGCGTTTGCGAGGGATGGGGGGTTGCCCTTTTCTGGGTACTTTGTTAGGGTTGATGCACGATTCAAGATCCCGCTGCGGGCGTTGGGCCTGGTGAGTGCGTGGATCTTCGCGCTGTCGTTTATGGCGGCGGGATCGGATGCGGCGTTTAATGCGATTCTGAGTCTGAGTGCGTTGGGCTTGTATGTGTCGTATTTGTTTCCGCTGGTGTTTCTGGTGGTCAGGAGGGTGACCGGGGATGTGCCCAGGGGGGTGTTCAGTCTGGGGAGATGGGGATTGCCGCTGAACCTGACTGCCATTGTCTTTGCGACCTACTTTGCTGTCTTTCTGCCCTTTCCGCCGACGTTGCCGGTGACGCCGGAGAATATGAACTTCTCTGGGCCGGTGCTGGGGTTTATCATGCTGTGCTCGTGCGTCGACTGGCTGGTTCGAGGGCGCCATACGTGGAACGGACCTACGATGAGCTATCCTCGGGGGTGACCTAGGGCACAGTAACAATAGTCTATTGATAGCAGTTAAGAATAGCTGTACTCAAACGATCCAAGAACGATGTCTAGACCAGCATCACCACGTCACGCTGCGAAGGCTGCGGCCACCAGACCATCGCCCACATCGTCACCCCCTGTCCCTCTTTGTCCAGGAAGCCATCGCGGTTGACCTTCCCTTCACCAAGTGTAATCTCCTCGACGACCTCGAATCCAAGCGTCAGGTACAGATCGCGCGAGTACGCCGTCGTAGCCTCCAGCCAAATCGGGACCTCCGTGCACCACGCCGTTTCCTTCTGCGACTCGATCAAAGCCCTCGCCAGTCCTGAATCGTCAGCGAAACCCTAATCTTGGAAGCGGTGCCCTACCCTTCCCCTGATGCTCATACTCTGTCCCGATCGCAAAGACATAGTAATGCTGCCTGCTCCCCAGCACCCTCTTCTTCGCCGCATTGACCGGCCGGCTATAATCCCCCAGCATGCGCTGTTCCGTCAGCGACGTCTCTACTCTCCCAGATACGGTATGCTCACAACAACCCCCGCAACCCCAATCCGCCACAGAACCCTCGTGAACCCCAACGCCGCCGGGATGATCGTCCACGGACTATCGACCGTCCGTCCAGGCGGGAGTATAACAGCGACCGCCTTCCACCCGCCGGCTTCGAGGATGATCGCGCCGTTGAGGAGCGCGGTTCGGCAGAGGCCGCGCCAGTACGCTTGTAGACTCGTCTGGTATTGGTCGTCGGAGAGGTTGCAGAGCAGGAAGCGGAGGACGGGATCGCGGTCGAAGACGCGGCCGAGGAGGTTGGAGGTCGGATCGAGGTTTTCTAACGACTTGTTAGTAGGGATGGGGTGAGGGCGAGGGCGATGCGGACCCCAGGAGCCGATGGTGATTGTGTGGGTAGGCATGGGTGGCTGGATAGTGATTGAGGTGCGCAAGGTGGTCCTTAGGAAGAGAAATGCAGTTCCTAGGTAGAGAAAGATGCGCCTTAGGTAGGGAGAAACGTGTTGTAGAGAGATGAAGTGTTGAAGTCATCCCGAAACTCTGTATCAGGGCCCACGCTATCCTCGTTCCTGCCATTTCTACTGTTGTTCATCTGCGGGAGGAGCGATGCACGGAGATACGCAAATATGGGAACGTATCGTAGACACTCAGACCACTGTTCCTCTTGCTCGTCATGTTTGCATCCTCTAGGGAGACATGAGCCCCCGCTACAGGGACCAAGCCGCGATGAAGCCCCTTGTCGTTGACGCCCAACCGTCTACCTTTACGAGATCAAATGGATAGCAAAGATGCTGTTCTCTGCTTGCAATGTGCTCATCCGGGAAGTGTCCCGCCATGTCGTTGATGCAGCAAAGTATGCCCGTACCTCTCGGCTTGCCTGTTCCATCAGTGCTAACATACGGTATGGCTCCTCCCTTGATGAACCCCATTTGGCCTCTGGAGATACTCGCCAGGTAATCCGCGGACTCTCCAGGTGAATATGCCCAGCCATGCCCGCCTGATCAGGCAAACGTGAGGAGGGAGAAAACCTGGTTACTGGCCATCTATACATCCGGCCATTGGATCCAGGGATTGGAAAACGGCGCATTATACCATTCCATTCACCCATTAGGTGAATGGATGAGCTTCCATACAGTATGACTACCCCCCTCGAAGCCCTCCTGGACTCCAGCCATGTAGTCATAAATGTATCTTCTCTATCCCATACTCTTCTTCTCCTTCATCCTTTCTACACTCCCCTTGCTCATCCATTCTCTCCATCTCATCAATCTACCTCTCCCCGCTGGCTTCAATCCGACGCAAATCACCATGACCGGCTTCCATAGCCTCCCCAACGAGCTGATCGTGATGATCGCCGACTGCCTCCACGACGACAAGGTCTCGATGTCAAAGCTCTCTCGAACCTCCCACGCGATACGTGAACTCGTCCTCCCCAGTCTCACTCGATCCGTGACCATTAGCAATCGCAACGATGAATCCTACCAAGGCCTTCTTCGTCGGTTTCCCAAGCTGGCTGCGGCTGTCAAGTCCCTGACCCTACACTATCACGACCCTCAATCGTTTACCGATTACTTGGACAATCTGACGATGGTTCGAAAACTTGTTATCAAAGGCGCTTACTGTTCTAGGGCTTTGCACACCACGTTTGAGGACCATTTCACGGAGGTGCTCGAGGAAGGCGCCATGTCACAACTCCAAGAATGTACGTTCCGCTTTGCGGTCTTGAACACAAAATATATTCTAATGATTGATAGTGGAGGTCAACCTTACTGATGGCCAGGAATGGTACTGTGACCTGGACGTCTTCATGGCGCACACAGGCCTCAAACGGCTGACAATCCTCCATGCCCGTGTCGAATGCGAAACCATTGAGCTCGCTGACCGTAGTAGCAATCTCGAAGAGCTAACATTCCTCTGCTGTGATATCGCCCTGAAACAACTACGCCTCGTCCTCGCCAAACCAAAGGGTCTGCGACGGTTCACCATGAAAGGCGACGTCCGTCCGTTGTCTGGCCATCTCTTGTCTAGACATGTACAACGGCACCCGCCCCAGACGTACCTCGACGCCCTAATCCCACACAAACACACCCTCAAAGCCCTGGACCTCAACTTCCTGGCTAACGTTGGTTGGTCGAATTCCGAACCCCTCGACCTGCGCCATCTCTCGCAGCTGGAACAGTTTACCGTCCGGCTGGACGAGTTATACAGCACTGTCCTCTACGAAACCCCGCTGGAGGAATGCCGTCTCCCTGATAGTCTCAAGGAAATGAAGGTCTGGACGCTGCATGAAGCACGGGCCCAGGGGTACCAGAAGGCGATTCGCAGGGATTTGAACCACTGGATCCATGCACTGCCAAATCTGCGCTCTTTTGCCTTTGTGTCTCCGCGGCGTGTTACCTTTGACGACGAACACCCGGCGTTGCATCAGCAGGTAGACGTTCGCTGGGAAAGGTTTACGAATGGTGGGTACTGGCTGGATGATTGCGAGGAGTGCCGCTACCGCATGAACTGGTGGTTTCGTGATGATCCAGAGTCAGAGTCAGAGTCAGATTCTGAAGCTGAATCTGAAGCTGAATCGGAACCCGAGTCTGAAGCCGAGTCGGAAGCTGAACCTGATTCCAATTCTGGTTCAAGCTCTGATCCTGATTACAGCCCTGATTCCGATTCCGACTCCGATTCAACTTCTGGGTTCGATTCTGACATTGAGTAAGTCATGTCTGATGTTTTATGACCTTTTCAGGCTATTTATGCTGGGGTGCAATGTCTCTATTCTCATCTCTTTTATTTCTTTATCTTTTTCTTTTTCTTATCACTTCTGGAAGATGTCATTCAATGTACAGGACTGGCATATAGGAATCATGTACGAACAATAGCTTGGGGTTATTTGTCAACTTCGATCAAATACAGAATAACCCTTAACGTCTCTAGTGATCATGAGTAGCAACCTTTGGAATGGGCTTTATGGGATACCCTACACAGTAGTGACCGGTACTGCAGGTGAGAGCCCTCACCCCGCCAACCTTAGTTGAATAAAACCTTGGAATACTGCATTGGATGCCGTTGTTGCCATGAGTCCACGAGCAGGCCCTAGTCTATGTAACCCTTTCTGCCTAGGACGCTGAAGTCGTTATCTCAAGTGGAGGACTTTAACTGTGGACTGGTGTTGCCCTAAATGCCAGTGCTGCCATCTCGCCACAGCGTGCTCCGCGATGTAATACACCCAATCTGCATGGTGCGGTTCAATCGAATCATCTTGTTTACGTTGGAATAGCACTTGACCATGACACGTGAACGGCAAACCTGGGGAGGGTGGTAATGGCATGGAGAAGGCGCGACCCTCAGCCGTGTGACTGTGCAGGTGGCTGCAGGTGGCTGCCCTGGTCAGCCGCTCGGGCTCCAGCGTAACCGTCCCCAATCCTTCTCCCCCTCCATCGTAACATCACTGGACTGCTAGTCTTGACCTCCGCCTTCTGCGGGTATTGACCTATGGAGAATTCGCTCCCCAGTCACACTGCCATTCACTACCAAGACCTGGAGAAGGTCGATGGAACTCCTTGGGATCTGATGACCTCTCTGACCGCATATTCGAATTTGAGGAACGTCGCTGTATTGGCGGAGCTTGGTGCGTTTATATATACCTAATGCTGTTGCTACTGTGTGCTAGTATTCTGGCAGTTCATTGACATCACAAGAGGCGTCGTCTACCGAAAGCAAAGCCAGCCTCGCCAAGCTTAATGGGACGATTTGGGTTGCAGCTGGTCTTGTGCATTTGTCAAGGCACCCTCTCCCCGGGATATATGGTATGGATGAATCTACGTTTTTGAATTCTATGCGATTAGGCAACTGACGTGGATTGGTTCAAACTGAGGAATACTAACGAGTGACTATGGAAAGAAGAACGTGAAACGGATGAGAAAATCTAGGATGCTTCATCCGGACAGTGCAGACAGTCGGCAAGCGGAACAGGCGCGCTGTCCGGCTCTCCAAAATGCATGACGGCAAGGTGCACCTCGGGTGGAGAGCCCGGACGGGTGAGGTACAAGTATAGCCGGGTCTTTGCTATGGTGGCCTCGTTGGGTCCCAGTGGCCGGCGCATACCACCGAACGACTTTGGTAACGATTTGTCCCGCCAGACAGTTGACCTAGTAGGCTGGGGTTCAATTAAAGCCTCGCCTCCCGGGCCACGCTGCACGGGAACAACAGCCGCACTGTCGCCGCAATCTTCGATGAGAAAGCCTCGGAACGGGTCATAGTCGAGTGAACGCGGAGGCCCCGGGTAAGCCCTCGAACGCAGATTGAGCCTGTGGGAATCCTTTAGCACGAACATGCTGGTTGCACGGTCATACCTGAAGATCAGGGCCGTGAGTTCCGTTAGTGTTCCATAGCCGATGACGGCGAACTGCAACTCGCCGCGCTGGTATGACGGTTTGATGTAGACGCAGTACGGGAGGGTAGGTTCTGGATGATCAAACTTGAGGGTCTGAAGGCAGCGTCCGGTCTGAGCATCAATGAAGTGAATACTCATTTTCGGTCCCGGACTCAACCAGTCTCGCCCGAATCCAACCAGGACCTCGCGGCCCCCGAGGCGCCAAACTCTTACCCTACCGGCCAGGGGCTGCCGGCCTTCAGAAAAGGACGGCACGGAGTATAATAACCTGCCAGTCCGCAGATCATACGCCTCGATGTCATTCAGGCTTGGGGAGTAGTGATAGACCCTCTCCCAGCCCATGGCCATGGGGTACACGACGGACCGATGAAAGTCATCCATCGTGCCCAATGGGTCATCCGAGTCGACGAAAGTCCTGGACCAGAGCTCGTTGCCCACGCCGCTAGACAGGTCGAAAATGTGTTCCCTATACGGTCCACTATCGGCAGGCCCCTGCGAGAGCAGGAGAAGAAACCCGGCCTCGTGCATGCTCAGGTGGAAGACACTGCTCGCAACATCAGATGAGATTTTCAGATCCATTATAGGCCCCCTGGCGCCACCGACCTTATCCCAGACCCGGGTCCAGCGAATGCCATCTTGTTCCTCGCCGCGCACGGTGCACTTGGCCTTCCACGCGATGTACTCACCGGCGACCGTAGGCTTCTCCTCCATGTCGCAGTCGGTATAGTCATCCACATCCATGACTTTCCCTGACATAAACCATTCGTCGGTGACATGGTCGGCGGCTATACGTATCAGATTTATATGTTAGTCTATCCGGTTCGGAATTGGGGGGAAGGGGCAGGAGGCGAGACGTACCGTATTTCTCGAAAAGCTTGTATCCCTCTTGAGCATCAACACTATCACCATTCGCAGCATTAGCCAGCTCCTTCCAGGCGTCTGGGAAAAACTTCTGCAGCCCCCGCTTGCCTGCGAATTCCTGCACCCGGGCCTTCCATTCGGTATCGACGGATTGGATGTTGGCTAGGTCGTGGATAGATAAGTCGTCCAGGACGAGGTTGCTGCAGTCGTAGTTCAGGGCGCGGAGGGGGTCAGCTTTCTTTGATGGAGCCATCGTTGCGGTATTTGGCGCTGTATGGAGCTCAAGTAGTTATCGAATGGTGATGTCCTGATTGAGGAGGAGTCGAGGGGTTCTTATAGACTGGCCAAGATGGGGGATGAAAGACTCTGGCTCTGGGTCTGCGGACAATGGGACGTAGGAAGAAAGATCGAAGACAACTAAAGATGTATGGTATAGTAGGCTCTTTGATTTTTGTTATCGGGCTGGTGGTTTTCTAAATACTACAAGAAAACAAACAATAGATGGAAATACCACTAGACAATGAAAGGCAATTTTGGTACTCCAACACAATACACTTTGTTCTTCAAATAGGTTTTTGTTCCTTTTTACCCGTCCTTTGAGGCGTTCCGTTCAAGTCATCTCAATTGTTCTGAACCAACACCCACAAGTCAAATGCCTGGTCTTACAATATCTCAATCTTGACGCTCCCTGTGAATAGTTCCTGTCGCCTACCGTACTAAGAGGGTGGGGGTTGATATCCACGCTCCCCTGGAGCCATAACCTTTATATTTCCATTCATTAGGGGGATGACAATATCAATACGTTTATAAATGACCTTCAAAACGAGCTTTCTAGAAAGACCTAATCTTTAAAGGGGGTTATTGATGTATAGCCTCTAGAACAGGAGGACAAGGTCACGATAATCAGCGGGTGGTAATCTGGGCAATAGGTATCATTAATGCCATCATAGGTACGTGCAAAGTAGTATGTTATAGAGCAAGCATATAATATTTATATAAAAATAGTAATTAATAATTAACAAGTAACTATGGTAAGGAGAACATGAGATTGCCCATGCTATGCTCAACGAATCCCATCCGGACGATGCAGGCAATCCCATAGAGGCATGGGACGTGCCGTGGCTTGACAGTCAATGTGGCAGGGGCAAAGTCCAAGACCGCGAGTGTGCCCGGGTGGAATAGATATAGCCAGTTGGGAGTGATTATTGCCTTGCATGGCGTTTCGTGCATGCCTTGGGACATGGAGTTGCACGGCTGCTCTGTCTGTGTTTGTTCGCCTATGATAACAGGGATACCAGCGGCCCTGGGATCAGATGGAGCGTTTATCCCCGGGCCCGGGATCGGAACAATTCAAGCCATATTCATGGTCCCGGGCGACATGGACGATAAAGCCTTGGGATAGGTTATAGTTTAATATATTTTTAACCTTAAATACTTAGCCCTAGTAAAGCAAGAGTAACCTCCTGCTTACTTTTATATTTTAAAATAAATATACCACGCGTTTTATTATACTTATAAAATTAAAATTAAATTAGTATTTCTAGCCGTGCATGGCTAATACTAATAATTAATGCTAAAAGCTACGTTCCCATGCTAACTTAACACACAAAGCTTAGCATTCCCTATATACTCCGTGCATCTAAATAGTCCCGGGCCACATGGATAATAAAGCCTTGGAATAAGTTATAATTTAATATATTTTTAATCTTAAATACTTGGCCCTAGTAAAGTAAGAGTAACCTTTTACTTACTTTTATACTTTAAAATAAACATGCCACGTGTTTTATTATATTTAAAAAACTAAATTTAAATTAGCATTTCTGGCCGTGCATGGCTAATACTAATAATTAATATTAAAAGCCACCTTCTTGCGCTAACTTAACACGCGGAGCTTAGCGTCCCCCATATACTCCGCGCATTCAAATGGAATCCATGGTCCGCAACGCGCGCCCAGCCTTCACGTCCATGATATACAGCTTCGCCGGGGTTCACTCCCAATCCCGACCCACCACCCCTAAGGCCCACGGGAACCTCGCGACCAGCCAGCCGCCAAATCCCCCGCTTGTTGGATCGCAGCTGGTCTGGCTCCGCAACGGTCACGGTGGATAGCAGCCTGCCCGTGCGGAGGCCCACGGCCTCGAGGTCCGCGAAGGTTTTCCCGTGGTGGTAAATTGTATCCCAGCCCATCGCAATAGCGTAGATGCGCAAGGGGATGTCGACGGGACGCACGACAGGTGGGCCTACAGGGGCCTGTTCCAGAGCTCCGCACCGCGTAGGGTTCCAGATTATAGACGGGGACGTGTGCTGTGCAGGCACCGTGCGATTGTGCGTAGCGGAGTCTCGCGGACCGCGCAGCACCAGGACCAGAAGTCCGGCCTTGTGGAGCTGCATGGTGATCGCGCGGTCCACGAGATCCGGCGGCATGGTGAGCGTGTGGACTGGATGCGGCGACGGCCGCTTTCCTTGGCTAGTGGATTGCTAGTTAGCATGGGGGGTAAGAAGGACGAGGGCTAGAAGAACTTTAGGTACCGCATTCTTTGAAGATGCAATATCCTTCTTGTGCATCAACCTTCTCACCATTGGCGGCTGCAATAAGCTCCTTCCAAGCATCGGGGAAGAACTTTTGCATGCAGTTCTCCCTGTATCCATGACCGTTTGTGCAAGACGTTTGGGGAAGGAAGCGCCATCCAGCTCAAATCGCCAGCGCCGGCGTGCTGGATGTCTAATGTGATGGGTTTACACTTTCGCAAAGGAATAGGATTGTGGCGAAGACACGACACTGAACGCTATTGCAAAAGGGCCTGGGTACAGGTGCACCTTTATCGCAGCATCTGCACCTCTTTGTGGGCGAAGACACAAAGTTAGATTGCATTTTGAATAGTTGATTTATATATTTTAAAGCCTGGATAGAGAGCAACCAACCCATCCGGCATAATAACCGCGATGAAAGGTGTCGCAACACAAACCTCAACAGGATTGCTATCTTGGAGTTTGGATCTAGTAGAACGACGTCTCTCCCTTTGGGAGATTGCATTCATCCTCCAGACTCCAGGTAGACCTTTTTAGTTTATATTGTGCTTTATGGCGTCGCTTGTTAGTATATCTCCTAGTTCTTATTACTATCAACCACTCACACTAAAATATAAATACCAAGTAGCTTTGTTTATAAGCACAAGCGAGAGTGTAAGGCCTAACACCAACATCAGACTATTTGAGTAATATCTATTATACTTGAGTATGCGGTGTCTATATAGTCCAAGTCACCTGTATAAATAAGCAAAGTCAATGAGTGCGGTAAGATGTTTTCAGGCTGCTGGGCAGTTCTGCGTGGGATTTAGTAGAACTATAGTCACTAATACATGATAAGGTGCTTTGGCCGTCATAGGCCCTGCTGTAGGTAATCACTGCCGAACAGTGCGACTGGGTGTAAATGGTCACCCATCTTGGATAGTTTCTCGCTCCTGTTTAAAAGTACTATGCAGGGGAACATAGTCCGAGAATCTAGAATCAGGGTTGATAATCATCACAACTTTTCCATGTGTTCTTCAGTGTCAAAGACTGCTGATTTATTCATTGTGAGCTTTTTTCTCTGCAATCACAGCTACAGCGTGGTTGAGATCAGCCCATCGACATACCTGAAAGGGTCGATCCTGGACAAGGACAACAAAGACAGACCAACAACCATTCTCCTCGTTTTCCCTGCCCTGCGTATATCAGCCTTGCGTTTTCGCGTCCTTTCTCTGGCAGTTCAGTGGTTTGATTCCATAACTTCCCCAGTCCGGCCCTGACTAGTGCAGATATTCTTTGCAGCGAAACACCAGTTACACTACTGCTACGTATCATCGCAATCATGGCACCCCAACAGAACACCGACACTGACCCTCTCCGCCTCCTCAACTTTGACTGTGCGACCCTGATCCTAGACCATTTAGATCTCGACGATGTCGGAAACGCCCAGGTTGTGAGTGAGGCGTGGGAGGCTCGCGTCCAAGAATGGGCCGGCACCCGCGGTCTGCAGAAACTCTTCCCTGACGCTTGGAAGAAGCACTTTGCAGGGACCGAAGATGCCTCCAAGAAAGGGAGCAATGGATATCAGCTCTTCAGGCAACAAGGTAAGAGTCCCAACCGGTTTCAGTGTATGCTGTTGTATTGATCGTGCTAACGAACCGTCCAGCACTGGAAGAAACATGCGAGAAACGATGGGCAAAAGCTCGGGCCCTACGCGCACACGAATACATCATCGACAAGAAGATTGCCGACGTCGTCATGGCCGGCGAGTATCTGGCCTGGAGGCAGGAACGCACCCAGTGGGTAGACAAGCAGGAGGCCGGCGTCTTTTGGACTCGTCTTGGGGCCCCTGCGCAGCAGCTGGATATGCCAGTAGCCCTTGCAAGGGGCCTTGTGCATATGAAGCTGCATTGCTCTGGGCTGCTTTCCGTCTACAGCCAGCGTGTTGTTACGAGGGATAACAGGATCACGTAAGTACATACTACCACCGCAGGTAGTCCCTTTGCTGTCAACGCCGTCGATGTCGAGATCACCATACTAACATCCAACCTCCCACCTAGGCAACACGTCTACGACCTAACCACAAGCACAGAACTCTGGCGCCGGACCATCACCGGCGCAAACACCCCGCACGCGCAAACACAGGTCTACCCCATCGCAATCGGCTGGGCGCGGGTATACCACTACGGCGCAACGCTGACCGAGCTCGAAGCGTACGACCTGCGCAGCGGCGCCCTGCTCTACACCGTGCCCCTCTTCACCAAGCCCGTCCTCATCCCAGCCCACAGCCAAGTGTGGCGCCTGGGCGGCCTTGATGTCCTCGTCGGTATAAGCAAGACAGCAGGCAACGCGGCAAACGGGAACCCACGCGCGGAGATGCACTTTATCAACACGGACACAGGATACTCGCTCCAGACGCTCCGGTTTGATTACTCGGGCGGCCCGGACGATCTGCGGATCAAGGTCTCGACGCGGCGCAATGAGCTCGCCTTTGCGCTGGTGGGCGGGATGGTGCACGGTTGCTTCAGCACGCAGATCTTCGAGTATGAGGCTGCGCGGCAGGAGTTCGTGCAGAGGTCTCTGGAAGACCTTAGGCGGCCGACGCCGTTGGAAGTCAGCTGGAGGGGGTGGTGCACTGATGATGTCACGGTGTGGGATGCCTTTCACCGTTTCACGCTCAGGGTTGATCGCGGGCTTTGTCCTTGGGGGTTTCTTGTGCCATTTAACACAGACTCCTGCGCTTACCCTAGCCTCAAGGTTGACCCCCCGGCTGTCGTTGTGGGCAAGGGGAACACCAGGCCTTACTCCGTGAAGGACAAAGGGTTTGATGTTCTGCTTCGAGCGGAGATCGGGAAAGCGAGACTGTTCCTTTATAATGGCGACTCGGAGCAGCGCCATGAAAAGCACCACAGCCGGCTCTCGATTCTGGATTTTGGGTATGGGGGTTGCACGATTATGCAGGCGCAGGATTGCTTGCAGCGTCCGGATAGCGGTTGGTAAGGCTGGTTATATGTTCGTGGTTTGGAATGATTTTGTGTTTTTGCCCAGTCACTTGTTAGTATGTCTTTAAATGTTAATTGAATTTCATAATCTATACTTATCCAGTAATCATCCTCGACTTCAATGGCCGTTTAATTGTATCATTTAGGTTTTTATTGTTGGTGGCTTCGATCAAGGTAGGCAGGGCTGTAAAGTTATACAGAAAGGCTCACGACCTACCATACTCCCCCCGTGGGGTCTTTATTTCCTGGTGTTATTTGTCTTGGTAGGTCAAAGTCAGACCAGGATGGTCGAGACGTTGAAGCACTCTTATCATGATTAAATATCCTGTCCGACTCCCCGAAAATATGGCAGCCTTTCACCCTAACCAGGCGCGGGATGGAGGAAGAAAGATCCAGCATAGGCCCCTGCTGCAATGAACAGTTGGACGTATACTATGATATAATACTGCATCCTTAAGGATGCGTGTTAAATAGACTGGCAGATTTTATATTGGAGTACCGTATACTCTACTCTGCCATAATATCAAAATAAGACGCATAACAAAGGGCGGGTCATCAGGTCGAGTCTCCATTATGCGTCAGCTGCGTTCGGAGAAAGAAAAGCACAGTGGATCAGTTGGTGTGCCATGAAATGGCGTAAAGGGCGACGGAAACCCAATGATCATGTCGAAGGTGTGAGGAACAACTAACAATAGAGGAGAGCTACCATCCTTATGTATTGTACCGTAGCCTTGTTTTGCAAGTTCCAAGCCCATTATTGCCTGGCCTTTGAGAAGCTACACCGATGTTCGTGATGGACAACGGACGTGCGTTTTGTCTTCCCTTTCATGACCTGCGAGTCTGACTTGATATTCATGCTTCAGCTGCTGATTAATGCTAGGTATAAATGGGAGCGACAGACCGTTCAATCATGGTAGGAAACCATTTACGTACAGTTGAACCGTTCTGCAGTAATCAAATACGGTATTCGATATCTAGCTCTCTTCCAACAACGCTGCAACCAATCCTAGCAACCATGTCGAAGGCATCAACCTGCACCACAGACCCATTGAACATTCTCAACTATGACTGCGCGTGTCTAGTCCTCGAAAACCTCGACCTCCAGTCCCTTGGGAACGCCGAGGAAGTCAATGAAGTCTGGAAGGAGACGATCCAATCCTGGATGACGGGATCGGGCCTTTTGCAACATTTTCCAGATGAGTGGAAGAAAGTAACCACCATGCAGCGGGATAACAACGAAACGGCCGAGCTCCCGAGATACAACCGTGCCCTGAAGGTCTTCAAGAACTCCGGTAAGCCATTAAGCCTCTGACACAAATGTTGTTTGTCTTGTACTAACCCTGCATCCACAGCAATCGACCAGCTAACGACAGAGGCATGGAAAAGCGGACACGCCAACAGCCTGGTTCTGCGCAATGCCGACGTCACGCACCGCATGTGTCCACGTTGGGTTGGCTACCTCGGCGGCCTCTCAGGAGCAGGGGAATTTCTCGCCTGGTGCGAGACCGGGCGCGTCCTGTACAAGCACGTTGACTCGGTACACCCAGCGCACGAACTAAACGTAGGAGTTAGCTCGGACCAGGTCGCACACATGGAGCTGCATGCGGGCGGGTATCTGCTTGTCGTCGTGCTGGACGCTGATCGTTCTAGTAACCATCAGCACACGGAGCGTCTATTCGACCTGAAGACCGGCAAGGCGCTGTGGTCCCGCGACTTACCCCCCGACTTATGCGCCGACTTAACCGGGGACGGCGAGGAGGTCGACTTCAAACCGCTCGCGATGGGCTGGGACAGGATCTACTATTTCGCACGCGAGCGGGCTAAGCTCCTCGTGCGTGATTTCAGAACCGGTAGGCTGCTGCACACGCTGCACATCGGCTTATTCGCGCAGGGCTTCTGGGCGTGGGAGAAGAGCCGTGTGTGGCGCCTACGCGACCGCGACGTCCTCGTCATGTTCCAGCACGCCCCGGGCAGCCGGTACACCAATATCGGCGCAGTCCACCTGATCGATACGGTCTCCGGCGAGACCCTGCAGCGGATCCCCGTCGACAGCAGTGAGGAGTGCACGCTTGTGACCTCAACCCGGCGTGACGAGGTGGCCTTCGCGCTAGTCTGGGAGCTCATGGGGTACACGGACCGGGACTCGTTCGCAGTGAGGACGCAGACGTTCGACTATGACCGCGGCACTGGCAAGTTCGTGGAACGGGGTGTGCAGGATATTGATCTTACCCATCTTAAAGGACTCCCCGTAGGTTGGTTCTATGCAGGGGTCATGCAGTATGATCCGTTCCGGGGGTTCATGGTTGCGGCCGACATGGAGGGTCAGTGGACTCGGGTTATTTCCTTGCCTGGGGCCCAGGACCAATCCTCTTCCCGGGGACAGGTTGAGCCAGCAGTTTCGTCGATAGTTATGGGCCGGCGGCGGGCGAAGGCTGCGACGGTTAACGTGCCGGGGTTGGTGCGTAGTGCCATAATAGGGTGTGGAGGGAAGCGGCTGTACTTCCTTCGTCAACCGCGTGGTGTCTTCCATGACAGCGTGCAGGTGAACATTTTTGAGTTTGGACCAAAGGATGAGTGGAGGTTGCAAGCGGGTCAGGGCGATTCGTTGCATGGCCCCAGCAGTCTTGCGTGAATAGTGCGCTATTTTATGTGTTTTGTTAATGTTTATCCTGTATCTACACAAATCTTACTGCATCGCGTGTTGAACGGAGGGAACTTCCTGCTGCAAGGTAGACTGTATAGTAGCACCAGCCACAAGATCTGCTCGCACATTCAGCATTGTTGTATTTTCATGTCAAGCAGCACCCGGCCCCTGTGGGAATCGACATTCCTCGGGGATAGTTAGGGAGCCAAAGATCAGGCAGACACTATGCTTGGGACACCCTAGCCAGTATAGCTCATAGTTCCAGTCAGAAAGCTTTTAGAGACCTTGTATAGATAGAGGATCTGGGTCAAGTGGGATATAGAAGACCGGCTATATTCTCATAAAGCCAACCAGGAAAGATGTCCTTAATTCTTCAGGGTTCTGAAGCCCTAAGCACTCCCCGAGCGCCACCAGAGTCCTGAGCCAATCCTGTATACCAATCCCTCGGCCATAGAGTTAGACCCAGGTCAACTACGTCCTCAGCTAAGGGTTGGCCACAATGTCAACCTAGTTACCACCCCGCAGTCGGCTGTCTCGCGACCATAGGTCCCGTCAAGCAAGGCAACATATGCTGGATCCAGGTGGAAGGAAATGGAGTTTTTAAGTATTCTAAGACTAGGCTACCTTTGTTTGGTTTCCTAATAAAGGCGGCTATTGATTAAAATTTAGTATATATACATGGGTACCTCTTCAGTCTGATTAAACCTATATGAGTCTAGCTAGACGTCGGGGATGAAGCTATATTCCCGACGAGGCGGACGAAGCTACCAAGCAAGGGGTAGATTGCCTCCGCCAAATAAAAGCCTGTTGGATAGGCCAGAGGAGCTACTTATAAAGATAGAATAAAAATATTACAAGATAAATAATAATATTATAAAATAATTAGTAGATTTAGCTAAAAAATAATTTATATATAAAATTTTTAATAAAAAAAGTAATATATAATAACACTAGTTTTTTTAAAATAAGCATGGGAAATAAAGCTAATTTAAGCTAAAGGCTTTTAATAGCTTTTTTAATTTATTAAACCTTTATATTAATATAGCCCCCTAGCATTAACATGCTAAAGTTATATAAAACTTATAAAAATATAAAATTATAAAAAATATAGTAATTAAGTAACTAAAATTTTAATTTTTTATACTAAATTTATTACCACTAACTTTAATATTTTAATAAAACTTTAAAACTTTATTTTATTTAGTATTTTTATTAGGCTATTTACTAGGTTTTTAGTTTTATTAATTTTTTTTAAATTTTATAAGGTTTTTAGTAATAAAATTTCTTATTAAAAAATAATAAATATTTATTTATTTAATTCCTGGAGTATACCCCGGTTTCCCTAACTTAATAATTATATTTACTAAATTTATAAATATTATTATAGGTTTTTTAATATTAAACCTTAATATTATATATAACTTTTTAAGCTAAATAACCTTTTTTATTACTATATTAAATATAATAATTTTTACTAAAATTAAACTTTTAATTATAATTAATTATTTTATAAATCTTTAAAAAATAGGCGCGCTATAAAAATAAAATATATATATTTTTATTAATTTTTTTTATAGTTAGTATAAGAACTATTTATATATTTAACTAGTATTTTATTATTTATATTTAAAAAAATACTAAAATCCTAGTACTTTTTAAGGTATTAAAATATATACTTAACCATGGCAAAGTTAGTATTTTAAAAATTTAAAATATGCTTTAATAATTTTACTATAGTATATTTAATATTTAACCTTATTTTTTTAAATATTTAGTTAAGTTTTTTTATTAAGCATTAATACTTTAAAATATTTTTTTTATAATAATTTAAATATAGTAACGGCCGCCTTTATTAAGTATTTTTAACCTAAATTTATTAAAATCCTTTACCTATTTAATTTATTAAAGTTTAGTTAATTTAGGATTTTTAAATATAGGTTTTTTAAAAAATAAGTATTTTTTTTATAAGATTAATATTATATCTTAAAAACCGCTTTAGTTTTTTAAAAATTTTAAGTTTAAAGTATTTAATTAACTTTTTTAAAAACTTTTTATAAATTTTTTTTATAAGCGCTGCTACTAAGGTATTATTTATATAAATAATTATAATACTACCCTTATAAGCGTAATAAAAAAAATATAATTTTTTTTAATACTTAATGGCTTATACTTTTTAATTTATTTATAAATATTTAATTTTAAAAATATATTACTTTTTTTTAATTTATATAAGGCGCGGAGGAGTAGGTAAACAAGATTTTTTTTAAACTTATAGGTTATTTTATAAAAACCTTTTTTTATTTTATTATAAAGTTAAGATAGGTAATTATTATATTAAATTAAATATAGTAGTAACCCTTTTTATAAATAATTATAAAATAAATTTTTACTAGCGTGTTAATAATAATTAAAATATATATTTTTAGGCTATTATTTTTAATTTAAAAGTTACTATATGTAACCTAGCGGGCGCGGAACTTTTTAATATTATTTTTTTTATTTTTTTTTAATATTAAAAGCCTATTTTTTTAATATAATTTTCTTTTTTTTAAATAATTAAAAATTAGGGAACTAATCTTTATGCAGGGATATTTTTTAGCTTAGTATTTTATTTATTTATTACTTTAATTTAATACTTTTTTTAGGGAGACTTTATTACCTTCTTGTAATTATTTAAAATTAATATTTTATAAATTTTAAAAAAATAAATGCTATTTAAAATTAGTAGTGTAGGTAAGACTAATAAATTAAGTAATTTTAACTTTTTTTTAGCATTTTAGTATTTTTATTTTTACTTTAATTACTTTACTTACTTATTTGCAAAGCATACTAATTTAAATTATTTTTTATTAGCTTTTTTACTAGGCAAAATTAGCCCTAAATTTTTTATTATAAATTAGGAGTGTTTTTCTTTTTTTTATTTTTTTTTTTTATTTTTATAATATTATATCTTGGCCTTAAAGCATTAAGCCATGGCTATTTATATTTTTTTATTAGTTTTTAAAAATAATAAGTTTTTTAAAACTTCTTACTTTAGAACTACTTTATTTTTTTTATTTTAATTAATTATAATACTTTTTATACCTATATTTCCTATTTCCTGCGCGGCAAGAATACTAATATATTATTAAAAATAAATAAACTTAGTAATTTACTTGCTTATATTTTTTTTATTTTTTTTTATATTTTTTTTACTTTCTTAACTTTTTTAATTATTTTTTTAACTATTAGTTCTTTAAATAGTTATATAGGATCTGTACTAAAAGTATTTTTTTTAGTACTTATTTAACCTTTTCTCGTGCGGTTATAGTTAATACTAATTTAATTATTAAAGGCGCTTTTTTTTAATATTTATTAAATAAATACCTAAGCACGTGGCCTTAACTAGTATATTAGCTAAGTTTTATAACTTAGTAATTTTTTTTATTAATATAGATTTTATAGATTCTAGGGCAGGAAGTACTAAATTTAAAAATAAGATTTAAACCCTTTTAATTATAATAATCTTTTTACTTTTATTAGCTACTTATAAATTATTATTATTAAATTTTTATATTTTAAATTACTTATTAAAACTAATTAAACCACCAGGGCCTTTATTATTAAGATTAGTTAATAAATATAATAAAATAGGTAAAGGCGCTTTATTATTATTTTTTTTTAAATATAATATTTTTTAATTTAATAATTTTTCCGGACTTTAGAAAGTACACCTTATAAATATAAAATTTTTTATATTTTATAAGTTTTTTTTTTTTACTTTAGGTATTATTTTTAAAGCTTTTATTTTTATTTTTACAGGGATATAAATATAGGCGTTATATTTAAAAATTTATAAATACTTTAATAAAGTATTATTTAATACTAGTATTTTTAGGCCTTTTATAAATTTTTTTACTAGTGGCTTTATTTTACCTTTTTAAATAAAATAATTTTAAATATATAATATAAATTTAACCGCTAGCAGTTATAGCTTTTTTAGTAGCTTTATATTTATTATTATATTATAAGTAATTTATATAATATATTTATTAAATTACTTAATTTTTTGTTTTTCTTAGGTATATAGCTTAAAGTATTTTTAAATTTAGTACTAGTTTAATTTTAGTAGTACTAGGCCTTATAATTATTAAAATTTTTAGTATTATTACCTTTTATTTTTATAATATATACTTTACTTATATTAAGCCACTACAAGTGCATGTAAATAAGCATGTTTAATACCTTATTTTTTTAGTATAAAAACTAGCAAAAATAATTCCTAAAGTTATTATTAAATATTAATAAAATATAATTATATTTTTATATACCCTAAGGCTTTACTATTTAAATATTAATATATATTATTTATAAAGGCTTTATAGCTTGTTATTAAAAAGTTTTAAAAATCTTTTTTTTAACTTTACTAGCTTGTAAATTTTATAATTTATAATTATTTTATTATTTTAATATTTATTTTTATTATTAGTATTATTTAACTACGCGTGGTTTATATTAAGTTATAATATTAACACATGGCCTAAATACTTATGCTAAATTCCTATTAAAACTAAAGCTATATTAAAGCTTGTTTTCTTATTAATATTTGGTTTACTTAGCCAAGGCACGTCTTTATTAATATAAATCTTAAAAATAACCACCTTATTATTTTTTATTTATTAAATTCTTAATAATTTATTATTATACTAGAGGCCTAGGTCTATTTTAATTTTTTTTATTAATAGAATATTACACGGTAATTTAGGAGACCATAGGTAGTTAAATTATAGTATTAATATTTTATTAATATTTAATTAAATATATAAAATAACTTTGCCTTTCCCTTTAAAAATTACTTTTTTATTATTTAATATAATAAAAGTGTGCTACAGGAGCTAAATAATATGAAAATCCTTTATAAGGTTTTTATTATTATATATAAAAACTCTAGAGCCAGTATCCACAAGCTATTAATTATAAAACTTTAATACTATTAATATAATAAAAAGTATAGTATTATATATACTAAAGTTTATATTATATTTACCTTAAGTTTATTAAAAAATAATAGTAGTACTAGGCTTACTAGCATTGCTATTTTTAATATTATTATTATTTAAATTTATTAGCCTAATAAACTTATAGTACTAAATCTTTTTTTAATAATTACTAGCTTAATAAATACTTTTTTAATACTAAATAATAATATTTTAAAAAATTATAAGGTCCTTTACCATAATAATTATATATATTTTTTATTAATTTTTTTTTAAAGCTAATCTTTTTTTTACCCACTACTTATTAAACACCCCTTTTTTAAAGCGCCTTAATAAAATATATTTTATTTTTTATTTTTAGCTTTAAAACTATTATTTTTATTCCTACTCCTATTATTATTATTATTATTATTATTATTTTCTAGTACTACCATGTAGATAAAAGTCTAGACCTTTACTTTATTTAAAACTTTATAATAAACCTTTTAAAACTATATTATAGTTATTTTTTTAATAATACTTATAAGTGTTAAAATATACTTTACTTTATAATATAAAGGTATCTTTGCCTATAGTTTTTTTAAAAGTAAAAAAAAAAATTATTAATATAAAGTAATAATTATATTAAATTTATTATTAAATTTATATTTTTTATAAAATATTTTAATAAATTCCTAAATTATACCATAGCTAGCCTAGTTAATAATAATAACTTTTTTTAAATTATATAAGCTATTATATATTTATTTTTATTAAAAACCTAGTTAATTTTAGCATAAAACTTATTTATATATAACGCCTTTTTTAAATTTATATATATTATTTATATAATATTATTTATTAAACTTTTTGCAAGCTATATTTAAACCTTTTTTAATATAATTACTTATTTTTAATATAATATTAATATTAATATTAGGCGTGGGATATTTTTTCTAATAAATATTTTAAAATTATATAGGTTTAATTTTAGGCTTATTAACTAGGTTTATATATTATAATTTTTTTTATTTTTTAATTTTTTATTTACTATATTAAGCGTAAAAGCTTTTTTTAGTAAATTTATTACTTAATTTATTATAATAATAAAAGTAAATATAAATTTTATAACAGGTGTTATATTAGGTATTATAAAGCCTTTTAATATATTTAAAGTAAAAATATTTATAAATATTAATTAAAATTAATTAATTAAAACTTTAGGGCTTCCAGCGCTGCTATTTTAATTAATTATATATAAATTTTTAGGTATAAAATAAATAAAAATAAGTAGTATTTATAAATAAAAAATTAAAAAAATTAGGGGCTTATAACCTATTAAATAGGCTAAAAAGTTACTTATAAAAATAAAATAAAAATATTATAAAATAAATAATAATATTATAAAATAATTAATAAATTTAGCTAAAAAATAATTTATATATAAAATTTTTAATAAAAAAAGTAATATATAATAACACTAGCCTTTTTAAAATAAGCGCGGGGAATAAAGCTGATTTGGGCTAGAGGCTTCTGGCGGCTTCTCCGGCCTGCCAGACCTCCGCTCCGACAAAGCCAGAATGCTCCGTTGGATACAATGGTGGTAGTGTTCAGCTGGTAGGGATTGGCAGTTCCTTCCTTCTCGACTAGCATATCTATTCATCTCCAGTTTGGAGACCACGTGGGAAGGAGTCTGCTTGGGAACAACCATAGCACCTGCCTATCTAACGTCTCGGTTGATTGCTTCTGGTATGACTAGAAAGCACCTCCTTCTCACCTGTCCCAATTCTCTTTATCTTTGTCACCACTATTCGCCATTTTCATCTGACTTGGATTGACATTTGAGATACGCACCTGGGAAAGGCGAGGCTGACCGGGCCTGGAATATACGGAGGAAAGTGAGACATAAGCCCAGTATACGGGAGAAAGTAAGACAGCTAGAAGAATACAAACATAAATAACATAAGCTAATGACATTCAAACAAAAGGCAGACCGGATAAGCTAAAAGGAAAGTCAGTCAACACGATCCGGGGCATGCAAGCAATTCGCGAACTCCAATGGCAAACCACCTCCTGGTCCGAATTCCAAGACGTCGACCTGGTCCTTGTACAGCAGACCGGGACCAACGAATCGACCGGCGTGGAACAAGTAAAGCCGGTTCCCCCCAGCGCCAACCTTGACATCAGTAATCTCCTTCAGTGATTGCTGTAACCATACTCGGCGTTTAGCGTTATCAACCGGAGACTTGGGCTGCAACATTGGATAGGAAAAGGCGAGAGTGAAGCCGTTCGAGGTGTTGTTAACAACCACCATAACCCCTTTGAATGGGTCCCAGTGCACAATATCTTTTGGAGCCATTGGAATCTGGGAAAGGTCGAAATGTTGAGTGTCCCGTTGCACGAACATCTCAGCCTCACGGTCATAGTGAAAAGGTATACTCACAGCAACGGACGCCCCCTCACCTTCGCAAGCCTTCCGACCAACCACCGCAAACGCTAGTTCGCCGGGCCGGCTTGAAACCACTATACGATGTCCTGTGCAGCCATCTATCGGGATGGTCTGAATGGTCGATCCGGTCTGGGCGTTGATAAAATGCAATTTGTCCGTGTGCTTATCCGGCCGCCCCAGGCTGACGCCCACAATGACCTCGCGGCCTCCCAGGCGCCACACGCGCGTCTCGCTCTCTACCAAAAGCTTAGATGTAAACAATGGCAGACTGTGTAGGAAGGTCCCGGTCCTCAGGTCGTACGCTGCAACGCCGGCTGCTGCAGGGTCGTACAGTGCACGGTATGTTCTGCCCGTACGCCTGAAGTAGATCTTGTCCCAACCCATTGCAATGAGTTCAATGGGCGGCTTCTCCGTGCGAAGTCCGTTAGACTGTAGACGATAGTTCCAAGACCATAACTCCTCGTCTGTCTCGAGCTCGAACATGCACATCCTATAAGAATCTTCGTTAGCAACACAAATCAACCACACTAACTTCTGCATATACATACCGGAAGACGAAGGACATATCATTCCACCGTTGAGCGTGTCCCACAAATAGCAAGCCAGATGCGTGTAGCCGCAGGTACACCACCTGAGCCAGTCCCAGCACCTTGATATTCACCGTCCGAGTGGGATATCCGCACCGCTGCCCATGCTCATCTACCCAGTATCCCGCCCGCTTCCAGCAGATCGACTCGCCGTCTTTCCAGGCCAGGAAGTCCCCTGCCGCTTGGATCCCAGCACGGCCGACCTCGCTCTCCCCCTCGCCCACGCAATGCGTCGTCCAATCCGTATCTCCGCCCACCCACGCGTTGTTCGTGCGTTGCTGCATGGCTAAATCCATGGATGGTCAGTATATCATTTCCAGATCCGGGCGTGGCCAACTCACCGCATTCCCTGAAGATGCCGGGGATCTTGCGCCGTCTGTGCGCCTCCGCGCCCCTCCCCTTCCACTGGGGCTGCAGTCTCATCTCGGCCCACACGGCCGGAAAATGCACCTGCAGCCCGCGGGTGGTGATCCACTCCTGGATCTGGAGGTACCACTCGGTGCTGACGCACTGGGCGTTCGCGAGATCGCGCAGGGGCACGTGGTCCAGAATCAGACTCAGGCAGTCGTAGTTTAGCACGGCGAAGGGGTCCGCCTTTGCTGGGGAGCCCTTGGACGTCATTTTGAGATTCGTCGTCGTAGTCATGTTGTTGGAAACGCAGGTTGATGAATCTGCTATGCTCCGAGGCTTGTTGGGTATTTATAAGGTTTGTTCAAGCCGGCCCTTAAGCATGAAAGCTTTCGAGATAATGGAGCAGGCTCTCTTTGTGAGGATGTTGGTGGACTTATTGTATTCGAAACCGAGGTCCAGCTTGAATGAAATAGATCTGGACATAAAGGAGTACCTTCGGATAATGGAACGGGTGTCTTTGTGAGGATCCTGGTGGACTTGAAGTATTCGAAGACGAGGGTCAATGGGAATGGATCTAGAGACAAAGAACTACTCGCTTCACCTTTGCGCACCTCTTTATGCCATTAGACAATGCACCGTGCTCCTTTATTCCTTATGAAAGGCATCCAATTCTACATGTAGGCTTATTGAACGGTCCGCTTTAGTGGGCATAAAGCTCGAGACAAAGGTTTCAGCCTCCCATTGTGGCGCACTTCTTTCTGCTGTATAGATATTGGGCTTTCAGGATGCCCTTATGCCACCCACACTGGGAAAAGTCAGGGGTGCGGTCCCATCCCTTGCCTGTCCGTGATCGGCCTGGAGCAAGCGTTGTCATACTAGAATTTAAGAATTAGAGTGTTTCTCCAGCAACACCAGAGTATCAACTGTTAATTGGATATTTGAACCCAAGGTATGCAGGATTACACTAGCTACAGGCTTTGGCACGGCTAGGTTAGGGCTGGTCAAATATTTGAGCACACTTGGGAGCAAACACTGACCCAGCATATGGTAACTACGTTGTACCATATTATTACAAAAGCGAAATGATACCACGCAGTTTACATCCCACTCCAGCGTACCTTGCACTGCATGCAATCCCCGAACAGATCTGCATGGTTTCCTCTTCTACATCGTTCTGTACCTTCCTTGAGGACACAGCTGCCCACAGGAGTCCTCCCCATAGACAGTATGGGTCAACCCTTTGGCCCAGTGGTAAATCGACGGGCCCCAGCGGCAATGACCCCCGGTCAAATCGTGGATATCGGCAGGGCTTGGGAGTTCCAGTGCTTTCTTTCCGATTATGTTCAATAGCCAGCCCGTTGGCCGAGTTAGGAGGGGGGCTACCTCAGCAATAGCACCTGCCTAGGTCTGCTGTCACTGCCGGTGTTTATGTCCCTCATCCGGGCGACGCGTTCATCTCCACCATCACTCTTCTTTTGATTGCGCGGTTTCCTTGACCCCCTAATAATTATTATTAATAACTTATGGTGTTAGTAGCATCTTACTCTAGGTTACCAATTTTTTTATAATTCTAAGGGTTATATCTTATTATATATAAGGTATATTATAAAAGTAGAAAGCCAAAATAGTATTTATATAAAAATAAGAACAAGCCAAGAAGGTAATACAGTAACGCGAACAAGAAGCACATCAGTCCACACGGTCCGGGGCATGCAAGGAGTCTTCATCGCCAGATTGCAACGGCCAATCACAGGCACCGCGTGGTCCAAATTCCAACACGCACACCGGGTCCTTCTTCGGCCCACACTTTCCACTGAAATCGCCCACGCAGAACACGTAAAGCCGATTACCGCTCGCGCCGAACTTGATCCCACCACCGAAGTTGAGACCACCCACGCCGTGGTCGACACTGGCCATGCTCACATAGGGTTGCCCTATGGAACGGCGAAGGATCTCAGCCTGCCCCTTTTTGAAAGACACAGGCCGAGTCGCATAAACGACCGGCGAGTCGGCTCCGGGGGATCCTAGCGGAGCAAAGCGAATAAGGCGAATAGCAGCCTTATGCGGAGATACAACAGCCGCAATGCCCCTGAATGGGTCATAGCTTACGGTTTCATGGGAGCCGGCTATCGACAGTGCGGAGAAGTTGAGGCGTTGCGTGGCGCCTTCCACGAACTTGCCAGTTGCACTGTTATACTGGAAGGGTCTGCTGGTGGGAATATCAGTTATCTGGCCCAAGGCATTGGAAGCACGGCCGAGTATGGCGAACGCCAGTTCGCCCGGCCGGTTCGACACGACGATCCGGGGCCGGTGCTCCCCGGCGACACGTATGGTCTGGATGGCGCGCCCGTCCTCTGCGTCGATGATTCGGACGTTGATCTCGGCAGTTACTAGGACGAGGATGTCACGGCCTCTCAGGCGCCAAACCCGCGCAGATCCATTGCCATGTGCCAGGTGGTGCGGTGTGAAAGAGCGCAGTTTGTACAACAAGGCGCAGGTACGGAGGTCATGCACTTGCAGGTCTTTGCCGCTGCTGCTGTAGCAGTACATCCTGTCCCAGCCCATTGCGACGAGGCCGAAGGTGTTGTTGAACCACGGCTGTGAGTGTGGCTTCAAGCGCTTGCACCAGAGCTCCTTTTCCGTCTCGAGCTCGAACATGCGTATCCTATAAAAGGTGGTGTGATTAGCAGCAAAAATCAACAAAGTGGATATTAGTACAGATGCACATACCAAAGTCTCGGGTGATCGGTGTCTTCATCAGTATAGTGGGACAGATACAGGAATCCACGGGCATGGAGCCTCAAAAAAGGTTCGACACTTGACTTGGGATCAAGTTTAACGTCCACCTTGCCAGCTGGATACGGAGCACGTATCCCGTTCTCATCCAGTCGGTAGCCCGCGCGCTTCCAGAAGACTGACTCGCCGTCTGCCCAGGCCAGATAGTCGCCTGCTGCAGTCGGACCACCATGCGCGTAGGTATCCTGGCCGTCACCGATGCATTCCGTCACCCAGGCAGGTTGCCCGGCTTTCCAGGCTTCGTCGGCAACTTTCTTGATTGCTACCGATGGAGTGTTAGTATATGCCAACTTATACGAAAAGAACGGCCTTGTGTAAGGGGGCCAACTTACCCAATTTGTTGAACAGGCGAACTATTTCCTGGCGCTGCTGCGGGGTCCTGCCCCTACGGTTCCAACCAGGCTTCGCAGCCTCTTTGCTCCACGCCTCGGGGAAGTGCTGGTGCAGGCCTTCGCTGGCTATCCAGTCCTGCACAAGCTCGTTCCACGCGCTACTCACGTGCTGCGCATTACCTAGGTCCCAGAGACCTAAGTGCTCGAGGACTATGCTGGCGCAGTCGTAGTTTAGGACCGCGAAGGGGTCCGCTTTGGGTTTTGCTGCGAAGATTTTGCGAATGGTGTCCATGTTGTGTAAACCAGTACACCGTATGGTAATGATAATGTACCTAGTAACGCGCCTGGGGTATTTATAGCAAGCTTCAATGCAGCGCCACGCAGCACGGGGGCATTCACGGTCATGGAGGAAGGCAGTCTTTGTGAAGGCTTGTACACATCTTGAAAGACTCGGCTCGACGTGTATTAAGCAAGAGACAAAGGTACCAGCTCCCGCATTCTCGTGGAGCTCTTTATGCCCAGTGAATACGGGTTTTGAAGATAATGCCAGGGATGTTTCAAGGCTATAAAGCTACTGACAAAGGTCCCAGCTCCCGCATTGTGGTAGCCGTCATCCCTAGTAAATACAACGCTATGAAGATAGCCCCGTGGATGTTTCAGGGGTATAAAGCTACTGACAAAGATCTCAGCTGCCCTTGTCGAGTGCTTCTCCTCATGAACCGGATACTAGTGCGGCCCTTTGAAAATATTCTCGCGCATGTTTCAAGTGTAATAAGCTTCTGACAAGGATTACAGGTCCCCCGTTGTCGAGTGCCTCTATACATCCACTGCAACTGGGCTTTGAAGGACCCTCTGCCGTGCGCCCCGACACGGGCCCGTGGTAACCCCATGCTGGTACTCTTTATGCAAAAGACAAAACAAACCTAGCCCAGACAGAGTAGAGGGTACATTCCACTCTTGATATGGGTTCATCCATTCTGCAAGCTTAGCTTTGAGCGTTATGATTGTAGACACTTTTAAATAAATTTCGGGCGCCAGAAATGGGGTAAATTACATGTTGTAACAATGGGTTTCAGGGACGAGCTGTACCAATTGCATTAAAAATCATCCAATAAATAAAAACCATAATGACATTTGGTGAGATCAGTACTAAGTACAAGGGCCATTCCGACCGAAGATATAACAAATAATAACCAATCCACTACCTAAAAGACGCTACAACACAACACGCAGGATGCTCCAGCTGGCTAGAAACAACAGGCGCTGAACCAAAGTCAACGACCACCGTGGTCATTCCGCGGGGCTGATCATCGCCACGGATTCTGATGACCAGGCGCTTGTTGGTTAGATGTACAAACCCATTCTTGTATCGATCCCGGCCTAGCGGTGGGTTGTTCACCACAGGGCCCGCCCCTGCATGTATTCCTGGGGATGGATGGCCTGGGCGAGAAAGAGGTGTAGGCTTGACCTCGCCATCAAAAGGTTGCACGAAATAATAATGATTCTGCATGTCCCAACCGATCGCAAGCCGCCTGAACGGGTCGTAGTCTCGTTTAGTCCTCGAACCATATCGGAACCACTGCGCTTCCCTCCCAAGCCAATCCACATGCTCAATGCCTCGGCCCTTGAACATCCCAGTTACACCATCATAGTAAAACATCTCGATCACCGTCTTCTGCGCGCCAGTCCAGAATCCCTCCTCGGAAAGTAATGCGAACGCCAGTTCCCCGGGTCGAGTGGAGACTCTCATATCTGGGTTTTCCCGTGCGGTCATTTCAATGGGGAGGGTCTGGACAACGCGCCCTGTTTCGGCGTCCATAAGGACCATCTTCAGCGTCTGCAGGAAAAAGCCACCGGCATCTTTATCATGGTTAAAGGCCATGATCATGTCACGGCCCTGGATGCGCCACACACAGCTCTGCGGTGTGTTCGAGGTCGCATGCAGTCTGGTCTCCATCGGGACGCTGTACAGCAAGGTGCCCGTTCGCAGGTCAAACGCTTCTAAGGTCTCTGGTACACGGCCGTATCGGTACAATCGGTCCCACCCCATCGCAATGGGGGAGCGATTCGAAAGATAAGTGCCAAAAGAATTTGTGTACCCGTTTGGGAGCCGTCTAGACCACAGCTGCTTTCCCGTATCAAGGTCAAACACGTGTTCCCTGGTAGGTGGCGGCTGTCAGTGGACTTTCTTGGATAGGGCGGGATGGTGCAGGACTTACGTGTACTTGGAATCATTGGGGGTCACCATACGTGGAACTGTCCTTCCTGGCAAATTGCGGGCCACGAGTAACAATAGGCCACTTGGATGCATGAGTAAATTAACCTCATGCGCAAATGTGACCTGAATGTCCAACTTCTTGACTTGGTGGGGCGATGTCGCACCGGTATTCCCCTTGGGCGCAATACGCTGGTAGTAGAGACCATCCTTGCATTGCCAGGCCATGAAGTCGCCCGCTGACTGGAATCTCAACGTAATCTGCGGCGCTGGATACTCCTGGACCCAGACTGGCTTTCCGGCCTTTATTCTGCGATTGTAAAGCACCTCGGACGCTAGATGTTGAACATTCAAGTTAGTTACCACCTTTGTTGAAGGGAAAATACTATCAGAGTGGTGGACTTACCGTGTTGCTTAAACAACGGAAGTAATTTGCCTTCGTCCTGAGCGGCCTTCCCCGTTGCCTTCATATCCTTCCATAACTCGGGGAAGTGATTTACGAGCCCCTGTTTAGACATCCATTGCTGAACTTGAGCTTTCCAGGCCCGGTTGAGCTGTTCTGCGTGGGCGAGGTCTTGCAGATCAAGGTGGCCCAGAAGCACATTGACACAGTCGTAGTTCAGACGGCTGAGGGGGTCGGCTCGTTGAGTGGGGGTCATCTTGGTGGTAATAGTTAAGTTCGTGGTGATTAGTCTCGATAGTCGAATTGGTTCTGTGGTCCGGCTTTTGTAAGTCGTACAAGTCAAGACTCACGCTTTGCTAATCCTGATATGATATTCCTGCGACTTTTATCAGATCTCAGGAGACGTCTTGTATTAAATATACTATCTGATTTTCTGGAGCAATGCTTGAGTGGCATTGATGTAGATCAGCTCTGAAAGCATTTGCTGCTTTGTTGGCGTGTCATGTACACCCTGTCCCAAGGAACAGAACAAAGGCCGGATTCCATCTACTATGTGCCATCCATTGTTCAGTGAAACACATGATTTGGCGTGTTTCAGTTACTGCCAAAGCCCATTGTCTCCATCACTGGACACGGGCTTTGAGAGCAGCACCCAGCGGGACAAAAAGCTCCCCCATTGTGCTTTGGCCTTCGGCATTCGCACTCAGATCAGCACGGCCTGACATGAATATTAGCAATAGGTTGATCTGAGCTCACAGGGCTCGATAAGGCTATATCATATCGCCACCACAGCAGCGGCACAGCCCATTTCGTGTTTGGGGTTGCAATGTTACAGCCTTTTCGAACACCTACGTAAGCATACGAAATCTGGACCATGTACATACATAAAGATGGATGCGCGAAGGTCTCGGCCTCTCGATTTCCAGTGTTTTCCTTTTACTTCTTTTTGTCAGTGGCAAGCTTGATCTCTCGTCTACATGGCAGTTTTCGAGATATCTCAAGTACTGCAGGGCTGCCAGCCGTTATTCTTGTTCTCTTGTTCCGGAGGCTTTCAAACTCTCCTTAAATGCATTACCTTGCAAGTGGTAGGTAATATGGCCTATGGCGTTGCGCCCAAGATATCCCAATGCGTTAACCTGGCCCTAGGGTTGCCTTTGAGCTGCGTATTTCGTGGTAGATTTAGAGCAGAGACCCTCACGCGGAGGTGCCTAGCTATGTGAGATTCCAGGTTCAAAAGAACTCTGAGCTTCACATCCGAGGTTTCTGGAGCATGAGCCGTCTTTGCTTTATGTGTAATTTTGCTGAGTATCCAGCGGGATAGCCCACTGGAGCTGCCAGCCGTGTTTACAAGAAGGTTTATAATGGCACCAGGTTATGTCTGGATTTAAGCGAATGACATTGACACTAACAAATGCAGAAGGAGTGATGTAAAGACAAATAATTGAAAAGGGATATTCAAAGACCGAAGAGACACCAAGCAGAACATAGCTTAATCAAGCTCGTCCGGGCGATAGAGGGTATCTTCCGAGGGCAAAGGCAGAGCAGACGGGCCGAACTCGACAATAATAAACTTGCGCCCGTGCTCTTCAACCCAGCCCCTATCAAGAAATAGCCAAAGTCGGTTACCTGCGATCCTGACCTTAGCCAGCCCCCATAGCCCTCGCTGAGGTTTCACGGGAACGCCATCCCGCCCACCTACATCACCTGTGACCGAGAAAGAAACAGGATTTGCCGTTATATGGTCCGTACCTGGGGAATCCTGGCCGTCGGCGTCTGCGTCAGCGCCAGGAAACGGAAAAATGGAATGGTGACCCTCCGGGAAAGAGGGGATTGTGTAGAACCGCCGAAACGGGTCATAGTCTCCGCATTGCCCTGACATGGCGCCGGCGCCTCCCCTAATCTCCATTTGCTCCTCTTTTCCATCCACAAACTGCCCCTTGGCAGCGTCGTACTCGAAGAATCGTATCCTTTCCGTCTGCGCGCGGGTGTGCTCATCGACCACCTGATCCATTACGGCAAACGCCAGTTCCCCACGGCGGCTTGATACCTTCAGCCGCGGGGGGCGGTAGTCGTGGTACACAATCTTAATCACCTGGACGCGGAGGCCGGTTTCAGCATCGACGAGGTAGAGGTTGTATTCAAACCCCCGGTGGACGACGTGACCCCTTATTGGTACGACAATCACCTCCCTGCCCCGGAGGCGCCAGACGCGAGCTTCTTGTTCCGATTTGTAGACCTCAGGAGGGATGGACACCGTGTAAAGGAGATCGCCGGTCCTCAGATCATACGCCTCCAGCGAGTTCGGCTTGGGGCCGTGTCGGTACAACCTTTCCCATCCCAGGGCAAGCGGGCGAGACGGGGGGGTTGCCTGGCCTCTGGACCAGAGTAGCTTGCCGGTTTCAAGTTCGAATACGTGGTCCCTATTTGCCAGCTGTTAGTATACACAGCGGTGCTTTTCTTCGCGATATCCAATCCCATCGCTCTATTCTGGAGGTAGACTTACCTGTATGTGCATACCCTATCAGGGGGAGAACCTCGCTCAGATGTCGCGACGTACAGCAGACCCGAAGCATGGAGTCTGGTGCACTTAATCTCCGTGCCGGCGGCCCTCGAGACCTTGAGGTCGACTCTGACCTTTGGGAACTGCCGCCATTTTCCTGCGGTGTCCTTTTCATATCCAACGCGCTGGCAGTAGATATGGCCATCCGATAGTGAAGTCCACGAAATAAAGTCGCCCGCCGCCCTCTCGGACTTTTCAATGAGAGCTGGATGACATTCCATTACCCAGCGAGGTTTGGCCGCTAGCCATCTATCCGTGGCGGTTTTTTGCGAAGCTATCAACGTTATTAGTATATCTATTCCAGCGGCCAGTGCAGATCCGACTGGGTGGATGTTGACTTACCACATTCCTTGAATACCTCAACTGCGTTAAGGTCGTTCGTGACCTTAAGCTCCTTCCATGCATCAGGGAAATGGTGAACGCATCCCGGCCCAGCTTCCCAGTCACGAATGTGAATCTTCCAGGAGTTACTGACCTGTTCGGCTTTGGCAACATCTTGTGGACTTAGATCCTGTAAGACTAGATTAATGCAATCGTAGTTCAGGGCTTGCAGGGGGTCCGCTTTTCCTTGTGATGCCATGATTATTGATGCTGATGATTGGCTCGATGAGTTCGTTGGGAGCGTATAGAAAATAGGTTGTCCGTTCTTAGCTGGTGACGGATGCCTCGATGCCAGCAGATGATGATCTTGTCTGTGTTCTCTAGGCTGTATTTATACCTGGATGGCGGTATATGCCAACATATGATGGACAATGAAGATGGCATCGCCTTGGGGTGTAGTCATAATGCGGCTTTGAAGTCTAACTCATGGTCCAGGCAATCCTCATTGTCCAAGTCTGGGGCATGACTTGAACTCCTTTCAGTGGGGTTTCAATGTCCCCTTTAAGTGCTTTGTACTATGGGGTGTGTAGCCCTTTCAAGCTTCAATACATTGTTCTCTAGTATCTATCACTGTTTGCCATTGCCATTGAACCAAAAATGATCATTGGGAATGGCACCCTTGGTATGCTCAGGCTTGATAAAGCCGGGCCTGCGCAGATACTAGTACCATGCAGAGAAAAGGCGGAACCATCAATACGCCCAGTGTACGCAAGATGTACCATCTTTGACTAGAATGGACACCAAACACATTGTTTTTTGCAATATCGATAAATGTATACGTTATACAAAACGCATCTTGCGCCGTGACACTTACCATGTTAGTACCTAGGTATAGCAATCAGGTTTACAGCGATTCGCCCCAACCAGTGGTTTAGAAAGGTATGTAACTATATTAATAAAAATCAAATCATATTGCTAGAAAGTAACATAAAGCGAGTGTGGGGAGGCTAAACAAAGGGAAGAAAACAGACCTTACTCAATATCGTCCGGCCGGTACAGAGTATCCTCCGTGGGCAACGGCAGGGCAGGGGACGGCCCAAACTCAACAACAATGATTCCACCCCCGGGCTGCATGCCAGAAGAATAAAGCCGATTGCCAACAATCGTGACATGGTCAACCAACGCGAAGTGGTCGCCCTGAGGCGTGCAAGCGCGATCCCGTGCCTGCAAAGCCCTTTCCACAGAGAAATCATGCCGCTCGAACTTGTTAGACTTTCTACCGAAGGCACCGCTGCCAATCAGCGCGGCCTCACCCTCGGGAGACGAAATAACAAAATAATGGCCATAAAGGAAGTACCCACCAATTAAGAAGGACCGAAACGGGTCGTACCCGCCGCCAACATGGCAGGGTTTCTCAGTTTCCCCGGCCACAAACTGGCCCTTTTTGCGGTCGTAGGTAAACAGTCGCATGATGGATGATCCCATCAGATGCCCCTGTTCCGTCACCGCGAAAGCCAGTTCTCCGCTGCGGGACGACGGTGTGAGCCTGTAGAATAATGGAAGTCCAGGGGTCTCGAACTTGATATCCTGTACGAGATTGCCTGTTTGGGCGTTGAAGAGGTAAAGGACGGATTCCACGCCCGTAGTGGTCGGGTTGTGATTCACTACCACAAGGATCTCGGCGCCCTGGAGGCGCCAAACACGCCCTTTGGCTGGGACTCCGTAAACCTCTGGGGGAATGGCTACGGTGTAGAGGAGATCCCCAGTCTTCAAGTCATACCCCTCTAGAGTATTTGCCTTTGGCCCATAGCGGTAGAATTTCTCCCACCCTAATGCCAACGGGGAAAGCGAGGGCCTCAGCCGGGCATCGTCCTCATTGGGGGTGAGGGCTCTCGACCAGAGCTCCTTACCAGTTGACAGTTCGAATAGATGGTCTCTATTTGTAGACAGTCGTTAGTATAGCCTTCGTATCTCCATGGATGTTGTGGACTTACCTGTAAACGTATTGCTCCTCTGGAAAGGCAACCCTCTCACGTACCTCGATGAAAAGGAAACCTGAAACATGAACCTTCATATACTCCACCGTAGTGGTTGACGAGATCTCGAGGCGTACCTTCTCCGTCGGGAACGGACACCACTCTCCTGCTGTGGTCCTTTCATGCCCAACGCGTTTCCAATAGACGCCGTCTTGCGCAGTCCACGCAACGAAGTCGCCCGCTGTGACCAAGGGCTTGTCGGCGAGCGGTTGCGTGAACTCCATTGCGCAGCGAGGCTTGCCCGTTAGCAATGCACTCAAGCTTGTGTGCCTAACCCCGTGTCCAGAGACCCAGTCCTGGATCTGGCTTTTCCAGGAGTTGCTGACCTGTTCACCCCTGGTAAGGTCCTGCGCGCTAAGCTGCTCGAAGATTAGGCACGCGCAGTCATAGTTAAGAACCTCCAGCGGGTCTGCCGTGCGTTGCTGTGCCATTGTTGAGGTTGAGGACTGCATTGGATTAGATCAGTTGTTCTGGGGTAATTGTGGGATGTTTTTGGTGCTTCGCTGATGGGGCTGTCTGCAAAGCATACAAGTGATAAAATTCTTGGTGGATGGGAGGAGTCTGCGCTCTACTTATACCCCGTGGCTGCACATCATAGACAATGAAACACTCTCACCTGGTCGACCAGGGATAAAGCTCCTTTATTTAACATAATTGGCTTTCAAGCGCCCAACAAAGGCTCTCGGGCGTTGCCTTGTCCGGAAGTCAGATATTGCTTGGATTTCCTTTGACAGGGATCTTCAGATCCTGTAAATGCCCTTTGTATTCACGGCCGAATCGCCTTTTTCATTTTCAATTATGTAAAGTCTCCATAATATATGATTTTCATCTAAAGGTCAGACATGACTTGGATTCTTTCCAAGGGCCTTTGGTTCCTTTCAATGTGCTTTGTATTTTAGGCTGAACGAGTCTTTCATGATTGCATCATGTGCAGCGCCAGTTTTGCATCCACTGCTATGCCCCTTGCCTTCACGTTTGACATGGTAGCCTATGTCCGTTGTAACGGACCGACTAGGCAGACACCCCAGGTCTAAGGCAATGTTCAATAAGCTCGAAGGAAGTACTCGGGAACTCCACAACCAACTTGCTTGTACATATCCGGATAACTGAATTGCGGTCCACTGGAGGGCTGTTTGACCGGGCTGACGATCTACTTAGTGCGGTTTGGTCATCGGCATGTACATGATTTGAAATGAAGAGCTTGTTAATATACCTAGAGCATCAACTCACCTTTAGTTTGGCTGAGATATTGTCACCAACCTTTGATAGAATATATTCATAATCTTGCAGGATTTTCTTGTGACTTCATATAGACATTAAGCCTCCTAGCTCCAGTCAGCAATGTACTAGGGACCTTGTAGAGTGCCCTTTGGTTATGTGACATCTAGAAGACCGGCTAGATGTTTAAAATTCTGCTGCAGTTGGCTGCATTCCGTGAAACTAAATTGAACAAATGATTCCTAGCAAAGATCTAAAACAAGCTGTTGTGTAGCTAAGATGCTCTTATCCAGGGTTGAAACCTACATTTAGGGCCGAAGACCGGCAAACTAGGACTTGATCTTTACTTTTATTCAATTAGTAGTACATTCCTCCAAGAAACATGAAGTGTGCCTTCGGCATCCGTCCTGAACACCAACAGTGATGACACTGGCAGAATCATTGGACATTAACAACAATAATGAATATCACAGAACACTTGGACCCTGTACTGAGAAGGTCGGGAACTTATTGGGAAAGACTCCATTGTACATGTGTGGTCATAGTGGAGGTTCGGACAGGGCATGTTTCTAGCCTGGGGGCCCACCTGTTTGCCTAGTGCCGGCTTTGGGAGCGTCTCATAGCCTGGGCTTGCTTGTGTACTTCTTACTATGGTAGTAAGCATCAAAGGCGCGCAGAAGGGAACCGTGATACCAAAAAAGGGCTCTTATATTCCTATGTATGTCAGGAGTAAAACGAGAGACACTGACCGGACTAAACACAAAACAACACAAAATTGAAAGGTTACACGTAACGACAAGGATCACGTATCATGATACCATGGTCCTCATTTGGATCAACGAGAGTATCCTCCGTCGGCGGAGGCACGTCTGAGCCATGGCCAAACTCCACAATCTGCGCGGCATTCGCAAAGCCCCGGTCTTTCCCTGTATCATCCATTCCAACGAACAGTCTATTGCGTCCGATCCGAAAAGCCTGGAACGTATCCACCGATATTCTCTCAGGCGATGACCATCCGATATCCAGCGCCTTGTTCTCGGCGCGAGAGTCATGAGCAATATTCACTCCTGCGGCCAAGCGTGTAACACCGTCCTCAGTCTCTCCGAACGGGAAGAGCGTAAACCGATCCACAAGAAAGCGCCGGAAGGGATCATAGGCCCTTCTGCAGTTCAAGAAGTGCCAACTTCCGAATCCCATGCCCCTAAGAGACAAGGTTTCCGGGCTCCTGGCGACAAATTGTCCAACTGGGGCGTCATAGTCGTATATTTGGATAGTTGCGTGGGTTTTCCCCAGGCGTGGAGTAGGATGGTCTATCTCTTCCACTACCGCAAATGAAAGTTCTCCGCGGCGAGTGGAGGCGTAGAACAGGGGGTCATGGAACGCAGACGCTCCGGGAACGGGAGGCGAGCATTTGTGCTCAATGAGCTGGATGCGGTGTCCGATCTGGGCGTCAATGAGATGGAAGCGCGCTATCGGTGGCTGTTGGTTGCTGGTAACGGAGATCACCACGATGATTTCCCGTCCCTGGAGGCGCCAGACATGGGTGTAGTCTATCTTCTGTGTAAAGCCCAGGGCCCAGGGAATAGAGTATAGCAAGGCGCCGGTCCTTAAATCGTAAGCCTCCATTACTGACCCTGTTTCCGTGGGCCGATAAAGCCTCTCCCATCCTATTGCGGCGGGTAGGTGAAGTGTATGCCATGGGTTGGAGCGATCGGTGGTAGGATAGCAAAGCACCTCTTTGGACCAGAGCTCCTTCCCGGTTTCCAGGTCGAATACGTGCTCCCTATAATCCTGTGTCAGCACTGGCGGTAGATTTGGTAGATATCAGGATTCATGACAGGGGTCATCTTTTAGAGGTTTGCGACTTACATGTAGCTTATTTGGAGTACACGTCTGGTGACATATAACAATCCCCCAGCATGCATGTACATCCAATAGGTAGCCGCGTTCCGCAGAGCGTCCAGGTTTAGCTTCTTCACTGGGTATGGCAACCGGCTTCCATCGTCACTCGGTTGATACCCGACTCGTTGGTAGAAGATACAGCCCGGGTCTTTCTTACCCCAGGCAATGAAATTGCCAGCGGCTGAAATGCCTCTTGTCTCATGGTCGTCGTGGCCGGCGCCGTACTCAATGGCCCATTTGGGATTGGCAGTGAGCCATCTGTCAGTGGTGAGCTTTTCCGACGCTGGGAGCAGTCAGTATGCAGATTAATATACATTGGGGATTAGGTTGCTTGGACTTACCAGCCTGTTTAAACGCTGCCAGCGCAATTTTCTTTCCTTCCGTCGTGCGAAGGTGATGCTTGGCGTTCACCTTTTTCCAGACATCAGGGAAGTGGTATAGCAAACCTTGCCCCGACGCCCAGTCCTCGACTGCGCTTTTCCAGGTTGTGGACACTTGCTCAGCACGTGCTAGATCCTGCAAGCTCAACTTCTGGAACTCGAGGTTCAGGCAGTCATAGTTCAGGGCGCTGACGGGATCCGCTTTGCGTTGGGACGTCATGATGGAGATCTGTATGGAGATCGTGTATGGGATTTCTCTGCTCCTTGTATCGCAAATATGGGCGGGTTTGCTCCCTTCTTATAGGTTTTGTGAGAAGAACGGGAGTAAAGCGTTTGGATGACAAAGACTGCGTTCACTGGGGGCGCAGAGACAAAGCGTCATTCACATTGAAGTCTCTTCACCTTTTGTCTTTATTGTTGTGAGTCCAGGCGCCCTTTCACCCTCTGCAAGCTTTCACCCTTTGAACATGATATTCAGGTTATGTGAATGTGCTTTGTATGCTGGAAATCCTGATCGCCTCCACCCCAGTCACGTGCAGTGTTCAACCTGAATCATTTTGTAGAACACTAGAATTATTTTAAATATTGTGTCTAGAGACCATGTTTTCTTGTGTGATTAGGATACCCTGTTGCTTGCGGGTGACGGTTAATCTTGCCTCACCACTAGAGGGATTCGAGCGCTGCGAAACGCAGTTAGTGATGAGAGTGACCCGTGGACCTCAGGATGGTTTCGTGTATTTGCATTATATCAGCCGTCCAAGATCACCAATAGAATCCAGTGGATGCAGACACACCTCCCCGCCTAGACTGAGATGCGAGCTCGAGTTACTTCGTGTGCCAAATTCAAACACGGCAGTCTCATGTTTCCGGGCAAGTCTGCCGGAGTCGTCCATACAGTGGACGGACTCATAACACACGTACAGGCGGCTACCGTCAATAATCACGTTTTCCAGCCCACCTACCACACTACCAGCAGGTGTATTGATAGCAAGGGTTCGACATGTAAAGCTTCCCATATCGCCGTCCAAGGAGATAATCCGAGGCGAAATATCCCGTCTCCCAGCAACAGCGATAACACGGCGGAAGGGATCATAGTCCAGCAAATCCGCCGGTTTGATATCCAGGTCGGTCAAATCAAACCACTCAGATGATCCTCGCTTAACGAACTTCCCAGTCGCAAAGTCATAGTCGAAAGTCTGGATCTTCAGCAGAAACATCTCTTCATCACAAACCTCGCTTACCAGAGCGAACGCGAACTCATTAAGTCGGCTCGAGACCCGAACCTTCACAGCCCGCGGATCGAGACCAACGTGGTGCCGGAACAGAATCGTGTCGATCGTGCGTCCTTGGTCAGGGTCGATGAAGTGGATTAGTGCATCGATGTGCCAGGCGTGGACATTGACGACGCTGAGTGCGACGAGGACATCGCGCCCGCCGAGACGCCAAATGCGGGTTTGGCGGTTGTCGATGTCCGCGTCTGGGAGGCAGGAGGGTTGGGAAGCGAGGAGGGTGCCCGTGCGCAGATCGTACGTGTCGACGCCTCGCCTGGTGTTGTTGTGGTATAGGTACAGCCTGTCCATGCCCATTGCGATGGGGTAGGGCCTGCCGCTTTCCTCGTCCCGTTGTTTTACCCAGAGCTCCTTGCCTGTTTCGAGATGGAAGACGTGCTCCCTGCGGTTCGTTGCAGATTAGCAAATGGTACATTAAGTGCGTATAGATGGCAACAGGAGCTGGATCCCATACCTGAACACCCTCTCTTCGGGGACGTAAACCACGAGCAACAACAGCCCAGCGGCATGAGCGCGGATAAAATGCACATTGTACCTACGGACATTAACATCGAGCTTTTTGACGGGGTATTGGCTCAATTGGGCGTTGCTTTCGCATTCTTGGTATCCAACACGCTGCCAGAAGATGCTATCTCCCTGCGGCCATGCAATGAAATCTCCTGCGATGGTGTACATATTGCCCAACGGGTGACCGAGAGGGTAGTTATATGTAACCTTCGGTCTCCCTGACACCCATGCTTCGCTGCAAGCTTGATCGGAAGCTAGGTTGATACAGTCAAATCAGTTTGAATGCACTTAAATTGGATAACGTCGGGTCCATGAAGCAAAAAGAGGAGTTTATGAGGGAAGATGGAGGGGAGAGGAACTGACCGTACAAGTTGAACATTTCCAGCCTGCTCGATCTGTTATCATGTGCGTCCTCGAGCATATCTCCGTCATTGCCTATGTTACCCTGCATTTCTGCTGTTTGTCTTTCCTCTTCTTCCTGCCTCAGCTCTTTCCAGGCGTCTGGGAAATGCAAGCGAAGTGCAGGCCCGCCAACCCATTCCCGAAGCAGGATATGCCAGAGGTTACAGACCAACTGGGCATGCGCCAAGTCGTGGATGCTAAGATATTGAAGGACCAGATAGGTGCAGTCATAGTTCAGGTATAGGAAGGGGTCTGTGCTTTCATCGGACATATTTGAGTGGTTGGACATGGGCAAAGAAAATCATGGCATCTTTTCTGGGAGTAGTTTGGACATATGAATCAATTTATTGCCGTTTACAGCACAGCATTTCGTAAATTTAGGCTGAAAAGGGTAGTGTGCGACAAACAAACAATGGACGAGGCTTGCGTGGTCGCAGAATGCTTTGTTGACTTGCAAGCTTGACAAAACAATGTCCTGACCAACAATGATGAAACATGTTCCACGACTAACGTGCTTTCATCCCGCTTCAAGTAATTTGCTTTGCAGTTAAACCTGGGTTTAGGGGGAGATGTGTCGGTAGGACTCCTGGTCTTCAATGGCTGTCTTCACGGCCCCTGCAACCCCTGACCTCGTTGTTTGCTGGGCTCGAACGCATGAAAGCGGCATGACACCGAGAAATGGCTGGGTGTATGGCACGCTGTTTACAACTAAGCCCCGTGCATATGAAACGTCATGCGCTATTCTCGGATTACTGTACGTTCTAAAAAGTTCAGTATTTTAAATACGGGGGATTATCTCTGACAGTGCGTTGAAAGAGTAACATTGGATACTTTAAATATTTTCTTTGATATTTGAATGGTCGCCAGAACTGTGTGACGAATTTTCTAGCTACATTGATAGTATGTATTGTTTCTCAAACAATGCACTCTCCCTTTACGACTCTGCTTCCCATGTCTGTTTCTTCACATTGAGCTTTGCCCTCCGAGTCCAACAGAAAAACGTGCAACCACAGAATCCACGACAGAATACTCATATAATGTGCTGTAGAAACATCGGACAAGAATCCGGTTCATACCAGAGGACGTCTAAATCTGTCGGGCGCGTCAGACCCTCAACCTCAAAGCCCAAAACATCATACTCCAACTTGACCGGATAGCCTGGACGGGCAGAATAGACCAGGCAAAGCCTGTTCCCGAGAATAAAAACGCGGTTAATGATATCAATCTGCCTCCCCTCGCGGAGACGATAGGGTCTCTTGGTCTTGGTTTTTCCCACAAACAGACGCACCGGCCTAGAGTGGACACGGCGGACAGTAGAATTCAGAGCGGGAGGGTCCCTTGGAATCTCAACGACACGAGGGCACCCGTTGCCAACACCCACAGCAACAATGAACCGCCTGAAAGGGTCGATGTCGATCTTCTCCCTCTGCACGTCCTTCACCCCCAGCGCGGTGAGGTTAAAGGTTTCCAATCCGCGGTCCACAAAAAGCCCGTCTGCAGAGGGACTATACTCAAACGTATGACAACATCCCGTCCGTCTACCCAACACCGTCGTGTACTCGCTCACCATTGCAAACGCCTTCTCTCCAAGCCTGGAACTAAATGATATCGTAAGGCCGTCCCAGCCCTTGAACCGGATCGTCTGCAGCATATGCCCGTCAACGGCGTCAATTATTTCGAATTGACATATAGTAGGCCGCGGGGTCCCGTTGTCATTGTCGTCGTCCTCATCCCCGTACTCGCCCTCATGTGCAACGACATCCCACTGCAATACCACCATTACGTCGCGGCCTCCGAGACGCCAGATCCAGGTCCATCCGGGCCGGAGCATAGAGGCGGGTATCGATGGCTCAAAGGTGTAGACCAGGCCGCCAGTCTTGAGATCATAGACGTCCACGGTGCCGACGTCCATCCCGTGTCGAAACATGCGGTCCCAGCCTAGCGCGATCGGGGAAATCGTGTTTGTCTGTTGGTCGATCGCACGGTACGGCACTGCTTGCGACCAGATCGTCTTGCCCGTTTTGAGGTCGATTACGAACTGGCTGTTGATTTTGGTCGTGTTAGCTATCTTCGAGTTGTCTCGAGACTGGACATCGCACAGTCGCTAGTATATTGTAAAGGGGTCACATACCTGTACTTGAAATCCTCCAAGGAACCCTGCATCTGCGCCCGCAGACGCTGCGTGCTCTCAACAATAACAAGGTACCCGGCGGCGTGCAGCTGCACGGCAGCGAGGGAATGCTCGGGCACGACGTGATAGTCCAACATCTTAACGGGGTGAGGGCAGTGGTCTCCGTCCTCGTCGACTTGGTACCCCGCCCGGCTGCAGAAGAAATAGCCGCTTCGCATCCAGGCTACATAGTCGCCTGCCATGACGAGGGAGCCATCAAGGATGTGGATGCGGTACTCGTTGACACAGGTTGGCTTTCCTGAGGTCCAGCGGGCGGTTGTTGCTTGCTCGATGCCTAGATGGTGCACATTAGCGTCTCCCAACTCTCCATAGATAGGTTATGCTTTTGGCGAGGCGGAATGGAGGGGTCACTCACCGAATTGTCTGAACCTTTCCATCGCTAGCGGAATGTTGGCCTCGTCCGAGTCCTGTTCTCCATCCCCATGCCTTTCTTGCCCGTCGTCAATTCTCGGAAGATTCCGTGCCCGCGGGAAATTCATGTTCAGCCCACGCGCCGCAATCCAATCCTGGGTCTGGACCTTCCAGAGCCTGCATACCTGCTGGACGTGCGCCAAGTCAGAGGCAGGCATATGCTTGAGTACTGCGTTGATGCAGTCCAGGTTCAGTGCCTGGAAGGGGTCTGCTTTGGTCGTAGCTATTGTGTTTTGGTTTGTGGCTGTATCCTGCGCGACTCCCGTGGCTTTGGCGCTGGGTCTCGCGCTTTTGGATGGCTTTGCCATGGGTATGTTCTCAGGGGATTCCGGTTTCATTGAAGTTTGGCGTAGTTTGTACAGTACTCTTGTTGGTCAAGTGTTAAAACGTGGATCCAAGATGTACCTGAATGAATTTGATTCGGATGCAGCTTTTTGGTGGTAGGGTTTGTGCTACTTATATCTTGAACTAAGGAGATGTGGAGCATAAACAATTTTATTCACTTTTCATTCACTCCTGTTTATTCACTCCTGTTCCTTCACTCCTGTTCCTTTACTCATGTTCATTCACTCCTGATCATCCACTTCCCTGTGTGGGCAAGCCATCTGGTTAATGTATGCAGACGTCCCGCTTATCCTGCGCTAAATTCACTGGTCACTCGAAACTAATTGCATTAACAGCTTCGGGAGGGCTGCATGATCTTCTCAGCTCCTGTACTTCAAGCACAGCCCGTTTCCATCGATGTAGATCTTCGACACTGTTTTCCTTTTGGCTGAGTTGTGGGTATCCCAATTTTGCTGGGCACGCCTTGCGGCCCTGCTTACGAGTCTGGCTGTATGAACAGGGGTCCCAGATCCAGGACTAGTCTGTGGTGGTGATGGGTATATACGTGGAGAACCATCACAGCTGTCCGCAAAACAATGCCATTCAATGCGTCGATGGCGAACTCGTTTCCAAGTTACATTCAGCGGGACCACGTGTTCATAGCCCCTAACCTTAGCACCTTGCTGGACGGATTGTTTCTGCGAGGAATCGTGGAAAAGGTACTATATCTTAACCGCCATTAAGCAGACTGTGTAAAGGCGAAGCCAAGATGATCAGGCCGATCTAAGACGTGGACACCAACGCTCCTCTATACACCGTGAACCCGCCATGGTATAAATTTCCATTCAGGTCTGCAACCAGAGCTGGGACGGTTCGCATGATAATTAATATGCCGAGCTAGTGTTATTCTTGGCACTTTATGTAAAGTGTGGATGTATTTGTTAACTTCGGAGTCCTTGGAATACCAATCCAGTTGGGCGATTTTGGGAGTATCTCACTCTAGGTTAAGCACCCAAAAGCCAAGGGGTTGATGTGGAACGGACAACGGACCAGTTATTCCAAGATGAACTATTTCATTACCTTTATAAATCCGACATACGGGCTCGGGATGGGACTTTTAGTCTCAGGAAGTTTGAGTTAGTTACAGGAACAAAGGGTTGGTGTGATTCCTAACCAAGGGACTAATACATGTCCGTTACAGCTATTTTAGGTTCCTCACCTGGACTTGCAAAACATCTGCTACTCTGCAATATAGTTATATATCAATGCTATGCATGTCATGGTTATGCCTAGACAAAGGGGTGATACCTAATAATACAGTTATTTCCCACAATGCTCCCTGATTCCGCCTTCACAGTTCTCCTTGACCTGTCATATGTCATCAGCGTCGATATCTACACCTACATGTACGACGCCATTTACACTCACCTGCAAAAATCCCCATGACGACCGGTTTTACTGTACCCGACCGGGCAGTTTATTACTTTGCCGGGCTTGGTTAAATGTGAACTTGTGAAGGCAAATGTTTTGGCCTCTGTAGCGGGGTTTATTTTAGAGAGGGCTTCTCCGGAGAATTTTGAAAGAAATTAAAGATAGTTACGCCCTTGGGCCATTTGCATATATTATTGGGTTTGTAGTTGTTCTTTCTTTGCTGAACGGACAGTGATGTTCTGATAAAATATATATTCACACACTCCATTGGAAGTTTGGCTAATACACAGAATGTAAACAATCATACTCCAGTGGAACAGAACAGCGCATGAATTACTGTATGTGAGATCCGCATCATCAACTCCAGGTAGCGAATCGAGAAAATCCATCGGAGATAACTGCAAAGTGTTAAGGTTGGAAGTATCCAAATTCTTCTCGAGCGTGTCCCGGTGGGTCACCTGAGACACCAAGCCCTAACTCCCGACCGGCACGCTAGACCACCAGCAAAATGTAGACATACATATATCTTACAACAAGGGTTACTATTTATGAGAGGGCTGTCTCCAAGAGTCACTTTATGTCATGGTTTGAAGACATTACCCCTGAGTGGAGGGTGGGGTGCGATTCAACCACATGCACTCCATCTTCAAACAACCATCAAGCCCTAAAGAGTGCTCAAACGTACCCCGATGCATAGTACAAACCTTTGCAACAGTTCGACTTCTTCTTTCCACCATGATACAGCATTGCATGCACAACCGTACAATGGTTAGAGTCTTATTTTAACAGCGGGTTGTTTCCGCCTTTGTGCGTCCGCCTTCAGAGCCTTTGTCAAGTCACCATTCTGTTTCAACACCGTCCCGTATACAAAGGCCATGATGGTCATTGTTCTCCCAGCATCATGTATATAGATCCCCCAGCCAGAGACGATATACAAGATGAATCTTCCATCACGTCTCAACCAAAAACGACAGGTAACCTTTACTTTACTGATCGTAACATTCCTATCCATCCATCCATAAACACCATAATCACGAAACACATCAGACACCGAAGCCATGCCCCCGCAGAAGCGCAAAGCCCCCTACAAGACCTGGTATGAAAGGGACGCCGCCCGCACGGCGGCAAGAAAGCGCATCCGCCGAGAAAACGCCCTGCCCCGCAGCGACCCCTTCACCTTCTTCAGCGACAGCATCTCAGGCCGGATCCTGAGGCACCTCGAGGCCGTGCAGGACGTCGGGCGCTGCGAGCTGGTGAGTCGGCGGTGGCGCGATATTGTTGTTGGATGGGGGGTGAGGGAGTGCACGGAGCTGCTGGGGGAGCATCCGAGGGGCGTGAGACGGCAGGAGCATGTGCTTGGGCCTGTGGTGAATGAGCTTAGCGAGGACGAGGAGGATGATATTTTGGGGGCGGAGGATGAGTGGGTGGAGGGGAAGAGGGAGGGGGAGGATGAAAGTGATGTGGAGGTTAAGCCCGAGCGCCAGGATAAGGGGAAGGCGGTTGATCGGGCCGCGATCGAGGGTAGAGATGAGGATATGATGGATGTTGACGACGTCAATGTCAAGATTAGGGCGGAGAGCCCGGATCAGTCGGAAGGGGGGAGTGAGGCGGGGAATATCAGAGACCTTGGCGGCGTTGACGAAGATAGGAGGAAGTGGAGGATCATCAAGAAGGCCGGTGCGTATCCCCTCATGTTCATCCCTGGACTCCACAGAAGTCAAGGCTAATATCCCGAATGCAGCGGCCCGTTGGGTGTTAAGGCAGAAGCTCGTCTTCGGCGACGCCTCGTCCGGGAGGGCTTTCGATGGCGTGAACTGGATAGTCTCGGCCGGCGACTACATCGCCTGGTCGGACGGCCAGGACGTATGCTACCAGCGACTGGGCTTCGAGGCCAACGGGTCCCGCTACGAAGTCCGCCGGTTCCACACACATGGATGGTCCAACGAGCGGCCCGAGCTCTGGGTTAGCCCTTACGGCTACGTGCTCATCCGCGGATACAAGGACCGCGAGGGAGCGCTCGCCACCGTATGCATCCAGATCGACACCGGGCGGAGGATGTGGGAGCGGACCGGACCCGCGGCCCCTGCAGAGTGGGCGCAGCGCACGAGGAACATATTCGCCGTGACGGAGCACACGATCTACGAAATTGATTCGCACGACAATCGGCTTCATATGCTTGACCTCCGTAGCGGAGGGATCATCGGCGAAGCCCAGCTTCCGAACGATATGCTGACGCGTCTGCATCATCGGTGTAGCGCTGTGCGCAAGACACCAAGCGGACAAGACGTGATTGTCGCATTTGCCCCGGTCAATCGAGCGGTCGCTCGCCGCGGGCAAATCATGTGGACCCCCGCGCGGCGTCCAACAGACGCGAATCAGTGCGAAGTCCAAGGGCTCCAGACAATCAACCCGCTGACCGGGGATATGACCGAGCACTTCCCGGATGTCGTCGTATGGGGCGGATTCGGGAGGATCTTCCCGAGCTGGGAGAAGGAGAACGAGTTCGCGGTGGTCTCGCTGTGGTATGACGAAGAAAACAGAGACAACTACGTATGGTGGAAGATGGATTTCTTCCAGATCAATGACCGATCCCGTATTTCGCGGCTCCGCACTGAACTCTTCGCGTGCGACTCGACTCACTACGACGAGGTTGTCGGGAACAATCCCTCCACCGTCGACCCATATATGTGTCTCCTGTTCAGCGCGAACGCGGCCGACCAGTATCTGCCGTCCATTGTAGAGTTTGAGGCCGCGCCGGCCGACATCAATATGCCGGAGCCAATTCAGCGTGTGGCGGCGCATCTCCGCGTTGACCGCATCTGGTGCGATGACCGGACTATGAACATCTCGCTGCCGATGCGTCACAGGCGGGTTCAGGAACGCCTGGAGTTTGATATTGGTTACAGGCCTGGTAGGGCTGAGATGAGGCAGCTTGGCAAGAAGACCCTTGCCGTCTTTTATGCGCCTGGTTTCGATGGGGATGAGCGCGGGGATACGTATTTGTTTGATTTTCGGTTTCGGGCGCCCTTCTTGGGGGCAAATGCGTATCCGGGAGAGCTTTGAGGGTGCCTTTGACGTTAATTGAGTGTGTTTTGTTTGTTGTGGTTATTTGGGACTGTGAGATAGTTTCTACGTGTAAATGGTTCGGCCGGCCAGGCTGCTATATAATTTGTACATACAAATGTTTACCATATGGCCTTGTTGTAGATCTTCACTTCAACCACAATTCTAATGTCCGGCACACCTACGTATGTGATAAAGTACCGCAATCCGCGTGGTCGAAATAAGTTGCCTGCTTCCTGGTGTCTACCAAGTACACTGTTGAACAAGGGAGGCAGTGCGAATTACGAAGAAACCGAGCTTATACATTTAAAGAGCGACCGCTTGTTCTGAGCTCTGCGTTCGTTGTAATGCAAATGACGCTGGAACTTCTTCAAGGTGGCCTGGCAGGGTAAAATTAGCCCTAACTCCCGCCGCAGGTGACAATGGCACCAGACAATGGATACTTCACCAGGGCGGCCTCATCTTTGTCCCTTGAAACGAGATGAAAGATTGCTCAACATGGTTATGATTCAAATACAAACACCACTTGACGTTGAAGATGTGGAATTGCCCCGTACTGCTTTATTGGGTCAGGCGCCGAAGCACTCGGATATGTATCAGGTTCAATAAGCTGTTATGCCTATGCACAACGAATATGCTTTGTTATGGATGATAATAAACAGCATGGCCCTTTCTTCTTCGTTACACAAATATAAGAACCAGCACATCCAATTTGGCCTCTTAGAGCCTATTTACATTTTTCAAGCATCGGACTTTCAGAAACGGTCTTCAGTGGTAGAGGCCGAGCTAGGAGCCAAGTCAACAGCAAAGATTAACAACGCTCATGACCGGCGGGTTAAAGAATAAGATGGCCCCATCACCCCAAACCCCGACTAACGCCGTGCAGGACACGCGCACAGGCACAGATCCCATGCAAATCTTCCCCTTCGACATCAAGACCCTCATCTTCGAAGACTTCTCCGTCACCGATCTCGGTCGGTCCCAGTGCGTAAACCAACCCTGGCAAGCGTCCGTCCGCGAATGGATCGCCGCGCGGGGGCTGAAGAAGCATTTCCCTTGTGATTGGGCCAGGGTGACCGATAATGGTAATGCAGATAGGAAGGATCCCAAATATGCCGACGTCACGGCAAAGGAGTTCACTGCATGCGGTACGTGTCCCTTCTGACTTACACTAGGAACCACATTAGCTGACTTGACGATCCTGGTAAAGCCGCCGAAGACGCGCGATTCGAGAGCTGGACCTCCGCGCGCGCTGCTAGCTGGGCTGAGTACAAGCCCGAGAGTCATCGGCATTTCTGCGCCAGCGAGCGGTACTACGCGTGGGTTGACAACGGGTCGATTTTCTGGCAGCAGGCGGGATATCAACGGGCTGGAGCCGGACAGAGGATGCCCCACGACATAAGGAAGGTACCCGTGCCAATCCACGCAGCGGGTGTTGAGCGCCTGCTGGTCTCGCCCACGGGCATTGTGATTCTGACCGAGAAGAATCTGTGTGGAGAGATCGAGGTAAAGGCGATCGACCTGCACAGCGGGAAGAAACTGTGGACGGGCGAAGGCAAGTCCTTTTCACCCGCAATCCTCAAAGGTCGACCTGGCCAGAGTCCGCAGGACGGTATGACGCTGGGGTGGGAAACGTTCTGCCTTTTCGGCGCGAAGGCAACTCAGCTCAGGGTGTACGATCTCCGCACAGGCAAATGGCTGCGTGACCATTCCCTACCGGCATACAGTGTACAGGAAGGAGCCGTACAAGCGAAGATCCAGATCCACAAGCTCGCAGGTAAAGAGACTATAATCTGCTGGGGTGAGATCATCCAGAACCGCAATCGAATGACCCAGATCCTGTTCTTCGATGCCGCCACCGGGTCACGCACGCAAGACATCAGAACGCAGGTCCAGGCTAGCTCAGCAGATATAAAGCTGCAGTTCTCGACGAAGCGGCACGACCTCACCTTCGCAATTCTCAGCATCAGCCGGGCCGTCGTGATGGTCAAATACTTTGCCCCAGGCGCGGACGGCAAATACGAGGAGACGACAACGGACGCGCTCTCAATCGGCATCGATAACCTAGGCAGCATCACAAGCTTCGACAGTCTAGCCGTTGATCCCTTCCGCGGCTTCGTTGCTGGCACGACGAGCTTGGCCAATGTGCTTGTTCTCTGCCGCATCAAGCCTTCGGCTTTAACGGGGAACAGGGCGTTGAGGACAGAGGCGGGGCTAATGCTAAGACTCGCAGACTCTTCGGATGCAGGTCGTAGGTTATCGGGCTCCATTGAGGACGTTGACGGAACGAGGGTCGGGATTTGTCCGGGCCTGGTGGCGAAGGGGATGGTTGCATTGAGGGATAGGCTGGTTGTGCGCTGTGAGGAGAGCGACGGGCGTGGGGAGCCGGTGTTTGTGGTTTTCGAGTTTGGATTTTCTGGGATGGGTGATGACTTGACTACCGAGCAGGGGGAGTACTCTCAGGTTTTTGCGTAGCGGAGCTGACTTAATAGAGCCAAATAGGTAGGGTATAGACATTGCTTAGTTGTCTCTCCGTAGTATGGTATAAATCGGTGTCGGGGGAGGTGGTACAGTTTGATTAAGAGTTGGAGAAAATGAACAATATTGATGGCTTAGGACAGTCATTCTCTCGAGCTGCTGTTTCGAAATCAAAGAGAGTTGCAGTTTGCGTTATTGGTATACCATGTCACTTCGTACTTGCAGCCAAGTTCACCCCATTTCATCATTTTCTCGTGTTATCCTGGGTATAAATGCGATTAGATGGTCAAAATGCAACGCATATTTGGATTGTACAAGTTTAAATCTTGGTAGCGCAGATGGGTACTGTTTTGAGATACTGTTGGTTGTTCCTTCTTTCCATATTTTGTTTATTAGTGAAGGAGTGGCTGAAGCCCGGATCGAGTTCAAAATGCCAAGTCAGACGAAGCCTAATAGACAAAATATCTGTCAGTAAACTGTATCAAGTACAGTATAGGATAAACTCCCGGCCTTGTTTTGCTCCTACTCCTTTTAGTGCCCATTTGCTAAACACTTCACAAAGGTGTAAACAGTGAATGAGCTTTCAGACCCAGTCTCATTCACCAGCCGACAAAGAACTCCTGTTCTTTGAAACCTCACCTATTTAAACCCCATCCCGCGTCAAACCGGATAGGTCCTCTTATCTAGTACATCTCTTTCTCCTCTCTGTTCCATTTCCATTGTTACTCCCCGGCAGAAAAATGACGTTTGCAGTTTCCAAGCGCAGACCTAAGATCCAATTTCGATCTCAGAAAGGTCAGAAACCACGTAACTGTAAGGCCGTGTCCAATCAAGCAGAATCATACACGATGCAGTCCGCAGGGAGTGGCGAGATGCCATCCGCAAGCAGTGTCACGGCCACATCCGGAAGGAGTGACCCGCTCCGGCGGTTTAACTTCGACATCAACATCCAAATCCTGAGTCACCTATCGCTCTATGATCTTGGTCGGTGCCAGCAGGTCAATCCAGCCTGGAGAGACTTCATTCGAGACTGGATTGCGTGGCGTGGGCTGGAGAAGCATTTCCCTGGTGAAAGGCAGCGTGTCACGGGGACTGATGGCGAGTGCCTGGTTGATACGTTGTTGAAAACGTTCAATGAATGCGGTATGTCTCCCATTCTGGTGTTCGTCATCGTCTAGAAGGGCTGTACTAATCATATCGTTTTGTAACAGCAATCGATCGTGCCCTAAAAAGATCCTGGACCAACGGGAGAGCAGCCCGCTACAGCGAGTACCAAGACTACACCCACTTCTATGCGAACGAACGCTACTTGGCGTGGTATCATGACGGGTCAATCTTCTGGCAACGAACAGGCTACCTGGACGATGGTGACAAGTCGCCATGCCCTATCCACTTCATACCCGAGGAATGTACGGCTGATGACATTGAGTACCTGGCTGTTTCGCCATCGGGCGTTCTGGTTATGGTTGAGAGGTGCAAAGGGGACAAATATAGGTATCTAGCCCTAATCCATCCAGGGAACCTGAAGAAATCGGAAGGACAGTGTGCTAATTCAAGATTACAGGGAAGAAGTCACGGACCTTGAAAGCGGATGGACGCTGTGGTCCAAAACGCACGAGTTCCGAACACTGCATTTCAAACCCACACAGCTCCCAGTAGCCATAGGCTGGGAACGGCTTTACCGGTATAGCTCCTCCACGCTGCGAAAAGTGGAAGTCTACAATCTCCGCACGGGCGCCTATCGGGCTACAATCCGCCTACCCAGCAGCTTAGTCCCAGCGCGACCCGGGCTCGACAAAATGGAAATGCAAGTCTGCACTATCCGCGGCCAGGAAAGGCTCGTCTGCTGGGGCGAGAAGAGCCGTGACGCCCAAGGGAAGAACTACCGCGTCTACTTCTTCGACAGCCTAACAGGCGAGCACACACACAAAGTCAATGCCAGACTAGCCATGGACCCGGCAAACCTGCACAACACGCCGGCAAAGCTGATATTTTCTCCGCAGCGACACGAGACCGAGTTCGCGCTTACCACGCACGACCGGAATACCGTGTTAATCAAGAAATTCGCCCTGGGCTCCGACGGCATATTCACAGAAAAGAGCACGGACGTCCTCTACTGCGGCCGTCGACCGCTGGACAGCGCCGGGATTGCCGTCGACCCCTTCCGCGGCTTCGTTATCCGTGGTGGAGATCGCCGCTGGCATCTGCGTGTTTGCCGTATCAAGCAGACGCCGCCGAGGAGGGCTGCACACATCAATGCGCATACGAATCGTGCGGTGAATTTGCATATTGAGCTTGGCCGTCTGATCAGGAGACCCTCCGTAGTCCCCAATGGGGATGGTACTCGCGATCCGGTGTCATTTGCGGTTGGGATTGGGTTGCTGCAGCTGGACAAAATGGTCATTACCAGAGACAGGCTTTTTCTCTTTTGCTGTAGTGGTGGCTTGTCTTTGCCTTCGGCGTGCTGTGTGTTTGACTTTGGGTTTCTGAGCCAGCGTGATCTGGAGAATAAGGAAGGGGAGCTTGCTTTGACTTTGATGGACCGGACGATTTGAGCTTGAAGGTCACTTTGGGGGGCTTATTAATTTCTTTTCAGGTTAAGAGGTACCTCGTTATAGTACACATCGGAGAATAATAACTGAAAATCAAGGTAATCGCAAAGTGGTGTTACGGATTCTAGTCGAGCGCTTAACTTTGAATCACACTGATTTGTGAAGATGGGCGTTGCTTTGTAAACTGCAGATGGGCAGACTTCAGGGCCAGTGGGTATTGCGTCAGTGTACCAGGCGGATAAAGAAAAATAGGACAATGGCAATTCAATAAAGATGGGCCATTATTATCGCATTGTCATCTGCAACAACAGCTAAGTACCAACAAAGGCGACTGAAAGCTGTCTCATGTGAAAGGCTTTATCATGACGGAATATAAATACAAACCAGAATCCTGCTCTACGCGAGCACCCTCCTGATCCATCTGAGTTCATCCAAGTCACCATCACCTGCTTCTACTTGAAGCTTTCCATTGCCTCGTCACGACTTATTAGAGAGTTACTTGGAATGAAACCACATACCACCATGTCTTCTCACGGGAAACTCGACCCTATCCGGGCTCTAAACTATGACTGCACCAGTTTAGTGTTTGACCACCTGAGCTTATCAGACCTGACTCGCGTAGAGCGCGTTAGCAAAGACTGGAAAGCCCGGCTGTATGCTTGGATGGCCAACGAGGGGATTGTTAAGCGCTTTCCACATGCCTTGCCGGACAAGCATTCAGACGCGGAGGCAGGAGAACAAGATGTTGTGAAAGTGAAGAGATTCAAGAAATACGGTAAGTGGTCTACCCCCATTTTAATTACTCCCTATGATACAAGAACTAACCATCCTATATAGTCATCGAGGGAACAAGTACCGAGAGACTGGCGGCAGGGAGGGCATTGAGCGTCAACACATATACCGCCGCGGCCTTTCCCTCCAACAACTTGCCACTATTGGCAGGAGACTTCGTTGTCCTGGGAAACAACGTCAGCATCTTGTGGGACCAGATCGGGAACCGAGAAGAGGCCCGCCGCGATATCAACACAAACCACGCCCTCCAGCCGATCAACCTGAACAGCCTGCGTTTCCATACCGGTCCTGCAACGGCACCTTACCGAGATCGCTGGACCGTGGAAGGGAGAAGACTGCACGCTGCTGGGTTCTTGCACTTTGAGCTTAGCGAACCCCAGGCTGAAACCTCCTGGTATGTCCAGCCCCAACCAGTCCTTTCCTAATCACATCTCATCGGGAGTCGGTTTTATGTCTCAAGTTTCATTTTGCTAACGGATCACAGGGTATATATGCTTGAACTTGAAACAGGGAACGTGTTATGGTCCCAACCCAAGTCCCCGACGTCGGCTCTCACGATACCAATTGCAATGGGATGGAAGAGAATCTACTACTACGGCCCCCAGACAACGGACTTGGAGGCATATGACTTGAAGACTGGCGCGCTGCTCTACTCGCGCCGCTCATTCTTCCCAAAGGCTCTAAACATATGGCACGATCAGATCTGGCGCGTTGGGGGACGGGAAGTCTTCGTGGGGATATCCTCTGAAGGGAAACAAGACAAGGGAACTATGCCTGTGTCTATGTATCTTATTGACGCGGAGAGCGGGGCCATCATCCAGGTGATCACCTTTATGCAGTACTGGACCCCGGGGTTGCGATATGACCCGCTCCTGACGCTGAAGGTGTCCACGCGACGCAACGAGCTGGCGTTTGCGTGGGTCAGTTACAACTCTGCACGGACTCTCGCCATGATACACACGTTTGACTACGATCGCGTCAATGGAGAGTTTGTGGAACGAGGCCTCGAGGAGATTGACCTCGTTGCGCTCGGGGTTATCAAAAGGCACGGGCTTCGTAGCAGAATTGACTGTGATCCATTCAGAGGAATTATTGCCTCCGCAAATATCGACGGTGGAAGCGTCTGGATACATCCACTTCGACTTGGTTCTATGGGAGACGATGCCCCGACCCAGTCTACTAAGATTATCCTAGACAGAAACCCAAAAGAGGATTTTTCCATTGGCAAGGGGGGCACCAATCCACATGTTGTATTGGACGATTTTCGATTGGACAAGATCATCATTGCAGGCAACCGGCTTTGCTTGAAATATCAGCTTAATTATGGGACTCCTGGGACGGAYACTGAGAATGAACTTGCAGTTTTGGACTTTGGGTCCCCGGGAAGTTCGGCCCTTGATGAGGGAGCCTTCTGTCTGCATTCGCCAGATAGTGTGTAAATTTCCTGTGTTCAGGTCGTGCCATTCCAAATACCTACACTCGTTTAGTGACCAACATCGGTGTTGTCAAGAGAAACTAATATCAATTTGTATAATTCTCCCTCAATACTTAAGAAGAATCGCCAGTACTACAAACTCAAGTAATCTTTTAGATATCGTAACTCCATTCGAAAAAGCCTCAACCTAATTCTTGAGGAGCCAAGGACCGTGCAAGTGACACAGCATAAGTAGATTTGAACAAATGTACCACACGAGGAAAATTCAGGTCCAAACTCGGTCACAAGCAACAGAGTGTACGTATTGATACATATATAGAGTATAAAACTACGGAGCGGCGGACATCAGGCGACTGTGTAACAATTGGAACCAGACCTAGACTGGATCATGGAGGTAGGAATAACACAAACAGTATCAAGCAGACAAGCCATATTCCACGGAGTGAGGACCACACGATTAATCAATGAATGTGCTATTGACCTTCCAGCATTACATTTTTCCATCCATGATCTGTGTTCGCGCTAGTTGTACCTGGTATAGATTTCTTAACCTGTATTAGGCAAAAGAATCCATTGGGGCACAATGGATACAATTGCTCAATAACCTGTCTTTTTGTGAATGCCAACAAAGAAACCCATTATCAAGTCACTTCTCATTGTCCCTTTCACGAATGTCTTCCCAAGAACAATCCAGTACATTGTCAATATAAAGGCCTTTGTCAAGGCAGGGACATAAATCAGCGTCCAACCCCGCGGGGTACTGTTCCTGCAAACGGACAAACGCAACACTGACGAGATCAGATTTCATCAGTCCATCATCAAGCCTTATTGATCTACCAGCAGCATTCGCAAGCATCGCCTGCCAGCGTCAACCATGGCTACTAGAAGGATTGACCCTTTCGGGTTCCTCAATTATGATTGCACCAGCTTGGTGCTTTCCAACCTTACCCTCTACGACCTTGCCTGTGCGCAGCGGGTAAGCAAAGATTGGAAAGCATTGATCGAAGACTGGAGCTGTAAGCAAGGCTTCTTGCAGCATTTCCCAGATGTACCACCCACCGAGAACAGTGCTGCTCCTGGTCAACAACAAGGCACAGGATCCGAAGCAACAAAAGATGAGAGAGACGCGGAAGTTGCAAGGTTCAAGAGATACAGTATGTCTTTCCCCCACTGAACGAACATATTTCATCGAAACAAACTAACGCAGCGGTCATAGTGATTGAGGGAACATGCGACGAGCGATGGGCGGCAGGCCACGCCTTAAGCGTGCAGGAATACACTGTTCATGGCTCTGTTCCGCAAGCAATAGGGGATTTCCTTGTGCTCCAAACCGCGGACACTATTTTGTGGGACCAGGTTTGCAGGCGAAAACAGCGCCGGGGAGACTCCTCGCTGCAGCCGATCAACACCAACAGTCTGCGCTACAACACCGGTACTGCCACAACGGCTATGAAGGTTCGCTCTAGGATGTTGCACGCCGCAGGGCTTTTGCAGTTCGATTTACAGGAAGATCTGCCCCTGAATACCGGCAGGATCTGGTACGTACCCCCTTTCATGGAAATATCCTACTTGATAACATCAGCTAACCGTCATCGTATAGGGAATACATGGCCGAACTCGAGACAGGGAAGGTCCTTTGGTCGAAGCCCAAACCGACGATAGCCTATGGCGGCGGCCGAAACCATCACTGGTCGCCAGTCGCAACTGGCTGGGATCGGATCTACTACTACGGCGACAACAACCTAGACATCCAGGCGTTCGATCTCAGAACAGGCGCGCTGCTCTACACGCGGCAAGAATTCGTTCCGAGAAAAGAATTCTTCTCCTATTCCATCCTGCAGTGCTGGCGACTGAACGGGCGCGAGGTTCTCGTGACCTATGTTAAATCAAATACCCGCAATGATGGAGGGCAAGAAGAGTGTAAACTGTGCTTCGTGGATCCCGAGAACGGACAGACCATACAGACGATCCCCTTCGTCAAATTCAGAGGGCCCCTTGATATCAAGGTTTCTCACCGCCGCAACGAACCGGCCTTTGCCTTGCTCAGCTACAACAGCACCGGGTCGCATCCAGGTGTGGTCAAGATTCAGACGTTTGATTATCACCGGGCCACTGGGATGTTCAGACAGAGGGGCATTGAGGACATCGACCTTTTTGCGCAGGGGGTGTACTACAATAACGAGATAGACTGTGATCCATTCAGAGGGATCATCGTTGCCGCCGATGGGCCCGCCTCCATGCGTTCGGCGTCTCACGATCCTGATACCACTGGGGCGCCTATCCGGATCTATCCACTCCGACCCGGTCAAGGGTCCACGAACCCAAGCCGGTGCAAGGAGTTGGTTGTGGGCACGGACACCAAGGAGTCATACCGCATTACGCAGGGACGTGGAAACATCGTGAACTCCTGGATCTGGTCGCTCCGTATCGCGGGTAACCGGCTTTTTGTAGGCTATAGCTTTGCCTCCCTCAACGGAACCGGTGACAGGATAAGGACGGACGAGATTGCTGTCTTTGACTTTGGAACTCCGGGGAGTTCGGCCCTAGGTGAGGGCAAGTGCTGTCTGCATCGTGCGAGCGGGTTTGGCATGAGGTTCCGTTGATTTTGTGTGTTGTTCTCCATTTGATTTCTGTTCATTCGTTTTTTCTTTTTGTTTCTATAGGTGTGAGTTGAAAATGAATGTACTGTGGCTTTGCTAGCAATTTGCACTAATTACCGCCGTAAATAGACGACCATCACTGCAACAGGGAATAATCAAGCCTGTGGATCCATTGGAGACCGATTAAGTGTGCTATGATTGGAAGGCTGTTTTCAATGCTTTAGTCAGTGTCCTCGGATGCGCTGTGAATGTTTAGACCTGCAAGGGAAACATGTATTTTTGTGTAGTTGCTCGAGTCCAGCAGCATAACCTTCTGCAAGAGCCAACAACAAGACCTCATGGGGAGACGATGATAGACTTGCCTACACTTCACTGTCTCCGCTGTCTGAGATTGCCGTACCCTGATCTTCCTTATTTCTTCAATGTCCAATAAGTTCATAGCGACCGGGCCTCGAAGGTATAACAAGGCAATGCACATTCTCGAGTACCTAGGTAGACGACAAAAATAGCAAAATCGTTGCATAGGGTGAGGGGACATCTGTGCAAGGCTTAATGGAGGTTGCAAATCCTCCTAGGCAGGAAACAGGGAAGAGGGGGGCTGAAACGGCGGTGGTATGCTACCTGTGCTTGAATATCTGCTTCGTTTCAGCTGGTGTGTGTGTTCTTAACTTCAGCAACGGCCCCAGCACGACAACATCCCTGACAATATGGTAGACCATCTGCTAATGACTGTATGTGGGCCCACATCTAATCCTACATAGGTAGGTGCATGATAGAGTACCACAACTAGTAACCCCTCCAGTTGGGTACATGCTATGTTTACATGCACCCTTTGTGTATACGTTAAAGAAGTACCACGAAGCCTGGCTGGGTAATACCATGGTCTTTGTCCTCTTATGCTGGAAGGGAGGGGCCAGTAAGTGCCTTTCACGTAATTCCTTTTTCATACCTCTTCATAAAGAATTCACAATGCATTGTTGCAACAGTCACATGTCCCTTGACAAGGACTGCTCACGGCCTTCCATCAGAATAAACACTTGAACAAGACATCAATACCCTCCCGATCCCAGCGCCTGGATGATTCACAGAGCGTTTCCATATTTCTACCCACCCCATTCACACGTGGACTTTCGTGGCACCATCCCCAGAACAACTGCTCACTGTCGCGCTCACCCCTACCAAGCGTCCCTTCAGACTGAGACCAGTTCACCTCACGCAATGAATAGACTAAATAACACCCTCTTAACTCTGTCGACCCTGCCAAAGGCTGACCCTTTCGACGTTCTCAACTACGCCTGCGTTTGCCTTGTTCTTGAGAACTTGCACACCAGGGATCTCCCCTGCGCTCAACAGGTGAACCAGAATTGGCGCTGGCAGGTAGTCGACTGGATTCGTACGAGTGGAGTACGCAGGCATTTCCCAGACGCGCTGCCAGAGAAAGGGGATAAGGTCGATGCACTGGACAGGTACAAGCGATATGGTAAGGCTTTCAATTTCTTTCAACTATTTCGAGACGCCCACTAACCTATCAACTCCAGTGAACAAAGGAGCAAGCGCCGAAAGATGGGTCGCGGGCCTAGCAGTGAATGCCAATGGGTACCAATTGTTTACAGAATTCAGCACCGCTAGCGAAGGGTTGTGGGCTGCTGGCGAGTATATTGGCTACAAGCAAGGCCGCAACCTCTTTGGGGCGCGAGTTGGATGGCGAGGTGAGGCAGACTCACATTCAACCCAGACGTCTTACTCAGTCCAAACGCTGGAGACTGCTTTTCCGCCAGGGTTGTCCAATCCCACCACAATGACGGTGCACGCGAGAGGATTGCTATACGTTACCAGGAGAGACGGCGGTCCTACAGAACGGTATGTAATTTCTCCTCCACCCCTACTCCCCCTTCAACGATTGCGGTGTTCAAAAGCTAACCGGGCGTCCATTATTAGGTACAGGCAAATTGTCTGCGACCTCATGAGCGGGGCTATTTTATGGTCTGAGACGATTACGATTTCGTTTAACGTGGAGAGAACGTTTGGCTCGCGCCACAGTCCGCTTGCGGTTGGACGCGACAGAGTATATCAACGTACGGCTAACAGGTGTGAGCTTCATGTACGTGATTTGAGGACCGGGGCCCAGCTGCACACGGTGCCCATAGACACCCCGAGGAGAGAGGGATTCAGGACACCTTCCTCTGGCGACTCGAGGGGCGCGGGGTCCTGGTGCATCTATCATACGACGAGAACTCCGTGGACAACTTCAACTATGGTTATGAACGCGATTGCGAAGGCGAGGGAAACGGCACGTTGTACTTCATCGATACCGAGACCGGGAAGATACTTCAGAAGCTTACCTTCGACTGGTCGCACGACTCTATCCAGCACAGGTCGGTTCTGGCCAAAGTCTCCGATCGACGCGATGAACTGGCCTTTGCTCTCGTGAGCTATGATTGCAAGCCGCATACATCGCCGCTCACGGCCCGGATCCAGACATTCGACTACAGCTACAAGGAGAGGCAATTCGTGGAGCGTGGCTTGGAAGAGATCGATCTAAAGCGCCTGGGCGTGAGTGAACAGAGCGATGCCTTCGATTGTGACCCGTTCAAAGGCATCGTTGTCGCTGCGGACCGCGCAGAGGGCTGTCCTCGCATCTACCCCCTTCAAACTACCGAGACCAGTGATTCCATCAAACCTGTCAATATCTTTCTCTACGGCGACCGAGAGCGCCCGGTGCACCCGACGGAGGAGAATCCATCCACACATACAAATTGCTTTCGTCCAAGATTCAAGGTCAGCCAAACTAAACAACTGTGCTAATCACTGTCCATCCTATAGCCTTCAAGTTTCTGTTAGGCTGGGAATCTGTCCAAATGCACGCGATTTAGGTTATCTAGAAATTACGGTAGCTTGGTGACAATCAACTGATGTCTTTTGCAGTTACCGTTCTAGTAATGTAAGAAATGTAAAGATGCTGGCTTGAATACACTGTCTTCTTCTGCCATCTTGCGCTTACATTATACATCGTGAATGATTTGATCACTCCGAAGTGGATTACTGGAGTAAGGGCAGCCATGTCTCACCTCGTTCACCTTGTGTTCATTGACTCTGTTTCACCACAGCGCCACCCCATTAGGAGACATAATGAAGGTCCTTTCAGTTCTCAGACATGGACAAAGGCCACTTATTACGCTTTGAAACAATAGAAGCCTTTGTCCTATAAGGCATCCATACATAAACTGCGCGATCGCCAGGATATCCCTCTATAAAGAGCCAACCACGTTGATCTTTCCAACTGTTACCAACCTACCACTTGACGCCACCACATCCACCATCAGCCATTGAACAACTACAACATAGCAATGGCGAGCGAACAGAAGATGAGCGACCCCATTCAAGCCCTGAACTACGACTGCATCGTTCAAGTCCTAGCCAACCTACCTCCTAAGGACCTCATCCGCGCCGAGGGTGTAAGTAAAGCCTGGCGGGAACAGGTGCGTGACTGGATGAGCGGACTTGGAATGCGAAAGTACTTCTCAGACGCGTTAATCACAGAGAAACGTGGAGAGGAAATCGACGTCGTGGGACGGTTCAAGAAGTATGGTAAGTCTGCCGTTTTATTATAACAATCTACACGTTCCCATTATGCACGACATGAATACTAACAGGCCTGCTTTAGTCATTGAAGGAACCTGTGCTGAGAGATGGGCTGCACGTAAGGCCAATCATGCAAATGAGTACACCGTACCTTGGGAGAGGAGCAGCCGTATGCAGGGGCTTCACACAGCGGGCGACTACATCGCGTACATGCAAGGCGGCCAACTCTTCGGGGCCCGCCTTGGGTACCATGAAGGCGCCGACGGGACTCCAACGCCGTATCCTCCTCAAGTGATTGATCTTATGAACTTCACGCTTGATGATATCTCGGATATACGAGTGCATGCCTCCGGGTTGGTGATGCTTCTGATGGGCGACTACAGACCCTGGTAAGTTCCGATCATTTATCTAATCCCTCATAAAGAATGCCTGCGATAAATGCTAACCAATAACTTTGTTCATGACCACTATAGGCTACAAATGTTCAGCATCGAAACCGGGCAGCGCCTCTGGTCTGTGGCAATCGCCCTGCACCTTGGCAGACAAAATTACAATCAAGTCACGCTCGGATGGGAAAAGGTGTACCAGCACACGAGGGATATGTCCATCATCGATGCCTACGATATCCGGATGGGACAGCTCGTAAACTCGGTGCACACAAGCCTGAAAGTCACCGCAACCTGCTTGCCCGGGCAGGCGGCTGTTGTGTGGCGAATCCAGGGACGCGAAGTCCTGGTCACGTTTGACTCCGTTGCTCGTCGCGATGAGAAGGAGCTCTACTTTGTCGACGCTGACACCGGACAAACCCTCCAGATCATCGCATTCAAACACGAATTGCTCCGCCTGGCTGTTTCGGACCGCCGCGACGAACTGGCCTTTGCCCTGATAACCACGCCGGCTTCGGAAGGCGACGAGGAATTACCGATGCTGCGCGAGATTAGGAGGTTCCACTACCAAGCCGCGGAGAAGAAGTTTGTCGAGCAGAGCAACGCGCACATTGACTTGGGATATTCCAGGCTGAGTCAAAATGATGTCTTCGACATTGACCCGTTTAGGGGACTCATCGTTGCAATGGATCTTGATGGTCAGTTTCCCATTGTCTATTCGCTTGAATCATCCAGCAGATCAAACACCCTCACCTGCACACCACCTGAACGATTTGTTGTGGAAAGCAAAGATACAGATGTATCTGGCGCTGTTGGGGAAGGAAAAGCGCTCAAGGCGAAAAGGGTCAATATTGTAGGGAACAAGCTGTTCATCTACTACTGGGACTGGAGCTTGCCTGGCACAACAAGATACGGCCTTTTGGACCAGAAGGTTGTGGTTTTGGATTTTGGATCAACAGGAGGGTCGCCGATGGACTTGGACGATGCCACTTGCCTGCACCACCCAAGCGGTCTTGCGGAATTCCGCTAGTGACGCTGTTATTCCAAGGCTTAGGTATCCAGATGCACTTCCAAGTTCTGTCCGGTCCGCCTATACACTTTTGTTGTGTGTTCCTGTGCATGCCTTTACCTCGCCCAGATCACAAGAGTCTTTCTTAGTTTCAATAGTAGTCTCAATTACTTATTGTTATGGTTTCAAATGGGCTTGACCTCTCCTAACATTGCCTGAGTAAGGCTCTCATGTACACCGTTTATAGTCACTGTTATAATGTTCGGGACAGGTGACTGGCTCCTCCCCCCGCGCTCACTTCAGGCATTCAGATCTTTTTGAGTCGCTGCACTGTCCTGATCATGATGGCATACCACAATGTGCCTTCTATTATAAAAGTCCCCTGGATGGACTAAGAAGTCTGACAGGATCATAATATGCGAACTTTCCACCAAGTTGACCTCACTACGGGGATCTATCTAACATACTTGTTTACATGCGGAAAAAGCTGGCGGCGCGGGGGTCTTCAAAAGCTTTCGCTCATACGGTCAGGATGTTTATCTACGGTTCAACATTGTACAATGGTCCCAAGCCCTAATATCTCACGTAGTGGTAAGGCCCCATTAAAGATACAAAATGATCGGGTTGGGGGCTGCACGTCGCGTATAATACAGTGCCTGATAACATTGGGATGTTTCATGAAGTGAAGACAGTAGATCTAGCGACTGGCATGAGGATAAAAGGTAACAAACAAAATAGTTAAAAAAAGTCCTTCCGGTATAAGTTCAGGACATTAGTTTTCAGCGGATATCCATTCTGTCTCTCGTCCGCTTGAAACAAGTGTAATATATGTCACCCAGAGGCATCTTCAACAAACATCTGCTCACCAAGTTTTATTTACATCTCGGAAGGTAACACCCATACCGCACCTGGACAGATGCCCCGTGAACGGGATTCAACAGGCAGGACCGGCCTCGAGGTTTCGAGCGGAAGCAGCGACCACGACACTGCCGTGACCTCACCAGGGCTGAATAAAGACGCTCTGTCCCCTTGTGCAAGATCTCTCTGCTCAAAGCCTTTATTCTCATTGTCCTCCTCATTGTGCTCCTTCTTCTTATCTCCATTGTCCCCGACAATGGAGTCCTTTGTTAATGGTCTTGCAGTTCATGAAAGAGTCACCCCATGCGCAGTCCCTCTTGTCATCACGAGATATGGTATATATTCAGCCGTAGTCCCTGTTCAGGACACCTTCCACGCAAGCCCTCCAACCCATATCATCTGCCTTCGTCAACTACCTCTAGGTACATTGCACGAATAAAGAAAGCTATCCACCCTCAACGATGTCCTACTCCAAAGGAAACAACAAGCCTGCCCAGGTTTCAAACATGGACTTTCTAACTCGCGCATTCCAGCGTCTGGCGATCCAGGACAGAAGGCCTCCCCAGGCGTTTAACTTCGACTGCGCCAGTCTCATATTCGACCACCTGGCCATCGAGGATATATTCCGCCTCGAGCGTGTGAGTAAGACGTGGCGAGACTACGTGAGGGACTGGATGTCGGGGCCCGGTATGCACAAACTCTTTCCAGATGCTATACGCGCCAACAGCGAGGCTGGAGCTGGTATAGGTAGCGGAAAGCGGGCAGGAGGTGCCGACCCCGCTGACAGATTCAAGAGGTTCCGTAAGTCAATTCATGTCTCCAGTTCATTTGTTCATAACTTTCCCATGACTAACAACTTCTGGCTTTAGTACGCGAGGGAACATGCAGCGAAAGGTGGGAAACTGGCCGCGCTAACGTTGCAAACGAGTATGTGTGTTCCAATGTGCCACACCTGCATAGTAGCTCTCCTGGCATTTATACCGCGGGCGACTACCTTGTCTACACAAGCGGATGGCACATTTTCGGGACACGCCTGGGACAGGAGAAGGGCGCAGGTGGAACTCCATCGTCCTACCCAGTCCGTGAGCTGGACGCCGCAAATGCCAACCTTCGACGGGCTGGCGATGTGCGTGACATCAGGGTCCACGCCTCAGGCTTGGCTGTTGTCTACAACAACAGTGTCCATAATCACTGGTATGTACTTGTAACTCCCTCCTTTCATGCTTTGGACAAGATCGCTAACCCCCGCGCGCAATACAGTTGGCAGACGTTCGATATCAAGACCGGGAATATGCTCTGGACTACAGCGATCCCCCAGTATATTAATGCTCGTGACTACAACGTAGCCCTAGGTTGGCATAGGCTTTACCGGTTCGACAAGGATCTGTCTGTTCTTGATTCCTATGATATCAGGACGGGGGCACTGGTCTCCTCACAACAAACGGGCCTAATCCTTGAACCAACCTGGGGAACCCGGCAGGGGGTCATCTGGCGCCTTCAAGGCCGCGATGTCCTGGTCACAATTGACGCCCGCCAGGTCGACCCCTCCGACACCCTATCCAAGAAAAAGATGCTTTGCATCATGGACACCGAAACGCACCAAATCATCCAGCGTATCCCGCTCGAACACGCCAACGCCCCCCGGCCATACCAGCAACGTTGCGGGCCCCTCGTGCATGTTTCATCGCGCCACGATGACCACGCCTTCGCCGTGATAACCGCCGGCTGTGAGCAGGACGGCGCTGGAATGCAGCAGGTCCGCACGATCCGAACGTTCCAGTACCACGCACGGGAGGGGAAATTCAAGGAGCGAACCATCGAACACGTCGACCTGCGCGGTTTCAGGTTCTCCAATCGCACGGCCTTCGACATCGATCCGTTCAGACGATTCCTCATCGCCCAAGATTCGAGCACTGGTCGTCTGTGTCGATACCCGACGCCCTACGTATTCGCCGCCAGCCCGCATACTTTGCCCCCCGTGCCTGCTTCGCCGCTCCCTCTCTTTGTGGGAGACGACACCACGACCCCGTATCCCGTCGTGATGAACCCGCCTAAGCCGGGCGCCACGGGCGCCACTTTCGCTTCACCCTGGAAGGCCAAGGTTATGCGGAACCGGCTATACTTGTATTACTGGAAGAAGCACTCTGACGATGGTGTGACGCTTCGCGCCAACACCAGAACCGTGGCGCTGACTTTTGGGTCCTCTGCTCCGTCGATTCCGGACCCTGAAGCGGCCACATGCCTTCATCACCCTGATGGGCTGGCTGAGAAGGAAATGTGATTGTTGGTATGTATTTCCCGTGTGTGTTCTATTTTTCATTCTGTTCCTTGCCTTTCGCGTCCCTCGTTTTCGTCCGACCTTCTATGTGTTTTTCATGCTTGTCCATTTTAATCACCAATGTCAGACTGTACTTCCCGCTATTACAGCAAGAATCCTTTTTGTAACGTAGTTCGTTTCCTATGCCTTGAATTTTGTAGGTATATTGAGTCGAGCTCGAAGAAATTTCAACCATACCTGCTGGCTCGAGTTATGTACTTTGCGTATCCTAAGGTAATGCCATGGCTGAGCCCACCCGTACCTCAAGATGGCATGAGTAGTTATTTGACATGAAGACCATACCACTGGGCCGAAGTGTCCACCATAGCAGATTACAAATATAATGTACATTGACATTTCCATATCGAAACTGGACGAAAGCTAAAGTACAAAAGATCTATCCAGAAAAGACATATATAAGCCGAAGCCCTAACTTAACCACCAACTCCAGCAAAGCAATGATAGATGTTTTGATGTTAAATCACCGCTCCTCCAACGTCTTCGGATCCGGATTCACGCCAATAGCACTCGGAACCCGCGCCTTGAAATCAAACAGGACATAGTGCTGCCCTTGCACATCACGAACCAACAACCTACCCTCCCCAACCCACCTCAAATCACAGCCTCGAGCATCATCCAGCAGCGAACCCGCACGGAACTCGCCACGCTGCCCAAGCCCCTGCACTGGCGGAACCGTCACAGGCACGCCGATAGGAATAGCCTCGCCAGCAGCGGGAACAAGACGCAGCCATCTATCCGGCTGGACAGAATCATCCGCCTGTCCGCCGTTCGGATCCTCCTCAACCGCCATGAAATGCGGCGTCGCGCCATCGGCATAGCCCTGCTCAGCGGGGTTCCCTAAGATCGCAGCAACATAGGCATAAGGATCCAGCGCAATACGGCCAACCGCGCGAAGGGGGATCCCGCCGCCAGCCGCCGTCCCATTCGCCGCTACCCTGACAACCTCCAACGACACACTCCCGAACAGACCCGTTCTCGGATCCTCCCTGAACCTCTCAATCCGGAAGTCCCAGCGCCGGAAATTCTTCGCCTCAGAAACGACCGCGAATTCACCACGCCGGTCTGGATCGTCGCAGACAACAAGCCGCTTATTGTCCAGCACCGGCTTCAACTCCACCGTCTGGATCACAGCACCCGTGGCACCAGACCGGATCTGAATCCCCTGCATCTGCCATCCCACCCCCGGAATCAGGCCCTGCCCCCACGTGACAAAGACCTCGTCGCCGTTTTTGCGCGTGAGCAGCGCGATGTCGTTGCGGGTGACGAAGGCCGGGTCGTGCGGGAAGGGGACGCGGAACGCCTGCACGCCTGTCGCGATGTCGCGCGCGATCAGGCACCGGGTTGCCGTGTTGATGCTGTTCTCGGCGTAGTAGACGTTCCTGCGGCCGATGGCGACGGGGCGGACGGGGTTGCAGGGGCCGTGGAACTGGCGCCAGGCGACGGTGCCGGTTCGGGTGTTGTAGGCGGATCCGCTGCGTCCACAAAGTAGCACGTTAGACAAGACATGTTCGGGGATGTGTGGGCAGATCAAGATGCATGTTGGATTGGAAAACGTACCTATGCCCCGTAATCGGCGCGCCCCTCGTTCGACCCCGGCATGCAACCCAGTGCACGACGTAGCCGGTCGCGCCCGCCAGCAGGAGCGGCACGTCCTCGGGTCCAGCGGCAAGGGGGACGGACGTTACATCCTGTGTGTTTTGGGGTTTCCCGGTGGCTGTGTCGAAGGCGAGGTTCTGCCAGCAGACGTTGCGGCCCTGGGCGGCTGTGTAATTGGAGTGCCAGGCCAGGAGATCGCCGTGGATACTCGGTTCCACGGCGTTGTGTCGCGGGTACGCCGAGGCATCGGCGTCGTATCTGCGGACGCAGGTTGCTTCGCCGGCGGCCGTGCGCTGGCGTTGCATGTATCGCGCCACTACATGAATATCAAGTTAGCAAACTCCACACGGATTTCATCAGGGTCCTGTGGAAGTGTGATGGATGGACATACAAGCCCGCCTCATAATCCCCTCCCTCTCCGCAGGCGTCTTCGCACCCGAGATATCAGGCCTCAAGCCCTCAGGGTAGCACCATCTCGCCTGCGCAGAGCAAACAAAGTGGCGGGTCCAGTCCCTCCATGCGCGGTTCAACTGCATCATCGAGAGCAGGTCGTCGACGGCCATGGATTCCAGAATGTTGTTCATGCTGTCGCCGTCGCCGTGCAGGCGTTGCAACGGGTAGTCCCATGGCTGGGGCTTCGGGGCGGCTGCGACGATGGGTGCTGTGGGCGCTGCTGGGGCTGGGGCAGCGTGCGATGTGCCGGTGCGAGCACCTCGGGCTGCAGGACGCTTTACCCTCCCGCGCTTTTGGGGCCGTCCGGCATCGTCGGATGCTTTGCGCTTTTGGGCCATAAGGTCGGTAGGAATATTGTGTATCTATACAGGAGTCGAAAGATGTATGAGTAGGATAGAGGGCGCGTATACTGACGGCTTTGCACTGGGTAATATATCCCTTAAGTACCATAGTTGCTTGCATTTACCTAGATATCTGCCCATTTCTATTCTAATCCTGATACAACAATGGAGCGTATGAGACGCGGAACATCATAGTGTAAAAATAAAACAATGGACGAGACCCGTGGCTTTCTTTGTCCATGAGACAAGCCCTAAACAAGGCTGCTATCTCGGTCTGGCGGATCATTGTCGCGGATGTTCTCTTTCATCCCAAAACATAGGTCTATGTAAACATCGGAAAATGGGAACTGCGCCGGGTTCATTCACGACGAATATCTTCGAGACGGTTTATATCAAAATAGATCCATATGTTCTGTAGTGACGCGGTGTCGCTATGTTCGTCAGGGTACGCTACCCAGGTTCCCCGATGTGTCTAGGTTTTCACCTGGCAGTTGGGTGAACTACTTTCTCCTGGTCCTGGGCCATAAATGCTTTCGTAAACTTTGTTCCAATGAGTGTGCATAGTCAGGATGTATGATGCAAGCTCACTGCCCGAGAAAATGAGCCAGGATGCAACACATCCAACACTCTCATCTAGTCTACATCTGGGGGCAGGAAAATCATCAGCAAAATCAACATCACCGACTTAATGGTCTATTGAATCCGAGGTAAGGTCTTTCAGCTACGTATGCCGATCATCAAGTCGGGTATGCCACAGAGAGTAGTCAATTGCACATTATATACTCAATATCCCAACGCCAGAATGTGGCAGTATCACAGGCTATCCAACGAGAACACAGGCAAATGTCCAGCGACTGCCGAAAATGCACTCAACGCTCCTCCAACGTATTCGGGTTGGGATTCGGATTGGCCGCCATCCCCATATCAATTCTCCGCCTGGGCCCAAAATCAAACAACACCTGCTCGTTGAAACGCTCGTCCCAGAGGAGAACGTGATTTCCCCCGCAAAAGGCGACACGGCATTTCCTCCTCTTGCCCAAGCCATTCCCAGGCTTGAAATCCCTCCGGCCCTTCCGAGCCGCTCTCAGACCGGGAAGCCTTATGGGGCCTTTCCGCACGAGGTGCAGCTGCTGCGCGCCTGCGGGGACCTGGTGGTTGTTCGGCAGCGCAGGCGGGTTTCCGGGTGCTGGGCCGAACTTGATCTCCGCCATGAAGGGGCGCGATAGGGGGTATGGGTCGAATGGGCGGCGTGCGGACGCGCGGCGAGCGTTCAAGACGACGGCGACGTAGCGCCAGGGCTCGATGTCCATGTCGCCGATGTGGCCGTCGTTGTTGAGCAAGGGCGGGCGTGGCCCAGCGTCCAGGATCTCGACGGAAATGTTCTTCCAGAGATCGGTGTCGCGATCGAAGGTGAACTTTTCGATGCGACAGAAATAGTGAGGGTCCGTCACTTTGGTCTCCGAGATGACGGCAAACTCGGAGTCGTTGTCAGGGCATGGTATGAGCTTCACACGACCAAGGAAGAATGATAGGGGGATGGTCTGGAGAATGGCCCCCGTCTGACCGTCAATTAGTATGATACCCGCTGGATTCCAGGTGGGACTTAAGGGAGCGGCCTGGACCCAGTGGAAGGTGACTAGCACTTCTGGTTGGCGAAAAGGTCCTGGCCGGTTCCCCTGTCGAGCGATGAAGCTGTTGGCGGTGTTTTTGTGCGTGATCGGGACCCGGCAGAAGCCGTCCCAGGATGGACCGTCCCAGATCTTCTGTGCCGTGATCTCGCCCCAATCTGGCCCGAGAAGGGAGGCCCCGCTGCACCCAAGGTAGATATAACGCCTGCCCAGGGCAAGGAAGCATTCAGTATGGGTAGAAGCGCCGGAATTCCACAGGACCGCGCCGGTTCCAAGATTAACAACGACGTCTTCGTGCCCAGGGAAGAGGCGCGTGTGCAAGACGCCATCGCTGTTCACGGATAGGAACTGCCCTCCCATTGCACCATAGGCCGCTGCCGTAACCACGCTGCTAATCCGGTTCAGCTGTCCATCAGGCAGGGGCGTGAGGTCTTGCCAGCAGACGTCACCATTAGACGATACCCATGCAAGATACTTTCCGGTATTGGACAACAGATAATCTGCTCCAAACATCGACATACACTTGTATCTGCGGCAGCTGGAAGCCCTCCCATCCAGCATCCTCCTGCGTTCAGCATACTTAACGACTAGACGGATTAGACCTGGATACCCAACGTTCAGTCAGGCGCACTTACCCGCTTTTTTAATGCGTCGGTCCTTTTTGAAATCGGTTGCCCCGGGTAACTTGGTTGGCTGCCAGTACGGTGGTAAGTGGTCGGTCCGGCCGTAGCCCCTCAAGTACCCTCGTGTAATAGTGCCCCAGCCCTTGCTGACCTGCTGGGTGCGACCCAAGTCTTCGAGTTCGACGTTCAATAGCACAAGGGCCCGGCATTCGACCGGGAGTCGCGAGAGAATATCCGCCATGGTCAATGTGGTATCAAGTAGACAGTAAAGATCGGTATGGAAAAGAATAGAATGGAGTGAGGAATATGACGAGAAGGAACATCGAGTGCGACATGATGATATTTGTATGCTCCCTGGACTCTGCCTCCCCGTCCAAAGTTAGATATGTTGTTGGAACAATGGAGAGCATCTTTGTTGACGAGACCATGCTGATACAACACTGTGACAACAATGATAGTGATTGAGACAAGTTGAAGACAAAGAGGTCTTCGAGACTAGAAAGGATGAGACGGGAAAATTGTCCTACTTTCATTGATATCCTTAAATAGCTGTGACCGTGTATCAGGAAAGTCGCGACCCAGGCCCTGGCCATTAACATACCCATCCAGGAAAGAGCCCTGAGAAATTATTTGGAATAGTTACGGTCAATCGGAGCTCTATCGTACTTGAGCAAAAGGACCAAATGAGGATCTGTATTATCTATGCTATCTATCCCAGATGTACAGACCGGGTACCCCAACCCGCCCTTCAGCCTCAGCCAGGAGAAGACAACAACGACTCCCCACTCATCCTCCGCTCCCCCTGTAAACCATCCTCCATATACCCTCCCCCAGGCCGTAGCCGAAAGTCAAAGATATAGTACTCCGTCACCAAGTCGCGATGCGTCACAGCCTGCGACCACCCAGGGCGCTCAACCCACCTCGACGCCTCAACAACCACGCGATGCCCATCAACAAAGTGCACCGCCAGCAAGTCTCTCGCCTCAAACGGCCTGCGATCGGGCTCGAACCACCGACGCGGCTCCCCGTGAGTTGCAGCAGGAACCGTGATCTCGCGACGCCTCCCCTTAACCAAGACCCTGTCCATGCTGACGCTGTATGTATCCTGGACTTTCAACATGGCCGCACTGACGGGTTTTTCCTTCGGCGTTAGTCTCGCAACCCTAGGCGTAAATTCACTGTCCAATAGCGCGACAATCGACCGAAACGGATCGATGGCGCCGCGCTTAGCAGTAGGCCCAAACATAACCTGCCGGTCCTCCAGCAGCTGCGTCCCGCTCACAAGGAACGACCGCCCGTCCGGCGCTGGCTCGAAGTACTGGAAGACAAGCGCCTTGTGGCACGATGTCTCCCCGATAACAGCAAACTGCGTTCTGTCCGGACTGACTACGATCTCCAACCGCTCTGTCGTCGGGACCCGCGTCTCCTGGATCCATTGACCCGTCGCCCCGTCCATAACAAGAACCGTCCGTCCCCATGATTCACCGGTCTTGTCCGCGATGCCTGCGATGACTTCACGGCCGTCCAGCTGGACGAGCACACAGAGACGGCGTGAGAGTTCGGTGTCGCCCCACCCCCATATCCGGGTTCCGGATAGTGGATGCGTGGGGGGAGGAGATGTGCCAGGGGTCGGGACCCTGTAGAGCTGCTGCCCGGACTTGATGTCCACTGCCTCGATGTGCATTGCATCGGCGACGACGTAGTAGACGCGTTCTTCGCCGACGAGGACGGGCGTCTGGCGTGGGAATGTGTTGTTGTCGCGTCTCCACTTGATCTCCTGCGTCTTCAGGTCGATCAGGAAGTCCCTACACACGATGTGAATTAGCGAGAGCCCGTCCACACCCAGCAGTATATCGGGAAAATGAGAAACATACCTATCAACATCGTTATACTGCATAGCCCGAACTAGGACCTGCCCATTCGCATTCAAGCGCATTTTATCAAACGCAAACACGCCCTCATCATCCCGGAATGGCGGCGTAAACTTCTGCGGCGTGTTGAACGACCCATCCTCACGAATCCCCAGATCCTGCCAGTGGACGGCCAGGTCAGGGCCTGTATTCCAGGCCACAAGGTCGCCCGCGAACGCGATCACTTCCATGGACGCCCCGATCTTGCGGACGGCGCTGGCTTGGCCGGTCGGGAGGGTAGCGAAGGGTGCTGCCTCGTTCTTGTATATTTCAGTAGCTTTGGGTTCGTCTTTTTTGATGTCTAGATTCCAGGCGAGTGGGAAATGAACGCGCAGTCCGAGGGCACAGATCCATACCCTAATAAACGCAGCCCAGCCCTTGTCGACCATCCCGCAGCGGACGACGGACACTGGGTCGAGATATTCGAGGATGAGGCTGGCGCAGTCGAAGTTCAGGTATCGGAATGGATCTGTGCGCTTCCTTTCGTGTGTGTTGCTATGGTTCCTGGCCTTGCCGCTTCGACATCGTTTGCAGGGTCGACTGCTTTTGGCGGCATTCTCTGTGCCAGGCCCAGACTTCCTCTTACCAACCATCTGTAGTGGTGTATTATGGTGTGTATATTAGGGATTCAATCTGTATGTAGTGTGTATGACTTGACATGGACGCTCTGGTGAATATGGTAACCAGGAAAGCCAACCTTGATGCTAAGCCAGGTCCGCCATAGGTTATTTCTCCGGTGTAGTGCAGGTCTAATATTGGGATTACTGTATGGAACAATGCGGGTGCGCTTCTTTGTAATTTCAAACCACCACAAAACATGACTGGAAACATGCGTTGTATTGTGGCACGCAGACGAGAAAAGCATAAAGAGTGAATGAAACACGCGGTCGTTGTTCCTGAGGCGGCTGCTCCCTTCCAATTGTTGAGTTAGCCCTAATGAGGGTTCGATCGGAGGCAGCTGGAGCCCCGGCATTGCAGGTGGACTCGTACGCCAACTTTGGAAGATGGAGGAGTCATTCATCTATCATCATATTCTAGATTTCTCGCAAAGGCATCAGTCCTTAAGGACATAACGGATGATATTTCTGTACCTAAATTACTATGTAGAATGCATATGCCCAGGCTCCCCACTGCTCAAATCCACCATTTACCGTCCCAGATCCATCAACGCGCCATGCAGAATATACAAGCAAATCCAGTTGCTATTTAACTCCAGAACCCCGGCCACCTAAACAACGCCTTGTCCCCGGGCTGCTCTTCAGGGAGAGCCTGGGCGCCGGTCAGATCATCCTGAACACACGCCTCCCGCCGCCGCAACACAAAATCCACAACATAATACTCGCAGATTCTATTTTGGAATATGCGATCCCCCACGCGAGGTAGCACTCGCGTCACCTCAATAACAAGCCGCCGCTCGTCCGCAAACCGCACCGTGTATACTGAGCCGGGAACAATCGGAAGCGAGCGTCGAGAGTTGGAGCCCGCGTCGCCAGGCCCAGCGTGGCCGCAGGTCGCACACGGAGGAGGCGGAGGCAGACTGACTTCACAGCACGACCCCTTGATCAGAGCACCCGTGCTCTTTACTCCGTAGTCGCGCTTAAGCCGACGGACGGCGCGGTCCGCATCGCAGGGCCTCAAGCCCGCGATCCCAACCCCGGCCTTATCGCCATCCGCCTGCACGAACGCAAGCAGGTGCCGAAACGGATCGGCCACGACCCTAGACACGCCCGGATCGAACGCGGTGGCCGGCCAGTCGGGCGGCATGTCGTAGTCGATGATCTGATCGTCCGCCTCGTGGAAGACGCCGTCCGGGGCCGCCGAGAACATGCGGACGATTTGCGCATTGCGGAACAGGTGGCTGCCCTCGTTGACGAGCGCGAAGGCCGTCTTCTCAGCCGAAACCACAATCCTCCAGCTGTTGCTCCACGCATACGTGAGCGGGAGCTGCTGGATAACGTGCCCCGTCGCGCCGTCCATAACAAGGATCGCGAACTCGGGCATTGGCGACGCATCCCGGACAGGTATTAAGCCCACGAGGACGTCGCGCCCATTTAGGCTCAGGAACCCCGTATACGCGCCCTTTGAAGGCCAGAAGTGGATCCAGTATGCTCGGTCACGCCCGGTGCCGGGGAGGGGGGCTCGGTAGAGCTCGCTGCCGGATTCGATGTCCACGGCGAGGATGTCGATATCGCTGGTGTAGTAGACCCGGTGCTCGTCGAGCCCTACCAGGCGCCGCTCGTCGCGGGGTATGAATTCGTCGTCCGCGCGGACGGGCCCCTCGTAGTGCCATCTTGTCTTGCCTGTTTGCAGCTGCACCAGGACGTCCCTGGGCCGTTAAGTCAGTTCGGAATTCATTCCGTACTCTGCGGGATGCCATACCTGTAGCGATCCATTTGTGGCGTCTCTATACTCACCCACATAAACCGAAGCAATAGATAACCTCGAGCATTCAAACGCATCATCACAATTTTAGGCTTGCGCCCTTCCTCTTCTTCTCCTCTTTCTCCAAAATCCATCTTCAACTCCAGCTTCTGAACGGGACGGAATGTCCCATCGTCCTGGAACCTCAAGTCCTGCCAGTATATATGCTTTCCATGCCCCCAAGCCGCAAAGTCCCCGGCTATCGTGAACGTCCCGTCATGCGCCTCGACCTTGCGCACAGCGCTTGCCTTGCCAGGAGGGAGAGTAAATATCGGCGCGGTATTGGCTTTGTACAGCCAGACGGAGGTTGCTTCGTCCTGCTTTAGTTCGAGGTGCCAGACACTAGGATAGTGGATGCGCAGACCGACGGCGCATATCCAGGTCCTAATAAACGCCGCCCAGCCTCTGTCGACTTGCTCGCAGTTAAGGATGGTTACTGGGTCCAGGTCTTCGAGGATCAGGGTTGCGCAGTCGAAGGGCAGATGCCGGAATGGGTCTGTCTGGTAGAGCGGCTCTTGACGTTGGCGCTTGCGTGATGGTGTTGGGGCTGCCTTGCCGTAGCTCCGGGCTGCTGCTTTGCGCTTCGCAGGCATAGTAGATGGATGAAAATACTGATATTCAGATGATGCGTAACAACCGAAATTCAAGAATGAGAGCGGATTTCAAGTATGTAGATCGATTGCTGTTGCTGCAAGTGCTTCCCCACCGTCGTCTACCAGTACAGTCAAGTCATATTCTTGCTCCCCGATGGTAATTAAAGTCTTTGTGCACAAAACGATGCCGAAACAAGACTGAGAACATGACTTTGTCGCTATTAAAAGTCCTGAAACAAATCACAATGGCTGCCGAGACTTAGGGCCATTGTTGCTGGCTTTGTTGAAAATTAGCCCTAATTAGATGCAAAGGCCGCGTTTCCAAAACCGCTAGGAGCCAAAAGCCTTACGCAGCATGTATTATATTCCTTAATACACAATACATTCAGTGTTCCAGCATATATGATCTCTTGGTGGACGAAAATATGTATGGTGTTCTGTCACGACGATGTCCGATACATATTTTCGGAAGCAGCCAGTCGCCGGTCTGTCGCTGCAGTAAGCATACTCTGCCACGATGTTTGAATAACTTAGCGGGCATCGATATAATCGCAAACCGTATAGCCGCGTTGTAAAATTGCCAGCCTGCCGATATATAGAGGGGGTACTACCTTGTAAGTCGTATCCAAGCATGGAGGTCGCAGGTATGGGTTAGGCGAGAGTATACACGATTAATGGAAAGATTTACTAGAGGTCATCGGATATAGACCTGAGCATGCATCCATACCTAGGTAGGAAAATGCCAGGGTCGCGGCGCTAGCAGCAATAACTCCTTTCAAACACGCGTGCTTTACGAAGCCAGTGGGGTGTTTATCCTGCTGCTCCAGGGCCCCAGACATACAGCATCAAGGCTAGGAAGTATTGAATCTTGCTTTACGCGGCCCGCAGTCCCTTGGACGTAAACTGTTACTCACCCCAAACAGCCAATGACAATCACCGGATGTGATCTGGTTGGCAATGCCCAAGCCTGCTGCTCAATAAGATGACCACTGGAAGATACAGCCGGTCCCGTCCTGCACGGTGACTATCACATGCCAAATTGTCGGGTCTTGACGCGGCGGGAGAAGACAGCCCCAGGAAGAGATGGCTAGAACACCGAGAGCGCGGGGTTAGATGGAGGTGCAATCTCCGATCGCGAGGTGAATTCAAGGGAATGGCGAGCCTTGTGAGGTGGTATTCCCTCGGTCGGATGACCCTCTGGTAGAGAGTGGGATCCGATCAGCCTCATGATCTCTTTGATTGCGTGCCGTTCCTTGTGCGACTCTCTCGAGGGGTCTCACCGGATAAGGTGCTGATTGATATCTGGACACATGTACGTAGGGAAGTTGGACGGCGGACCCGGGAGAGCTGGGAAGCACCATCAGTACAAGGGAGCCGCAATTTATGCCTGGGTGAAACGGATCATGTTTGGAGGCCATGATTGTCTATCTCCAGCTGTACGACCTTGCTATACTAGCGAGAGGACAGCCTTCCTTACATCCACGCAGCGTTGAAACCAGCGGATCTAGCCTGATTAGATATAAGCTTGCTGCCTCTGTCCTCATAATGACTACCTAATATCCTAAATTGTAGTATGTGTCGTAGTGAGCAGCCTATTGAGAAATCTTTCTGTCATCAAAGTTGAACTATGTCTCCTTCAATCTGCTCGCACCTCAAAGTCAGCTCTGCTCAACCCGACTCTCATCCCCACTGCCACGTTGGGGGGATCTGGCAGCCACGCCTCGCCAATTGCGCTTCCAATGAGACGGCCCAAGATAAGCGAATTTGCATGCACTGGGCAGCCGTGCGCATGAGACCATCGCTGGTTCGTATTTCTTCTCAACCGTGTAACCACCAAGGGGACAAACGGCCCGTGCCCTGCTGGTCTGCACTGTTCCTGTGAAGACCACCTGCCTCGGCGAAATTGTCGGAAATTGGACGACTGGAAACGCAGCGAGCTTTTGAGAGCTCCAGGATATTAGATCCTCGTCAACCCCTGAGCCCTGTTTTGGCGTTACACAGAGTAGGATCGTGCCGACGGATGTTCACGCGCCACCCCACGCTCCCATGGACGTGACATAAGGGGATAACCAGGGGGTGGAATAGCCAGGAAAGAGGCTTGTATAAGATGGCAAACAACACCCCATCGCCCAACCCCACACTCCATGCCGTACTCAGGCCGCCAACATCCAACGTACCCAGGTCAACCGCAGCAGGTAATTCCGACCTCATCAAAATGCTGCACCCCATAACCCTCCTCTCGGCCCTAACTTCCACCCGCACGACCCTAAAACCCTCCATCGTCGGCGGCACCGAGGTCTCAATCACAGACTACCCCTACCAAATCGCGCTCCTCAACGGCGGCGCCTGCACCTGCGGCGGCAGCATAATCAGCCCCAACCACATCGTCACAGCGGCGCACTGCGTCCGCAGCGCCCGCGACCCAAGCCACATCTCCATCCGCGCGGGCTCATCCTTCCACAACACCGGCGGGGAAATCGTCAATGTCTCGGCAATTGCCGTACACCCGGCGTACAGCGCGGGGATGGTAGACAACGACATCGCGGTCCTAACGCTGGGCCAGGCGTTGGAATTCAAGCCGGGCATTGAGCCCATTGCGCTGCCGGCGTCGGGGTCAACGGCGCTAGCCGCGGGCGAGGAAGTTGTTGTCTCCGGGTGGGGCACTGAAACTGAGACGGGGAGCTTGTCGCGCGTGCTCAGGGCTGTGGCTGTGGCCGTGACCACCATGGCGGAATGCAGGGCTGCGCATGGGGAGAAGTACATCACGGAGAGTATGTTCTGTGCCGGGGTTGCTGGGGGCGGGAAGGACGCGTGCTATGGGGATAGTGGGGGGCCGGTGGTGGGTGGCGGGGTGCTGGTTGGGGTTGTTTCGTGGGGGAAGGGCTGTGCGCGGCCTGGCTATCCCGGGGTTTATGCCAGTGCGGCTTACTTGAGGGATTTTATTGCGGCGGTTGCTGGGGTTTGAGCGGTGCAGGGCGTGTGGAGGATGAGGTTGGCTGGACTGCTACTGTGATTACGTTAATCAAGGAGATCTGGGAAACTCAGGATATGTACGTACGGGCAAATGCTGACCACTAAGCTACCATGTCCCTGGGCATGAGTTAGATTAAAGGTTCTCCAGCCCAGAGCACCCAGGTCAGGGGATTCGGCTCTATAATATAATGAAAATCCATGGATACAGCGAACCGCCTGATCTGCTTTTAAGCACGCGCCACTAAACAAGAAATAGTTTTGCCCATGCGAAAGTTCAGATTTCCACCGTGGCATCCACTACATTATCTCGCTATTCGACAGCCTTTGCATTTACATGACAGTATGGGGAAAACCTGACGCAGGGGAAAACCCATACCAAGGCTAGACACCAAACCATAAAATGACCGAGCAAGGTAAATATCTCAAACAGCCACATCCCAGTCACTACAAGTGCTGCATGTCTCAGCAAAGGCCCAGCTCTAATCCCGACTGCACATGACCCTAAAGCCGGGGGACTCGCAGAAGGGGCTCTTATCGTTCTCTGGGTCAGACTCGACTTTCATGCACCAGATCCGGTAGTTGGGTCTGCAAGAGGGCATATGTCAGCAAGATTCTCGAGAGGAAAAGGAAGAGGATGGGTAAGGACAACGCACGCGCAGACGAATTTGCGGGTTGTATCGGCGTCCACGGTTAGGGAGTCCTGGTTCCTCGGCTTCACGGGGCGATCGTTCAGCTTGACGGGGTCGATGTGTCCGCTCCCGTCGTCTGTGTAGTGCGTGAGCCAGAAGTTGACCTGCTCGGGGATCCGGCTGGAGGGATGTTAGCGTGTATGCGAGGTTGGATTGTGGTGCGATGGACTGGAGAAGAGAGAGCGTTGTTGGTATGCATGTCTGGACGGTTTAATGCATGCTTTCGGGAGATACATACTCGTCCACGTCGCCCCATACGAACTGGAACGACGCGCCGGGCTTGACTACGTCTCTGATATCTCTGATGATCATTGTTGCTGCCTTGCTATCTTTTCACGTCTTGGGATTGCTTTGAATTAATAAGAGTGAAAGGAAATGTTGGAATGAAAGCCTGGAAGTTTGTTCCACAAGAGTCAGAGTTTGCAGAGACCAACGGTGCGTCAGCAGACGAATATATATTATCCAGACATGGAATACTCGGTGTCAAGGGCAGAATGGGCCTCGATCCGAAGATGATGAACCTATGATGAGATGGACGCATGCATAGTCATAAAGGTCTGCAAGACGTGTAAGTGAGTAACGCTGTTGCGCAACAGGACCAGGGTAAGCAGTAACCGATGGAAGAGATACTATTGGTACCTACCTAGACAATTGTGACTCCGAGCCGGAAAGGAACAGTAAGAAGAAGACAATGTCATACATAACTTCTGGGCCTGAGATATCCAGTACCCGGTTAAGAGTGCAAAATACGATAGTAGTTCCAGTAATGTCGTGCCATTCGGGGATCTCGAGAGAACCCGATGGGCATCAGTCACCATAGTAGCCTCAAAGCGTCCTCAAGAACTGTATCACAGCTCCGAATGCACGTCTGAAGGTCTCCACCCGGAGCCTAATACTGCATGTAAGTGACCTTGCGCACTGCATGCAGCATGCCTATAGGCCCTTACAGCGGGCTAGAGCTTTAACTCGGGGTCCGGGGAACCTACATCGTCTCTTCCAAGCTCTGGGGTATGACGCGTCGGTGTAAGCAGGGCTTGTCAGCTTGCGTGACACTAGGTAGGAATCTAGAACGCCGACCATATCGCAATAGGACTGATACTTCCAAGTTCGAGGGCCAGCAATCCAATGAGCAAGCAATATAGCCACTGCCCAGGAGAGAGTGCCGCGTGTCAAATTCGAAAATAGAGGCTCCATGGAATCTCATTATCTCAAAGCCCCTATGATTCGGCTGCCGTCTTCCACTTAATCCCTGCATTAGTTTGGTTGGTTTAAGTATGCAGACCCGTCCTAGCCCTTCTAGGTTCACGTGTTCAGGACAGAGCGTTGCAGAGGAACCGGACTCCAACACTTGCAGTTTTATTTGAAGATCATAGAGTGTTCTACCGCAGCCTGGACCCGTGGATCCAGATCCATTGGGATATCTACGGGGCGGCAACTCCAGGGGCGGCTGCCACAGCCTACATATATATGGATGGATAATATTTGCAACAAACAAATACAGAACTGGCAAGCGGTTATCTGGTCTAGCCCTACAGCCTTCTTACTCAACTCTGCAACAACCCATTCACAATATCCCCCATCGCCCTCGCCTGATCAACAAGCTTATCCCGCCCCAAAATCTCAACGCAACCAACGCCCAAAACCTTCAGGTCAATAATCCGACCGTGCACGATCTCCAAGAGCTTCAACTCGTCCTGGCCACCATATACCACGAGGATGGTATCTGCATTTACATACTTGTAGATATCCCTACGTGCCTGCTCAACGCAGCGGTTAAGGTCAACGCAGCATGTCCCCGGGATCTCGGCGTCGTAGATCTCGTCCAGGAGCACCTTACCTGTTTGGACGTCAATGGCGCCGAGGGACAGCATGTCGGAGGCTGTTTTGTGGAGCTTTAGGGCGACGATCGCGGTTGTTTTGGGGGCTGTGCTGAGGGTTGTTGTTAGGGGGCCTAAGCGGTAGCCGTGCTTTTGGAGGGCGGAGGGGGTTGGGATGAGTTTGTCCATCTTGGTGGTGGTTGTTGTTATAGTACCTAGAATTGGTTGGATAGTGACTTTGTGAAAATATATTTAGACTTCCTATCCTACCAGCGGACTGCAGGGATACTTATATTGTTATTTATTTGATCTGCTACTGTAAGACACTCGGTCCGTTTTGGGGCTTGTCTTAGGTATTTCTTCCTTTATCAATCTTCTTTATCGATGGTTGTTTTATTGGCGCCTCTTTAAAGCAAAAGAGGGCCGGTCCATGATGAGATAACGCCTCATTCCAACAAAGTACAAAGCTATGGAGTACTACTATGGTAGCTTCCCCTTTTGTCATTCTGACCGGTCGGGTCTCATTGACATTTCACACGTTCCAGGCCGAGTTCTGCTTTGACCATAGATATTCCGAAACGGACCCAGACGACTCGAACCAAGTCGATACAACAACCGAAAGTTCGATTTTCATTGTTACATGTTTTAGATGTGGTGGACAATGTACGATTCCATTTCATTGTGTCCATTATCCAAGCAGTTTCATTGACGAGGGCTTGCAAAACAGGTCGAAACACAGATAATGGAAAAGAGAATATGAATGGCAATGCCCCAGGTCGCCGCTTAAGTCTTATCCATGGCCAAAATTTAAAAATACATAATTTATATCTTTGCTTAAATGTTCCAAAATAAGGCCTTAGAAACGGATAATTCCGGAGTCGAGTACATGGAGAGCGGTGCGTCCTGAAGTCATCCTGGAGGAATTCAGACAGCAGAGAGCACCCAAACAAAGGAAACTAGACGTCTTCCAAGGTTCAACTGATGAACGGCTACAGAGGACAGATAATAGGTCTCGAATTGGGGATAGCAAATCATAGTGGCATAGAGCCAACTATTCATAAAATGTGAGAGAAATATAGAGAGTCAAGATTATGAGATTCCCATTCCCAAATACAACGACTGGCCACTCTCCCCGACCAACCGAGGACGTAATGTCATCAAAATCATGAATCAACTTTCTCCTCGTCGCAATAACACCACTGAGGGAATCACAATTCCAACCACTACCTAGGTAGGATTCAGTCTAAACATCTCGCTAAGGGAAAGTTCCTCCACCAACCCTCGACGCAAAATAACACACCAGGATACCGGAGTTGTTCTGAATCGAGCACATCATGGTCCTGGCACAGGGTAGAATATCAGTGAAAGCATTGCCATCACCGTTCTGCCTCGCTGATTGCGATTAGAATGGCTTCCGACCTCTCAGGGACGTCGCCAGGGCAAAAACCAAAACATACAACAGCTGGGATTCGCATGTGGTCACCCACCATACTACTAACCAGCCGGCGTGTGGTTTAAGTACGGCTGAGCGGACGGGAAGCCCTGTTCTCCACACCCTGTGGTCGTATGTGGTATAATTTTAGAGGCAAATGCTTATGTGGAAAGCCTTCGGGGGCAGGCCGGCCAGGGGGCATCTGCAGATTCCCATCCCAAGGGTAACGTCTACTTTTCACCGTATGGGACAAACGGCGTACCGGTCCCTTCTCTAGAATAGATCAATCAAAGCCCTATCACCATGCCAAAGTGGAAACGTGATCCACCCCATGAACGGGCAGGTGGACCCGTGAGCCCAAGTACCGTACGATACCCAGATATGAATCCTTGGAAACAGCCATATATTAACCCCAATACCCCTGGATCGACGTCATTCAAGCGCAGTGTATACCAACTATGGCATAAAGGTTTGCATTTGTGATCAAACTTTCTCAAAAAAAAATTCCGTCCCAACGCAACGCGGTCAATAGGCTGTCCAGTTGTTCTTGTACTATTTCTCGCTGCAGCAAGCATACTTAACAGGCAGATTTATTAGGCGCCTAGGAAAGATAATTAGTGTAGGACTAATATCCGCATACCGCGGCCCGGAGAGCGTCAGGGTTCTTGATCTAGGTATTTCACCAGGGCACGGGATACAGCAGCGGACGACGCGGACTTCACACCTCGTCCACTCTATTACTGCCCCAACTTCAAACACTCAACAACTTTCTCCGCGAGCAACTTCGGCTCACTCAGCATCGGCAGATGTCCACACGGAATCCTGATGACCTCCGATCCCGCGATCCCCGCGCACATCTCCTGCATCTGCGGCGAGAGAGATTGGTCATGTTCAGTCAGAATATAGCTGCTCGGCACTCTCTCCCACCCGCAGTACGTGCAATTCCCGACCCATCCTTCCGCGGGCTGGCCCTTGAGAACGGGCTTGTACTTTGCCGCGACGGCCTTATCGACGTCATGGAAAAGGAGTTCGTCGGGGTCGGCGCAGTGCGCTTGGCCGTCCTGATGGTAGGGTTATCAGCAATGGGTCCAAGTAACCTCAAAACATCAAGGACGGTCTAACAAACCACAACGCTCATCCCCAGCATCCCCATCTCAGGATGCGGCGCACCAACGGGTAAAATCCCCCCCGCGATGAAGACAAACCTCTCAACACCGCCGCCGCTCTGCGTCGCGATCTCCGCACCAACTTCCAGCCCCTCTGTCGCCATAGCAGACAAGAACGCGCCCGCGCTGTGTCCGATGAGTACAAGCCTCTTCCCCGCGTGCACGAGCGGCTCGATGACCGCGCGGATGCCCATTGCGTCGTCGTACATGCTTGGATTCCCGGGGCTGCGTGTACCTGTTGAGAGCAGCGGGGCGTAGACGAAGTCTGTGAGTGCGGGCGCGGCGTTCTTCATTTCGTGCACGAGGAGCCCGTAGGGTTTTGGGCCCAGCCAGAGGCCTGGGATGATGACGATTGTTGGGGCGGGCATTTCAAGTATAATTTAATGTCCTAGGCTTTGGATTGGACGGCGTTGCGTGAACGGATGGTGGAGTGCAATACTTAGGTGTCTTGAATCCCCGATCGTCGGATTGGGGTCCAGATAATATGGCCTGTGATCTTCTTGGGTATTGATATGGTGGCATGGGCGAGGGCTGACTTTATCCTCTTCCCGTCCCGCCGTTGGCTGGTTCGGGAATATAGTTGCGCCAGGTTGGATCTAGTATATTAACTTTAGTTATATAAAGCGCTTTATAATACATATTTTATTAAAATAAAATAAAAATATATATTAATTTTTAAGTTATATTAATAAAGTAAATATATAGTGCAAAGTAATTATATTATATTTATAATAAATATATATAATTATTACTATAAATTACTAGGTAAATATAATTTAATAATAATAAATATAGGTTTATTAAATTATATATTTATAAATAAAGTTTATATCCAGGTTAATTTATTACTATCTATTAAATTTATTATTAAAATTATTTATATTACTAAGGTTATAATATATCTTAAAAATTATATTATAAATATTATAAATATAAATTATAAGTAATTTTATATATTATATATAATATAAATTAATATTAATATAATATAATTATTACTAGTAATATATAGTTACCTAAAGTTTATATATTATAAAAATAATACTTAATAAATTAGTTTAATAATTTTAATTTAGCATTATTTATTATTTAGGCTAATTATATAAGCTATAAAATACTATTATAAAATTAAAATAAATATAAATATAAATAAAAATACTAATTTAATATTAATATTAATATTAATATTTAATATTAATAAAAATTTAAGATATTAAGGGCCCATGTGCTGCTATTTAAGTTAATCCTAGCTTATTAAATTAATATTAAGTTAAAAGTTATTAATATAATTATTAAAAAAACCTTATATTATTAATAAAGACTTACTAAAATTACTATATTATAGGTAATTAGTTAAAATTACTATTTATTATTATATATTATATATTAAGTTTAAAGTATTATAAAATATTATTTTTAAATATAAGCTTATATTTAAAAAAGGTATTTTATATAATATTAATAAAAAATAAGTTAATATATTATTAAATTATTACTATATTACTTTATACTAAGTTTACATGTTTTTAAATAATATATAAAAAATTTATAAAAGTAATAATAAATTTATAAATATATAAGTAATTAAGCCTTGGTAAAATTAGCTTTTTATATAATTTAAGTATATTTTTAATACCTTGGGATATTCTTGCATGTTTTATAAATTATTATTTTTTAATTATAATATATATTTAAAGGCTTGTAAAAATTAATAAGGTTATAATAAATAAGGTAATTAAGGTTATAAAAATATTAATTAACATAGTAAAACTATTTATTATTTATATAAACTTATTTTATAAAGTAGTTTTATAACCTTAATAAGTTAATATTATAAAAAGGTTAGTTAGCGCGGTAAAATTATTTACTATTTATATAAACTTGTTTTATAAAGTAGTCTTATAACCTTAATAAATAAAAATAAGTTTAATTATAATAATTTATTTTATAGGGACAGCAAGTATTATAACCTAGGATAAATAAAAAAAAATTATATATTATAAGGTGTTTAGTTTAAAAAATAAAGTAAAAATAACTTATTAAATATTAGGATAGTATTAAATACATGTATTTAAATAAAAAAAAAAGTTAGTAATACCTTTTATAAAAAATAGGTATATAAAAGCTTACTAAAATAAATTTTATTATAATATTAACTTACTATTTTAATTAGGAGCATAATTAATAATAAAAATAACTAGTAAAAGTAGGCATAGTATAACGCACTAAGATTAAATTTCTTGTAGGTAAAATATTTAAAGATTTATTATATTAATACAGGCAAGTTAGTAACTACTATATAAGTTTATAAACTAAAAAAGCGTACTACTATTTACTATACCTAGGCTAAACTTTTATTATTATTTATTTTTTATATTATTATTTATATTATTATTTGCATTATTATTTACTAGGTAGTATTTTTAATATTATTTATATTATTTTTAGTATTACCTTTAGTATTATTAACACCTAGGTAATATTAGCATTATTTTTAGTATTACTTTATTTACTAGGTAGTATATTTTAGGTTAATATTATTTATATTATTCTTGGCATTACCCTTAGTATTATTTTATTTATTATTTATAGCCTAATTAATATTTTTAAAGTATTTATAACATAATTATTAAGTATTAAGTTTTTTAGGGCTTTTAATTTATTACCATAATTTACTTTTTTTATTTTTTATTATATTATTACCCTATTACGGAATTAAAAAATAACCTTAGGCTATTTAACTTATTTTTTAATATTATAAAAAAATTAAAAACATGTTTAGGGGTGTTTATTTATTTTTTTGCTTAAATTAAACTATATAATTTTTATATAAATAAAGTAATATTATAAAAGGGCTAAAACTTAGGTTTTTATAATAAAAGTTTATTAACTTACTTATTTTTTTAATACTTTATTTATTGCCTGGATAAAATTAACTTAGCTTTTAATTTTTAAATAGGTTAAAATATTTATTATTATTACGGGGATTTTAAAGGTAGTTAGCTATTATTAAATACTAAAATATAAGCTAGGTTTAAACTAGGTACTTTTAAAAGTAGGTAAATAAAAAATTTAGGATTTTGATTAAAGACACTATAAAAATTAATATTATAATAAAAAATTAAGGCCTAAATAAAGCCTAGTAAAAAAAATATACCTAGTAATACTTAGTAATATATACTAATACCTACTTAAAAATTTTAATTATTAAAATATATTTAGTAATAATACGCTGGGGCGTTTTTAAGTATTAAAAAAATAATTATACATAGTTATAAATAAACTTAGGTATGGCTAAAAATTTTTTTAAAATTATTTTTAAAATTAATAAGTGTAATTAGGCCGTAAGTAGAATAAAAGTAAATAAAAAAAATAACCTTAGTTATTATAAAAAAAGTATATAATTTATATTAGCTTTGGGGTTGGCAAGGCCTTTTTTAAAGGTATAAAATTTTATATAAGCTAGCTACCTAATTTTATATATTTTTAAAAATTAAAAAAAAAAGTAAGAAGGTATCCTTATTTTCCGCCTTGCTAGTTAAATTTTATATATTTTATTATACCTAAGTCTATAAATTTAATTAAGCCTTTTCTCGCGGGGCTTAAACCTAAAAAAGTTAGTATAATAACTTTAATTTTTATAATATATAAGGATAAAGTTTAATAAACTACCTAAGCTACCTTAGCTAGTATAAATTAAAAAATTATAATTATTATATATATTTATTTTATGGCATCTTGTCCCCCGGGCCATTAAATTAAGTTTAATTTATTTATATTAAATTAATATTTATATTAAATTATATTAATAATTACTATATTTATATTTATATTTTCCTAAGTTACCGTTGTATTTTTATTTAAAAAAACTTTATATTTTTATTATAATATATTATTATAGTATTAGTAATGCTAGCTATAGGTAGTAAGCTATTTAAAGTAAATTAAAGTAGCACCGCTAGTAATATATTTAAAATTAAAATTAAATAATAAAATACTATTTTAATAAATTAAAGGCTAATTATAATCTTTTTATTAATTTTTTATATATAAAATAAATTTAAAATAGTATCACGCGGGATATATTAATATAAAATTATTAATATAAAAAGCATAAATACTTACTATTTTTTATTTATAAGCTAATAAATAAAAAATAATTTATTTTATTTTATAAAAGCTTTTTAGTATGTGATAACACTACCTTATTAAAATATATATTACCTACCCCTAAAAGTATTAAAAATAACTTAATAAAGGCACTTAAAATAAATAATATTATATAAAAGTAAAAGTCCATGGCTAGAAATAATATTAAAAGGTAAAAGTAAAATAAAAAAATAAAATAAAATAAAGCTAATTATTATTTATTACATGCTTATAGTAACCCGCCTGTATTATTAGGCATTATTTAATATTTTTATAAAAAGTAGGAATTTATATTTAGCATAATACACTAAGTAAATATTATTAATAAATTAATAAAGTTTTAAGGCCTAGTAAAGCTATTTTAAAATACTTATTTAAGCCTGCACCTTGCTACCAGGTATAATAAATAATAATAAAATATTTTTATAAAAAAGTAAATTTAATAATAATATTAGGCTAAAGTACCCTAAGCCTTTTTTTTTATTATTTTTATTTTTTTTAATAATCTAAAACTAAGTAGCTATATTATTTTAAAAATTATTAAATAATACTACGCGAGATTTTAAAGTTTTAAAGTTAAAATATTATTATTTTTTATTATGCTGTTAAAAAAAAGTTATATAAATATAAAAAGGTATTTATTAAAAAGTAAATCTTATTTAGGTTTATAGTAATTTATATAATAAACTTAATTTTTAAATACCCTAGGAATAGTAAATTATTAGTCTTTATTTTTAATACACGTAAAAATAATATTTAGTTAGGTAATTTAAAATACTTATGCATAAAATAAATAAAAAAAGTTAAAATATAAAATTTAATATAAATAGGAACACTGGAAGCTAAAAATATTAATTTTTATTATTAATATAAAATAAAATAAAAAATTTAAATTTAAAATAAAAAATTAGGATAAACTAAAAGTGCTAAGTAATTATAAATTATATAAACTTATTTATTTTTATATTTTTTAGTAAAAATATTATTATTTTATAAAGTTATATACTTAGTAAACTGCGCGGGATAATAAAGTTTTATATATATATTAAATTATTATTAAAGGGCTTTTATACCCCTGCTTTTTTTAATTTTAATTAGCTGTCTTAATATAAGGCTAGTTTAGCTACTTTAACTACTAGCTAGTATTATTTTTTAATTTAATACTATTATTATAATAAACTAGGATTAAAATTAAAACTAAGATTAATATAATATAATT